GAGAAGAAGGATGAGAAGAAGGATGAGAAGAAGGATGAGAAGAAGGATGAGAAGAAGGATGAGAAGAAGGATGAGAAGAAGAATGAGGAGGATGAGGAGGAGGATGAGGAGGATGAGGTGAATGAGATGATAAACAAGCCATTATTCCATTTTCGATATACGCTTCACATCATGAAGCAATTGGTGAAAACTGTGAAATTTCTCCATGAAGCTGGAATATGTCATGCAGGTGAGAGATGCTGCTCCTCTTTCCAAAAGCCTTGCCATTTTTGATATCAGCTACATTCCAAGATTCATAATGCGAAACAAACTGACATCTTTTTAGGTATTCATTTGACTAGTGTGGCAGTCCTCCCTCCTGATATTTGGAACCATGATCGGGAGACAATTGAGAGATGGATTGGGAAGCCAGAAGGGAAACCTGTCATACGCGCTAGTGGGAAGCCACTGGAAAAAGGAATTCCAGTGACACTCTACCGAAACGCCGAGTGGATGAACTACCTCCAATCGATGATCGATTGTAAAGTGGCTGGTTGGCTCCCTCTGATGGACGTCTGTCTTCTTGACTTCGGTGGGAGCTTTTTCGAAGACAAGAAACCTGAGACCCTCGATCAATCGATATTAACACAGGCCCCGGAAACATTGCTGATGGGCGCTTTTGACTACAAAGTCGACACATGGGCCTTGGGCGACTTGGTGAGTTGACGCATACGAATATCCCAGGACTAATTTCTGACTGCGAGACTATAGATGTACTTTCTGTTGACCGAAAGGGACCGCGTTGATTTTGACAGCGTTTGTGGGAGGAAATATGAGGCATTAAGGGAGGCTTCCTGGTTTGTGGAAGACATCCCAGAGGAGTGGATGTCAGAATATCTCAAAATGCGCCAGGAGGAAGAACTCGCCGAATGGAATCCCAGTAAGAACACAACACTTGTTGCATGAAAAATTCGCTAATATAACCCATTCAGTACATAAACCGACGTGGCTGGAGCACATGTGGCTCCTTGATTGGCACCTCGCGTTCAAAAGCCAATCGCATAAACGCGCCATTTCTACCATCAGAGGGATGATGCGCCTTTTGCCGACAAAAAGGTTTACATTGAAAGAGGTAGAAGATGAGCTTGACGAGCTGGTTCTATTTGTCAAGGGATTGACGCATGAATCTCATGAAGAATACCACAAACAAATGGATGTTGAATTCTTGGCTAGGGTGGAGGCCACATTCAAGAGGAGACGGACAACGGAGTGTGCGCCTTCGGATGAAGATGAATCGGATGAAGATGAATCGGATGAAGATGAATCGGATGAAGATGAAGTTGACTGCGAAAAAGAAGAGACGGTCACCTCGGTGAAGACGGACATTATGCCAAAGGAGGAAGACGAGGGACTGATTGAGGCCGCTTTGCAACAAGCCACCGATGGGAAATGCGAGCACTCATCTTCGCCAACTGTGTCGAAATCAAGTTTGACCGACGATCATGAATCTCAGTCTCAAACCTCACCACGGGCTAGTCAAAGTCCAGGCTTGGAGACTTCGGACCAGGATCCAATGAATATGATTGTTCATGAGTCACAACAACCTGAACCACTTGATCTGACATGTACTACAGAGCCACTCCACGACCACGCAGTACAAGCTTCACAGGAATCCCACCAGGAACAGGCACCACAGCAAAACACGCCTTCAGTCTGTGACAAGGACGGAAACCTCTCGGATGTGAAAAGCCCAGGACCGAAATCTACTCCGAGCCAGAGTCATGATTCCGTCGAGCAGGAGGGCCTACAGGTCGCAGAAGACGGCCAAGGCTCTGCAACTGACCTGGAAAGGATTCCACAGACACCACCAGAGAGCCGTGACTCTCCTGCATTGTCCCAGCAGGGCCCAGAAAAGGCATCATGCGTCGATGAGACCGTGCAGCGTTCGGAGATCTCAGATCTGCCCTGTCTGAACGATACCCCCGGGCTCAGCGCGACAGAGGATGCGTTGGAAGTGGCGGAAATGGACAAGAACACTTTCCAAACAGGTAACATCGCTGATGAAACCGAACAGCGCTTGGATATCATTGCTGAATTGCCCAGTGGACCGCACGAAACCCCCCAAGAGCAGCAGGCGGAGCTGATCCAGCACAGGAGTGAAGAATCCCGGTTCTCAATGATCCTCAATCATTTGTGGCGGCCATGGAAACGGCTCCGGAGATTCTGAAAGAATCCAATCTGAGGACTGGATTCTTACCCAGGTTTTTTTCTTTGATCTATTGTTTTCAATTGTGGTGCGGAGGGACGTTTGATGTTGATTTCACAGACTGTAGCAAGGGTGGAAAGGTTTACTAAATTGAATCATGGTCTTTTCTGTATTTCCCAAGGTCCGAATTTACAAAGTCGCATAATATGCTCTTCAGTAGATATGTAAATTGGGGATAAATCACACTAACACCTGGGCAGTAACTTGGGAAAATACGCAAACCCCGGTAAGCCTCAACACCGTACGCCGCATAATGCAAATATGAAAAACGGTGGCAGCGGATCAGAAAAGCAAGTCTATCGAAAAACGGGCAAAAGGTACATATGTCGAGGCGGGAAAATTCAAAAATGTGCAGAGTCGATATCCTTTCTTGCGCAGAAAGGGTTGGAAGGAGATCGACAGGGCGAATGGTGAGAGATAAATCGGGGCGAAGCTGCGCGTAGGGGTGGATAAACAGTGAGTACTTGTCAGCGCCGCCCCGATCATACAGAGTCGTATTGAAGGAGTCCGTCAGGGAGGCCTCAGTCGAGTTATCAGTACGTTGATGAGTGAAGTGGTGCAAACATATTAAGCCTGGGCGACAGGCCATCCATCCACATATTTGAGAGGGTTAAAACCAAGGAGAGCATCCTGCAGGTATGTGTTAGCTTCGACCTTAATGACGTCCATGCAAGTGGTCCGAAGGGGAATCAAGGAGGATCGACAGGGGTGCAAGAACCGCGACAAACGCGGTCCCACAAGCCTGCCGAAGGTGAGATCTTACCGGGAAGTCAATTCCAATCGTCTTATTCACTGTGAAGAGGTCAGTATGGGGGAATTTCACAGGCGGAAGATGTGTCAACTCACAGTAGTGGTAGTAAAGAATGTCAGTGTCACCATCTCGGAGAACACCCTGCCCACCTGGGGCATATGTATCTCCATTCGAGCCGTAGACAAGTTCACCACCGCCCTTGACTAGATCCGTACCGGACCTGTCGGTGAATGGACCGCGGGGGCTGTGGGAGCGTCCAACACGGATAGAATACCTGGATTGCGTCAGTTTCAATATCCAACATAGCGGGATCAACAATACATACTCTTGTCCAGCGGGCGGCAGGTTATCCGCCTTCAGGCCGCAGCAGAACCCGTGGCTGTACCAGAGATAATACCATCCGTCATTGTACGAAATGAAAGCACCCTCGATAGCATGGGGGCCGGTCGGGTCACCGCAGATAGTGTTCGCCATGCGATTCGGCATGCCGAGAGACTTCGGCTCCCACGCCAGCTGGCGGGCATCGGGCTCCGTGGTGCTGGCAGGGGATATCAGGTCATCACCAAGGGGGATTTGGAAGATCCCATTCCAATAACTTCCCCAAGTCAAATAAGCTTGACCATCGGGTGTTATCAATGTGCTAGGATCAATGGCATTCGATACGGTGTAGGGATGGATATCCGATCCCTTGCCAGTCCCCGTTTCAATGATGGCGCCGTGGTCGAACCAGTTCCCGGGACCCGGTGAGCTGGATGTAGCCACGCCGACAGCACTATCGCGACATCCAGCTTTGCTCACACTGTAGTAGCAGTAATACGTGCCATCCACGGCTATGACGGTGGGTGCCCAAGGTGCGACACGGTCACCTTTGGGAATCACACTGTTGTCGTCCAGAACATTGCCGACGAATTTCCATGGGCCGGCCATACTGGGTGCCGTGTGGATAAGCATGTGCTCACCGACATTGTATAGATAGTACTCATCACCCACACGGAGAATGGTAGGGTCATGAGTATTTTGATGTGTCTGACGAGTGGGAGGGAAACGGCTAGATTCTTGATCGTTTCCAACGTCTTGCAACTTGCGGCCAGTAGCGAAGTTCTGGTCTCTTTGTGAGATGCTCAGACTAAGGCCGAGAGAGCAGAAGCCTGCTAGAGTGAGTAGGGAAAGCATCTTGATCCAGCGTCGGGGTATTCGTTGATGCCACAGATGCCGCCAAGACCACCGTTGAAAATAGTCGGGACCAGCAGGCGGCATTGCCGGCCTTGATAAGTGACCGGTCCTGGCGATCATCCTGGTGAGGGATCCAGGCGCTCATCGTTTTCGGTCGACGCACGGCGTTGCCACCCTGGTAGGGTGGATTTGGCGATGCGGGACACACCGAGGGGTGGAGAGGGGGTAGACAAGGATTCGTCAAGGTCTACTGGCTGCCCCCGATCCACCGAAGAGCATGCCTGCGCGACGTGGAATGCTTCCAGAGGACGGATGACTGCAGTATGCACCGATGGGTTGTCCCCTTGGCGTACCTCAACGCGGAAGAGCTCGACGAATGTATCTACCGCATGTCGAGTGTACAGACTGGGCAAATCGACGCTCAGACAGTCGCACCAATTGACAGGGGCCGTTCCGATTAGACACAAAGCAAGGGATGTCAAGTTGGGCGAGTGAAAGTGAGTCCGAAGGTCGGTTGCAGTTCCTTGTCGATCATCAACACGGGCCAATTGGATTTGGGGAATGTGAAGCTATGCCCTTCTCGTCTTAACTCAGGACCCGCGAACGATCGCTGCCCTCAGCTAAGAGGCTCTGATCTTCCAGGTGTTCGAGATGAAGCTGGCCCGAACACGGGTAAGACAGATTGCCCTCGTATCCCAAGGCTGTGTGCATACGCTTACGGGTCGATTTCGTACACAACCACCCTAGACTCGGAGTGTTTTGATTCTGCACATTGGACTACAGCGTAAAAGTAAACGAAAAGCGCCCCCCTAAAAAAACGCCGAGATACCTGGGACTCTCTAGCGAGCCACGATCTTGTCCACCTCATCCTTGGCTTCAGTCCATGTCTCCAGATTCTTCCGTGCCCAATCTAAGTGGCAGCGAGCGTATGCGACCTGGTTCTCATTAGTCATGACACTCAGGAAAGGAGGGCTGTGCATACCATGTATCGCCGAAGATCTGCCTCTTTGTCCTTCTGGAAGCGTTTGAGATCTTGAAGCACACCTGCGCTAGCGTCCTTGACGTCCTTTTCAGAGACCTCCAGGGCTTGCTCCAACTAAACAACCTGATTAGTCTGGGGGACCCCCACAACTCCACAATCCACATACCTGAACCAGACTTTCCTTTGTCTTTCCAATCTGGTCACGACGTGTGCGTTCTGGATCAACATCTGCGAAACCATGGATGGCATGACTGATGCGACCGAATATTTTGTTCGCCACAAAAGTCCCACTTGACGTTTTGCGGTGAGCGGGAGACGCCGATGCTGACGGGTCAGGTCTCCTGGGTCCTCCAATCTGCGATGGAGGCGGAGAGTTGTATGAATCATCGTGGGTGGGTGGGAATTCCGAATCTGCTGCGATGTTGGGGCCAGCCCCTTCACTGCTAACGGCAGATGATGTCGACAGTGAACGAGGCTTTGTACCCCCCGACTGAGGGCCTGTGCGGTTGAGATACTGTTCAATCCGCCTAGCCTCAAGCTCACTGCGCTCGAGAGAGTCCAGTAACGTCTTCTTTTTAGACAACTCATCCCGGGTCATCTCCTGCTGGACCCGCTTGAGAACTCGGTATCGTAAAACTCCGCGGACCACACTGGCAAATTGTGCACTCTCACGCATGGGCTCGGCAAAGCTTGCGCTTAGAGCTGAAGAAAGCTCCTCGGTCTCAATGTAAGAGGTATCGGCAGCCTGTCCGATCCGCTCAATGGCAGCCGCCACCGTAGGAGACTGTTCAGAAAGAGAAAATCCGTTGTAGCGCGCGCCCAATTCCATAAGATCGGCTGACAGGGAAGACAAATGAGATAGTGTTCGCCGATTGACCTTTTCGATGTTTCCTTGCAGCAGCAATTCCAGCTCTCGCGTAGAGGCTTCGAAGTTAATGAAATAGGGATCCAGCTCTTGCTCGCTGAGCTTACGCGACTCAGGCGGGAAACGTCCCAGAATCTCCGGGCCAGGGAATGACTGCGGCTCAGCTTCGGTGGGCGAGATTGGAGACGCTGCACTCCCGGATAGTGTAGTTCCCGCCCCGCTCGGCTTCAACTTAGCGGAAGCTGAGGGAATGGGGAGCCAGCCATGGCCAGGTGTTGGGTTTGCAGGGTCAAGAGGAGGTGCTTTCAGGTTATTCTTGGGGACCGAGGATGCCGGATGCGAGCTCAAAACTTCACTCTAAGCGGTTGTCAGCGACTTCGAAAACCGGGCTTATCGGGGTTCGACTTACCCAGCTAACGTTCGGATCGAGGAACCTCCACCACACTCCATCTTCACGAACTTCCTTCATGCGCCTGCAGCGATTCAAGAATACACCCAGCATCCGTTTCCGGAGATCGATAATAGCTGTATCTTCTTTAGCCTTGGTGGGCTTAGCCGCGTAGTCCGCCATGCTGTGCTTCTCGGGAATTGGCGGAATGATGAGGGTAGGGTGTAAATTGACGAGCGTCTGTCGCAAAGATGCGAATTCGGAGTATCGGCGGCGCACTTCCAAGTCCTATCTTTGCTCAGCACTGTGGCCTTGTATGCCCGGAGTTATCATCATACCGCAGTCCGGATAGTGTAAACGATGAAACCTCCACCACCTTCATGGTTCTTGCCTGCATCGGTTATCAATATCGGCATCTCTGGGTTCTCGTATAGAAGCTGTTCAATTCGGCTATCGTAGACACTTTTCCGCGGGTATTGTTGGCTTGCAGCGCCATATTCGGCCTCATCTTCGGGGTCACTCAGGTCGTCGGGGTTGGTGATGTAATCAGGAGGCTCGCTGCTTGACCCACGACTGGAAGGGGGCGTTGATTCCTGTCCATAAAGCTCTGCCCGGGGTTAGAGACAGGGTCAGAGGCAGACACATTAGGAACCGGGGAACATACGAGGGGAAAGTGCGGCTGAATGTAGGGAGTCAGATAGGTGAGACTGATGCTGATCAAAGGCCCCGTAGGGGTTGTTGTCTTCGTCGTTCCACATGGTGAGGGTATGAAGGCTTGACTAGGTCGACCAACGCCGTAAACTAGGTTGGAGAAGCTGTGCCTGGGGATCTGCGGGGGGGAAGTCGCGGTCCACGGGTGTGGCTGGTGCCGGGCGGTGTTGTCGATTACGTCATGAATGAGGCTTAACCTGCGAACTATAGCCCTGGAGACAAACGTGAAAGTCGATTGGAATTGGACAAGTTTGTGTTCATGCACTGTCTCGAAAGTCAGATCATTGATTTCTGAAAAGTGTAATTATACTTGGGCTTTGATATGACCTCGGCGTTTTAGAGCGTCACTGTCCATGGGCATGCAGATCACAGCATCTAGGCTGTCACAGCCATGACTTCCAAGGTTCCTTCGCCAATGAATTTCACTGACAAGTCTCACCTAGAAGGATTTCATGCGTACCTAGGTATCTTCTGTGTTCTCCATTCACTCCGGATTTTGCTCACATACATGGACGGCAAAAGAACAAAAATGTTAACAATAATATGTTGGAATTGGTTCAAAGTCCTGTGTTTCAGTCATAAACTATCAATACAAAGTCCGGAGGTCTCACCACGCCGAGCAAAAAAGATAGCTATCTGAGAAAGCCCGATGTTCATAGCCCCTATGTCATCCATGCGCCATTCCGAATGTCAAATGAGACTCGTCAAACCACCAATCCATAACCTAGTATCTCACGCTGTGCTCATGTTTACCAGAGCACTCAATGTACTTTGAAAACATCCCCTCCACATATGTCAATAGCAGCATCTTCATGAATCGATGCTGGTTGACTGCAGTTCATGGCTCTTCTTCGTCGCTCAAGGTTCCATTCATGCCTGCAGAGGAAGACGCTTCAGAAGGCTTGTCATTCCTAGCAGCCCTCATCCGCTCAATGTTCTGCATAGCCGCAAATTCTGGATCCATGCCCCCAAAAGAGCTTTGTGAGCGTGGCAGAGGTGGTCGTCTTCGGACAGATGGAGACTGAGGCGAGTGTGGCAGAGACCGTGACGGGATATAGAGATCAGGTTCATCAGGGAGGCTAAGCGCAGCAGGAACATATCCATCGAAGCCATATCCGTACCTGCCCATCCAGGGGGGAGTGTAGGAGGGTTGCGAGCTGGCAAAAGAGGCATCATTTGGGTCATATCCACCCGGACCGGGGGGACGTCGCAACGGGTGAGGGATGTCGATCACAGCGTGGCGGCGTTCACGCAGACTGAGTGGAATTCCAGCTATGACAGAACCAGCGGTAGATGTTATGGCAACAGAATCGGTATCGATGGTCTGAACGTCGAGTTCAGATGCGTGTTCTCTGTACAACCCGTCACTGTCAGGGCCCGCGGTCAAGTTGGGGGATCCATTCGACATGACTGCCGATTGATGGGTGCTTGTGCGGCGAAGTGTAGTGCTGGCAGTAGCGGTGGTTTGAGTAGATTGCAAGCTGGGACCAATATCCAAGACACTGATCTCACTCTCACTGAGGTTGACAGATCTAGTTCGGACTTCAGCCTGGACACCGTTGGGGAGCTCTTGGTTGGGAGGAAGGCCATCAGAGACTTGGTTCCTATCGCCATCTGGCATAGGCACCTGTGGACGCCGTGATGGATGGGCCATGGCGCGAGATATCTTGAGTCGCAAGACCTCTAGTCTGAGTAGGGTGAGTTGTTGGTTGTCGTCTTGGAACTCCAAGCTTCGTGTGGGGGATTGAGAGTTGAGATGGCGAAGGAGTCTTTCAGCGGTCTTGGGGGGGATGCCGATGGCATGTGAGGTCCTTCTGACACTCACGTCGAATTGGGTCCGTAAACGATTCGAGGAAGGTGCGCGTGGCATTGTGACGAATGGGGGTGCTAAGGCGGGTGATCTGCGCCGCAGTGGAGATGGGAAGCGCAGAGTGACAGTTTCCACACAAAAGGAACTGGAACCACGCACTCAGCCCTACATCGCACCTGTCGTTGCGAGTGGTGCTACGAAAGGTGCCTCAAATGAATGGTCTTGACTCACTACAGCCACTAGAAGACATTACGACCAAGTACAACTATTATCAGATGCAATAGGAACCTCGAAGACTACCAGAAACAAGTGAAAGATAAGTGAGTGTGTACTCCTGAGTGATGGGTTCGTGCTAACTCGCAAACAAACCACTCTGATAGACCTTACACTGGAGTCTACAGTGTAGCAAGTTCTCTAATACAACAACCTTGGAAGGAATATGAATTGTTCTACGGATCAAATTCTCATACAAGGAATACTAGGAATGAATTGTTCTACAGATGAGGCACAAGGCTGTAAATTCATTGATGCGTTCAATCACATAAACCCCTGACAGCAAGAGGTGGACGCCTTAAGATACATCGTAGTATGAAAAGACCAGGTCATTTCCATAGGGGAATCGTGAAAATCTCGTCAGAAACCGAATAAGGCCCAGATGCGGAAAGAAAGCATTCTCTTTTTCTTTTGTATGTGCCGACCATCCCAGTGGAAAACGCCGGATAAACCATGTCTTTGCCCGAAGTTCGTTGCTTTTCTTATGTTGCGCATGTTGTTGTTGTTTTTTTTTTTTTCTGTGTTGTTTTTATTTTTGATATTGTGTTTTGGTCTTTTTCCATGTCTCGTCGTTCGATACATGACTTGGCATTTTGTCTTGAGTGCCCGAATCGCTGGAAACTCAATCCGAGGCCATCTTGTCCTCGTCGCCGACTCGTAGCTCCACAACGGGTAGCTCATCGTCAGAGTCGTCATCCATGAGGTGGGAGACATCTTCGAACGATGCACGATCCGGGTGGACAGAGTGAGAATCTTCTAACTCGATCATGCGGGTATCCGGGTCCAGGTCATCGTCACCAACGGCCAGATTGCTGTCGATCTCGTCATCGTCGTCAAAGAGGCCGCTGTCATCAAGTGGCGCATTACCAGGAGTTATCTGTGAGATAGCGTGAGCGCCGGTCAAGTTGCCGAAAGACCAAGAGGGTTCCTGGGAGAAATCGAGGGGATCGGATGCCTGTCCGAGGGCCTCGAGGCCGTTGTTGGTGAGTCTCATACCTTGGCCGTCATCAGAGTCCGCGTCGCTGTCGTCGGTGGTGGAATATTCCTCACTCGCCCCCGGGTTCTCAACTGGCGAACCATTGCCCGCTCGGGGAGCTGCTCCGGCTCCGACCAAGGCGCTCGACGACCCATTGCGGGAAGAGTCGCCAAGACGCTGGCCTTCCCCCGTAGGTGACTGGGTGGGAGAGGATGCGCCGGATTCACTACCAGGGGGGTTCTTGTAGGCTTCGACCAACTCTTGCAGCTCCTTGTTGCCCAGGGGACGTTCGGAGCGGCGGCGGTAGAAGAGAAGGTAAGCGCTGGATGCGATCATAGTTTGCGGGTTGGTCACAAGGCGCGCGCTCGAGTCTGTATAAACGAGTTAGTTATATGCAATTCATCCGAAAGATAAATCAACTGAGGGGAACTGACCATTGCAGTGGTACCAATCACCAGACATGAAGTCCTTGATGTAAGCAGTGTAGTGACCGCCACCCATGGAGCCCATGTGGTTATCAATGGCGACCAAATCATACTCCAAGCTCTTTCCATCGCTAGGTCCTTGGACTCGGCCGGTCAAGTCAAGACCTTCCAGGGGGAAGTTAACGACAGTGTTGATCTTGCTGTGATGGCGACGTAGTTGGCCAAATCGCTTGAGCTGAACGACCATGACATCAGGAGCTCTCCACAAGTCGAACTTCTTGGTAGCTTGGACGTGATCCTTGCACCCGGGGCAATACCAGGTGTCCCCACGAGACAAGACTTCCGATTTGCTGAAGATGTCCAGGCATTCGTCGAGAGTCACAGAGGAGGATTTCTTGAGTGAGGATCGGCGTTGCGAAATGTGATCATAGACGTTCTTGGGGCTGATGTAGGTAGGCACACCACGACCTTCTTCAGAATCACGTTGTCTTCCGCCAAAGAGGGAGTCATGGCCCTCTGGGCTCCAGTCAAGGACAAGGGCATCACCCTGGCGAAGAAGTTGCGTGGCGTGGCTGGGCTCCTCGTCTGAGCCATCCGTGTCAGAGTACCCGTCACTGTTGTCTGCGGAAGCACGCGACGCGGAATCAGAGTTCTAGAACAGTCAGCAGATGATCCTGAGAAAATGTTGGATTGGAAAATTTACCTTGCGCGAGGATTGAGGGGAAGCAATGCGGGAAGAAAGCAATGGGTAGTCTTTAGCACCGACGTTACGGCCATCGGGTAAACCATTCTTGCTGCTGAGAACCTTGGCATCGAAAAGAGCCAACAGGTGCGCGGGAATCTTGCCGGTCAAGGGATTCTTAGGGGTCTTAGTAGATTCCGAGTCAGAACCCGACATCTCCGTGTCTTCAGCAGGCTTGGCTGCTTGGGCATCGTGCATCGAAATATCCACAATGCTGTCTTCGCCATCAACAGAGGATGTCTTGACCCTGGAATCGGCCGACTGTGCGTCATCCTCATTGGTGACCACAGTATCCGAGTCGTCGGCGGCGTGGTCATCCGATCCAGACTTCTCTGGGGTGAGAATATCGCGTGTCGTCATGTTGTTGGAAAGCTTGAGAAGCTTGCGGTAAACAGCTTCGAGATCCTCTGCTTCATCGTGGGATAGACGAATCACTGACGGAATTCCAAAGAGAGCTGACGAGGTCGCCTTCTTGCGCGGGCCGGTTCTGCGGTGGAAGACAGGGACGACAACATCATCCTCATTGGACTCCGAGACAGGTCCCAAGTCATAGAACACGAGAACGTCATGGGGGCCTGTTTCGAGACTCTCAAAGGAGCTGTCATCGTGAAGGAAATATTTCCAGAACGCATTGCTGTGGGTCTCCGCGGCAAAGATGCGAGCTCCATCGACGCCCATCTGTTCCCCGACGAAATTCTTCCAGGTCTTCAAGCTGTCCGAAGCGTCAAGTTGAACATTGAGGGAAACAGGCGGGCCCTGCTGGGGCACAAATGTGATTTTGCGGGACATGGGCTGAGGACCAGGTGGAATGGGCAGGGTCAGAGTGCTGAATGGATCCATGATGATACTCGTCTTGTGGCAATCGGGGCAGATTAGAGTCGACTTGTACATGCCAGAAAACAGGTCAGTGATAACAGAGGCATTGCGTGACTCGTAAAGATCCCAGCATGTCTTGCCGAACTCCTCCAGAGCCTTGCGATCGTGGATCATCTCATCCGTAGAGTCAGGGATGGTAGTGTAAGGCTTTTGGCCAATGCGACTCAAATCCTCAGACAGAGCATCCAGAAGGAACATCACAAACTCTTGACTGTCATGCTGATCATAACCGGCGAACTCTGAGCGCTGTTTACCAGCAGAGCGGCGGAACTTTCCGGGGTTAGTGTAGTTCGTGGGGGCATCTGGGTTGTAAAGATCCGCGAGCAGGCCAGCCCAATTCTTAGCAACGTCACCGCCACAGCCGAGCTTGTTGCTAGGGTTCAATTCAGACTTGAACTTGCCACCTGCATTTTCGATTAGCGCCCAAGACTTCTAATGTCCGAGGGATGACGGATAGACCTACTCAGGAAGAACAAGGTGAGTTCCTCAATGCTTCGCACACACTGGATCGCAGAGTTCATGTAACAAGTGTTGCCAAGGTTGTCCAACCCCAGAACTCTCGGTCGTCGACCCTTTCGACCGCGAGCAAACATGTTCTTCGGGGTGACACATCCAACGGGTGTAGACCGACCGCTCGAGAGAGGGCTTTTGGTGGCGAGGGTGAGAGCGCTAGGCTTGTTGTCAAGCTTGAGTTCCACGGGGATACCCAGACGCTTTAAGGTTTTGGCAGAAGCCTCGGAGACCCATTCTCCACCCTTGGACCCGCCAACCTGTTCTTCCAGAACGACACGATCCGCGGAGCCCAGACCTGCAATGTCCAATGACATGCGACCATTGTATTTGGGATTGTTGGTTTCGTCTTTGACGTGCTCGAGCAGCACACGGTGGGTGCCCTCCGACAGTCCGAGGAAAGCGTTCAGATCGAGGAGCAGCTTATCTGCGGTGCTGGGGATGAGAGCCGATGGAGGAGGAGCTGGGGATGCGGTACGGGAGGTAGCGGGGGTTACCGCAGCCGATGTGGTTGTGCTGTGAGGAAGCTTGACGATCTTCCAAACTCGGACCTTGGTGGACATGTCGATGCCCGCCTTTTCCTTGGCCTCCTTCAGCCATTTCTGGAAACTGGTTTGGCGACTGGTCAATGTTTTCGCCGAAGGGAGGTCTTTTTCCTTCAATGTGGTCGGAGTGGTGCCCGCAGCCGGGTTGGTCAGTTTGATGATGGACAGGATGGGCGGATAAGGCTCGTATTCGATTTTGGCGGTATCGCCAGGTTGGCTGACATTGTGGGCGTAGCGGACAATTATTGGCGATAGCTCGGCCAAGCCGTACCACTTCTTAATCAGATCCCAGCCTTGCTGTGGCACAATCACAAAGTCTACAGTCTCGTGTAAGCCGGGGCGCATAGATACAAAGACCTCCCCGGCCTCATCCTTGAAACCGGCGGCGGCCGGGTCGGTATCGAGCACGAGATCGACGTTGTCAACAGGTCCGATGTTGTTGTCCTCTGAGTCGTTTGTGTGGTCCGCATGAGAGGTCGAGCGTGCGAGCACCTTTTTGAGCCAAGTCATCGAGACCACGTACCCCTTCTGTCCGTCCTTCTTCGGTTCGGCCATCAGCTCGTTCACCTCCGCCACTTGCTCATCGATCGAGGGCGAGGCATCGGCATTCTGTGTCTCCGAGTCCGATTGCTCGCGGGGGGAAGAGGAATCGGTCTTATTGCCGGAGCTCGAAGGAGTCGGATAGGTGGATTCATTGGACGCAGCGTTTCCCGTGCGCGCGTTCCCAGTAACGGTGCTCACGCCTCCTTCCGGGTCAGAGTCCGTGATCTCCGAAGCCGAGCGCTTCTCGCCGGGAGATGGGGATCGGCCATCGCTGGTTGTGGGAGGGGTACCCTCTCGAGTATCGGAGGGCATATCGGAATGCTCACTGGATAGAGTGAGTCCAGCGGTCGCGGTCGCGGGAGTTAGCGAGCGGCCACCAGGCTGTGGCTGGAACTGCAGATGGGCGGGCACGTAACGAGGCGGTGACAGTGAGGAGCTCTTATAGCGAGAGGTAGATGCGTGGCGAGAGCGGGATGGAGGAACGGAGCGGCCGTGACGTCGAGCCCGAGGGCCTAGACTGGGACGAGGCTCGGGGGAAACTTTTCGGCGCTTTGGAGAAGACGTTGTGACGGTGAGCTGCGCACCTCGTGTCGCAGCTCGGGGCAACCAGGGGGAAACAAAGGGAATTAGGATTAAAACAGCCTGGAAGAGCCGCGTAAATCAAATTTGACGGGCAGAAAAATGAGGTTTAGTCAGGATTTTTTTTTCGCGCGGAGCGGAAACTAAACCCTAACTGCGCACGAACAGATATTGAGACACAGATCGAATAAGTGAGAAAGAAACATTCAGCTGAGGATGCTCTCTGTTATTTGTAGTCCGAAGTGATCAAGGGCTAGGGTTGGGATGATAATCGCAAGTAGTTCATTACGCTCTCAATGGGATGGCATTGAATATACAATGGCGGGGATGAATGTCTCAATAGAAAATCAATTCAAAGTGAACCTTGAATGAGGGACGCGGTATCTTCAATAGGGGACTTCGCTAGTTCACAATGCGATCAATACGTTCCATTACAATGTATTGTACAATCTTGTTGAGAAGCGCCGCACAACTTCCAAGACTTGACTCCTTGGACAGGATGCTCAAGTATGCAATGTTGACAGGGCCTATGCGGGATTATGAGTGTCAAAATGTACCTAGGTAGAGAGAAATGGACTCTAGTGGGGAAATGCATCCTGATAATGCAGATAGATCTATTCATTCATCCCGAGGTCCTGGGACCGGATGGCTGGTCCATGGCCGAACTTAGGTACAGGCCAGAAGCCCAGTCTCACTCACGGATAGTGTCTTCAAATTTGTTATCCGGCTCATCACCATCATCAAGATACCCATAGTCGGTACCCTCATCATCGCTCTCGATTTCAAGGCCGTCGCCGGGGATCTCGGTGATCTCACGAGGCTCAACCTTCACGGTTTCAAGAACTGGCTCTTCTAACCATGGGAGGAGAATAATAACCATATTCATCTTCCTCGTGGCTTAGCTTCCTTTTCTTCGCGGGAGGTGAAACAGTAGGCTCGGAGATGAGCACGCATTCTATTCCAGCAAAGGCGCATGTCTCGCATGGGAAAGAGATTTGATCGGCGTCGGTTGCAAACGAACAATCTGTACCGAGATCCTGACAGGAGATGCATTTCCTCTTTCTTGGCTTTGAGATAGTTCGAGGATCGGTTTTTTTGACCGCATTGGAATTGTGTTCTTTCGAGGCACCTTGCTCTCCGTCGTGGTTGGATCTGGTCATCGTCATGTATTGTTCGTTGGTAAACTCGCCATCATTTGGCTCGAGAGTTTCTGACAGGTAACCATCAAGAAGCACAAAACCATCATCTTCGTTTGATTCTGATATATGGTCCGAGTTGCTCTTTACCCCGTCGGAATTGCCCTCCGCGGAATGCTCTATTTTCAAGTCATTTGAAACGGGTTGGGCTTGATTTTTATCCCCGTCGTCCCCAGTGTTGCCATCAATTTCATGCCCATATGGTGCGCGCGGATGGTGCCGTTGCAGGAAGTTGTAAATTCGTTGCTCGATGCCCGGGAAAAGCGCCTGGGCTCTCTCCAGTCTGTCTGAAGTATATGCCATATTGGAATCTTTCTGTAGAGCATATCTAATCAGCATTGATGCCCTTGAGCTCTACGCTGTGGAGACTTACGGGATTGGATTCAATAGTGAGCGAAGGATGCTCAGGTGAGAGAGATCAAGAACACAAGGAAGGTCATGGGGTGAAATAGAAGAAGTGCAGAGTTACGACCAGAGGTAGGTGCTGGAAGAAAATAGAGTCAGATCCGTAGATGCAACAAAACCATCAATGGATCAATAGAAGAAGACCTACTCTTAGCCTCGGGAGCTCAATCTAAGCGTCACTTCCATACAATCAACTCTAGGGCTGGCCTTACCTATTGATTGAGTCTAAACTGAGTGAACACTGGGCATTCATATCAATTGTCATTCACTTGACACTCGAGGTCACCTTAGTAGATGCATGCGGTGACTTGACGTGTATACATCAGATGAATGAATTCCTCATTCTTTCTTCAGCGCCAGCGGGGCAATTGGACAGCAATGTGACTCTCCTTGAAATTCCCCAGAGGCAGATGTGATGTCTCCGCCCATTAGATTGGGATCTCATTGCCGCGTTCAAATAGGTCAAACCCGGATCTGGACGAGGACCTTGAATTGTTCTATTTCCACGAGACCTTTAAGCCTAGGAGGCTAGCTTAGAAGTTGCGGCTCTGGAGCTTTCCAAGGTTGGAATTAACATCTGGTATTGAGATCAACATCAAGCTATCATTGTCAAACATTGGAGTCAGTGCTTCCAAGGCCATTGATATCGTGTAATATCACAATTTAAAATATGTTTACACTTAATCCGATACGTGTAACAAAGACAACCCTAAAACAAACAGCATACCCTCCCTCAGGGCTCAAGCCCAGCTTGATCCGTTCTGCAAATTACCACTGGAAGCCCTCCTTAGCCTTAGAATTATCTTCAAGTTCACGGTCCGGCGATGCGTTTTGACCCCATCCGCGGGAGCTCTCCCACTGATCATTGCGAGGTGAACTGTGGCGATTGCTTCCTTTCTGCCTGTGATGGACATTGCCTTCTCGACTCCATGAGCGCTTTTTCTCGGAACGATTCCACCCGTCGCCCGACCAGTTGTTGTCCTTCTGAGAGTTCTTTCCCCATCCTTCAGTGTTGTCATGGGGGCTTTGACTCCAGCGAGTGCGAGACCGGGCATGCCTTGACCCGCCCTCTGGTGACCCATGTTGGCTCCTGTTCCAGCCCCTGGTATCCTTTTGCTGATTGTCGTCATCTCCCCAGGTATTGTGATCCTGCTCGTTGTCATGATTGCCCCACGAGCTCTTTCGGTTTGGGCTATTGTGGCCACGGTCTTGGGATCGGTTTCGCGATCCTCGCCTTGGAGACCTGTTCCAACTGCTGTTTCGTTTGCTGTGGGTGCTCTGATGACGGTCGCTGTGCCCCCATGTATCATCTTGGGCGCCATCTCCGTTGTTGTGATTGTCTCTTGACCCTTTTCCCTCTGAGCCCCAGCCAGTCTGGCCCCAACCATCCGCTTTGTTATTGTCACTGCCCCAGCCTCCATCCTTGGCTCCAGAAGCTTCTGGCTCGTCATCCTGATCCTTCTTCTCTTCGTTGTCCGCATTTTCAAAGAGATCACCGAAGTTTCCCCAGCCATCATCGTCTCCTTTCTCATTCTTTTGAGCATTATCTGACGTAGTGTCTGGCCAGCCGTAGTCCTTATTGTCCTGTTCCTTTTCTCGGGGAGACCCTTTAGCATCTTCCTTTTGACCTTTATTTTTCTTGAACCGCTGGTTGCGAGAACCCGTATTTTGATTTTGATTCTTCTGATTCTTCTGATTCTGTTTTTTCCGGGTATCCTTCTGTTGCGTTGATCCTTGCTGCTCCCTTTTCTGCCGGTTTTGCTCAGCTCGCTGTTTCTTTTGTTGCCGTTTAGATTGAGGGTTGGGTTGCTGGTTCTGTGACCGAGGGCTTGTTCGAGGACTATTTGTTTGAACTGCCCTCCTTTCTTCGATATTATGGTTAGAGTCTCGTCCTTCATGGCATACAACTAGACTTGTAGTAGTAGACTTACTGTGAAAGAGGGATGTCCTGTGTTTCCATGCGAGGCTTTGGACGGACCCAACCACGTTCTGTGAAATGGGGCCCCATGGTTGCAGATGTGCCCTCGCCGTTCGCGTGACGCCAGTTAGCCTGCGTGCGGTCTTGGGCCCTTCGGTGGAAGATTTGACCCTGCCGGTGCTGGCGGTTCACATGCGATCGATACCAAACATAAATTATCCACCCAGCGGCTGGAGTAAGCAGTCCCACCACGAGCAGTACTGCGACGAGGATGTTGTCCTTCATAATGCTCGAATAAAGATGCTGTATCGATGTGATGGCTCGGTACCCTTCCTCGCAGAGTGGTGGATGAGAAGCACGAGGTTACCCGTAAACCTGGGCGAATGGGACTAGGAGAGGAGGATGTGAAAATGATTTGGAGATGCATGAGACTGCGGAGCATCAGAAGCCCTGGAGAGCTTGGAGCGAGAGGTGAAGGAAGGTCAAGTTCGGAAGGGAAAAAGGTCGGAAAGTAGGAAAGGGAAAGAGCAAACAACAATGGCTCAATTCGGATTTTGTATCTAACGTCTATTCATTCAACTTCATTCTTTTATTTACTCGAGTACACCAGAAAGCACAGCCAGCAGATGCCCGTGCAGTGATACCTCCCGGCCTAGTTCCAGCAAGCGCGCGATGGATTCTCGAGACTCGTCTGGTTTCAAAGCCGATGCAATGGCAATGACACGGAATCCCAAATTGAAGATCTCCGGCTTGGAAGCCCAACCCAGAAGACCGTCCGGCTCCGCGCCAGGGCCGACAAGAGATGTCAGATAGGACAACCCTTGAGTGGCCCAGGTGGACACTTCATGCACAGGGGAGTCTGTGTAGGCTGACTGCTCTAATTGCACCAGGGCTCGAGACCAGACCTGAACCTCACGAGCATCATCGATGAACAAATTCTGCTTCTCCTCCTCAAAGAGCACGGTGCTGTCCTGTCGATACTCGGCAATCAAGTCGGACACGGGAACAAGGCGCTTGGTTTCGCTTGATCCACTGATTCTTGGTTCTTGGCCAGTCAAGTATAGTAGAACTCGTCTACCAAGAATTGGCGATGTCGTATAATTACGGATGATGAATTCTGCCAGGAGAGCACTGGCATTCAAGGGCGCCAGAGTAACATCGGTATCAGGGGAGATCGAGGAGTGTGACAATAGCCAAGAGGCTGTTGATGCTGCGGCATCGCGAATCTCATCGTCGTCATCGTTGAGCAAATCATACAGTGTCAAGTAGACATCCAACAGGACAGCGTCGGTGCGAGGTTGACTCCTAGCCGGTCGAATAGCCCGTGAGAAGCTGTTCACAGATGTGACTGCAGCAAAACGAGTAGTAAATTCCTAAAAGAAACTCATTAGCTCAAAACCCCCCTCAATGAAGGTTCTCCTGTATCCACTTACTGTTTCTTCACTTAGGGCTGAGCGAAGCTTGATCGTCAAATTCTGCACATCGGCCTCGAAAGAGGATGGTGCATGTTGAGGGTTCAAAGTTGTGCGAATCGCCAGTAAGCAGCCACGAAGGCGAAGCTCGGCGTCGGTCGCCTCTCGATTCCAGGTCTCGATTTCAGTCTCGGGTCTGAAAGCATCCAAGATAGCCTCCCAGGGAAGATCTATGGTTGCCAAGGTATCAGGTTGAGACGACAACAGATTCTCCAGGATTGAGGCTAGGTTTGACGCAGCCATTGTCTTGACGTCTGGTGCTCCCGATCCCAATACCACTGAAGAGTAGAGCTCGTACAATGGTTTTCTATATCTTTCATCATCGCCAATGGTTTCATGAAGCTGCTCTGAGATCCAGCGAGCGACATCAGGGTCAAACTGGGAGACACCTTGGTAGAAAGCTGGGAGTTGCTCCCATTCCTTCGAGGCAAGCATTTTCATCACACTGCACCAAGCCAGCGCTCTTCTAAGTAGAGCGGATGCTCGAGTGACGCTTGAGAGATTCCAGCCAGTGTAGGAGGTGCCAAATACAAAGCCCAAGACTTCATTTAAGTCATGGACTTCGAACATCTCGCTGATGAAAGAAGTAATTTTTTCTGTAACATTATGAGTCTCGTATAGAAGAAAAATGAATGCAAACTTACCTTCACCATGCGCTTGAATAGCTCGTTCTAGCGTGCCGTTGAGGATTTCAACAAGCTCAGTTGCAACTGTGGGCGATTTCCCAGCACTGAAGAGCACTCCCAACAAGGAACGAAGAGTCTCGAAGAGACCGTCGAGATTTCCTGCTACTCTGTTAGAATTGACTCGTGAAAAGGATTTTGACTTCTACTCACCCATCCAGAAGTCATCGGTCGTCGCTGCATAGCGACGAAGAGCATACCGCACAGTCAAAGCTACACCATGGATGTAGTTCTCAGTGGCAACTTCCGGAAGAACCGCTAGGCGACGGAGATCTTCTGGGATAGAGTGGCGAGTGAGCAACGACGCATATACACGGGCTGCATGTTCTCTGACACCCCAAACGGGGCTGCTCAAGTGTGGCAAGACCAGTCCACGAAGCATCTCATCGGTAGAATCATCCAGGCTGGGAACTTTATCGCCAACCAACTCTAAGGCAGGGAACACTCGTTCGGTGATGATATCAGTGCCCTCAGCTGCCTCGCCTTGTGTCGTTGTCAAAAGACCAGAGAGCAACTCAAGGAGGCCCGGGTACTTCGGGAATGTAATTCGAGCACCTGGTTCAGACCCGGATGATCCTCCAAACCCAGGTCCAGCGCCTGGAATAACTCGGCACATCTTGGTCAGGAGCGCACGGAACAACATCAGGCCTGAATTGCGAAGTGCCCAGATAGGCGATCCCAAGCGATCAGCGGATAGAGTCAATGCTTTCATGATGAAGGGCTCAGTGTAAGGGCCAAGTTTGTTGTTGGTGAAGATATCTTTCAGGCAGTTCATTGCGTGAACCTGAGGCAGCTCCAAGTACTGCCTTTCCTTGTCGTACTCTACAGCAAGGTAAGAAATCTTATGCAGCTCGTTCAATGCTTCCTTGAAGAATGGTGTTCCGGGATCGGATCCGACGATGCCGGTGACCATCGCAGGTATACCGGCAGAGCGACGAGTGAGTTTGGAAGCCGAGCCGAAAATGGTTGACTTGGCTTCCTGGTACCAGCCACGGGTCAGTTCCCGGATCGCTGGGTCTTTTGAGGCACTACAGCGTTGGCAACACGTTGCGAATGTCTGTGAAACGTTTGTGAAGGCACCGCGGTGTCGAAGCTCGGCAAGCTGGGTGAAACTGGCTCCTCCGATTTTCTCAAAGTCGGTGCGGTTGAGCCCAGAATTCCCACTTGGGCCATAGCTCGTGTTCAATAGAGTTGCGTGGAGTAGAATGCTACTTTGATTAATATACAAGCAGCCAGAAGCGGATATTTAACTTACCTTGATTCACGCAGTGATCTCCACGAATATGAAAGAGCATCTTTGGGTCCCACGTTCAAATCTTCGAGAGGCTCATCTGAGTGACCCTCCGGCGAATCAATACACAGTAGAGGTTTAGCCTCCTGCCAGATTCTATCGCAGATGGCATCGATGCGCCCATGGACCAATCTCCACGCGGTGGACTCTGAGTCATCCGAGATTAAGGTGTGGAAGTTTGGCATGAGGACAATGTATCTAGACTCATATTAGCAGACTGCCTAGAGCGGGAAACTTGAACACTTACCTCAACCCAGAAGTATACCCATGGAGCGGCGCCTCGCGCATAACAGAGTTGAACAAGCTCTTTGCGCCCAGGAGACGCTCCTCCAGTTTAGTCAAGATTGTGTCCACGACTGAGGCTTTCGTTGACCACCAGCCTGGTGTTCCTTGGGCGGAGTTCCCGGGCAAGGCAGCGCAAAAGATGAGATGATAAAGTCGAGCAACGGTATCCGCGTGATCAGCTCTGCTTGTATTGCTTGCCAGATTCTCTGCTCGGGTCAGTGCATCTGTCAGGCGCATGCCTACATTTGTCGAGTTTTGCAGACATTCAAGCAGAAATTCTCTCGGGCAGAGATTCAGAATGGTAAGAGCAGTTTGCCTAACTTCTTCGAATGAATCTAACAATAGATCGATGAGTAGTCGAAGTAGATGAGCGTCGAAAACTTTGACTTGGACTTTCCAAAGATTTTCCATCTCAGACTTCTGCAGCTTGATGTTTGTGCGTGGGTCAAGTCCTGAGTCAATCAAAAGCTTTAGAGACTTGAGAGCTGTGATATGCCGCGCGTATGATGCGCCGAGAGGCAGATCATGTTGTAACAGAGTAAGGTATGATTTCAGGAACTCCTTTGTCTCAGTTTCGTTGCGGGCGTGACCTGTAGCTGGTTTGCTGGTGGCTTTCTGGATCTTCAAACCGGCATCTTCCTCTCTCACGATACCACCCTTTAGGCGGACAATGAACTTGCGCATCATACTCAGAATTTCACCTCGGGCATATGCTTCGGATTCCGCGTGCATGGACGGGAGTCCTTTGAGAATTGCTTGGGTTGCGCCAACTGTGAATGGCTTGATTGTGGAAGATGTTGTGATCAACAGAGACAGAGCCGCAATACGGATGCTAGGTTCACGGTGAAGCAAAAACCTGCCAATGACCTCACTCTTGAGGATCAGTATGTCGTTGTTTTCAATTTTTAATTTGCCAGAATCGAAGATATCTGCATATGTTAGCAGGTTCATCCAAGCTTCGAGCTTCGCATCGACATACAATCCTCATGAACCAGGTTGATCTTTTTTCCAATTTGCAGTGCAGCAAAAAGAACCATGTACTCCGCCTCAGGCGCATCAGTCATATCTCCCTCGAGTAGACTCTTCACCGGAAGTGTCTCGAGGAACATCTTGAAGCCATTGGGATCCACAGTGAACAGCGGCTGAAGAAGTCTGCTGGAGAGATCCTCCAACGTATCCACATTATCTAAGACCAGATGTCTGGCCGGAGACACCCACATTTCTGACAGCTTCTGTGCGGATGTTTCGGGTTTCATCTTTTGGATCAGAACTGACAGTAGATTACCCGCAGGGACGGACATCGTCTTATTGTTGGTCTGGACCAGAAGCCCCAGGACGAATATTTTGGCCGCTAATTCATCTGACAAGTTGTCAGACACACTCTCCAGGGTGGCCTCGGTTCCGCCGAGAGAAAGGGTTTCATGATCTTTGCTGAAGAAGGAAACCCATCGTTCCTTGTTCATAGCGAGCCATTCGCGAAGTAACGGAATGAACTCGCTGGGCAAGATGGCATCTCTTCTGATAAAAGAGTCTAGGAATACCAAACATCCTTTAAGGCGTGATTGAGGCTCACCAAGCACGATGCTAGGGATGACTGCATCAATTACCGCGGTTTGAATGGCTGTTCTTGACGCGCCCTGATGGCCCTTAGCCAAGACAGCGGTGATTGAAGACAGAATTAGCTTGATTGGCTTTGGTTTGGCGTCTTCGTATCGATTTAAACAGATGTCGAAGACTGACAGCCAAACTTCTTGTGATAGAACCAGCTGCTTAGTCTCATCGGATTTCGACTTGGTAGCAGCATCGATGAATGCAGAAGTCGCATTGCATGCTTCCGCAGAATGTCCTGGCGATAAAGACGCCGTTGATAGTGTTTGTATCAATGATTGCCATACCCTGGTCACATTTCTTTCCACGAGAGGTGAATTAGTAAGTGAAAATCAGAAGAGTTCACACATGTAGATTACTCACTCGATGTCTTGATTTGCCAGTGTAAATTTCACCAGAGGTCCTTTGGCGATATCTCGGAGTGTCTTCTCCGACAACAATTGCACCTTCTGCGCAATGTCCTCCATGCTAACTGACGCAGCAGGCTTTGCCTGGGTGGATACATCAGCTGCCATATCTTAACTCCTCATTGACCTGGATACGGTGCGACTCTTGAAGATTCTCAATTAATTTTCTTGATCCCCGCGATGCCTGAGGCGGCATAATAGGCCGTATCGGGTATAGTGTCCGTTGTCCGGATCAGCGTTAATCCGATATCGAACGGAAGTCACGGGACCGAAGTTTTTGCTGGCTCCGATGCCAGTGGAGCTGCGAGCACAGGGTCAGCACTTCCTCTCCAGTTCGCCTCTGCCATTGCCTTCGGGTCCTTGTAATTTCATCTCTTATCTCCCTTCACACCTCCTCACAATGTCTATCTGGGACTCCCTCAGCGGTCGCAAGCAAAAGCAAGGCCCTGACGCCTTCGACCCTACAACCTCGCAAGACGCTACATCTTTCCTTTCCGAGGTTGCGCTTTCCGACCCATCTCGCCTTCACCCTCTGGCCGGTCTGAACCAGGACACCCTCGATTATCTCAGCCTCGAAGACACCGCCCTCGATGAACTTCCCGGCTCTCGCTCAGTGCTGCCCTCGCGTGGATGGTCAGACGACCTTTGTTATGGTGCCGGCACCACTTATCTCGTCGCACTCACTCTTGGAGGTGTGTGGGGACTCGCAGAAGGATTGAATAAGACAGCACCCACGGCGGCACCCAAGATCCGTCTCAACGGTGTGCTCAACTCTGTTACCCGTCGCGGTCCGTTCCTCGGAAACTCCGCCGGTGTCGTGGCTATGGTTTACAACGGTTTCAACTCCGGTATCGGATACGTCCGTGGCAAGCACGATGCCTCCAACAGCATTGCTGCAGGCGCATTGAGTGGTATGCTTTTCAAGAGCACACGTGGACTGAAGCCTATGATGATATCTGGCGGCATTGTGGCTTCCATTGCCGGTGGATGGGCTGTAAGCAAATCAATGCGATTTTGACCGAGACCCCTACTAATTGACATTCGCTAGGTTACACGGAAGGCCTTCCTCTAGATTGCTGGCCTGGCCAGTCCCCTTTACTCCGCTCCTCGGTTATCCGACTCTCCATACCCTCTCCGCCATCCCTCAATGACATTGGCGGCTGACGATTAGCCACCTCACTTTGCCTTTTCACTCGCGATGTATTACAACCAATATTTTTATTTACCCTCCGTGGATCTCTTCACTCCGGCGCTCAAAGCTTCCATGTTTCGCATAATGCGTGGGTTAGGATTGGGGTGTGCAACTGGGTTTGTACTTTGTATTTCTTCTCTGTACATAGAAAAGTCTCTTGCATGCCTGCGACTTATTGACCATGGCGCTCTGCAAGTGTCTTCGTCAGTTACGTACTTTAATGATGCTCGGGACTTCCAATAGACAACTTCTCAAACATTCGGACTTGACCTCGTGTACACTTCTTCAATCATATATTCCCGAGTCTTCCAAGGTTTCAGGGTTGGAACCTGATGTTTAAGCTGACCGCATGGCACCAATATCACTACCTGCCCAGTGCCGGTACCAGGCCCGCAATGAATCCAGCCTTGGAAGATATATATTTGTGAGTGATGCCCACCTGGGCAGGTGTCTACATGCGCACTACTAGGCAGGCACTCCCGCTAGGCGACGACGAAGGCAGATATCTTCGGCAGTGATACAGACATCACGTGGAACTACACGACTTGATGCTTGTCAACCTTGGAAAGTCCTCAACAGCTTTTCAAAGTTCACACCCGGATCAACTACTCGATATGCATGACAATCAATGCACCTCGGAAGAGGTATGTGCATTTCGATATTCCCAATTGCCAATCCCTTTCTGTGAACTCGCATCAGGGTATACCTAGGTAACGGTCAAATTCCGCGATGGGTGGCGTCGATCCAGAGACCGGAGATTGCCGACACGCGGAGAGCAGAAGAACAGGGTCGCAGAGCCTTCACTCTTCTCCAGATTCTTGGCAATGCCGAATATTGCCAAACCACGCACCAAGACTTTTACTGGATGTTGGACATGTCGAGATCGCCGAGTGAAGTGTGACGATGAACACCCGCATTGTCGCCGGTGCCGACGGAGTGGTTGGGTATGCAAGGGGTATGGCCTACGCCTAGGATGGGACCCAAGTGCCGGCCGCTCACACCGACGCCAATTGTGGTCCCTGGCCCCAGATGGGGGCCACGGGTTATCTTCTAGCGCTGTCTCTGCACTTTTGGCCGAACTAGATGGTTGTTCGGGGGACGATGCTCAGCAAAGAGGCCCTTTTTCGGTTTTCTCGGTCTTGTCGGGCCCCCGGCCAGATTTGACAGGCCACCTTGAGCAGCCTTCTTCGCCGGATATAATCCTAACGCAGGGATTGGAAGAATCACACCAAGATTCCCCAGCTTATCATGTTGCTTCATCAGTCGGGGATAAGGACAGCGAACTGTCTTCAACATGCACTACCGCAACATCGGCCGATGACCCGGGTGAAGAGTTCGGGGTAAAATCCCTGGAAATGTCAAACCTGGCAAAAGACCAGAATATCGCATTACGCAGCGATGTGAACAGCCACCAGCAGACAGGAAACAAGAGGCTTGGCGAACAGGGAGTGTCTACACGAAGTCCTCAAACCATTGGGATCGACATCTCCCTTTGTAACTACATCAATCCCATTTTTCTCCCCAGACCGGAAACCGAGCTGGTCCACCATTGGGTAGTATTTCTGAGCGGAAATATGCTCCTCATCGACACCCCTGACAACCCGTGTCGAACGGTGTTCATGCCCTTGGCGCTGAAAGGTCTGGACGCTTCTCCCAATGAATCAAACATTCACCTGTCAGTCCTCCACGCCATCTGTGCTGCCTCCGCATTCAGTCTCTTTCATCTCCGTCGCGATCCTCGATATCAATCCATCGCAATGCATCATGACCAGTTAGCACTGCGACACTTACGAGGAACTCTTCAGCTGGCGCGTTGCCTTGACGAGTCCATCCTGGCAGCGGTTTTGACATGCATCACCGCAGAGGCAATGTCAGGACGTCGTAGCAGGTGGAGAGCACATGTCGCCGGATGTCTTGGTCTTTTGGAAAACCAGGCTCACGGCGATTGGATCAGAAACCCCACGGCCTCAAGGCTCTTGCAAAGTTATCTATCTCTTTCATCACTGTGCAGTCTCCGTGTGTCCGAGCGGTTGATGTCGCTGCTCAATGGACCATCGGAATTGAGACATTATCTCGAGCGGTCCCATGGAATTACCACGCAATTGGTACAGCTCCTCGCACAAATCACCGCTCTCGCCGAGACGCATCCGCAACTATCTACCGAGGAGCTTGATCGGCTCGAGCTACAGCTTTATTTGAACTTCCCGGCTCTGTCCAATCCAGACGCACATGGGTCAATCATTGTGCAGCATGCCCTTAACTCTTTCTACTATGCTACGATTGTGTACTTCCGTCGCAACCTGCGACATGCATCATTATTTGATGTTCAGGATCTTATTGAGAAAGCTATTAACGAGCTTGAATCTGTTGATGCACTAACCCGTGAAAAAGGCGGGTGCTCCTACAACTGGGCCAGCTTTGTTGTTGCGGCGGACTGCGAGCGACCCGATCTTCAAGATCGTATGTTAGCATTCTTTGATCGGAAAAGCCGTCATGGGATTCAAAATATCAATGTACTCTGCGAAATTGTACAAGCTCTCTGGAACCGAAGGGCGGCGGCTGGGCCGCATGTCGATATACAATGGCAAGAGATTGCAAGGGAAGCTGACTTCGACATCATGTTGGTTTGAAAATATACATAATAACTCGGAAAATGCAATTTTAACGATAAATTGGAATCCGGCTATCTCCCGAGGTCAGACCGTGAACCCACCATCAACCACCAACGCTGCTCCGCACATATAGCTGCTTGAAGTAGAGCAGAGGAAAAACATCACATCCGAGATCTCTTCAACCTGTGCAGGGCGACCAACAGGTGTCATTTGGAACTGGGCTTCCATTGTTCCAGACTCAATCTGCTCTTTGATGATGGGTGTATCGACAAAGCTGAACTGTTGTCAGTGGAATCCAAAACGCGAGAGATGGACACGTTCATATGCTACATACCCTGGGCAAACGGCGTTGATACGAATTCCATCTCTGGCGTATGCCTTGGCGTCCCAATGTGATATAAGCTGTGTCCAATTCCAAGGTTCCAGCAATTGAATCCCCCAAGACCAGACGTACCATCTTCGTCAACCCAACAACAGCATGCTTCGCTGCAGTGTAATGGGGAATACCAAAGGGACCTGGAGGACCGCCAACACCAAACATGGAGGATACATTGACAATCACTCCCCTTCCATCGCGAATGCCGCGCGATCTGCTTTTGGTTAGAAACCTCCCGAGAAAAAATGCAATGTTGAAGCACTCACTCTTGTGTGAGCATCTGCCGGATTATGGCCCTTTGGCAGAGCCATAATCCCGTCTGATTAACATCAATGACCTTCCTCCACTCTTCCAAAGACATCTGGTGAGTTGAGGTAGGATTCCCACTGATTCCAGCACAGTTTATGCCAATATCGATGCGTCCGAATTTCTTGACAGTGGCGTTCACAGCGGTCTCAACTGAAACCTCATCGGCTACATTTACTTGAAAAATCTCGACGTCGACATTTGGATACTCGCTTCGGATGTGGCATCGAACATCTTCAAGCAATGACAGGTTCAGATCAAGTAGAGCTAGCCCGTTGATACCATTGCGTGCCAGAGCAATGGCAGTGCTCTTCCCGATTCCTACAATCGTGATTAGCATAAACGTTCTTTGAACTCTGGATGTTGCATTGTACCCGAAGCACCACCGGTGATGAATGCAATCCCTTGAACGTGACAGGCCATATTGAGTGGTTTAGATCCGCACTTTTCTACATGTCATTGCAGACGCATCCTTTTAACTACTAGTATAGTACATCCAGCCCGAGCAAGTATTCGATCATTCAAACTCGGAGGACGGAAGTGTCATGCTCCGTGAAGATATACTTCAGGATACGATTTGCGGGGCTGTGGGGCTGTGGACCTGCTCGCTGTCGGCTTCCTGTTTTGACTTGAGTGTCATCTACATCTTTGGTGCCTGACAGCGAGATGCAAATCCACCCTCATCGGAAGACGATGTAGCCGAAGTTCCTTATCCCAGCAGAGATGGCATAGGGGTCTCAGAACACAGTCGTTAAAGGAGGTCATTATCCAGACCGGCGATGTTCTAACTCCGAGAATCCACACTTTCGCAATCCCAACCTCGAGCCCGGGCATTCAAAATGACACTAACAGGCTCAAGAATCGAAACAGATGCCATTGTCATCGGCGGTGGTTTTGGCGGTTGCAATGCCCTCTACAAACTCCGCAACCTCGGCCTTGCCGTCAATTTGATCGAAGCCGGAAGTGCCTTTGGTGGAGTATGGCATTGGAACCGGTACCCAGGCGCACGTGTTGACAGCGAGATGCCCTCATACCAGTTCAATATCCCGGCTGTCTGGAAAGGTTGGAATTGGTCCCAAAGGTTCCCGGGTGATGAGGAATTGCGCCGCTACTTCGAGCATGTGGACAAAGTCTTGAGCTTGAGCAAAGATACTCTCTTCAACACCATTGTCACCCGTGTGCAATACGACTCCTCTTCCAAAAGATGGACTGTCTTTACCAATACGGGCCTGCAAGCTACGTGCAGATATCTCATTGCGGCGACGGGGTCATCATACAAGAAACATTACCCCCAGTTTCAGGGCTTGGATCAATTTTCTGGACGTCTTGTTCATGCTGCGGACTATCCTGAGTCCCTCGATGTCAAAGGAAAACGTGTCGGTATCATCGGAAATGGGGCCTCGGGGTTACAGATCGTGCAAGAGCTTGCAAAGGAGGATTGTGAACTGAATGTTTTCATGAGAACGCCCTGCTTTGCGATTCCCATGGGACAGCGCGAGGTATCTTATGGGGAGTCAGAGATGATGAAAGGCTATTATGATGGCATTTTTGACCGTTGCTACAAATCAGTCCACGGGTTCCCGCACAACACCCTGCTCCAATCCGCGCTCCAAGCCTCGCCAGAAGAGCGGAAGGCTCTGTTTGACGAGCTTTGGGCTCGTGCCGGATACAGCTTTCTTCTTTCCAACTACTATGACTTCCTTCTGGATGAGAAGGCTAATTCCATCTTCTACGACTATTGGGTTCGGCAGGTGCGAGCTCGCATGACTGATCCTGTGAAGATGGATCTGGTGGCTCCTCTGAAGCAGCACATGTTGGTGGGGACTAAGCGGCCTAGTCTTGAGCAGGACTACTATGAGATGATTGATCGTCCTCATGTCAAACTGCATGATCTGAAAAAGTCGCCTATCACTGAATTCAACTCCACTGGATTGGTGACTTGTGACGGTGAAAGTACAGAGCACCATGACTTGGACGTGGTCATTTGCGCAACTGGATATGACGCTGTCACAGGAAGTCTCTTGGACCTAGGGATCACGGACAAGAATAGTGACTCGCTGAAGGAGAAGTGGAGTGATGGTGTCTTGACACATCTGGGTCTGATGGTTCCAGATATCCCCAACTTCTTCATGGTCTACGGCCCTCAAGCACCTACTTCTTTGGCCAACGGTCCTCCTTTCATCGAAATGGAAGTCGACTGGATCTGCAACGTCATCTCCAAAATGAAGCAAGAGGGGCTGGAATCAATTGAACCAACTCTGGAGGCAGCCGAGGCATGGCGCGATCATGTCGTTGGCGTAAGTGAGCACACTTTGTACCCGAAAACCGACTCTTGGTATATGGGGTCTAACATTCCCGGGAAACGGCGCGAGCCACTGATCTATCTTGGAGGAATTCAGCGTTGGTTGCAGAGCTGCACGGAGGCCGTGGATGGCTGGAAGGAATTCCACATGGCATAGACAAAATTATATATGCCTTTAATCGATCAAGAGCGGTGATGGTCATAGGAATATCCCATGGACAGACCCGTGGACAATAAGGCAGACACAACTACCTAGGCATAACTGCAAAATTCCATCCGTGGCCGAAACAGCATCCTTTGTACCTTGGTATATGGAATTCTATCATGTGCTATCAATGAATTTCAAGCACAACTGGGCGGGGATGGATTTAATACTCGACTAGGATCTCAGGGGAACACGCTGCATTCTCAATACAACCGAGATATCACAACAAAAATGAAATTGGACCCGCAATAACGCCTACAGAATAGCCAAAGCATTGGGTGGACTTCCAACAGCACCGGGATAATTCAGGGGCGACGAAGTAAGCAAGAAGGAATATTGCTTACTGGCCCAGCAAGCCTCACCAAGGGCCTTGAGATCCCACAGTTCACCCAATGGCATTCCCAACAAACTCAGACACCACTGGTGCAGCACCAGTTCATGAAAAGGTTGCTCGACCCCATCAATAATGGGCGGCATAGCCTCAACAGCCATATTATCACTCACAACAGCCGCAAAGTGTTGATCCCATAGCCAACGCGCCATATCCTTGCTTCCCTCTAGTCCACACATCCGACCTGCGCCCATCGCAGCCCCTTGCTGCGCCCCGCTCATCTGACCCAGTGCCTCGGTTACGCCGAATCGGATCAATAGAATGTCGCCTGGTCGGAAGGTCAGGCCTTCCCATGCGGCTACTTTTTCCAAGTCTTCCGACCCAATGCGGAAGCTGGAGAACTGGTCGTAGTGCAGGCCATGTGACTCTGCGTAACTTTTGAAATCAATCAGCACGCCTCGGCTGGTTACACAGCCTCTTTGGTGCCAGTCTGGGCTCTGCGTTAGCCTTTTGGGGAATGATGTCGTGGAGAGGGTTCTTACGGTCCAATGTTGGTAGTTGATTGGCAGGGTCTGGGACTTGAAGGGTTTCGATGGTTGGCTTTGTCCCATTGTAGGTAAGCTGGGTTGGAAGATGCATGAAATGTGCTGGTTGGGATGTCAATAATTCCTTCCAGAAAACAATGACGTCTTGAAACATACTGAGGCTATCCCACTGACTGCTGGCTTGGGTATTGAACTCGACCTAGGTATTCCAAGGTGAGCGAAGTGCGAGGGTATCCTGAGCACAATAGACCACATACCTCGTCGTCAAATCCATAGTGGTCACCAGATTGCATGTCTTTCATCTCAAAGACATTGTGACAAAGGCTTTTTCGAAAGAACCCGGGGATTTTGATGCTTCCAATCGGCCAACTGGGCGGGATTAGAGGAGTAAATATTGGTGGAATTCAGAGCAAATACTTTAGAGAAATCGAGATGCCTTGACGGACTTCTTCAGCTGCTCTTTTGATCACCTCCGGGGTGATCAGGTTCAAAGTGCCGTAGACATCTTTCTTGCCGTCCTTGTCAAAAACACCCCACGCACAGCCGGCCGGCATGCCCTCCACGGGAGGCAGCTCATCGAAATTTGGAGGGAGCATTCTGATGTGAATGGTATCTATACCAAGGCTTCCAAAACGAGTAGATGTAAAACAAGTGGATCGAGGTGCTCGCCGTCAACTTCCCTCGTAGCGTAGGTGGATCAGTGCGGAGTTGGAGCTTCCGAGTTGATCTCGAGGTATTGAAGAAAACCAAAAACACCCCGATACACCCCGAGGGCCGTTGGTTTTGCTTACATTCAGAGCCGTGTCCTACGCGAGAAGTACATTATCATTTCTGATGTCTCTACAATACGATGCCGAATTTGCAAAGCAGGCTGCTCCCATTCTACAGCACCTTGCCAATGTCCCCAAGCCCCCGGTCAACGATGTTTCCGCAAGACGTGACTTCCTTGGCGCCATGACGAACGAGCAATTCAGTCTGCCCGACGACGTCGAGCATCTTGTTCACAGTGTCACAGGGCCAGATGGTCACAGTGTGCCCATCTACCACTTCCGCAAGAAGCTTGCGTCTGGGAGTGGGGAGCCGGCCATTGTCCATATTCACGGCGGCGGGTACATCGCCTTAAGTGCAGCCGGATGCGCAGCTCCTCATGGCGCATCAGTCTCTCAGACTGGAGTTCAAGTTCTCAGTATTGACTATCGTCTGGCGCCCGAGAACCCATACCCAGTCCCACTGGATGATTGCTGGGCTGCGCTGCAATGGGTTTACAGAAATGCGGAAAACATGTCAATTGATCCCGCTCGCATCGCAGTAATGGGCGAAAGTGCTGGCGGGGGGTTGGCCGCCGCCTTGACTCTGCTGGCGCGAGATCAGAAATTATCACCACCTCTGGCGAAGCAAATTCTGGTGTATCCCATGCTGGATGATCGAACGAAGACGAACCATGCGGGAGAGCTCGCTTTCTGGGACAAAATGGACAACATGACAGGATGGACTGCGTATTTGGGACCACAGGCTGGAAGCGACGAGATCGTTCCGTATGCTGCGCCGGCTCGAGTACAAACAGTGGAAGGCCTGCCGCCGTTGTATCTCGACTGTCCGCAACTTGATATCTTTGTGCACGAGGGAATGGAGTATGCGCGGCGGTTTGTGGCTGCCAACATCCCCACTGAATGCCATATATACCCCGGTCTGCCGCATGGGTTTGAAGCGCTGGCAGCCGACATCAGTGTCACTAGACGGGCAATCGCCAATCGCCACAAGGCGATGACTAGCTTTTGAGAGGAATAGCAGTGGATCCCGTATTAGATCGGATGAAATGAACGTCTTAAGCCATCGTATTCAGAATAACGGAACAGTCTCGTAAGATTGGACCCAGGAACTTCCGACTGTATTCGGCCAGACCCGATCCGTGGACACCAAGAGCATGTATTTCGGCCAGGCCGGTGCCGCGAACCGAGGCCATTGATTCCGTATAAGTATATCGAGGGAACCCTCGCTTGGATGCAGGCTCCCACTGGCAAACCCACAATATTTTCCCATTATTTCATTAAGATGACATCCATCCCTAGACCAAGCCAGGAGACAGTTCGCAACCTGGTGAACGACAAAGTTGCCATCGTCACCGGGGCAGCCAGAGGCATCGGATTCTCTACCGCCTCCCTTTTAGCGCAGCATGGCGCCCGAGTGGTACTGGTCGACCTGCGCGAAGACGAGCTGAAGAGCGGCTGCGCGACCATCGGCTCTCGGTCAACCTACCAAGTCTGCGATGTCAGTGATTGGGATCAGCAAGTGAAATTATTTGACGATGTATCGAGTGCGATCGGGCCGATTCATCTGCTTGTCTGCAATGCAGCCATCAATCCCGAAATCGCGCTGCTGCAGGCATCCGACGCGCCGCAGCACGCGCAGATGAATGCACAGGTGCGCTACAACTACCTCGCTGATGAAAGGGATGCATCCGAGTTGCTGCGACGGCCCCCGACCGGAGTTGTGGATGTGAATTTGCACTCGGTCATTTTTGGCCTGAAGCTGGGCCTCCACCACATGAAGCACGGTCGGATCGTGGTGGTGGGATCGGCGGGATCGTACGTGCCGATCCCTTCCCAGCCCCTTTATTCCGCCAGTAAGCACGCGGTCCTCGGGTTGGTGCGTAGCACAGCTCTGACGGAGGAGGTGGGCCGGTCCGGGGTGTCCATTTCTTGGATCGCTCCGTGGTTGACGCTGACCTCGATGGTGGAGGGGTTGCAGGCAACGCGGGACGGCAGTCTGCAAAGTTCTCCCGATGACGTCGCGTGGGCCATTCTAGCGGCTAGTGCGGCAGAGGCGCCGAATGGCAAGGGGTATTGGGTACAGGGCTCTGCAATCAGCGAAGTGGAGGGGGCTTACGGCGAGGTAGCGGGTCAATTAATCTGCCCGGAGAACCGGTTCTAGAGACCCTGAAGCTTGGCCTGCTTCGTATAGGGCTGGTGGATGGGGTACTAGTACGGAGTACCTAGGTAGCAGTTAGTAATACCTCAGACGCCCGGGCATGGTCATTGCGAGTCAGAGTGAGAAAGACTCCGGTGCGAATTGGGTTGGGCCAAGGACCGCCACCGTGCTAAAATTAAATATGCAGTTTATCAGTGGCGCCCCTGCGTCTGCAAATCCCTACGTAGTGCACGAATAAGTGCATGTACGCAGTACTGCAAAGTACAGCAAAGTACGGAGTACGATGAGTACTTGGAAGATGTAATTGATCAGATCTCGGAGCAAATCGCGGCGATAATCCCTACTTCAGTCTAAGTCGAGGTGCTTACCTAAATCTCGGGAAATCTGTAATCTCCACCGAACGGCCTCGACCGTTTAGTGCAGATGCTATTTCCTCCGTACTTACATTTCGTAGTATACTGAAGGACTCGTGTTAGAATCAGATGCTCAGTAGCCTCCTTACTCAGCTCATATCTCGTACTAGATTGCTTATTTCCCACTCTCTCGCTGACGAGAGAAGATAGACTCAAGTAAACACTGCGGGGAACATGTGGACGTTGCCACTAACCCAATCGGGTGGGTCAGCTGACTTGGCGCGATCAATCCTTGATTCGCCTCATTTCCCATGAGCTCTTTTTTTTTCCGTTTCACTGGCTGCTGCTCTGTGTCTGTGTGTGTCTCTGTGCGTGTGTGTCTGACAATTCCACCCGGATTTCTGGTCATCTTCTCGTCGCATGATCCCTTTGCAACTACTTTAACCCTCGACGGGTCTGCCAGTCTACGCTAAGGCCATTTAGGTCAGAGGCTGAGCTCGGAGCGTTCTTATCTCTGGTCCCTGGTTTCCCGATTTCTGTGACTCTTACTGTCCCCCGCTTCCCTCCGGGGACAGAGACGACTTCTTATTTTCTCTTTGGTTCTCATCTATCGCCCCTCCCGTTTGCGGCCCCAAAGTCGAGTCTCCCGTTTCCATCGGTTACGGGTCCGGCCACAATCATGATGTTTCAGGATGCAAACAGTCTATGTACAAACAAAGAGCCGGGGACTCTTTCAGTAGACGACTCACCTTCCATACTTAATCCCGAGTCGCCACTGCCGTCCCTACAGATCCGCACCGACCTGCCTAGTATACGTCCGTCCAGTTCGCGAGACTCCGACCCCTCGTATGCCTCACTCTCCGGCAGTTATCCCCACCGTACTCCGAGTTTGCGCGGCCTGGTTGCGCCTCTCTCCAGTGCCGGGTCTCTGTCACCCGCCTCGATTATGTCCTCGCCCCAATTGATTGCCATGGGCGATATCACACCTCTGCCATCCCCAATCGGAGGAGCCTCACCCTGGCGCAGATCCGATCTGCCGTCATTATCGCGCTCCTCATCAGTAGCTTCGCGGAGTGGATCCAGTCTGCGTTTGAGTGATTCGTCACAAATGCTTGGCCCGCCCGTCATGTCCCGCCCGCGCAGCAAACCATACCCGGGCCTCGATGCCGAAGACTCCCCCGTGGCCAACCGCCACCGTCGGGAGTCTCCGACCAAGTCCTCCCACTCGCGGAATCGCAGTCTGAGCGACTACGCACCCCCCGGCCGCGTCACAGTCCCGCCCCGTCCGATTGCGGTATCCGGGAACCCAGGGCTTGGCATCGGTTCCTCATCTAGCACAGATTCCAAGTCCAACGGACTGCATCGGGAGCAATATCTGGCAGTGCAACGAGGCATCACATTGCCGACCGTTCGTCCCCCGAGCCCACCCCGCAGCAGTGGCAGCGGATACAGTGATAGCGAACCGGTGATTCATCACCCTGCGCCCCTGTCCGCCCCCCAAGAGGTCTACTCGGTCCGTTCAGTGCGCACCCAGCAAGCCCGTATGTATCAGAAGATCCGGGTGTTGGGACAGGGCACTTTCAGTCAAGTCAGTCTGGCGGCTCGCGTGGAAGCGGTCCCGGAAATCCCTCTGTCGCCGCAATCGGACGGCGGGGCTGCATTCCACGGGACCGTGAACACCCAAAAGTTGGTCGCGGTCAAGATCATCGAACACGGTCCCGCGGGAGGCGCAGACGAAGGTCGCCTCGAGGTATCACTCAAGCGTGAAGTCGAAATCTTGAAGTCGGTCAACCACCCATCCCTGGTCCAGTTAAAGGCATTCGGGAGCGATGATAAGCGCGCTCTGCTGGTCTTGGACTACTGTCCTGGTGGAGATATGTTTGAATTCGCGACTTCCGGGGCTCCCCCCATGTCCCCGGGACTGATTCGCCGTATATTTGCCGAGCTAGTCAGCGCCGTGCGTTATCTCCACTCTAATTACATTGTTCATCGGGACATCAAGTTGGAAAGTGAGTCATCATCAGGTCCAGGCTGGCAGGCACTCGTACTAACCTCCCTTCTAAGATGTTCTGCTCACCATGCCCGCTCATGTCATGGATGATATCAAAGACTGGAGCACCTACGACCGTGCCGTGGTTACACTGAGCGACCTTGGACTCTCAAGACGTATTCCCGAGCCCCCTGAGAGCCCTCTTCTACAAACCCGCTGCGGCAGTGAAGATTACGCAGCTCCTGAGATCCTGATGGGTCAATCTTACGATGGCCGTGCGACCGATGCCTGGGCTCTCGGTGTCCTGCTCTATGCCATCATGGAAAACCGTCTTCCGTTCGACGTCCTTCCCGGTACTCGTGGAGACCCGGCCAAGCTTCGTGCCCGAACCCCCCACCGCATCGCGCGTTGTGAATGGTCATGGTACCGATACGCAGATGAAGACGAGGAGTGGGACCCGGAGAAGGGCAAGGGTCTGGATGGAGCTCGTGATTGTGTGGAGGGTCTCCTTAAGCGTAACACGAGGCGTAAGGGCTTGGATGAGATCGCCGCTATGGAATGGGTGCGCGATGCCATCAATGTGCCCGAGTTGAAACGGGGCGACAAAGAAGTGCCATAGAGCGGGTCTCTTTCGCACACATCTTGCATTTTTCCCCCTTATTTTTTTCTGTGTCTATTTGTTTATTCTTGCATCATGCGCTGTCTGCTTACTGCGTTTCTCGCCACTTCTCTTCTTGACACTTCTTCTTGACACACTACCCTTTTTTTGACTACTCACGAGGCACGATGGGCCCGGGGCTCCCTGGGGTCGTTATGTTAAGTAATGCATCTTACGTTTTATGGCTAGACCATTGTTATACCCTTTACATACGCATCTTAGAGGGCCGAAATACAACATATATTATTGATGAATGTTATGACTTTTGTTCTATACTTAGTACTGCATACTCGTTTGGGAGGATCGTCCCCAGTGTCTACGGGTAGACCTCGGAATTTAGGATTTTGTTCTTCAATACTTGGATATATGGGAAGTCATTTGCAATCGTAATTGTAGGCCAAGATCGACGAGAATATTCCTTTTGGTTCAGAGTTCATTTATTTAGCGTGGCGCGAACCAGTGCTAATGATTCTCGGAGTCGTACTGAGTATAGCCTCTCTGGCTGTCTTTTGACGTCAGCTCAAACCTTGGAATGCGAACCATATACTTACATCCAAGTTCATACATTTTCACTCGGCTGTGATTGCAAAAGCTTTGTTCACATGCGACAGCTCTGATTTGCTGTGAGGCGCCCTGTCAGGGGCTGTGCGGGCTGGGGCATATTGTCGCCCAGCGGGGCCGGAACGATCAACCCGCATGCTTCGTATCCTGCAAATCAGAGCGAGAAACCCGCATGACTCCTGCATCTCCGTCATCCTGTTCCTCAGCTGCCCTGGTAAGGACCGGGATCAACCATTTTCTGTCGAGTACGAAGTGACATCTCACTTCACACTACTCGGTATCCAGCATGGCGTTTGGCCGGTCGAGTCGCTCGAAGAGCCATTCATCGTCAGAGCCACCGCCAAAACCGCCGCGCCCGCACAGATCACATCAGCAAACACAGAGCGCTTCAGGGCCATCGCACAAACATGCCAATTCCTTGTACCTGGCGCCGGAGGGTGGGTATTCGGTCAATACTCTCAATGCCTCACCGCCAGTTGTATATCATCAAAATGTGCCAATGTCCATGGTACATCTGCCATCTTCGTCTCCATCTCCGTATCGGTATTCGGTGAATGCCGTGAGTGCGGCCAGCAGTCCTCCCTCGGGGACTTTGCAGCCACCTCAAAAGCCATCGAAATGGAAGTCATACACGCATCTCAATCAGTCATACCAACATCTCAACCAGTCATATACGAATCTCAATCAGTCAATGACCCAGCTCGTGTCCCATACCATCGACAAGACCAATGCGACTATCCTGGAGCTTGAAAACCTAGTGCACCACAGCTTGGTGGGAGGCGCCAATGTCCATGAGGCTACATCCCGATTGTTGGACCAAGTCATCACCTCAATCGATGTGGGCTCTTTTTGTGGTCGAGAGAACGAGCTCGGTGAGTATTACGAGTGTCTGCGCGCACTGAAAATGCTAATCGCTTAACACCATGTAGTCGCAGCATGTACTGTGCCTTTCCAGTCAGAGGGAAAGAAAGATCGCAGGTCCCAGCGCCAGGGAAAGAAGCCCTCAGGCTCTGTGGACTATTTTTCCAAGGTGTACCTCTACGCCAACGCACGACTTCCACCCCAATTGACTCCTTTAAAATTGTGAGAATTCTCGAAACCATGCAGTAATGAGATAATGTACTCACTATTCCTTAGCTATCTTCCTACATATCCCCTCCTCCAACTCGCTGCCAAATACTCGCGTCAAGTCTATGACAAACCATCTGGGCCCGAAAAACACTCATATGTGAACTCCGACTGGCGCCAAGGCACCAAAGCAATGGTTGTCAAATCCCTTCCAGTGGACGACATGAATACAATTGTCTTCGCGATCCGAGGCACCCAAAGCTTCATGGACTGGGCCGTCAATGTCCACACAGCACCAACCTCACCCCAAGGATTCTTGGATGACCCTTCAAACCGCTGTCACTCGGGCTTCCTATCTGTAGCACGAAAGATGGTTGCACCCGTTGCGGCTCGGCTCCGAAGTTTACTCGAAGAAGATCCCAACCGTATGGCATATTCTTTGATCTTCACGGGCCATTCTGCAGGTGGTGCCGTTGCCAGCTTGCTATATTTGCATCTTCTTTCCGAGTCTCCGACTGTGTGTTCCGAACTCACGCATCTTCGCGGCTGCTTCAAGCGAATTCACTGCATCACGTTCGGTGCCCCGCCCATCTCAATCCGTCCTTTCCATCCCTCTAACGGTGTCAACGGATCAAAGTCGATGTTTTTTGCTTTCATAAATGAGGGTGATCCAGTGGCTCGCGCCGATAAAGGATATTTCCTCTCGCTGTTGGATCTTTATGTCACTCCTGCGCCGGGATCGTTGTTGACCTTATATGACCGGAAGCATACGACTGCTCCTAGTTATTGGAGGATACCTGGATCCACACTATCACTGGCTGGTAGACTTGTGGTCATTCGTTCCAGAGATCAATTTAATGGTCGACCAATGACTTCCTCGTCGGCTAGTCGGGGTAACGTTTCGGGGGGCCCTGCCCTACCTCCAAGAGAAAATGTCGACGCTTTTGGTCTCGTCGATGCCGACCTCAAAGGTGTTGTCTTTGGTGATCCGGTCATGCACTTTATGGATCTTTATTCCCGGCGTATCGATTCTTTGGCCAGTGCTGCTCTGAGTTCCAGGTAATCATGTAATTTTGCATCATCTCCATCCGACCTATACGCATGGCATCGTTTCATTTTCTTGTTCCAAATACCCAATTTTTCTGATTTTTCGGCGAATTTTGGAATTTGCGGCCCTAGGTCACAATTTTATTGTCTTTGTCTACCAGTGTTTCCTCTAAGTGGTCCTAACGACGGAGCGCGATATACCAACAATGAGAACAATGAGCCCAAAGATACAAAGAACCAATCACAATGTGTACTAGGTAATAAGGCGATGGGTTATTTTCCAACCCTTTAAATCTCTTGTTGGTCCTGAATTTCCAAGGTGAAATCTATCAACGCACAGCATATTTCGCGCAGCAGTCAACCTGGAATTGTCTTGAATCCTTTTTCCTCGAATGCAATACTACAAATCCATACCCAGACAAGATTAAAATCCCCATCCACCCGAACGCATAACTTAGAGCCACCACAAATTCCAAGCTCTCCCAAAATGTGCAACCAAATGTACGAAGTGTGGGAACTTTGTGGGTGCATCTGCTCCGGCAAAGTCGAACGTTGTGCAGAATTTGGTAAACCTTTCAATGAACGACTGAAATGCTATCCAGTCCCGTTCCGTGCAGACAGTCGGGGTATTCGCGGGATACCACTAGAACAATTAGAAAGAAAAGCAGGGTTATGCTTCAGGTGCTCGAGGGACTTATATCAGGAGATGTGGGCGCTTCGATGGAACTGGTCCTCTCGTCAAAGTGAGGAATGGGCAGCAGGGCAGAAGTAAATGATTCATGGCTTTATCACTGTGTTTTTGGTGCTATACGAGTTTAAGGCGCAGAAGTCATTTGTGTATTCACAATCCGCATTCAATTGACCGAGAGAGGGGAAAGGAGAGGGCTATCCAACACTACAGAACCTTCCAAAGTTGAAAGCCTGGGAAAACCACATGTCCGGGAAGACCACATGTCCTTCATAACGTACACTCAATAACGTACACTCAAGCTCTCGAAAACAACCTTTGTTTCTAGAACCCCAAGAAATAACATATCTCACTCGTCAGTCCTCCAAATAGTGAAGACGAATCACCCACTTGTTCATTACCTGACAGAACTCCGATCTAGTCATTGTGCCTGCGAGGTTGGGGCGGAAATCCTCAAAGAGCCGCATTTTCAACTCTTGCACCGTGCTCTTGAGGTTAGGCATCATTTCCAGCTGACTTGCGATCCTGGCTAGAAGGCCATAGAGATCCACCTTTATACCATGGTCCTCGGCTTGTTTGTACAATTTAATGACTTGTTTGATATAGGATCGCGTTGAGCTGTAGTCGACACGCCGTAGTTCCATGAGTGTGTTGTATGCCGTAAATTGAACAATTACAGCTTCATCACGGAATGCCGTCCGGGTTTCATACATGAAGACATCAGCAAAGTCCCATTCCCCAGAACGCCGACGCATCATTTCCAAGAGTTCTTGTTCCATACACTGGCCTATCCATGTCTGGACGATTCGCGACATTTGGTACCAATCAGGAGTACCATTGACGATCCTCTCCGGTCGTAGACGGTTAATTTCAACCAGTTTTTGAAGGTTGTTGTCCTGTAGTGCCTTCATGATTTTATCATGCCATGCTTCGAAGTGTGCACCCCCCACCTGCAGCAGGGGTTTGATAGGGTCCAATTTGACCGAATCCTTCGCGGGCAGGCCGTCACTCTGAAATTCTCTTCTCGAATCCCATGAACAGAGGAAGTCATCCGGGCTCGTAGGGCGAACCGGGATAGAAATGGCGTCTGAATCGGCCCTTTTTCGCTTTGCCGGGAGGGTCTTGGGTAATTGAGAGGCTTTGGGTGAGCAGTTCGCTGCCCTTTGAGACGTATCGAGCTGACCCATGATTGGCTGGTTGTTGGGGGTATCGTCTGACGTATCCAAGCTAAGGCTCTGTTCAGGCGCCGCTTGAATGATGGGGCTCAAATCAATGCGAGGTTGAGATTGAATGTATTCTGGGACCCCAATGTTGGGCTCCAGACCACAAATTATCTCTTTCGAAGGAGACTTGCGAGGACAGTTGGCAATATTTTGGAGATTCCAGCATTGGCGAGTCGAGTTGTTGACAGTGCTCCAGGCAACCCGAAGAGGAAGCAGCTTCTTTTCTAGCGATACAGCGTCAAAAAGATGCACGAGAGGGATTTCTAAACCATCAGTTGACTGGGAGAGAGGGGAGAAAGAGAGAGATATTCTACACCATGTACTTTTGCGAAGTTGACTCGTCGATTTCTCAAGCAAACGGGCGGCGTTTGCTTCTTGAGTCAACATGGAAACGGGCAATTCACTTCAAAGGCTTCTGTAGAATAAAATAGCACCCTTTTCCCCCATTTAATAGAGCACGCTCTTGATGAATTATCTATCGAATAGCCGTTCCAACAACTACAAAGGCCTGGGATGTTAATTGACATCCATCCCATGGCAGCAATTGCAATATCCGCAATGGGCCGGGCCGGGCCGGGCTCCAGGCATTCCGGTGCGGAAGTCTAGCCACTATACGGAGGTCTATCTGGAATATTATCTCTCCCGATGCATGATTGCTTTTTCTAAAATTACTACCCAGTTGGTTTTATAATGGTATTTGGATCTATCATCTTACATAGAAATTGCCCTAATCTTTCGCACACAACTATGGATTTTGTCAAATTCTGGATTCTATCCTACCAAATATCCTACCAAATATCCTACCAAATATCCTACCAAATATCCTACCAAATATCCTACCAAATATCCTACCAAATATCCTACCAAATATGGGCTATTCAGTCCCAGTGCGGAGCGCAATTGTCTTTGCAAAATGGCTGAAAATGCCTACCGCCCAGATATCCAAATTAACGGGGGTTTCTACCCGTACGATCAACGATATATGGAAGCGAGCCTGCGACTATGGTTTTGATCCAGAAGCCCCAGTTTTCAACCTTTCCAACGATGCAGTTACGGATCAGCCCCGCTCCGGGCGGCCTACCAAACAAACTGAGGAGATGAAATCAGCAGTTATTGCGAAAGTGAGAACTGATCGCTATCAAAAACCGGTAAATTAACTCGGACTTCGAAGGGTGGAATTGATTGGTATCGATACCAAAAGCATATTCTGCTTCCATTATTGATTCTATTTGCCAAAGAGTGTCAGGTTGATCAACCGAATACTGTGGTTCAAGAGGATAAAGCACCAGCTCACGCTCACCATGCCCAAGAGAAGGTTTTTGATCTTCATCAAGTCAAACGATTGCTTTGGCCTAGCAATTCACCGGATCTCAATATAATTGAACCTTCATGGTTCCATCTGAAGCGAGAAACGACGAAGAAAGGAGCTCCGCAAAGTCGCATCTTTTTGATATGCCCCAGACCCAGATCCAGGCCTGGATCGAGTAAATTCCATGGTATACCTGGATCCGGGTCTGGGGCATATCAAGCTATGCTGAATTCCAACCACAAATCGCATCTTTACGACTCTACGGAGCTCCTTTCTTGGTCGTTTCCCGCTTCAGATAGAACCATGAAGGTTCAATCATATTAAGATCCGGTGAATTGCTAGGCCAAAGCAATCGTTTGACTTGATGAAGATCAAAAACCTTCTCTTGGGCATGGTGAGCGTGAGCTGGTGCTTTATCCTCTTGAACCACAGTATTTGGTCGATCAATCTGGCACTCTTTGGTGAATGGAGTCAACAATAGAAGCAGAATGTGCTTTGAGTATCAATACCAATCAATTTTACCCTCCGAACCCCGAGTTATTTACCGGTTTTTGCTGTGAATCACTATACTGGTACTCTTCTGGGTAGTTTATTCTGATTAATAGCTACTCCGTACACCCCCGTAGAAACTTCGTAACTGCAGAGGCCACTAATACTCAGAGGGTTGTTTCAAGAAGGCAATTGTCCAGTTTCCAATCTCTAACAGTGAACACCGTTCCATTTCGTCTCAGTCCTCAGCGGGCGTTGGGCTCTGGGGATTTTGAAACACGTTTCCGGGGTCAATATCTGCCTTTATCCGCCGCAGTCGGGGAAGATTGGCCCCCCAATACGCTTCAGCCCCTTCCTCCAAGAAGGGATCAACATAACCAGGATAGGCGGCGTAGGGACGCTCGTTGTCGGTGACCAGTGTATTGACTTGATCTAGGAACTCAATTTGTGTTCGGGAAATTGGTCTCAATGGATTGACCGTGTATGACTGCAACCAAATGAGGACATCGCGGTGAGCATACGAGGTCGCCTCAGCCGGAATGTCACTCGTGTAACCTCCCTGAAGATCAAATAACAGGAACCATGTCGGAGTACCCTTGGGAGCATAGGTAAGGAATTCGAAAAGCTTGTCGACAGTCTCGGACGACATCAAGTTCTCGGGTGTCCATGCACTGGATTTGGCGTAAAAATAGGTCGGAATACGATCACTCCAGTCCATTCCCAGACTCTCGGCCCAATGAGCAACAAGCCCCAGCCAGCCTTGTATGACAATCGAATTGCTAATGGTGCCTGGAAACTGACTGTCCATGTCCAGGGCATCATACTCCTCTTGGGTACCAAAAAAGGTACCGGTGATAGCCACGCTGTACTCGAACACAGTTAGGGTTGACGCCAATTTCCGAGTCAAGCCAGGTGCCGAAACATGAGCTTGCCATCGTTTGAAAACCTCAGCTCGTTCCTTCCAAGTGCCGAATTTCAAGGTGTAAGTGTACTGCACCGCAGTTGTTGGTTCCGGCTCGGTCCGAACCTTGAATTCAGTGACAATCCCAAATCCAGATGCTGCACCCTTGATGGCCCAGAACACATCCTGATTCTCGCTATCGGAGGCTCGGATTATGCTTGAATTGGCCAAAACAACTTCGGCTTCTACCACATGATCCAGCGAGGCGCCAAACTGTCGTGAGGTCGGTCCCAAGCCTCCGATTGTGAAATGACCCCCGGAGCCAACTTGGAGACATGTTCCGTGAGACATTGCTCGTCCTCCAGCGTTGTGTAGCTGCTTTGTCACATCACCGAGCATTGTTCCGGCCCCGATAGTGGCTTGCCAGTTCGTGTGGTTCATAGAGAATTGTTGGAGGTGCTTCAGATCAACGACAACAGCACCATCCGTTCCACCAAGACCTGACGTGTGTTACAGTTTAGCCACCACTTAGATCTCAAGTTGTAGGCCGCGTTGGATAATCATACAGTGATTGGCGTAGCCGTGTCCTCCACTCTTTGCCTGGACTGGAAATTTATGCTCTGCTGCACATTTGACGACAGCAGCAACCTGTTGAGATGACCTGTCTGGGGTGAGCGAGAGGATCTGTAAAAGAAAATCAAATCTCTCTTACTCTGGAAATGTCACTGCTGCTGGAGTCACTGGGATATTGAGGTTGTATCGCTTGGCCCAGGTGCGGTAGAAAGGCTCTCCAGGGAGGGCGATACCTTCATCGTGGGTGAAGACATTCCTGAGACATGAATAAAGCTCCTCAGTGGGACTTGACACAGTAGCAAGAGCAGCAGCAGTAATTACTGCTGCTGCTGCCAGAAGAAGAGTTCGCAAAAACATGAGTGTGTGGAGCTGTCCCGAGTAGAAAGTAAAGAGTGATGATGATCGATGGTTGCTCCTAAGATGTAGAAGGAGGCAGTCAAGTGTGTACACAAGTAGCTTCTTCGGGTTACAGTTTTTATCACACATTCAATCTCATCAATGTCGGCCGGAGGTTACCATGTAGGCCAAGGGAAAGCACCGCTACTCCATCATCTTGATATTATACGACATCGGCATCAAATCAACAATCCAGAGCCATAAATTTGCCTCTCTTGCTCTTTCGTGCTGTCATTCACCAGCGCAGAAGCTGGGTAAAGCTCCGTTCAAGGGTGTGGCGTTTGTTGGTACAGCCTACACTGGTGAGAGACTCTCGGTGTCAGCAACCAACTTGCCCGAATCGGCTATGCTATCCTACATTGGATTGACTAGCTTCGGGCCCGTCAAACGGGGTGATATATGAAGATCAAAAAGGGCACAATGATGGCTAATAAGTCTATGGCAGATCCGAAAGATATGTACTGAGATCACCACGTTGATCGACTCTGTTTCCAAGCTCGAACAAACTCTTTTTTGTCCTTGACATTCAAGCCAACGCGCTTCACACGGCCTAGGCGAGCAAGAGAGTCTGCCACATTCCCAAGTAACGCCTGTTCGCTAGGTGAAGCATCCTCTGCGTCGTTTTGTTCCATGCTGTCAAGGTAATTGGTGTTATAAGTCGATTTGCGGGTCGACTTTGCCGGTGGTGTATCGAGTGCAGTTTGGCTGGCGGTAACGCTCTCCGCGATGCGCACTTTAATACAGTGCGTCGGTTTGCTGAGCAGTGTCCATAACATGCTGATATAGCTCCCTGGGAGAGGAGTGACAATGTCCATGGGCGTATAGCGCAAGCTGACGGGGAATATCTTGGTCTCGGGGGAAACACTCAGCAGAGATTTGCCAAGAGCTAGGATCCCGCGACCGTTTGTCGTGGTGCACTCTGGGAACAGCACAATGGGCCGGTTGGGGTGCTTCTCAACGAGCGTTGATACATCCACCATTCGTGCGCTGGGGCTCGGCTGGGTCAAAGGAGTCGCAAAAGCTCGCAGGACAGCCTGGAGCAAGGAAATACGCTCGACCTGACGGGTGTCCGGGTATGACGCTGTGAAGATCGGGTCGAAGATAGCTGCCAGATATATCGCGTCGATTGGTGATGTGAAAGAAGAGGCGATAACAGAGCCTGGCTGTGGCAGTCGAGCTTGCTGCTGCTTCAAAGATCTACTCATTCCCTTGTCAGTCCAACATTCCATATCGTGGGACAAAGTAGTACATACCCTTTGCGCACCCCATCCACCTGCAAGTCAACCCACCAAATGCTGGGAACCCCAAGGATACACCATAAAGCAGCTTTCTTGCCCAGCGATCCGATAGGGAGCCACTGTAGGATCAGGAAATAGCTCAGAGTCACAAATATGAAGAGCGGGAGACGGAAGCAGAACAGGACGATGCGCAGAGGCGCTTGGAGGCCCAGTGGATCGCCTGGAATCGGGAGGAAGGGCGCAATACCGGACCCTGCTAGTCGTCAGCTACACTGCTGGAGGGGTTGGGACAATTGTTGGGAGCGCATTATACCTCGATCTCGGAATTGGGAATATCTCTCCATGTTGCTGTGGCTCAAGCTCGATCAATGGCACCTCTTCCGGTGTGATATATTGCAGGTATATTCGCAGGAAGTGTTGCGATTCAAACTCCGGGCGTATTCGGGAGATGCTGACACCCTGGAGAAAGCAACCATCACCAGTTGGAGATGTGATCTTCACATGCTGGAGCTGACACGTGACCTGTAAATATTGTAGCCTGAGGCGGCAATCTCCAATGGTACACGGGAGTAAATCTATTCGTTCTAACAAAATTTCGGGCAAGCTATACCAGGGCGAGATTTAAGAACAAGCAGTCAATTTAAGCAAGTGCGTGCCTTTCTAGGTAAGTGTCTATAAATTCACGTAAGCTAAATAAAACAGCCCAAGAGAAAAACGCCCTCAATGCGAGCAAAGCTATGAGTAATATACAAAATCTCGATCACGCTCTATCATCCTCATCGAAATCTTCTATTATAAATTCCAGCGTCGGAGTTGGAGGCAGTTCAAAGAACCAGATAGCCAGACCAACCAAGCAGAACAGACTGCTGGTCATCATCCACGCCAGGCCGATCCAAACCCCGCCCAGGCGCAGACCCAGCTGAAAGACAGTGGTGATAGTCAAACTTGCAATCACATTTCCAATCGATTGGATAATTTCAATGGCAGTGAAGAGACGTGCTGTCTCATCTCGCTCCACCAAGGTGGTGATGATTGAGCGGACTAGGAATAGAAAGCCGGATCCTGAGGTTTGGATGATCATGCTGGGGATCACCGTGGCGATAGATGGCGAAAGACTAATCCCAAGTGTCCCGAGGGACAGACAGAGAATGCTGCCACGGGCAAGCCAGAGGTCTTTTTCCGTTGCTGAACGGCGAGGGCTCAAGACTCGCCTCTTCAAGTATGGTAGGCCAAACAAGAACAACGGGATGGAAACTATAGGGCGGCATGCCACTAGGAAGTTGGACTCGGCTAGTGTCCAGAAATAGCGAACTGAGATGTACTGAGCCAGGAACCACGATGAACCTCGACTCAGGCGGTAGACCAGGAACGCAGTCAGAAGGAGAAGCACCGGCTTGCGGCCGAGAATAAAGAGATACGGTTTCAGATAGAAGCGGTAGTTTGCGCGAAGCTTCTCCATGAAAGATTGGTGCGAGTAAGAAGGTATGCTCCATGAAGGAGGGTCATCTGCACGATCATCATGAACTTCGGGCAGGTCGTGGTATCTTTCATGCGCAGTGGGTTCATCAAGATCGAGCTTTGGCTCTCTCTCTCTCCGTATTTCTGACATCTCAACGTGAGGCTGCGCAGTCTCCTGAGCGGGCAATGCATGTTTTGTCTCTGGGAGGACAAGCATGAGCATCATCCCGCTCATTACGATTCCGAATCCAATAAACAGCGGAATCCATGGATTCAGGCTCATCAAATAAGAGCTCAGAGCGGCGGAGAAGAACTCGGCACCCATCGACACGATGGCAAATTGGAAAAAAATATCGGCTCTACACAGCTTTGTTAGCATCTTCATTCAGCGTATTGTGCCCACTCGGGTATGAGATCTACCTTTCCAATTCGGTGGTGACATCCGCCATCATAGTCCAGATGATCGCGAACGTCACGACAGGACCACCACCCAGAAGCCATGTGAAGGCAGTAAACCAGAGTGTGCGCAGGGGGAAGATATCCGAAAACCACAATATCACCAGGGTAAGGACTGTATTCAGACCAAACCCTGGCAGAGATAAAGCGAGTGTAGATTTACGGCCGTTCCGATCTGCCAGCAGACCATACGGAATTGCCAGTAGGGCACAAATCGTTCCGTCAAAGAACATGTGGTACCCTTTGACCGCCGCCAGCTCAGCCTGCACCTCGGCGATCTTACACAGGGTTTCCGGCACCTGTCCATCTACCCCGATTTTTGTAGGATCGGCACTCAAATAATGTTGACGACACGCGATCCCCTCCATGATCCGCACCATGGGCCCTTCCAGAAAGGCAAAGCCGACCTCCACGGCGAGGATCATAGAGAACAGGATGACCTTGAAGCGGAAGCTGATCGAGCTGTTCGGATTGGCCTCCACTGGCCGACTGCCGATGCTCGGCTTAGAGGAAACATGGCCGTCGGCGGGGCCTTGGGCGCTGGCATCGAGAAATGGCGCGTCTTCGCGGTCCTCGCTGAGAGGATCATGACGTACCATATTGGGTCATACCGTCCGGAATGTATAACTGCGGGATCAATCGAACAAGGAACAAAGAGAGAGAGAAATCGAGAGGCTCAAATCATAATGAAAGAAAAAGGTGTCAAGACAGGTGTTACAAAAGCAGCTACTTTACCAATCGTCGTAAGCGGATCCGGCACGGGGGTCTTGGCACTAAGGGGCTAGGGGTAAATTCTTATTCTTATCTCCGCCGATCGCCGGCTAAACTGAGCAATCCACTGTATACATGTGCGACTCGACGGGATTCTGATATATTGCAATCTATTTCCTGGCGATTGGGAATATTAAACATAGCCCGCTTCTTCAAAAAGACTTCCCCGAACTTGTACGACCGCCGAGAGCTCCAGAAGAAATTCATAAAGAATCACGACGTTCGTCAAGACATGCCCCAAAGTAGCAACTGGGGTTTCGGCAACCTGATCCGGGCTGGGGGTTTCCTCAATGGCAGATGGATCAGCGGAAGCAGACGGGAAAGGCGTGGCGAGACGTTGACGAAGAGCCTCGGCAATCACGGTTCGGGTGTTTGATGATTCGCGCGAATCGGCCGGAGCGTTAGGCGACCCGTCCCGTTCTAGATTGTTGATCTCAGATGGGGTGGGTGGGTACGGAGACCGGCCGCGAGAAACGGGTGTAGCGGCATCCGGGGATCCGGGGAAAGGCGGGCGCGAAGAACGGTCCTTCGAGGGCATAGATGACTCTGACGATTGGTCGGGAGTCTGTGGGCGATCGTCCTGGTGGAGAAGCTCGCGCCGAGCAGCAACTAGGAGATCAAAGTCGGGTATTTCGCGCTGCCACTGGTGAATCTGATCCACTAGCTTCTGCAGCGCTGCGGTCAAGGTGGGAGTAGCTGTGGCAGGCCAAGTCGGTCCTTGGTACGCCCGACGAACGTGTTCAAAGCGGTCATCAGTCTCGGATGACGATGAATCATATTGATTGGGGTCTACCAGCACCCATCCATCTAGAGAAAAGAGATGAGATGAAGCCAGACTCATGAAAACGCCCGTCAGCGCCAGGTTGACTATGACACTGTTGGTGAAGAAGTTATCAAGGCATCCCAGTAGGGCCTGCACGATGGGGTCATCTTGCTGAATTGCTAGAGGGAGGTGTATTGTTTCCTCCTCTTCGTCCATTGAAGAAACAGGCAGACACAGGCGTGATTCTAGTACCCATGTTGCGTCCGCGACATAATTGTCATAGGACTTATTCAACGTAGGATCTTCGACCAGCGAGGTTGCCATGGTCGTGAGCTGCTCAAGTTCAGAATTCAGCGCCCCTACAGGACGCTGCTGTGCGGGCTGGAAGGGAATTGTATGGATCAGCGCCCGTGCAAAGGGATGGTGGCGTTGGAGAACGGTGGTCAGAAGTCGTAACGTTGCTAACACGGTCTGACGATTTGACGATTGGAGCCCCAGGAGGGAGAGATCTCGCAAGTTGAAGAGTGATGGTGACGGCTGTGCTGCTTCTGAGGCCAGTGCGGCGAGCACATTGATTGATTTTCGTCGGCTGGCGGACATATCCATTTGTTCTTCGGGCCTGGGGGATGAAGCCAAAAGAAAATGTAAGATTCGATGGACCAATTCACCCTGCTCGATCGAGTCCAGAATGCGGCACATGTATGTTAAAACAGCTGCCGTCGATCCACCGGCAACATCTGATGATTCTAATAATGAGGGATATCTGTCCCCGTGAGCACTGGGTCTTCATCTGGGGAAAGAGCCATCACCACTCACAGCAATTGCTCTAGAAATAGCACTTGGAAATGATCTAGCAAAGTATCGTTCACTTCCACAGACTTGCAATGGTCGATGGTGTCCTGCCAGAAGAGCAGATATGACATGAAAGCATCCATTGCTTGCCCTAGGGTCGGTTTCAATGCTGTCTCTTGTTTCGCATGATCCGATAGTCCGACGATGTGAGGGACGTTCTCGTCTGGTGTGAACTCTAGACTATGATAAATTAGTGATCTGCTTGCTGGTGCGGAGAAACTGAGGCTTACTGTCCCAGCTGACTGTAGAGGGCGCCGAGTCCGGTAGCCATGAGTGTGGCTAGGTCACTTTCAATCAGCCACCTCTCCAGGTTCTTTGACCGCGAGGCCGTTTCGATGAGGTATAGCAACCCCGTGCGCGCAAAGTCGCCCGCACGTCCCTCGCTATGGACATAGTCGACCAACAGATAGAAGAGTGGGAACTCATCTTTCCGAGTGGCTCCAGCGAACTCCGACCCATTCGGGGCCTGTGAGTCGCTATCCTGGGCCACCGGTGTTGCCCGAGGTCCAAACCACGCCGGCAGTATCACGGGCTGTAAACGAATGTTGTTTGCGATGCCGAAGAGCAGCTCCACTAGGCGACCCTCAATCTCATCAGATGGTTTCTCCGCACGACGAACCAAATCTACCAGCGCTCGGGCGAAGAGTCGGTTGTCCACAACGCCGTCGACCTCGGCGTCGATCAGGGTGTTGAAGAAAATGGTGGCTGATCTGAGAATGCCATCATCGTAGAATGAAAGGGCGAGCTTGGTGACTGTGACGAAGACCTGAGACGATGCCGCATAGGCGACACAGGGGTGTGGTGCGGGTCCGCGAGATTCTTCACTGAGGATGGAGTTCAGGCGCTCAATGTAGGCTCGCGCGTGTGCCACCGATTGCTCGCCGGAGGGGGTATTGGTCGAACGCCATATTTGCTATGGACCGATTAGCCAAGTCAAAGCTGGCGGGGCCCGAGGGAAAGATACCTGGAGAGCGTTACAGGCGCGTTTAAACGCCGTCAGCCGTTCTGTAGGGGATGTGGCCTTAGACTTGGACAGCGTGCGTGAGCCGCCGATCAGACGAGACCACTAAACCATATGAATTAGTTTGTATATGACATGCGGAAAGTAAGGGGTACATACAAAGTCCATTCTCTCGCAGCATGATCTTGTGAGAGTGACGGAGTCGAGGGTTGGGTGGAGACGTTGTTTATCGCGTTGATCACCACACCCGCAGACCTCAGCGCACCAACTGGTCTTCTCCACGTCCTCATACTATGTCTAGTAATCATTCGCTAGGCACTTAGGTAGTGGCCAGGGTTGTTTTATCTGATTATAACATATATGTAGATGACTGAAGAGATATACCCCTCCTCTGACCGGGTATAAAGAGTAATTGGGATAATCATCTAAACATGAGCCAGGTGGCTCATGTATTGAACGGTACCCTTGGTGCACGAGGTGCCTCAAGTCCAAATAAATATTCACAGAGAATGCGCCTCCGGATCTGATCCTTCCCCCACCATGTAACGCCTGAAAGCAAGAAAATATAAAACGATCCAACCCATGCGCCGAAGCCCGATCCCATCTAGGATGTCGTCAAATCATTTCCCAGGGTAGAGTTTAATCGCTCTCCTCCTTGGGTCGTCTCCCCCCACGCTTCCGGCGCCCTTCGTTTTGATCGCTGCCGTCATCCTCATGCTTCCGGCCCGCGGGTTGATCGGGAACCTTGGCGATGATGTCGGCCAGGAAATCTAGTACTTCGTCCTTGGCGACGGCATGTTTCAGGTGGGAGGCGGTGACGCGTTTCGAGTTGCGGTCCTTGGCTTCTTGGGCGGCTTTGGTGACGAGAGAGATCATGAAGAGTTCTAGGGCCTTGGCTGTAAGAATTCAGTCAGCAGGTGTACTCGGTGTGTGGCGCGTCCCGACCCGCGTGGGGGATGGAGAAATACATACACACAGCAATGGGGGTCACTTGGGCGACTTTTCCCACGTCCTCGTCGGCTTGCATGATGCGCTTGATGCGCGCGACGGGGAACTTGGTCTTGACCTCAATCCCCGCGCCAGGAGGGACATCACTCATCTCGGGCGCAATCGGCTGGACCGGTTGGGCTTGGGGCGAAGAGGGTGGGTAGGGTAGCGAGTGAGACTCGTCCTCGGGCAGAGGTTGTATATCTTCGGGCATTTCGTAGATGGGCTGGCTGTCTGATTGGGCAATGCGCGACGAACGACGAGCCATGTCGGACGCGAAGGAGGTAGGGAAGGAGAGATCGGGGGATTGTGGCCTATAGTCCATTATAAAGGAAAAATAGTAGTAAAAATAGTGCAGTGGGCCCAAGCTCTAAGAGGGCGAAGGCTCTTTTTAAGTACTGCCGTATGGTACCGTATTGGGACATTTTTCCTTTTTCTCTCATTCTCCCTCCTGGATCATGTTCCCAAGTATTCTGATACTATGATGTTCACCTTCCCCTATGGAATATCTCTCTATGTCCCAATCCTTCTGTTTCTCCAGTATAGTCTAGTCCTGAGATAGTCGAGTGCATATATGTGATATGTGAGCTTGTAGCCTCGTAGATACCCGATGACGACAGAGCAACATCGTCGAGTCGAAACAGCTGAAACCACCGGTATCGCTGATCGTCTGTGAACGCCAAATTACTTGATCTAATCTGAGGGTTCGTACACAATGTGCAGTACAGAGGACGCATGCTGCAGAGGGAGCAGGGTTCTTGTGGACACCCAAATTGTGTCTCCGTCATCGCCAACTTCGGCAGAACACTTTATCCGAATCATTTCAAGCCTGCGCAAATGTTGTTAGTTACACTCTCCAAAGGCTTCAATTATTCCAGCCATGGCGGTGGCGGATGCCCCCGGTCTCATGGACATTGCCAGGTATGAACTGGGATGCTATCCCATATCCCGATCCTCTGCTAACCTTTCAGCACCCTGGCCCAAGACGAGATACCCTTTAAATTGAGATGCGCCATCTGCAACAGTCTAGCGGTAAATGCCTTCCGGCTTCCCTGCTGTGATCAGTCAATATGCGAGACCTGTATGTGAATATTCCATCCAAGTGCGCGCCTCCAGCTAAGACTTTTTCTGTCAGGCCAAGCTTCTCTTTCCGATACCTGCCCCGTCTGCACTCATACCCCAGTCTCTCCGGATCTCTGCAAACCCAACAAGGCTTTGCGCACTACGCTCAAGGCCTTCCTACGCACAGAGGAGAAGAAGCGGGAGAAAGATCGCCAATCCGCGGCAGCTCCATCCAACGACCCGCCAGCAGAGGCCAGCTCGGCTGAGACTGCTCCTCAGAATGGCGAACCGGGAGCAGCTGTGACAGTGGACGTCTCAGCGCCTACGGAGCCTACACAGTCGAGCTCGGGAGGTTTGGAAGAGACTTCTCCGGCTGTAAAAACTCCCACCGCTACCGCGGCTGGGCAGAGTGTTGCGGAACCTGCTCCCCATCAGGCGAATACTGATGCTGATCTTGAAGCTCCGGTAAGATATTAATCCTGCCGTGAATCTCTAACTCGATTTGCTGACCTTGCAATTTAGCCCGCGGAAGCTGTTGATGAACCCAATGGGGCCGAGACTACACTCGAATCCACGGCCGAGAATCCCACCGGTTCGGCCATCGATGAAGAATCTGCTCCCGCTCAAGGTGCTCCCGAGGATCCGAATTCTGCCATGAATCTCAACATGGGCGGGAACTACCCAATGGGCTGGAACGGAAATACAATGAACCCTTACATGGCTGGCATGTTCAACTTCCCGAACACAATGGGTGAGTCGCAATTTTTTATCTAGGGAAATACACGATTACTGACTTCTACTCTCCAGGAATGCCCATGGGGATGGACCCAATGGCAGATCAGGGGATGTTCGGTGACTACGGAATGAACATGACTGGCATGGGTATGAACTCTGGGAACTACAACGGTGGCATGTATGGATCTCTAGGCTGGGACCCCTCTCAGAACAACAATATGTGGCAAGGCGCCCAAAATAAATTCAATCCAAATGCATTCGCAAATGGCACGGGTCCTTACGGGGGATCGTTTGGGTCTAATATGTCTGCTTACCCTCCGAATTATCAGTCTGGCTACTATGGAGGCTACGGCCGCGGCAACTTTCGAGGCCGAGGCCGAGGCCAATACCAGGGCTTTGGCCGTGGATTCAATCCTCACGCTAACCCGGGATATTCTAACTATTCAGGCGCTATGGCTGGAGCTGAGGGTAATTTACCGAACGGAGATCCAGGAGATGGAATGTCTATGAACCCCGATAACCAAGTACAAGGATACAATGGCAACGATCAGTCCGTCTATGGCAGTAATGGACATGGACATCCTCCAGGACCTGGAGTGGAAGGAGCGCCAGCGGCCCCGCGTGCAATGAGACAAGGACTTCCCAATACCAGCGTCTACCGCCAACGCATGGTCCAGGGTCGAGCCAGTAATCCTAGGTATGATATTCTTGAGCTGTTGGGCCGCCAGTCTGGCGTATTGGCTTGTCTCCGAATCTAACTTCGAACAGTGACCCTGACACCGGGGTAAGTGCCCCCGTGGAATCGTCTCGATCTGGATCGCCTTCGCAACTTGAATCCCAGCCTCGCTCCCCTTCAGTACAAGGTACAGAAGACGGACAAGACACCCGTCGGGAAGCAGAATTCAAACGCATGGATCGAGTGGACGAGCTCCAAAATGATGCTCGTCGCACTCGCTCCCCATCCCGAACATCTTCCCGTCGGTCTTCGCGACGCAGGCCTGTTGACGAGGACCGGGAAAGGGACCGCAAAGACAGTTACCGATCACAGCGGTCTCGTCGTCGCCGCAGCCGCAGCCACAGCTCCAGTCGGAATGGAGATTCTCGGCTATCTTCTCGCCTGGATGACATTCCAGAAGATCCATCTAGCACCCGAACGAAAACGGCCTCCGATGCCCATGAATCACGCGACCTCGCCAGCCGAATCAGTAACAGTCGTCGCTCAGACAAAGATCGTGTCAGTCGACGTGAGAATGACCGATCCCACGGTCAACCCCGAGAGTCTCGCCGCCGGGAGCGCGAGCGAGACCGGGACCGTGATCGACGGGATCGAGACCGAGACACCGATCGAGACCGTCGCCGCGAAGACCGCGACAAGGGTCGAGGCGAAGAGCGTGACCGGGATCGTCGGGATCGCCCTAGAGAACGGGAACGGGATCGCAAGCGCTCCCGCCGCGATCGTTCACTGTCTGTCAACGGTAGTGATCATCCTCAAGCCCGACGCGTAAAACGTGATGAGGATCGCAATGGTGATCAGTCAAGCGGCGCGTCGATCAAAAGATCTGAGCCTGAAAAAGACCCTTACACACTTGAGCGCGAGGCCCGTAACAAGGAGCGCCTGCAGCGCGAGCAGCAGCATCGAGAGAAGGCCAATCCTGGCCGTCGCCGTGAGAGCCGGCAGGACCGGATGGTGGCAGGCCGTCGCATCAACTACAAGTACGAGGATGAGCTTTAGTTGTGTGCCCCAAGGTTTGGTCTTTTTTCCCACCAGTGTTACCCAGAAAATACAAGCATTGTGGTCCATGGCGTCTCGGGTTGTTTCCTTTCAACCATTCTTGTACCATTTTTTTTTTCATGTTCCCATGTCAGACCTCGGAGCAGTGATTGTCGCTAGGGTTAATGTTTGCCATTTAAGAGGTTCTCAACCTTAGAATGGATGGGATAAAGACATCTAACAAAAAATAAAATCAGATTCATCATAGGTCACTACTTGATGCTCCTTAGCCCTAGAAAATTCCAAGGTTATTTAAGTGATCCGTTCAAGTTGCACGTCATGATCAGAACGGATCGTCCGTAGGCGGCATATATATCGGATGATGCCTAGCACTCAAGACCTTTTCCTTTCCATTTTAGTACTCACATCTTGCCGCTTTTTGATCACTGAGTAAAATTGAGCACACCCTTGAGTACCCTGGCTTGATCCCGAGGGCCAAAGGCCTCCAGAAAGTCATGCGGAGTGAAACCAAACAACATAGCTATGCAGGACCTAAATGTATTGTCTAACCGGGCGTACCTAGGTAAAGGTAGCCCCGGAGACCGCCCCAGCTGATCCACTTGGGTGCTGACACTACTAAAAAGCGATCATTCAAAACCAAATTTCTCATCCGCCGATCCAGTCAACCAGATTTGTAGATCTCTGAAAGCGTCAAGATCATTTTTCGTGAACGAAACATCGACAGCAGGGTTGTGCCAGTGGCGGGTTCTTTTCGTTTCGGTGTCGCGCAAAGACTCTCCGATAGATCGACAGCTATCGAAATCGATGAGAATAAACGTACCATCATCGCCAAGCATGATATTTGCGGGGTTGATATCGTTATGAACAAGTCCGAGAGAATGGAGATGTTTGATAGCGGCCAAAATTCCCTCTAGGCTATTTTTCATATTCGCCTTCACTAGTTCGCGTGCACTTAAAAGGAAAGCGACCTTGCCCAGACGCTGGGGATTGACTGCTTCCAGTAGTGTTGACTTATATTGTCTGAAGCATAGCCCACAGACTCGGCCGTGGGTATGCTGATAACCATAATATGTCGCGATATTCGGATGGGGGTTCTTGCGGAGAATTTCGCATGTTTCGACCTCGCGAGCGATTTGTTTTTCAAGGTTTCCATCGATATACGCAAGGAGACTTGGTGTTTTCACATAGATCGCGGTCCAAGAGGGTTTCGCTTCTGGGCCCCTATCCTCGGTTGGGATTTCCTTGAGTTCTTGGAGATCTTCCAGCGTCTTTGGCGAATATGATCGATTCGTCCATTTTCCGGAATATAATATACCATCTTGCCGAACAAAAACCTGGATATAGGAAAATTTCATTTTGCCATTAATCCTTCTGAATGCCTCATTCTCTTGGATGACTTCCATATTTATGAGAGGTATGCCCAGGTGAGTTCCGTGAAGCTGTGCTGGCAAAAGCAGTGTCAAGTTGGCAGAAGAGAAAGGTGGTGGCCTTGAATATATACAAGTTCCGTCCACGGCCTGAGGACCGGTCACGGGAAATCACATGGGGTCAGATAACCCAACCCGGGATCCATGGGGCTTGATGCAACATATTTACTTGGTAGGTATATTTTGTTCGAAGGTCGTTCTAAGGTTGGCTGATCCGCGTCCACACCTGGGCAGGTTCCGAGGTCGACCCGGAGCCTGGAGGTCTTCATATCAAACTTTGAACCCGTGGATCTTCCAGGTTGGAAGCAATTATTGCCCCGGCTACCTATACTACCTAGCGCCAATCTTGGTCCACGGGTTCACGGGGAACACTTTTACTTACCAAGTATATTTCCAATCCATGGATGTTACAATACTATACCTACATAGGAAGTATAGATGGATCACCCGGCACTAAAACTGGCTTATGTTGTGCCCAGGTGGTGAGCACAAACCTTGGAACTTGGGTATTCGCCGGGTTTCACGATCAACATACCTAGGTAGCCTCGGGATTGGATTCGAATGGGTCAATGTATTGACAATTCCGCTAAAAAAGAAAGAAAAAAAGACTTATCCACACACTGCACCGGCTCATATAATTCAGACAAGTGACTCCAATTCAACAAATGATCTGCCTGGCTGTAACTCGCGGGGTCAACCCCAAGAGCCGTGCTCAGATAGGAAAAGATATTTAGTTCAGCTTGCTCTTCAAAGCCTCGATCTCGGCGGTCAGGGTTTGCATTTGCTGGGCCTGAGAGGCGATCGTCTTGGTTTGCTGGGCAATTAGGTTTTTGATTTCCTCAATGTCGTTCTTGGGAACGGAAGTAGAGGGGGATGGGGTCTCGCTGGCGGGAGATGGGATAGTAGGAGTCTGATGGCAAATATTAGACGACAGAGCCGGTTTCGAAAGCGGTGAACTTACAGAGACAACAGGTTGGGGCTTGGTCTCGGCCTCCTTCGGCCTCAGCGGGCTGCTGACCCGGGGAGAAGAAGACTCAGTTGCGGCGGCGGAACGGACGGGGCGTTCAACCGGCTTGGGAACCTCCTCAAAGCTCGAGTCGTCATCGTCGGAGACATTGCCCTCCTCCTCGCCGTCGGCGAACTTGTCAACCATAGAGGCCATGGAGGCACCCTGGTCCTTCATGGATGGAGCGGGACGTGCGACGGGAGTGGGTTCGGGGGCCGGCTCAGAGATCTTGGGCGAACTGGGCGCAGAAGCCTTCTTGGGCGCTTCGGTAGCCTTGGGTGCGTCGGCTGCCTTGGGAGAATCAGCAGCAGCCTGAGGCGCAGGGGTTTCAATGGAGCCAGTAGGCTTTTCCTCAACACCAGAAACCTCCTTGATACCTTCGCCATCGAACAGACTGGCCATAGAGATCTTGGGAGGGATGGCCTCCTTGCCTCCCAGCCACTCGGAGCATGACATCGCAGGGGCAACTCCGGTGGTCGGGGGATAGATGTCGTCTTGGAAGTTCTCAGAGCGACGGGGAACGATGAATGAAACAGGCTCGATGTACTGATCGTTCACGGTCTTATAAGCACGTGCAACCTCGTTCTCGTGCATGTTAACGCCGCGCTTGGGCATGAAAGCAACACCACGCTGGGGGTCTGCGGACTTGTGCTCAGAGAGGAACTCGAACTTGTCGTTCTCTAGCTCGAAGTATCGGATGTTACCGTCACTGCCGGTTGTTAGCAAAAGGTCAGGGATCCGGAGCTTGATCATATGTACTCACCCACGTCCAGCCAAGTACAAGCAGTTGGTGCCATCGTCCCAGAATGGCATGCACACACCAGAAATCGAGTCCAAGGTCTTGAACCCATTGATGGGTTCGCGAACCGCACGAATATCCCAAAGAGCCAGCTGGCGGTCACTCATCTTGGAGAAACCGGTGGTGGCAATGCGATCGCGTTCTCCCAGCCAGACGGCACGGCTGTTCTTGGCACCGGTGTGACCATTGGTCTCATGGGCAGGACGCTCCTGGCGCACATCCCAAATACGGAGCTTCTTGTCACGCGAGGTGGTGACCATCAGGGAACCGTTGGCACTCCATGACTGCGATTGGACAATGTCGCCAATGTTGAGCGTGAGCTTGGGCTTCCCAGCCTCAATATCCCAGATCTTCACAGTGTAATCGCCCGAGGCCGTTGCCAGCACGTTTTCTGCCGCGGGGTTGAAGAGCACGTGGCCGATCTTCCTGCATGAGGGGTAAGAATGAGGCGATAAGAATTCGGACGATCGAAACAGTGGGTCTTACTTGGGGTGACCGCTCAATTTTCCAACAGGAGCAAGGTCCTGGATGTCGTCGGCATTCACGTCGGGGCGGACGGTGAAGTTCTCCGGAACCCGCCAGAGGAAGACCTAGGTAAGGTCAGTCGCCACGCTCACATTGAGGTCCAAAGGTTCATACTTTGCCATCATCAGATCCAGAGGCGATCAGGTCATCGTTGAAGGGGTTCCTTGGGAGGATCAGTGGATGTACTGGATGTGCCGCGGGCTGCAATTGCTTACCAGTCGGTGTCCAGAACAACGGCAGTGTGGCCTCGACACAAAGGGATACGCTCCGGGAGCTTGCCTCGTTCCTCGAGGGGGATGATGGCAAATGCACCTCCACCACCTGCTTCCCAATTGACCGCAATATGTTTGGGGTTGACCTAGATTGCGCGGTGAGACTGGGTTCGGAGTGCCGCGTCAGGGGTGGCGGGGGTGGAACAAACCTTGAGCAGGTTGGTATCCCAGGCATTGCGCGAGACTCGAAGGTTATCGTAGCATTGATCCTGATCTGATTAGTATAGGTTGTGTATTGGGCGGTGGCTAAGGGTACCTTTCTCGTCGAACGCCCGAAGACGTGGCCTATAACGGTCAGTGGCACGCGCGAATGGAAGCGGAAACACAGGACTCACGGTATTTGGAGGAACGAACAAAGCGCCCAGACATTGTGAATACCGAGGGTTCAAAGGGATAGGTACAGCAAACGAAAAGGGGAGAAAAGGAGTAGACGTTGGAGAAGCTTGGGGGTCACTGGGGCCGGCGTTTCGGGAATCCGAGTGGAGGCGACAGGGCCCCACGACGTCCCGTCGAGTCGATGGCTGCTGGCTGTATACTGTACAGTATGAAACAAGAGCACCAAATATTTGGTCCTGTTCTTTGTGAAGGATCAAGTACCCTGAACTCACTCTGCTATTCAGACTTGAAAGATTCCTCCCTATTTTGATTCCCCCGAAGTCACTGGGGGAGCAACAAAGTGAAGCCATTCGATTTGTATGAGGGTCACGTGAGCTGCGAGTGTACCACGCTAGTCCCGATCCCGCCTAGCGCAGTACTGTTTGTTTACCTCCCAGGGCATTTCGTCTCTCCAGAAACCAGTTTGCGACTGACGTCTCTGGGCATGTCACTTCAAACCATCCATCTCGATTCTTGATCATCAGTCCCTGAGGCCAACCCAAACCGTGGCTGGTCGTGAGTTCCTTATTCTCGCCCGGATACTCTACTCGCCGGTCACCTGGCGGTCCGCGAATCCAACAATGGACGGTGAAAACATGGTAAAGACACTCTCCCCCACTTTGCGATCTCGAATGAAATTGACTCCAATTAGTCGCAAGTTCAAACAAGGGCGTCTACTCGTATGCGCATGCCACAGGCTGGGCTACGAGAGGCCAGCTCGGCGATCACCAACTCTCGCTCGGGGATCATGGCGCCAGGCACGATCGCAAACAAGGCCATGAGCATGTCGCGTATGGATTTACCGCACCCCATGGCGCAACAAGAGCTGACACCCACGGAAGCAACTCGGCCCAAGGCTACTACCACCGAAACAAGGAGACAAGGGTCCGTTGCCCGACAACCTGCCCCGACTAGCAAAACGCATAGCAGAGGCAATTCATATGCTTCATCAACCATGACGCGATCTACGACAGCCGCATCCCGCACGGGTCACTTCTCATCAACCGTCGGTCCAGGCACCCGCCCAACATCGAATATGTCGCGACCCCAAACCTCTTTTAACGCCCGCAGACCCGTCGGCGCATCCATCCCGCGCGCCGCCAGCGCATTGGATACCCATATGGAAGACACATCTCCCAGCGTGCTAGGAAAACGAAAGGGTATGCCTCCCATTTCTTTGACCCCCACCCGCATCCCCTCTTGCCCCATCGGATACACCACCCCAGGATTGGAACATTATTCGGATACAAGCGCCCAGTTCGCAATGCTTTCGATCTCAGAACCAGCTGGCTATCCCCAAGACCCCCCAAATCCCAGGACTTTCGTTTTGATGCCAATTGTCCCGCCCTCCGGCGATGATTGTAACCAGGCTGCCCCAAAGCTCCCCGTGCTTAGGGAGTTTGCATCTTCGTCTTCACTCTTTGCAACCCCCGAAATCCCTAGAACCCCATCTTCCTCTCCCCAGCGGCTGTGCAAGAAATCATCACATCCCGTGTTTTTGACAAAGCATTCATCATTCAGAAGTTTTGACCATGTTACAGGACCCGAATGGGATCAGGACACCCGCGAGAAGAACCTTGATAATATGATGAAGACGTTTATGGAGCAGATGAATAAACAAGGACAGACTAGCTCCGGGTTGAAAGACGCCGTGGATGTTTACAAGTCAAGGAGTAAGTCAATCAGGGAGGAATCGCAATCGCAAATTGAAGCTGAATGTCTCATTTAGTATCCGAACTTGAAAGCTCTCGAGATGAGCTGAAAGAAGCAGCTCTCACACAACGCGTGGAGTTGGACTCACTACGGACCCAACTTTCGACAGCGGAGCAGACACTGAAAATCGCGAAGCGAGACCACGAAATCTCTGTTGACGATCTCGACCAGCGCCATCGCATTGAATTAGATTCCTCGAAACAACGAACAGAGAGAGAAGTGGCGATTCTCAACGCTCGATACCAAGAGGAGGCCCAGGAGCTCAGGCGCAAGTTCGAACGGGAGATCGAAGATGAGAAGGCTGCTCGGGTCCGAGCGCTTAATCAAATGACCTCGCAATCTGCCCTTGACACACAGAAACTGCAGATTGAGGTAGAGCGCAAGGACCGCGAGCTTGGAAATTTGCGGGATGAGTTGCACATCCTGAAAGGAGATCTCGATCGCGAACGCAGGATCGTCCAGGAACTCAAGCAGAACCTCGAGACAGTCAGCAGCAACAGCGTCGCGTTGGATTCCTCCATCAGAGCGCTCAAGGCACACATCGAGTTCCTCGAAGGTGGGCGCGAAGAGCAATCGAAATCCTTTGAGCGATGCAACCAACAGATGCGGGATGCCTTTGCTGAGACGGAAGCAATCAAGGAAAAGCTCAGAAGGGAAGAGACACTCCGACGCAAACTTCATAACCAAGTACAGGAACTCAAAGGCAACATTCGAGTGTTCTGTCGAGTGCGTCCCTCCCTGAAAAGTGAACCTTCTTCCGGTCTCACACTCATGCAATATCCCGATGAAACCGAGGATGCGAAGGAGATCAACATCATTGGCCCTGAGGAGAAAGGTAGCCTGGGAGGCGTCACGCGAAAAAACAATACCTTCTCCTTTGATCGCGTGTTCAACCCATCGACGAATAATGCCGAGGTCTTTGATGAGATCAGCCAGCTTGTCCAAAGTGCGCTGGATGGCTATAATGTCTGCATATTCTGTTATGGCCAAACCGGAAGTGGCAAGACTCACACCATGTCTTCAGTCGATGGAATGATTCCACGCGCTGTTCACCAGATCTATGAAACCGCACAAGGTCTCGAAGAGAAGGGTTGGCGATACACAATGGCCGGCAACTTCGTAGAAGTTTACAATGAAAACATCAACGATCTCTTGGGAAACCCGGATGAGCTCGACAAGAAGAAGCATGACATCCGCCATGACATGCAGCGGGGCAAGACGACCATAACCGACATCACGACAGTAAATCTGGACTCTCCTCAGATGGTCGAAACCATTCTCAAGAACGCCGATGCCAACCGTTCAGTCGCAGCGACCAAGGCCAATGAACGTTCGTCGCGTTCTCACTCCGTGTTCATTCTCAAATTGACCGGTGAAAATCACATCACCGGCGAACGCAGTGAAGGCACGTTGAACCTGGTCGATTTGGCAGGTAGCGAGCGCCTCAGCCATAGCGGAGCCACAGGCGAGCGTTTGAAAGAGACACAGAACATCAACCGCAGTCTGAGCTCTTTGGGTGACGTTATTGCAGCTCTTGGCCAGGGCAAAGAAGGTGGCCACATCCCATATCGGAACAGCAAGGTATGTATCTCGTATCTCAATCGTTTCAGCCCATGTCAAACTAACTTATCTTTTAGCTTACTTATCTCCTCCAATTCTCGCTTGGCGGTAACTCCAAGACACTCATGTTCGTCATGGTCAGCCCTCTCCAGGCGCACATGTCAGAGACTTTGACCAGCTTGAAGTTCGCCACGAAAGTCCACAATACTCATATTGGCACCGCAAAGCGACAGGCTCGTGTCCGTGATACCTAATGATGACCATCCCTTTTTCTTCTTCCTTCTTACATTGCATATATTTTGTTTGTTTCATCTCTAGGTAGAGGTCTTTTAACGATCCTGTCCTCTACCTCGGTGTTTGGATTGGCGTGTTGAGTTCTTTTTTCCCCCTATTCCGGAGCCTATTGAGAGATATTCGGCCCAGCTTTGGCGTGTGATTTACTGGATGGGCGGATAACTCGGGCTTCGGTTTTGCACAGGAGCACTCTCAACATCTCACTTGTTGGATCTCATTGCTAGAGATATGCTAGTCTTACGTTTGGTTTTACATTTTCCACAATGAATTCATGGCTATCAAACACTATGTCCTCTATCTTTCCTTCCCAACTCGAAGGAACACTTGGATTTTTCGCCCATATCACGCCTAAGGTTCATCCCAAAAAAGCGAATGCACAAGTTGAAATAAGCTTAAGCTTTCGGCAACTCCGCAACCGTGTTACCGTGGTCGGGATGCAATTGCCTCGGGAACATCCATGGATCCATTGATGATTTGGACCACCGTCCACGGGCGAGCCAGCTGCCTACTTGGACAGCCGAGGTTTACGTCCAGAGTGCCCAGGTGGTCTCATCCCCCCAAGTCCCTATCCTGGGTGTTAGATAGCCTACACTAGCTGCCCGACGGGAAGTCTGAGTATTGAAAGAAAGGTTCAATTTCATATGTGAATCGTCTAAACAGGCATTATAAGAGACAAGAAGAAATTACGCGGATATGTACATGATGCTGTCACACTGGAGATTTTTTGGGGCAGCGGGTGATGGGACCCATCAGTTGATGCGGACCGATGCCAAAAGATCGATCTTCCCGTCCATTTGGGCATCTTCACTCGCGTCCGCCCCATTGGCTCCATTGGCCTGCGAGCCGAGTCCGTTCACCACGGCGTTGAGAACACCACTGAGACCATTGTTGCTGTTGCCAGGTTCAGGAAGGGGAATCTGGGGTTCGCGCTGGCACATTTCATTCGTCCCCAACGGGGCTTCGACATCGCGAGAGATCCACTCGAGCTTGGCGGACAAACTGCTCAACATTCCCTGCGCGAACTCGCGCGAAACAGCGTGGTTAGAGAAGATCATCTCGACGCGAATCTGCTCGCCAACAGGGGTGGCCAGAATGGACATGTCACAGGCGTCAGGGGCCGGGCAAACGAAGCCAGGGGTGCATTTGAGCACACTTTCGAAAGGCACAGGCTGGCCGGGAGCAGCTTCCTCACCGCCGAAGTCCTGGTATTGGAACACGGAGCTAAATCTTGTTGCTGGGGTCCATTCAGTGCATTGGTCAATGATCTGCTGGAAACCCAAGCTTTCGTGGGGAATCGTGTCGGTCTGTTGCTGTTGGATGGCACGCAGCAGATCGAGAACATTATGCATAGTTGCCATATTGGCACGCACAGGCACAATGTTCAAACATGGACCCATCATCGACTCTACACCGTCGAGAGCCAGGTTGCGACCGGACACCATGTGCCCGTACACAACATCTGCAGTTGCCGCCATGTCCGCCAGCACAAGTGCCCAGGCTGCCTTCACGACTGTAGCAGCTGTAATGCTGTGTTCCTTGAATGCCACCAGAGGCACCACTTCAGCCAGCATGGTGTTGAGGACATTTGTGACCGACGACTTGGTGTGCGTGACAACCGAGGTCATACTAGATCCAGCCAGCATATCCGAGTAGAAGCTCTTAGCACCTTCGCTGCTATGCAGTTGCGTGCGGACAAAGTCAGAGAATTGGGCACGCTTGGGAAGGTCTTCGCCACGGTAGGCCGCCCGCAGGTCCTGCATCAGATGCGGCATGGAACTTCCATCATACTGGGCGTGAGAGATGCGCATGATCAATCGGTGATGGGTGGCATCATCCTTGACAAGCATAAAGCGCACAATAGCCTCACCCAGGTGGGGGGGCCTGGCAAGGTCTTCACGAATGAGATCTTCGGTTGGATCTTCCTCGTCCTGAATGTGAATGCTGTATTCGGGGGCAACCGAACGAAGAATAACTTGAATGAGCTCGGAGCCAGTGGACAAGAACACAGTGCGAAGAACAGCATGGTGAGCAACCAGTTGTTCACATGCCACTTGCAGTCGGCGGAGATCAATCGGCCCTTCAAAGTCGAAGATGAGGTAGTTGCTCCAGCCACGGGTCTGATTGAGACCGCCGTTGATTGCCAGAGACTGGAAATCGGTAGATTCCAGAGCATCCTGGATCTGGAAAGCAGGCACACCAAGCTGAGGGATGATTATATCGTCGATCAGCTTATCCTTGGGGATTGACTTGAGACTGGAGAAAGGTTCAAAGGTTTGAGGTCGCTGCTGGTGCGACAGAGTTTCCGCAACGGCACTGATGGCCTCCAGTGTGGGATGTTGGAAGATGGTGGCCGTGGAGAGCGGGATTCCCTTCGTGCGCGCCGCAGAGGCCAATCGCATAGCACTGATTGAATCACCACCCAGTCGTAGGAAGTTGTCGTTCAGACTGATTTGAGCAGCAGGCATTTTGAGAGTCTCTCCCCAAAGCTCCTGCATGGTGAATTGCATCTCGGTTGTTGGAGGGCGGGCATCCTCTGTGGCTCCAGAGTATTCGGCCATCCGACGATGAGTCAATCCGCTCGCGAGGCGAATCAAAGTCTTGCGGTCTGCCTTACCAGAGGGCATCTTGGGGATGTTGTACAATGGAATATAGGCACTAGGGATCATGTGCATGGGAAGGAAGTCTGACAGTCGGTCTTCAAGTCCAGACACCGAGGAGATATGTCGCTGGTTTGGCTCTGGGATCATAGACTCCGGCTGGTTGAGCATGAAGATGGACGTTGGCTTTCGGCGAGCCTCGGACGCTGGAACCTGAATAAATGCCACCAAGCGAGGCTGATCAGGGGCATCTTTGGGACAGACGATATCCACGACAGCATGAGGTTTGTCAGGAAGACTTTGCTTGATGCGGTACTCAATCTCTCCGAGCTCAACACGCTGACCGCGCAGCTTAACTTGAGTATCTTTACGACGCTGGAAGTCAAGGGAGCCATCAGCGTTGTACCGGACTAGATCTCCTGTTTTGTAAACAACGGGAGATCTAGGCTGATCACCCAAGTCCATCCACAGCGGGTTTTCAACAAACGCAGCCTGTGTCTTCGCCGGCTCATCGAGATATCCGCGACCAACGTTCCAGCCCTCCAGTACCAACTCTCCCACACTGCCAACGGGCATCAAACGATGGTGGTTGGTGGGCATAACAACCCAGGACACACCCGAGCACATGAAACCGATGTTGCGCGGGCTTACGCCTGGCACAACGTCAATGTTGGACGTAGACGCAACGCAACATTCCGAAGGGCCGTATCCATTGACCAGTCGTACGCGAGTTCCCCAAGTATCGATGTGGGATTGCGACATAGCTTCTCCGGCCAGGATAAGTGTCTTGATTGACGGAACATCTTCAGGGCTCAGAAGATTGACGAACGAAGGCGTCAGGGCGGCCCAGTTGGCTCTTGTGTTGCGCACTGCTTCAGACACGTCACGCTTTCGCTGCTCCTCAGAAGCAACGCAGATACAACCGCCAACGATGAGAATCGTGAGTGTCTCGACCAGACTAGCATCAAATGTGAATGATGCAAACTGTAGGCCTCGAGTTTTGCTGTCAATCAACATGGCAGGCGCGTGAGTCACAGAGCCGACGGCATAGTGGCCATGCTGGATGATGGTTCCTTTGGGCTCTCCAGTACTTCCTGATGTGAAGATAACATATGCAGCATGTTCGGGTCTCACGTCAACAGGTGCGGGTTCCGGAAGTGACTCCTCTGGGGTCTGAGCATCCAAGACCACGATGTTCAACTCCTCACCCATGCTGCGACAAAGATCATATTGCTTGGGGGAGCAGACAATAGTCTGGGCTTTGAGCTTTCTGATCATGAGCTGGATTCGATTGGTAGGCTGGGAAGGGTCAACGTTGAGGAATGCACCGCCTGCACGCATGACACCCAGCATGGCGGGCATAGCCCAAAGACTCTTCTCAAAACAGCAAGGAACAAAGCTTTCGGGCTGGACATTCAGCTGACCAAGGCGGCGTGCGAGACGAGAAGCGTGCTTGTCGAGTTCGGCATATGTCAAAGAGCCATCCCAGGAGCAGACCGCTTCGTCATCTGGGCGCTCAGCAATTTGCTCTCCGATCATCTGATGGATGGTTTTGTGGATAGGGGCTGGGATGTGACGATTCCATCCACGGATGCTCTCTTGGTCCTTGGTGCTGATGAAAACGAGCTCATTCAACTTCTTATCAGCAGGAGAAGAGCACATTTGGTGCAGTAGGTTTTCAAGCTGGCCAAGGATGCGCTCAACTGCATTGCCCTCGACCAGACTCGAATCATAATGGGCAGAGCAAGCGACCCCATCAGGGTTCAGGCTGCACTCCAGAGTAAGAGCGTATGTGCCGAAGTTAGCATCCGCTTCAGATGCCGCTCGCAGATCAATCTCATCAGTTGCGATGTGCTTCTTCTTGGAGGGCTGCACGACCAAGAGGGTTTGGAAGTCACAGGCCGCAGTGGCATCAGAACTAACACGTCGAATATGCTGTAAACCGGCTTGTTCAAATTCAATCATTTTGGTTGATTGGTCCTGAACATCACCAACAAACTCACGGATGGTCAAGGTGTCGTTAGTGTCTTGGAACTTGACACGGATAGGAACAGCAGCGATACCGGGCCCAAAGAGCTGGTCCGCGTTCGAGATGGGGGCATTGCGACCGGAGACAATGGTACCAAAGACAACATCATCGGACTCAGAGTGGGATCCAATGAGAATTCCCCAGGCGGCACGAATCATCGACGCGAGTGTGATACCGGCCAGACCATCAGTCCTGTTCAATGTCATGCTGTACTTAACAGAGGAGTCAGCAACTGGTTGCTTTGAGGTTGAGACTGCTGATGGGAATTCGTTGCGAGTGGCACCTGCAAGGTATTCTCGCCAGAAGTTCTCAGATGCCGCAGCATCGGTGTTGATTACGTGCTGAATAAACTCCTTGAAAGAGGTATCACGCGCAATGTTCTGGTTCTTGTATGCCTTATCGAGGCGATCAAAGGTCAAATCAAGCGTCCAGGCATCATAGACAGCATGGTGGACAGTCCAAACAAACGTCCATCCCTCATCACTGGGCACGAGAGCATAACGAGTAAGGGGCGCCCCAGCACTCATGGGGCTGGCCTTGTCTTGTGTTGTGTAGGTCTCCAGATCGCTAGCAGTATTCCATTGAATATTACCTTGGATGACGGCTTGCAGGGCTCTGGTCTGTTCAGGGTAGACAATGCTCGTGCGGAGTACGGGGTGGGCATTCACCACTTTCTGGCAAGCCTTTTTGAACCTATCCAGGTCGACAGAAGGGCCCAATGACAATGTGTGCTGGGCGACGTAGGCACCGGCTCTGCTGTCTGAGAGAGCCATGAGACCTTCTTGCATAGCGGTGCAGGGGTATAGATCTTCAACAGCGGATGGGCGAACCTCGCACTGTGCAGCAGCCTGCTGGATCAGGCTGGCAACATCACCAGACACAAGACCAAATGGAACATCTTCGAAGGTCTGGACAAGCAGTTGCGAGCAAGCTTCTGCCATCTCATCTAGCACAGGATACGTGAAGATGCTGGCGACGGATAGACCGATTTGAGCGTCGCGGGCCAGATTGACCAATTTCATCGCATCAATAGAGTTTCCTCCTAGGAGAAGGAAACTATCGGTGGCAGAGATGGAATCCTCCTTCAATTCCAACACGTCTGCCCACAGGCTACGCAGCGCCATTCCTGTTTCCGTGGCTGGCTCTTTGTGCTCCGCCTGTGAAGCCCCCGTCAAAGCGGAAATGGTGAGTGTGCAAGCAAAATCACCAATAGCTTTGCGGTTTGTCTTTCCGGAAGCAGTCAAGGGCATGTGGTTGAGCTTGACGACAGTCGAGGGAACCATGTACCCCGGAACGGATTCGGCGAGCTTAGCCTTCCACCCCTCCATGCGGGCTTCGATATCGGTGGCAACATCGTCATCAACGGGGTAGAAGTTGTCACCGAAGGCTTTCTTGACAGATGCAAATACGGCAAGCATGGGGCGGTCTGCTTGGTCCACAGGTTTGACAAGACCGACGGCAACCTCAGTTCCCTTAGGAATGATCTGGCGCAGGTGGAACTCGACTTCCTCGAGCTCAATACGCTGGCCTCTCAGCTTGATCTGCATATCTTTCCGCCCCACGAGGTTGATGCTGCCCTTAGTTCCATACCGAACCAAGTCTCCAGTCTTGTACGCGCGAGATGGCAGCGCACCGCGAATCTCTTCCATCCAGGGGGTGTTTGAGATGAAGACCTCGGCTGTCTTCTCGGGCTGGTGAATATACTCGCGAGCGAGGATTGGGCCCTCGATGACCAGCTCGCCGATCGCTCCAAGAGGGGCCAATCGATTGTGGTCAGTCGCATCCACCACCCAAGTTGTACAGCCAGCCGCGAATCCAATGGTAGAGCGGCCAACGGGGCCCGACAAGTCACCGGCGACACAGATTGAGGCCTCTGAAGCACCGTACATGTTCAGCATCTTTACTCGGTGACGCCATGTATCCAGGTTGTCTTGCTGGACAGGTTCACCAGCCAAAAGGAGGGTTTGAAGCTGCGGCACATCCTCGGGCTTGATTGAACGTAGGAAGGACGGGGTTAAGCACGCCCAATTCGCGTTCAAATCACGCATCGCACCGGTGGTGCGTCCCAAGCGGTCCTCCTTCGAGGGAACACACACACAACCACCTTCCACCAATGGCGTGAAAAGTTCGAAGGTGTTGACAACGAATGTGTATGCAGCAAATTGGAATGTACGCGTAGCGCTGTTGATGTTCAGCGCAGCAGCGTGACGTCTGGCACTAGAACACATCGTGCGATGCTCGTGCACGATACCTTTTGGTTTTCCTGTGCTACCAGAAGTGAAGATCGCGAACGCAGCATCCTTCGGGGATACCTGAGGGAGCTCAGAAGCAGGTGGAAGGCTGAGGATGAAGCTCTCGTCGACTGCGATGGTATTGGGTACCAACTCAGCTAGCGTGTCACGGTAAGCCGGTGCACCCAGTGTTACCTGCGCATCCACTTCACTGATAATGGTTTCTAGTCGATCGACTGGCTGTGCCGGATCAATGCACACGAATGCACCACCGGCCTTCATGACACCGATCATTGAGATCACAGCCCAGAGGGACTTGTCGAAACAGACTGGGACAAAGACCTCGGGCCCAACATTTTGCGTGACCAAAAAGCTGCCTAGCCGGGAAGTATAGTCCACCAATTGCGCATACGTTATCGTTCCATCCCAGCATTCCAGCGCTGTAGATTCTGGTCGTGATTTTGCCTGTGCATCAATGAGATCATGCATGCAGACCTCAATCATATTAGGAACCGTCGAGTTCCACTCTTGGAGTTGTGACCATGACGCAGCACCAAAGAGATCCACTGCGCCAATCGTCGTTTGAGGGTCGTTTGCGATTATATTGGCCACATGGGCCACACCTTCGGCCACCGCGCTGGCTACATTTTTGGCAACAGCATTGGAGGCGTAGGTTAATGACGGGGTTTCGGAGATAAGGAGAGCAATACAGCACTGGAAAATCAGCCTCCGCAAAGCGAACGTGAGATCAAGAAACCTACCGATGTTGACTCCAATTCTTCAGAGGAAAGATTTGCGCCGTTCCACACAAGGGTATTGAACGTATTTGAAGAAATCCATTCTGAAAGCGACAAGCTTTGGGATTCTTCCGGATTTGACGAAGCAGTGAGTGCTTCAAGCGCCGCAGAGGCAGGAATATCACCGTGACAAACTGCGAATCGCGATGACGGGTTGGTGTCATCGATTCTCCCGAATGCGATCATATCACTGCCGACATAGTATCGCAGAACGACTGCCCACGCCTGGAGGAGCACGTCGCGGACAGTCGAGCTGCAATCAGACAGGTCAAGTGGAATGGATTCAAATCCCCGCCCGGGGAGATTTTCGGTTGGAAAAGTGCATGGCGCGGTGTCCAAGATGCCTGGCACGACTTGCAACATGATGAACAAAGAATATTAGGAGGTATTGGCGATATATCGGCCAAGATTACATAGAATTAAAGTGATGGAAGGAGAAAGTGTGCGGGCAATGACGAAGGACAGTCACAGTTGTGAGAGGTACAAGGTAAACATTCAGATGATCTTCGATCTCTTTGGATCTGCAAAGTTTTTTTCCTCAGGTCATCCACACCTCGGTTAGAAATAAAAGAATTCCATTCCACCGACCTTTGGGAACCAAGTGAAAGAGCCTGATTTAGGGGTTGCATAGCTGAGACAGCTTAGGATCCACCGACGGGGGTACCTGAATGGATGGAGTCTACGGAGTCAACAGAACCATTGGATTTGAATGGGTCCCGATACATACAAGATGAAGCTGCGGTGGGGATGTATATGACGTGTATATCAGTATCAAGTGTGCATGTATGGTATTTGGCTGTTGTATTTCATCTGCTTGTACTAGGTAAGTTACATAGATTACCAGATCTGTAATATAGTACAGATACACTTTTTATACATACCAGATCGGGTGTCGATCGACGTATTGCCGATCAGGACATATTCGTACTAGTACAGCTGTCACTTCCGGATAATTTAGTACACACAGTGTAGCACAGAGCGCAAGTGAGCCGCACTTAGCTTTCATCACACGAGTAAAGCTCTGTGAGCTTTCATCCGAAACATTTACTAGTACTTTCGATTCTCAGACGATGGTCGGAAATGTCAGCGGTGGGTGCGCCACAATTCAGGTAACTACATGAGGATCATCATGAATGAGTGGAGCCCAGACCCAGCCTATTCGTACACATCCACTTTGAACTCTGGGTATTCCAGCTTTTCATGCAACTCCACTGTTCTTTTGATCACCCCACCCCGAGCATGCCCAGTGGGGTCTCCAAGTGTTCCCTAGGGTCTGAGATGCCGTCTCTGGATGCCGGGTTTGGATGCCGTCTTCCAGAAGGCTTGGACCCAGGCCCCATAGCTTGTTTGATAAGATTGGATCCCTTACGGAGTACTATGTAGGTACTCCTGAACACGGCGGAGGAGCCAAGAGTTTAGTCTACTTCGCTTAAATTGAGGAATTCAAATACCCTGGGATAGGATAGTCGTCAACGGCACATCAATCGCCAAACAGTCGTATACCAACCTTCTAGGCAATATGCAGGACACCGAAAGCGTACTCGTACAGTCCAACATTGACCGGCGCACATGCCAGCGTGTGAAGCCTATGCAAGTTCTAGTTTTGGGACTTTGCCGTACTGGTACCCTATGTGAGTCCGTCCTCGCCCCTGGTGACTGCAATGTACATTGCACTCCAAATCTTGGAAGAAACTGGCTGAGATTAGGATACCCCAGCAACATGGCTGAGCTTGCAGCAATTGGGATATGAGACATATCATATGACATCCATTATGCAGAACCCCAAGGATGCCGATATGTGGACAGAAGCCTTTCGAGGCAAGTACCATGGGGGAAGGCCGTACGGGCGTAAAGACTGGGATCAGCTTCTGGGCCACGTCGAAGCCATCACCGACTTTCCTGGCGCTGTCTTTGTCGAGGAATTGACGCAAGCCTACCCAGACGCTAAGGTGGTCCTAACTCTGCGTGACCCAGACGACTGGGTGCGGTCAATGAAACAGACCATCATGGCACAGACCTACAGTCCACTTGCCACATTCATGGGCTGGATTGATCCGGAGAACTTTGGCAATGGCAATCGAATGTGCCGCATCGGCTTTGACGGTCTCTTCCGCGGTGATTTTGAGCGCTATGGGCGCCAGGCTTTTGTTGAGCACTACGACCACGTTCGGCAAGTCGTCCCTGCGGACAACCTCCTCGAATGGAACCCCAAGGAGGGATGGGAGCCCCTTTGCAAGTTCTTGGGCAAGCCAATTCCTGCAACACCTTTCCCCCGCGCCAATGATGCTGCCGTCTTCAAGAACAAATCCGCCTCCGTGATACGTTCGGCCTTCCTACGCCTGGGAAAGAAACTCACCGGGTATGTGGTAGCCATTACGGTTGCCTATTTCATTACCCATTTTGGTCGCAAATTCCTCGGAGTCTACGGGCAGAGACTTCTACAGGCCTTCAAGAGGTAGTAGGGGTGCCAGGTGGCAGCGTTATTTTTTATTTCGGATCACTTTGTACATATATATGGGTGTCAGTATTCTATACGGAGTACATGGTACGCAGTCAGGCCTTTACAAAAATACAATAATTTTAATTGCAAGCATGTCGGTCAAATAAGATGCGCTTCGTACAGTATGGATAGGGTGTACGGGGTGTTGATGTACTCTGTACAAAGTAATTGATGTATTGGCGGTATGAGGTTTTGTAATAAAAATATATCCTTGAAAAGCCCCTTACGTGCCGAGATAAATTAAATGTCGATTAGGTTAGAGTAAGAAACCAAAGAAAGGGATTGGAAAGCGAGAAGTGGATCTTTTGAGATCCCCTGAATAGGACCCACCTGCATTGAACAAGTTCACGTAAAGACCCATCGCGTCCGTCTGAGATCGTGGCGTTTTAGCGCTGATACTATATTCATGACCACGGAAGCGCATTTCCGGAATAAGTTCCATGTAAATGATGACCGTCTGAAACTCCAGGGCTTCTCTGGTAGATTACTGTAGTTATGGCCCTGTCAGGACCCGTGAAGTCATCTCTCGGAAAAACAGGTACAGATGCCGCGATCTATATCCACCGCGGTGCCTGATCCACTTAAGTGAGATGGCCACCTCACTGGTCTAGATCTCCCGTCCGGGTCAAGATCGTCGCTGAACGCGATGCATGATGGAGCCCATGCAAACTGAAAATCTCTGACCTCCCGTCTTTCCCATTTTCTGTGCTCCTTACTCCGTTCTCCGTTCTCCTTTCTGATTCCTCCAGTTTCTCTCATTTCGCCATTCCCTTCGACCCTCCGACCCTCTTTTTTTTTCTTTTCCCACTTTTACACTCTTTTATTGCATTATCCTTCCGATCCTTCCGAGAGCTTGCCGATTATGCGCTTTATCTGGTTCACTGCGGCTCTTGCCGCCGGCTGCGCTGCAGCTCCCGCCAGCCTGAAGCACACCACGAGAACTCTGAACCCGGTATGTATTCGGTGGGTGCTGTTGCGGCTGAGACTGAGACTAATGGTTCATCCCTTCCTAGAACGGTGACGTGGTGAGATCTCCTTTATCGTGTGGTCCAGATCTCGAACTAACAACATAGGATGTATGTGACTCCATCCACGAGAGTGGCTCGAGCTGATTCGCTAACCTGGACTGATCTTCCTCTCTAGCCTGTGGGTTCATCTGATCTTTTCTCCTTTTGGTATGAAGCTAACAATGCCAGGTTGTATGAATTCAACCCAATACTATTAACCAAAGAGAAGGGTCGCTGACAGCACGATGCTCTATCCAGAACGTAAGTTGTTCGCTTTATGGGCTGGGTCAATGATACTAACATCTTCCAGAATGTATGACCTCTTACCTCTGCGTCTTGGGCAAATATACTGACCAAGCAGGGCGTGAGTAACTTTGGATCATGATGAGCTTCCTACCAGAGAACTAACGAGGCATTTCAACCGGTATCAGACTGTACGTATACCCATTTTCTGGCTCTGTGCTCTCTTATCTATGCCATTACTCACATTCGACAGGTGGTATGTAAACAACTCACCTGCATCAGCTGAGCTCCACTAACCTCAGTGCTTACAATCATCTCAGACAGTAAGTTCATTACCCACCTTTGGTGAGATCCCGCTAACCAAATGACAGAACGTGAGTGGCTCTTCATCCCATGACATCTAATGAACCCGAGATGATTAACAGGAACCAGAATGTAGGTGGATCTGTCCGGTACCCGGTTTTTCGCTGACAAGTATACAGGTTGTGAGTACACGTCGATCTTTAGTATGACTGACCATGGATTGATGCTTATCGATTTTCCAAAGAGCGTGAGTTTCCCCAAGCCCCTCCCGTCACTGGAATGTGCTAACTTTAGCAGTTTGTAAGATTTCCCGTTCAGGACATCTTTTGCCGTGATATCAGACTGACTCTAGCCTCTGCTCTGGAAACAGTTGGTAAGTAACCTCACCACCGTCTGACCACGTTCCTGTTCACTAATTGTCTGCAGAACGTAAGTGATTGATTCGCATTGAATAATAATCACCGGTTGACATGCTGAACTATTCTAGCTTGTATGTCCCCCTTCCCACTCTGATGAATGTTGCCCGTTGCTAACCTCAACAGTGTGTAAGGAGCTCCATGAGATTGATCAACTTTACTCACTTTGGGACTCATTTTTGACGCTGTCCACAGAAACAGAGAGTAAGTCTATTGATATCAAGGTGGTGAGCCACACTAACAGTTTAGCGTGCCGGTATCCCCGACAAGGGCAACGCGGACCCCGTAAACAACGGCGACGTTACCAACAACATCTCGTTCCTACGCTTGTGCTAGGTCGATCGGTTTTGACAATACGATGTAAGTATTGTTGATTTCGCCCCTCGGCAAATCGGGCAACGGCTGACAGACAAGTGGGCCGGAACGCCGAGACTCGAAGAGATTTGGAAACGGGAACGAATGATGATCGATCAGCTTGATGATCGATCAGGCTGGGGGCCTTGTACAGAGTGTGTTGGTTTCTGTGGTGTTTCATCGACTACGCATTGATAGCAAACATCTCGACTCCGCGGTCGCTTTCTCACTTGGTTCAATATGTAGATATCAGACACAATAACTCACTTGTAATCAATTTTCTTCTCATTCTTTTGTGTGTCCTTGTGTGTTGCAGAATACCTACCTGTGACTATGGTAATGTTTCCTTTTCCGGATGAACTTTGAGTGCTTTGCTTCCTAGGTTTCTTCCTAGTAGTAGCCCTGGAGTCCTGCTTTCTTGTCCCCTTTTGGAAATTGAGGCTCTATGACCCCCATGGGCGATTTTTTTCTGTACCTACCTAGTAATGCGGCGCGCTAGGTAATACAACGTCTCCCACCCCCGACCTCGGGATGTCATGGACACAAGAAATACGAGACCTGTGCATGAGATATGGAGTAATACCTACGATACATGGGCCCACGGGGCCAAGGATACTTACTATTTTAGGGTTTTCTTGTTTGTAGGCTGTCCAAGGACCCTCGTGTACTAATACAAGTAATAATATATCGATGTTAACCCTAGAAAATATTCATGGATGTCAACTGATGTTAGGCTGGGCCTCGGGACCAATCCAGATGCCTGGCAACATTCCAAAGTTGGAGGTATATATAAAGCCGGGCATCCCACCTGGGCAGGACCCGACCTCAGCCTACAACTTGAAAATATTTACTTACATTAATTCTTAAAAGGTCTAAACTTTGCAAGGCTGTATGGTAAGAATTAAACATTAATTAATTAGCTATGAGGAATAATTTTAGGTGATCACGTAGAAGAGCTGTCGTCTAGTTCTTGCCGGTAGAAGCCCGGGCGCGACGATCGCGCACAGCTTGGGCCAGGGAGCGCATGGACTGCTCGGTGGTCTCCCAGTCAATGCACGCGTCAGTGATACTGACACCCTTTTCACAGCCCTCCAAACCCTTAGAGGGTGGCTTCTGGTTACCCTCGCGGATGTTTGACTCGACCATCACGCCAATGATCGCGTCCTCGCCTTCGCGAAGTTGCTCTTCGATAGCCTTCAGAACCTTGGGCTGGTTTCGGTGATCCTTTGAGCTGTTACCTATTAAATTTGTTAGCGATAATCCTGATCTGAAGCTCAGTAGCATCGACATACCGTGGGAACAGTCAATCATAAGCACCTCCCGCTCGTTCTTGGAGCGGAGAAGCTCGCGGGTGGCTTTCACCGACGCCGCATCAAAGTTGGTTCCACGAGCACCACCACGTAGGATGACGTATCCATCTTCATTGCCCTTGGTGCTTGTTGTGGCAATGACACCCTGCTTGGTGACCGACATGAAGTGGTGGCATCCGCGCATAGATTTCAACGAGTCCACAGCGGTACCGACGGAACCATCGGTGGAGTTCTTGAAGCCGACAGGGAATGAGAGACCGGATGCGAGCTCGCGATGCAGCTGAGACTCGGTAGTACGGGCACCCACAGCGCCGACACTGATCAGATCTGCGGTATATTGGGGGGAGATGGTGTCCAACATCTCGCATGCCACGGGTACACCAAGATCGGTGATAGAGACCAAGAGCTGGCGAGAAACCCGCACACCCTTGTTGGTGTCGAAGGTGTCGTCGACGTTGGGGTCATTGATGAGGCCCTTCCAGCCAACTGTTGTGCGAGGCTTCTCCAAATACGCCCTCATAACGATGCAAAGGTCCTCTCTCAGCTCTTCCGCCAAGACGCGGAGACGTGACGCATACTCGATAGCGGACTCTGGGTCGTGGATGCTACAGGGACCGACGAGGACGAGAATCCGGTCATCGTTTCGGCGAATGATGTCACGCGCCTCAATGCGGCTGTTCAAGACGGTAAGGAGGCTGTTGGCTGTGTGTGGAATTTCGTATTGCACCAAGGCGGGAGGAGCTAAGGGAACATAACGCTCGATGCGGACATCGTCGGCGAGCTTTCGTCGCAGAAGCTCGATGTCGGAGGTGTTCAAGAGAGGAGATGTGGATACGCCAGGCATGATGATATGGATGTGAATGAGATCGCTGGAGAGAGAGACAAAAGGCTAATAATGTAATGGCACGTACTATATCAGCTCGCGAAACTGGTGCGGAAGCTCGACAGCTATATAAATGCTCAGATGACAAAATTGTTGTTGATGCACTTGTCCCGTCTGCCCAGATTGAGATTGAGTTCTATCTTGTAGATCCGATGTACTAGGCTCAGGAGAACCTTGGAAGGCATTACCGAATCGGATGAGATTTCTAGACTTCAGACTAGTCTCCTCCACTCATGAGACTCTGGGCTCTGCTTTGCCACTGCGTGCTCCGCCTGTTGTACTAGTTTCTAGCAGCGGAGTGACGCAGTATTATTGCTTCAGCTGAGGCTCAGTGCAAGGTACGAGGACTGCATTACCGTGCCTACCAATGGTACAGTACATCCCATGAGAATTGAGAAGCATACAATCCGTAAAAATTGTGTGTTTACGCCTAGTCCTAGTACTGTACTGTAGTTTGTTGTCCGTAGCAGTAGTACGTCGTCAGTGTTTGTTGACTTCCGCGGTGCCGGAACCAGGTGGGTCCACTTGCCAAGTGGTCGCGTTTAGGGCAGCGAGCAGCCCGCCCAAAAGGAGAAGATCGGCATGAGGTCAACAAAGCGTACATGCAGGAAAAGTCTATCGAGTGGAGGCTGGGGTGGGGCGGTAAGGGATCAGGAACAGACTCAAATTACTGTTGTTTACACGTGGATCTGAGGTGTCTCATCAGGTACAAAGACGGTGTGAATGGCTTTGTTGAATACTCCGTACTCGTACTTCCAAGGGGGTGACCCCTGGATACAAAAAAACAAACATAAAAAAGAGAAACACGATGAATCATATAGAGTGCATGTATGAGGTGCTCGAAAGAAACAAGGCGCCCTTGCAGGATAGCTGGACTTCAATTTGATTCTGTCATTGTGACCCTGTGTACGGAGTAGCCTTTGGGATACTCTGTATTCCATACTCTGCTCTACGCTGTAGATATGCGCGGTGTGAGTATGAAATCCCGAGGGCATGACGATTGTGAGTAGAAAACAACAACTGTACGGAGTATTGGTGTATGGGTAATACATATGGTTACCATACACGGTGAAATTCGGGTCTCGTATCGGTACCGATGGCTCTAACCCCATTGGGCCCACTGCAACTATAGAATCGAACCCACACGGCACGATCTTCACCTTCAGCTGGGACGGGGACTCCACCATAGCTTCATTACAGCGTACGGTACGGGGAGAAACCATGGTTCAGATTGTGTTACGATCGTGGGTGTCTCTCCGATTGTAAGGGAGAAATTGAAAGTGGAGCCTCGTACCTGACATCAAAGCATGACTCCTACCCACCCGCAGATGCGCGCAGATCCAGTTGGCACCTCCAAGCGCCAGCACGGCACAGAATTTGTCAACCCTTTTTGCCTTCTCCCGACGTACACGGTGACTCGGCTACATCCCGCCTATCGATCCACGTCAGAATGGGGTCATGATCCACCCTCGATGTGGCCGAAGGAGATGCAGGTGGATATCCTAGTCCCAATGATGTTCCAAACTAGTGCTTTCTCCAGCCTTCCTGGTTGGACGGCTGCATGAACCAGCGTTCGTCTATGCCAATGCTGGAACTGTGGAGCTCTCTGGGCCTCTGAGCTGGGACAGATCTGAGATACAGTGGGAAAGTGCCTCATAGAATTCGACCGGAAGAACATTCGGATGCTCATCTCCCCCTCCCATGTGAAAAAGGACGAGAAAAAATAATAATAATTATCAGAATACGGAGTAACCGGACCAAGATCACATAATATAGTGGGCCATCGCTCTTGCTTATTGCTCTCGTCTCTTCTGTTCTCTTTCCACCCCAAGTCTCTCTTTTCTCTTTTGCTGTTTTTGTTAATAGTTTGCCAGACTGGCCCATCCCTAGTCGTGGATCATTTTGAGTTTATTTGTTCTTGTTGAGGATGCCGTCTATTGTCATTGACGATGCTGATCGGCTTCGCCAGCTGTGGACGCAGCTGGTGACCGATGTGACTCCATCCCACCTCCCTTCCGGTCTTTTCTCTAAGCGCGAGACTAAGTCAACCGTTGGCCGTCTCAATGTGCCAATGCAACTGTCTGCAATCTATGACTGTTGCCAGCAGTGTGATATCTCTCCACTGAACGTTGTCCAGGCTGCCTGGACTGCAGTCTTGCGCTCCTATTCTGGAGCCGACAATGTCATGTTTGCAGGCATTGGCATGAATCCACGATCAAGCAAGCAGCAACGGACCAACACATCTGTCTCTTTGGCTCGACTCGAGCAGGACAGCTCAGTCATTTCTGTTCTGGACACAACCCAAGAGGAAGGTCTCCTCCAGGCCGAGTCAATGGTGACCGTGCCTGAAGCTCTCGACATTTTTTCAACGCTAGAGCCCAAGCCTTGCAACTCTGCCATCTGGCTCAAAGACTCCCAGTCCAAGAGTGAACTCTCTTTGACGGACGTGGTGAATGAGAAGACTGTAAGCCTTGCTCCAAGACACCGAACATTTGAGTAAATCACTAACTCGCTTCAGTTTGACTATGCCATCCAGATTGATGCCTCATTAACCCAACTGGACTTGGTCTTCCACAAACCCACCGTTTCCCGCTCTCAGGCCCAATATATCGCTAGCACATTTGCCGACTATCTCCAAAGTGTCTGCCTTGACCCGTATCAGACTGCATCCACTGTGTGCCACCCCAGTGAATTGGATATGATGCAGATTGAAGCCTGGAACCGCATTCTCCCGAAAGGAAGTGATGCCTGTGTCGATCAACTCATCGAGAGCGCCGCCGAGAAGACACCAGATGCCCAGGCGCTAGTCGCCTGCGATGGTGAAATGTCATACTCTCAGTTCAACGAAACCGCAAACAAGGTGGCTTCATATTTCGAGTCCGTCGGTATCAAGCGTGGCGATCTGGTCCCCATCTGCTTCGAAAAATCCATGTGGACCATCGTGACCATGATTGCGATCTGGAAGCTGGGCGCCGCTTGGGTTCCACTAGACCCCAAGCACCCTCGACAGCGCTTGGAGACTATCATTGACTCAGTAGGAGCCCACACAGTGGTTGCTTCTGAGTCCAACAGGGAGTTGGTGCGGGATATCACCCCTCAAGTTCTTATGCTTGACCCCTCTCAAATCCAGTCTGCCCCGGTGGTAGAATTCCGTTCTCGTTCACAGCCGCATGATACCTCCTTTGTCATGTTCACCTCGGGCAGCACAGGCAAGCCAAAGGGTGTCGTCCATGACCATGCTTCCGTTTCCTCCAGTGCACTGCACCACGCATCCGCTATGAATATCTCTAATAATACCCGCGCCCTTCAATTCGGCGCATACACGTTCATTATCAGCACATTTGAAATCTTTACTACCCTAATCTTTGGTGGATGCCTCTGCATTCCTTCGGACCATGACCGCCACACAGACATTCGTCCAGCCATTCGGGCTTTCGAGGCAAACTGGGCAATCTTCACCCCCAGCTTTGCTCGCTCCATGCACCATGAGGACATCCCCTCCCTCGATACCCTCCTCGTGGCCGGAGAAGCGGTGGCGCAGGATATCATTGACCGATGGGCACCAGTAGCCCAATTAATTAATATTTACGGCGCTTCCGAGTGCAGTGTCGTCATGATCGGGCGAATGGTGGCCGATACCCCTCGAAGCTGCATTGGCAGAGCCACAGGCGGACTTTCCTGGCTTGTTGACGCCAACGATCATGATCGTCTGGTCCCCATTGGCTCTGTGGGTGAACTTGTCATTGAAGGCCCTATCCTGGCTCGTGGATACCTCGCAGATCCCGAGAAGACCCAGGCTGCATACATTGAAAACCCCGTATGGGCTTCCAAGAGCGGCATTACTCGACGATTCTATAAGACTGGTGACCTGGCTCGCTATGGTGATGATGGTCGGGTTCACCTGATTGGTCGCAAGGATTTGCAGGTCAAGATCCGCGGTCAGCGCGTTGAGTTGACCGAAATCGAGGCACACATGCGCGCCATCAACAACTCTGTCAAGACTGCGGTGGCGATGGTTCGCCCTGGTGGAAAGGCCATGATCGCTGCCTTCATCTCAAACCAGAGCGGCTTTGGTCCAGAATTCCCTCATACTTTCTACTCTGCCCCCGAAGACAAGGCTTCCGTTGTCTCCCTGGGTGCTCACATCACCCAGCAGCTGAGCATGCAACTCCCTCCCTACATGGTTCCATCTGTATTCCTGCCTTTGGCTTACATGCCACTGACTGCGTCTGGAAAGACCGACCGTCGTCTCATTGCCTCCTTCGGTGACAGCCTGACCCTGACTGAGTTGGCCGCTGTGGCTGGCAACAGCACAGTGACGAAGCGCCGTATGCCTACCACTACTGCCGAGATGACCCTCCGCCAAATCTGGGCCGACATCCTCCGCTGTCCCGTTGATGAGATTGGTGCCGAGGATAACTTCTTCCACCTTGGCGGTGACTCGATCGAGGCCATGAACCTCACTCGCCGTTGCCGCGCCGAGGGTTTCCAACTTCAGGTTGGCGACATTCTCGGTAATCTCGTTCTGAGCGATATGGCCAAGGTCATGACCACGGCCCGCTCCGCTGAGGCATCTGTCACAACTCCATTCGAGCTTCTTGGCGAAGACACTCAGGCTGTCCGCGCCAATATTTTGGAGGCTACCGGCTTGCCTGCCAACCTTCTCCAGGACGCTTACCCCTGCAGTCCTCTGCAGATGGGTCTCATGGCATTGTCAGCCAAGATCCCAGGCTCGTACGTCGCTCGACACACCTTGGATCTCCCCAGCAGTGTGACCGTCTCCCGTTTCAAGGAGGTCTGGAGCATGATTGTGGACAACAACGACGTGCTCAGGACTCGCATTGTCGAGACCGATCAGTACGGATCTGTTCAGGTTGTCAACCGGGCCCCTATCATGTGGGCCCATGACACTGACTTGGCCAAGTACATCGAACTGGACGAGAAGATCCCAATGCAGATTGGAGATGCCCTTGCACACTACGGCATCATCGCCGGGCCTACGAACACATTTGTCCTGACCATCCATCACTCCATCTATGACGGTATGTCTTTGGAAATGATCTTCCAAGATCTTGTGCAGGCCTTCGAGGGTGTTGTTCCTCCTGTTCGCACCCAGTTCCGCGATTTCATTCAAGAAATCGTGCAGAAGAACTCCGATAAAGCCACCGAGGAGTACTGGCGCGCCGAGCTGTCCAAGGGTGACATGACCACTTTCCCTTCGCTGCCTTCTGCCAGCCACCAGCCCTTGGCCAACGACTCTTTCGTGCACACCCTTCAACTTAACCGAAAGGGCCCCTCGGACTTCACCAGCGCTACCCTCATTCGTGCTGCTTGGTCGTTGGTTCAGGCTCGCTACTGCGACTCGCCTGAGACCGTCTTTGGATGCACCCTGAGTGGAAGAAACGCACCTGTTCCTGGTGTTGAGGACATTGTTGGTGCTGTCATCGCCACAGTCCCCATCAAGGCCAAGGTGGACGGCGAGCAGCAGGTCACCGAGTGGTTGCAACAAATCAACACGCATTCTGTGGAGATGACCCCAGTGCAGAACTACGGCCTGCAGAACATTGCCCGCGTTGGAGAAGGTGCGGCGGCTGCATGCAACTTCCAGTCACTGCTGGTCATCCAGCCTGCTACCTCTGTTGCCGAAGACAGCATCATGCAGCCATTCTCTGCTCCCCAGGCTAACTTCAGTACTGTCGCACTGACCCTGGAGTGCAGTCTAGCGGCCGATGGTAGCATCGAGATCCACGTCCACTTTGACAATGCCGTCCTGCCACGGCTTGACGTGGTGAACATTGTTCGCCAGTTCGAGCACGTCCTCCAGCAGCTTGCTTCGGCCCCTACTGGAAAGTTGTCCGACATTGAGATCATCAGTCCCCAAGACAAGGCAAACCTTGCTCAGTGGAACAGTGACCTAGCCGAGCCCGTGAACGAATGCGTCCACCGCCTCATCGCCCAGAACAACTTCTCCCAGCCGAACGCACCCGCCATCTGTGCCTGGGATGGCGAGCTGAGCTACACTGAATTGGAAAGCTTGTCTTCCAAGCTCGCTGCCCATCTCATCAATGTTGGCGTGGGCCCAGATGTGTTCGTTCCCCTCTGTTTCGAAAAGTCGATGTGGACCATTGTCGCAATGTTGGCAACCCTGAAGGCCGGTGGAGCGTTTGTGGCCATGGACGCCTCCCAGCCAATCAGTCGTATGCAGAACGTGGTCAAGGATGTCAATGCACACGTCGTCCTCTACTCTGAGGAGCAGCTCAGCCGCGCCCCTGGCTTGGCTGCGAAGGCAATTGCAGTCGGTCCTGGTATGCGCGAGCTTAACACACCCCGGACACCTCCCACGCCGGTCACTCCTTCCAATGCCGCCTACGTGATCTTCAGTTCTGGCAGCACGGGCACACCCAAGGGCTCAGTCATCGAGCACCGTGCTTTCTCCACCGCTGCCATCTCCCAAAAGGAGGGCCTCCAGATGGGCACTCGTGTCCTTCAATTCGCATCATACGCCTTCGATGCCAGCATCCTGGAAATTCTCTCTACCCTGGTGCAAGGAGGTTGCGTCTGTGTTCCGTCTGAGTCTGAGCGCCGTGGCAACATCTCCGAAGCCATCACTCGCATGAATGTCGACTGGGCTGTGCTGACACCCTCGTTTGTCAACACCATTGATCCCACCACTGTCCCAACTCTGACCACCCTCGCCCTCGCGGGTGAGGCCATGAGCGCCGCCCACGTAGCCGCATGGACTCCATACGTGCGACTTGTCAACGGATACGGGCCGTCCGAGTGTTGTGTTTGCACGACATCCAACCGCAGAGTGCTTCCAGGAACTGCATCGAACAACATCGGCACTGCTGTTGGATCCGCAAGCTGGATCACTGATCGCGACGACCACAACAAGCTTGCTCCCATCGGTGCCATCGGTGAATTGCTCATCGAGGGTAATATCTTGGCTCGTCACTACCTGAACAACCCGGAGAAGACCGAAGCTGCATTCATCTCCGCTCCTGCATGGATCCCAGGCGCCCGGTCCCAGCGCCTGTACAAGACCGGTGACCTCGTCAAGTACGCTCCTGACGGATCCATCCTTTTCATCGGTCGCAAGGATACTCAAGTCAAGATCCGCGGCCAACGTGTCGAGCTGGGCGAGATCGAGTACCACCTTAACCTCCCAGCTGATGTGTCGCAGTCTGTGGTCTCGTACCCCAAGACAGGCCTCTATGCCCAGAAGCTGGTCGGCATCCTCGAGCTTACTTCCACCGCGGGTGACGACCTGAGCGTTGTCCCGACCGCCGAGTTCCAGCGATCGGGCTTCCAGCTCTCTGCCTTGACCCACGGCCTCTCGGAAACCCTTCCCGTTCACATGATCCCGATCATCTGGATCGTTGTTCGCAAGATTCCCAGCTCATCTTCCACCAAGATCGACCGTAAGGTAGTGGATCAATGGCTCGCCAAGCTACCCTCTAACTTCGAGCCCACTCTTGGAATCACTCGGGAAGGCCCAACAACTTCTGCTCTCCGGGCTAGCGAAGACAAGGCCCTCGCCATCAGCAAGAAGATTGAGAGCTTGGTCAACCGTGAGGGTAGTCCTCTTCACGGTCGCGACTTCAACATCTCATCCATGGGTATTGACTCTGTACAAGTCATCAGCTTGGCCAGTTTCATCAAGCAGACCTACGGTGTCAAGGTTGATGTGTCCCGTGTTTTGGATGGGCAGATGACTGTCCGTGGCCTCGCCGCATTCATCGATGCCGAGCTGTCTGGCACTGTTCAGGAAGCACTCCCCGCCTTCGATGCTATGAAGGAGGCTTCCGCTTTGGTTAACGATATCATCAAGAACTCCATGCCCCAGAAGACTGTCTTTGTCACCGGTGGAACTGGATTCTTGGGCACTCAGATTCTGCGCCAGCTCTGTGACCGCCCCGACGTCGGACGTGTCATCGCGCATGTTCGCGCCAGCAGCCCGTCCGACGCGTTCATTCGCATCAAGGATGCCGCCGTCCGTGCTCAGTGGTGGTCGGACTACTACCTCACCAAGCTTGACGTTTGGTGTGGCAACTTGGCTTCCCCTAAGCTGGGTCTGAAGCCAAGGCAGTGGGCCTCTCTGAGCGGTGAGAGCCCCAACGATGGTCTCGTCAACGGCATCATCCACGCCGGTGCCGCAGTGAACTGGAACGCTGGAACCGAAATCCTGCGTGCTGCCAACGTCAACTCAACGGCGGAGCTCATCAAGGCTGCCATCAGCTCCCCCGCTCGTCCTCGCCTCTCCTACGTCTCCGGTGGCTCCCGCTGGAGCGTCGGAGAGAACGACCAGGATATCGCCAATGAGATCGCCCACGCCAACGGCTACGCTCAAACGAAGTACCTCTCGGAGCTGCTCGTGAAGCAATTCGCCGCCAAGTATCCCAACCAGTTCGCGATCGTCAAGCCTGGCTTGATCCTTGGAACCCCAGAGGAGGGTGTCGCCAACACCGACGACTTCGTCTGGCGGTTGGCCTCCGGCGTGGTTGACGCTTGTGCATTCAGTGACGACCATGCCAACGCTTGGATGTATGTGACCAGCAGCACCCGTGTTGCCGAGGAGACCATCGCCCAAGTGTTCTGCCCCGCGGGCTCGATGAAGACAGTCACCTACATGACAGAGGGTATCACCGAGCGTGAATTCTGGGAGATCTTCCACGGTGAACTCAAGTATCCTCTGCGCAAGGTGGATCACAACACCTGGATGGATACCATGCGGAAGTCCATCCAAAAGGACACCAGCTCGCATCCTCTGTGGCCTGTGTCGCAGGTCTTCGATGCATTGCAGGGTCGCTTGGGTGGTGAGCCTTTGCAAGACGCCAGCATTGTCTCGCCATCCCAAAAGCAGCACGTCAAGGCTACCATCCGCCGCAATGTGCAATTCCTTGTCGAGGCTGGTTTCATTGCCAGCCCCACTGGAAAGAAGATGAAGTACATGGCCGATAAGGTGTTCAAGCGGTCTGGAAATGTGTGGGAGAATGTCAAGAGACTGACTATCACTGCTTGATCTCTTGTGGTGGTACTTCAAGGTTAATGATTAAAATGTGTGGTGCACAGGAGTTAGCATGTACAATTATTTTCTGGTATATAATTCTTAATCTGTTCTTAAATATACGCGAAGTCATTCATTTCGAATTCACTCTGATCAATCTCCAAGTAATTAGGCACTTGTACAAAACAAGTCTCTTATTTCAAATCCTGGTTGCATTCAAGACCAACTGTTTACACTTCATGGCGTCCGTGTGAACTCCCTAGTACAGTTCTTCACGTGAAATGGTGAGCCATCGACCTCTCCACCCCCCTTGGATCCTTCACCAAAATTATTGTCTCATTTAACGTGTTTGTGCTGGTTCAAATATTTGAGCAAGGGGGCGGCTGCGTGTTCGAAAATGCCCCGACACGAACGTACATGAATTTGAGACAAGCCATCAGACACCGATTTTTGCACTGTTCTGTACAACAAGATCCGGCGCCAGCAACTTCTCTCGAATCGAGACGCCATTCAGGTAGTCATTACTGTCTACTCGCCGGTATCCGTCCTCCAGTGTCTTTTCAATGCCAGCTTGCAAGTGTCGCGCAGCCAGGCGGCCCCTTGCTTCCAGTGGATCAGTATCGACAAAAACACGATAATCAACCAATCCAGCAAGCTCCCGCCAACCAGGGTCATCAAGCAACAAATAATTGCCCTCGACAACAATGATCGAGGCATCCGGCGTGATGGTAAGCCCATTCTCCACAGGATCTTTCGACTGGTGATCGAAGGAAGGCGCATACAGGATATCGGCAGATGACCACGTCTCAGAATACGGGATGGCAAGGGGCACCTCGTCGGCCCAGGTACGGAGTTGACGTATGAAGGCAACGAAACGACCAACGTCGAAGGTCCATGGTGCACCGCGGCGAGCGTGGGCACTTGCCGGGTCGGGGAACTCGTCCAAAGCTGCGCGGGAAAGATGGAATCCGTCCATTGAGAGAATTGCTGCTCGAGATTTGGTCGACTGGTTCAGGTGCTGGACTACTGCTTCGGCTGTGGTGGTCTTTCCTGAGCCTGGGATGCCTGCGATGGCGACTAAGAACCGTGGTTGTGGGTGAGCATCGGCTTGGGCTCGGATTGACTCGGCCAGTTTTTTGTATTCACCCTCCATCTGGTTCTTGTGGCCCGGTTGGGTCTTGGAAGATTGCACACTGGATATGGGTTGTTCCTCGGTGTCGAGGAGGTGCTAGGTTAGGTATGACCTTGGAACGTCGAGATGGAAGCAGGTGGCTCGATCTCAAGTGCTGGAATTCAACTGATCATGTTGTCCTGGCTTGAAAATAGAAGTCCGATGTGCTCGAGCAGATTCCCCGCAAATGTCGGCTTCTCGCTATATATACTTCGGTGGAGCGGGCATCGGGTCACAGTGATCCGACACAACGCAAGAGATCTCGGCGTTAGGCCGAGTAGACAGGCTCTTCCGAGAAAGTCTTCGGAGTACAGAAAAAGCCCTCGAGGTTTCAATGTGGGGGTTTCAGTGAGGTGGATTTTCCTGGTTTTGTGGGGTCGGCGTTGATGCGAGCTTGTGTTCAACAATGTTGCATTTGCAATCCTCAATGTACCCGGTCAGTGTAGAATTTCACGGTGTAATACCACATCATGTCATTCTAGAATGCATGTTTCACTTCTGGTTTACTAGTGACGAGGTTCAATGTTTTGCAGCCCTGCAGTCGAGGTAGATGTTGGTTTTCGGCGCGGGGAGACATCCCCGTGGGCCCCTCGGCATCCACAGCAAGGCACACTCAGAAGGTCCCTTGAACGAGGATAATCGATCTCGAAATTCAATCGTCAAGTCAGAATAAGCAATTTTCTGAAGCCGTGTTTCGCAGCTACATTAAGAAGAAGCTGAGATGCCGGAAAGACATCCCGAGAACTGTAAGAACTCCCCTGCGGCCAAAAGTCGTGAGACGTCATGATGGCTTCATGTGGTAAATCTCATTGTCCGCGAAAAGATCAAGAGTGAATGGAAAATACAACATGGTGCGGATTAGTGAGGCAATTACGGACGACCATCGCAAGTTGGAGAGCTTGTACGAAACAATCGTCAACTCGGAAGATGCAGACGAGCAGACGCGATTCCAGAACCAATTCACATGGGAGCTGGCCCGACATGCTGTAGCTGAGGAATTGGTTGTCCACCCAGCAATCGAGAAGGTGCTACCAGATGGCTCCGAAACTACCGACAGAGACCGTCGTGAACATTCTACAGTATGCCATTCATTGCCACAAACATCGGAGAGGCCTGAGCTAACTTGACAAAGATCAAAGAAATGCTTAATGTCTTCCAAGACCTGAATTGTTCGGATGCACGGTTTCTCCCTACTATCACAGTCCTGATGGAGGGGTTAACCCAACACATGAGTGACGAAACAATTGAGCTCGCCAACCTAGACAGTTATCTAGGTCTGGAGGAGAGCGAGCAACTCGCCGAGTCTCTGGAAAGCACCAAAATGTTTGTTCCTTCTATGTCGCATCCAGAAATCCCAAACACGCCGTATGAGACTATCACTGGCTTGCTTGCCGCCCCTCTCGATCATCTTCAAGACATGTTTAAGAAATGGCCGGAGAAGGAGAGTCCAATGGAATGAATTTAGGACAAGATGCTTGTCAAAGATGGCCGGACACGCTCAATTGAGGCCGCTTGAAGCACTTGAGGCCTAGACTGAGTTGACAAACCTACTGATGACTCTTTCCTCTCTTGAGCCCTTCAACTGTAGAGGACGGAGGACAAGCTCTACCTGAATAAGGATGTCGAGCATAGTGACTAACTCCATATATCTCTCTCAATCCTTGCTGTTTTATTGTTGTCATAATTTGTGTATATCATTTTATTACAAAGAACCATTGGCCTTCTTGCGAAGTTAGTTCTTAATTCTGTTCGAGTTGTCCCAAATCCAAGTCCCTTGTAGATTGTCCTTTTGAACAACGACAAATCCCCAAATCACTTTTCAGACATCAAACCTCTGGGGTGTTGCCTGTCAATGATATCCGGTGTGATTGAGCATTTCCAGGTCCGGATCTGTCCGGGCTTTATGGTAACCAGAAAGGATGCCACTCGGGTGGAAGACGTTGAAAAGCACACAACACAAGAACATCAATGTCGCGTCGAAAATGTAGACAAACGATTCCTCACTCTGGAGGTATCCATCGCTACCTTGGACGTACTCTGCCACCCTATATATTGATCGGATCATGACGAGGCAGCTAGCCAGATAGAGGATTTTCATATAGCGAGTCCAAGGAAGTTGTGTATCACCAACAGCGTGTAGGGGAGTCTTGAGCATGCGACGGTGGAATACTAGGGAGATGACGATGAAGAACCCGAAAAAGACGATCTGGACGAAAAGTCCAACGACGATCATGTTGTTTCCCAAGTCGACTTTCGATTTGGTCTTTGCAGTAGCGAGTAGGCCACCTCCTGTGAAAACATATCATGGTTAGAATTCGTTTCACATCAGTTGAAGAAGGATTTGAAGCGTGAAAAGGTCCCAGTTTACCTCCACTTTGGATGAAAAACGAAAGCACATCGCCCGTGACAAATATCTTGGTCAACCATGACGGCCTAACCAGTGAACATGAAGCTCCATTCAGTAAGCGAATGATACGACCAAGGATCATGTAGATTGAGGCCGCAAAGAAGGCGGGAGCCAAAAGTAGCATGAGATTTTGCGCAATATACGGTTTGGTGGTCCAGTCGGGGGTTTCCTTTGCACTGAAGTATCTTGCCAAATAGCCCAGTGTTTCGACTAAGAGCAGAGTTGATTAGAATGGGATCACGAGATAACTCAGAATATTGATACATACAGACGCAACCGATGAAGAATGGTATAAAGTACCATGCCCGGTTTCGAATCAGCAGCCAGATGTGCCCGGCGGTGGTGAGGCCGAACAAGGCTGTGAAGGCTATTGCAGCCCCGGGAGAGGGATCATAGTGATATAACTTGTATCCCTCCATCTTTGTAAATGGCACGAGAAAACAAAGACAAGTGCAAGGTACTTGGGAGTGTCAGTGTTGAGGCTCAGAGAGAGAGAAGGAAGTGAGAGCAATCAAACATGAAATAGTTGGCAACGAATGCTTAACTATTTATTCGGTTTTCAGATTGACCATTCCGTGGCTATCGGTTGATTAAAAATAAAAGGATCCACTGTGTCAATATTCATTCTGCCTTGAAGGAGAATGCGCCAGTCATATGGGGTAGACACAGTCTCTACCTTGATCTAGGGACCTCTGATTTGCGACTAGGCTTTTCTAGCGTTAGACCTAGGGGTATGGAGCAGATTCAGGTGGTCCAACTGGTTATAGTCTCGTTTTACTCAGTGCATATTACACTCCAGAAGTCTTGAATGGACCTGGGTGCGTCCAATAAACGTTACGGGTACGAGTACGGGACGCTAGTAGAGAAGGGAGTGGACCCTGCGCTTTGCCTAGAACAGAGCGGGAAACGAGATACGAAGACTTTAGTCAAGAATGAAGCGGTGTTGAACATCATACTCAATCTCCACCTTCCGAAGTCTCGGCTGTACTATCCTGGGCTTCATTTTTGAATGTTTTTTGAAGTATAGACCTGCTTTGGCAGTTTGCTCCCTCGATTCCATCTCCCTCCAGAGGTCTATTCTCCACGCCGTCCTCGCTTTGTAGTTGCGTTGATGTTTTGTGCCGTATGTGGCCTTCATTAGTCGTCATTGTCAACGAGGCCATCTCTTGCGGGTCGCCTTCCTAGTCCAACGGAGGCATATGGAGCGGGTGTGAAGCCGAAATCCAAACCCCGGTGTGCTATAATGAGCAACTGTGCCCCGTGAAGCGGTGACTCGGGAGTCCAGATTGCGAGAATGATCGGCCGGCCGTACACAGGTAGATTTCTGCGAGGTGACGTTGATCTCGAACTACGAAACGGCAGAGATCTAATGCCCCGTAACAGTGGCAGACATATCAATGGTTGCTGTTCAGTTGTTAGCTTGGCTTGAGCGGCAATTTAGGAAAGACAGCATGCACAAGGATAATCGACTGACAAGGCTTTTCATCGCACCTTGAGACTGGTCTCCGGATGCCCAAGTAATGTTTTCTTGGGGTTGAATGCACAGCTCTGAGTGAGTTGTTGTGTCGCTTCGATCCTGGTTTGATCTACATCTGGCCCCCGTATAGATGTTATTGGTTGGGTTTTGAGGTTGTGACCAAGTTTGAATCGTCATGGTGTCATGTTGTCGTGAGTGGGTCGTTCAACTGAGCATTTCGTGTTCTCTGGATCTGGTCAATCGGCCATTGTACCTGGTGCTTCCAGTCTGGCGGCAGCAAGTGGCAGATCTCATCCAGAACAAGGGAGCCCCAGGGTCCGACGCACCAATTTTCATGGGCCATGTTCAAAAACCCACAAAAGTGAGCCAATACCACGAGTGCAAGTGGTTCACGGCAGCTCAAAGCACCCAAGAACTCTGGCGTGACTCGTATGGCCCATCCGCCAACAAGGGTCATTGTTGTAGGTTCCGCTAAGGTGAATGCGGCGAGGTGTCGCAGTTGGTCGATTGCCCGCTCATAACCTTTCGGATCATGATTATCTGCATTCTGACCGATTTGATTGTTCAACTCGACCAGATGATCAAATGCATCCACGACATGGTCTGGAAATGGTACCTCCGGAGGCGTTGCTTGGAAAATTGGTGCGAAGTTGCTCTGCAACAGAAATTGAAACTCCTCATTGACGACAGCTTGCACTCCACGCGAAAGCGTGAAGATCTCGATCAATGCCTCTAGACTGGGGCCGGAGTCAGTTCCAGGGGTGAGCGCGCTTCCAAGGCCGAATACGACGACAAGCCCGGCGAAACCCATCATGGCTTTGGCGTTCGACTTGTCGATATTGGATAGCTGCTCAGAGAACATAGATAGTGCAATGTTCTTGTGGGATATGGCAACGCTCAGCCATCTGCTCTGATCATGTTCTCGAGTGCATGATAAATGCAGCGCAGAAATTCCTAGGATCCCATGCATTAGAAACGGGGCTTTGAGGCCTTCTTCTAGGACCGCAATTTCCCAGACTTTTCGGGTTTCTTCATTTCGGGCTAAAAGCCTATGAGTGTGTTGAATCCACTGGAGTACCAGCTCTAGCTGTTCCATATCTAGAGAGGCCGAGCTTGTTGGTTCCTCTGCAGGCTGTGGATGGTTCAAAGTTGCATCCCACAAAGCGCTTCGATCTGCAGCAGCGGTTGATTCTGCTACTTTACTTCTTCGCGTTTGCTTGCCGGCGAAGAAGTATGGCCCTGCCGCAGAGTACACACATTCCGTTTGTCGTTGGGTGCAGTTGCCACAAGTTGGTCGTTGTTCATCGCACTGAAGTTATGTCAGAGGGGTATATACCAGTATTTACAATAATTAAGCGAACCTTTACTCTCCTTTGTTTGCAGCTAGAGCATCCTAAGGGGGGCTTTTAGATCGAGTCCAGTATCAGTGGCGTGGGACGTCATATAAACATACCGTGTCTGGACTTGTTATGAGAGCGTCGTGTCACCATGGTGTCAATTGGTCTACTCCAGTACCGGGTGCATGCCACGGTTCAACAGAGCCTGCGCTGTCTTGAAAGTTTTGACTATGGCGATGTGAAAGGAGGATCGCCACTTCCGGCGGGGGGAAAAGGTACGAATACGAATACTAGTCAGGTGACGCTCTTCTTCGTGTCCACGGAGTGCGACATTGGAAGACTTCTGATTGAGCCCTCTATCTCACAGTTCAGAGGTCATACATTTCCTATCAAGTTCTTCCTGATCATTCCATGATCAAATTGATGGGTCTAAAATAGTACATTCGGGTACTGCATATCTCTGGTCTGTTCTCCGCAGCAGTGCATATTGACTCATTGAGAGGCCCGGAAAAGCAGCCCTGGAGGTTTTATAGTATACGCTCCAACTGCCGGACCATCTGTTGCTCTAGATACCTACCTAGGCAACTCTCTCTCTCGGTGGGGGAGAACTTGGCAAAGGGATGCAAAGATCCTAGGAAGCTCTGCAGCTCTGCTTTCTTCGTTGATTTTGTTCAATGGCACCATTCGTCCGGAAAACGAATATTGGAATATCTCTGCAGGGCTGTATCCTTATCTTGCCAATCATCTTCCACCTGGACACTTCAATCGTGAAATATAATTCACAGAGCGACCTCGGATGTCGCCGTCCTCGGGACTTGGATTCTACCAATTGTTACCTACATAGTGATCGGTACCTAGGTATCCATGGATGTTTACTTTTGCTAAGATCCATTGAAACCTTGAACCCTGGGACTGAGAATGTATAGGTAGGGATCTAGAACCATCAGGGCTGGAGGCCGATAAATAGTAACTTCAAGATTCAACCTTGGAAGAGTTGAGACCAGAAATATATGTGGCCGGCACAACTACGGCGAGAGAGCGGATTCCAACCTTGCCCAGGCGGAAGGTTGTCCCGAGGTCTTCCAAGGTCCCAAGACCGACAAAAGTAAAGCCAAGATATTGTGAGACTAAGGCAAGGCGAATCCTACGCTAATTATATATACCTTCTTCTCTTCCCCGTGCAATTTCTGTCGAATCGATCATGGTGAAACCAGTGGATCTTGAGAAATGCCGAAGAATGCAAGACCTTAGGACCACCTGTTCGAGGGAGACTAGTGCAAGTATCTCCAGGAATCCCGAGTCCCAGATGGCTTTTGCGACAGTTCTGAAATCGAGTCCGCAGTCTGGAGTACTAGTACGGTGGACTAGTCGGATGTCAATATGCATTGTACGCCAAGATCCACTCAAAAGGGGAATTGCAATGACCAATGGATATTTCGGTGGCACCGGCATTCCCTTAATCAGGCGGGAATGTCCGTCGAAATGGGCCAATTACCATTCGTCGATGCAGCGCTAATGCTGCAGTGTTGCGCACTTTGAGGAGCGGTGGAGGACGGCAAATCCCATTTCAACGCGTTTGTCAACAATCACGGCAACCTTGGAACTTTTTTTTATCAGGAATGTGATTCTAAACAAACCACAATGATGCTTGAGCTTCTACTTACTGAAATTTGAGCAAACACACTAACCAAAGACCATGACTTCCCCTGTTTCATCCTTTGTTTGGGGATTGCTAGAAGCGGAGATGGACGTTTCAGGTTGACACTACTTCTAACCGCCGGGATAGCGACCAATCTATCTTGTGGTTGCTCGGCCCTTTGTGCTGAAGAATGGATCATCACTTGTGGATTGGAAAAGGCCTAGAGCGCCACAGGACTTCTGTACCGCCATTGTAGCCTATTACAGGCATGAGCCCATACCGTTGTCAAAGGGGGTCAGCCATTGAGGATCTCTCACTGGACAGATCAATGGATCCCCAGGCCCCGTTGCTCCATTCAGAGCAAAGCATGGGCTTGTCGGGCTAGGTAAAAGATATTTGACCCAAATACCTCCCACCGTTACTACAACACGTTCGACACGCTCACATTCTTTTCTCCCTATTGACGATCTGAGATTGTCTGCCTTTCTTTTAGCTTATTGTTCTGTTCAACCACTTTCATTCCTTTATTTTTATTTTATCTTCGACCACTGCGACAATTTGCGACAGGTTTTCCCCCTGCCTATAACCAAAATGGTGTCCCCCACACGATCATTGAGCGCTGGATCGCTCATGCTGGCATTGCTGGCCTCTCCAGTAGCGGCCCAAAGCTACAACCTTGTGGAAAATTGGCAAGGAAAGAATTTCCTCGATTATTTCAACTTCCACGTCGGGAGCGACCCGACAAACGGCTACGTGAACTATCTCGACCAAAAAAGCGCAGAGAGCGCCGGGCTTGTCAAGGTGACGGATTCCGGAAGTGTATATCTAGGTGTCGACCACACGACCAAACTGAATCCCAATGGAAAAGGACGTGACTCGGTTCGCATTGGTACCAAGAAGTACTACGACAAGTCGCTGGTCATTGCCGACATTGCGCACATGCCCGGCAGCGCCTGCGGTACATGGCCCGCCTTCTGGTCAACTGGAAAAGACTGGCCCGGCGATGGCGAGATTGACATTATTGAAGGTGTCAACCTGCAAGACCACAACGAGATTGTCATGCACACGGCTGGCACTTGCAGCCTGACTGACACGGATATGACTGGAACTGTGAACGCCACGGGCTGCGGTGAAGACCTCGGCACTGTCGGCTGTGTCATTGAGGGACACAAAGGCAGCTACGGCACATCGTTCAACGGCCAAGGAGGTGGTGTTTATGCTATGGAGTGGACCTCGGAGCACCTGAAGATCTGGTACTTCCCCCGAAACTCGATTCCCGCCTCGATCAAGAGCGGCAAGCCCGATGTGACTCGCTTTGGCACCCCGATGGCGTTGGTGAAGGAATCATGCGACGTGGCCAATGCATTCAAGACACAGTCCTTCATCTTCGACGTCACATTCTGTGGAGACTGGGCCGGAGGTGTGTTTGGTGACTCAGGATGCCCGGCAACCGATGCAGACTCCTTCAAGAGCTGCCACAACTATGTTGCCAACCACCCCGGCGAGTTCAAGGAGTCTTACTGGGAGATCAACTCTGTCAAGGTCTATCAAACTGGCGTGAAGGGAATCGCTTCAATTTCATCCGCCGAGTCTCAGACTACCCAAGCCGCTACCACCATTGTCTCCAAGACCCAGCCCGCCCAAACCAAGCCCACCGAGGTCGCCACCGAAGCCAAGTCGGAGACCGCTGCCGTCGTCCAGTCTACCGAGACCACTGCCGCCGTCCAGTCCACCGAAAATGTCCCTGCCGTGGAGACTAGCACATCGTCCGTCGACAACGCCTCCGTCGGCAGCGTCCAGGAGCTGAACCCTTCATCTGCCCCTGCGCCCGCCGCGACGGAACAGAGCCACGCGACCCAGGAAGCGGAGGCTGTGGCCCCGAAGAAGACTCGCACCGTCACTGCCCACGTCACTGCAACTGAAACCATTTGCCCCGAGTCAGAGAAGTCTTCCGGCGTGGTCGTGCAAGCTACTGCCGATCACCCCCACTCCAGCCAGGGCAACGTGCCATCTTCCGATGACCAAACTGCCACCCCAATCTCGCAGCAAGCTCCCACCACCGTGCCCGCGGTCCCAGCCAACACCTCCGCCGCGTCCACCGCTGCCCCCATCGCAAGCCCCAGCAAGCCTTCATCGGCTGCCGTTGAGCCCACGTCAGTTGCGTCCCGAACAGGATCAGTACCCATCGTAGAGGTCTCCAGCTCTACCCGGATGCACCCCACTGGCTTCCCTTCAGCGGTCGTCTCATCCGTTCCATACGATCCCTCCCGGGCTCTGATTCCCGCACCCACTGATGCATCCCCGGCAACTGGATCCACATCCGAAGTCTATGTGCCTACCGGCTCCGAGTCTGGTGTGAGCCCCGTCTTCACTGGCGCTGCTGACCGTGTCTGCGCACAGCTTTCGGCTATCATGTGTGCCATGGTCGTTGCCGTTCTTGTCTAATCTAATTTGGATCGAGTTTGAAATTGACAGATTTTTCTGGGTGGCTCTTATACTCTTGACTTCTTGTACAGTAGGCCTTGCGAATGGCCGGCAGTCTTTGATTTGCGTCTTGCCTTTTGCCTTTCAGTGTGTAATCTTTACCGCGGATACTTCAAAAGACTTCTAAATAGTTAATACACAGTTTTTTAAGTTGCAATATTTACACCGGCATCTACCCCTAAAGGAAACATCTTCGCGTTCTCCAAAAGCCTGCGAGCCTGTGAATCATTCACCGTGTCCACCTCGCCAACCAATCTTCAGCATAGCACCTTAGGATTCCGTCCTCTAGGATATCCAATCGCCCCTCTCGTAGTGTGGCACTTTCACCTTCGGCTTTGGTTGTCACAAACTTCTTGGACTCTTTGTGTGCGCCAAAGGAATCACTGCCATACATGCTTTCATAATGGCGAATGAGCTTAATAGCTGGATTCACAAGTTCCTCTCCTCTCGCCTCGCTCTCACGCAGCCTATTCAACCAATCCTGGAATGGTAGAGTCTCGAATTGGAAACCCGAATCTTTCAAAGCGCCGAGGAGTGACAACCAAGTGAATTCCCTCGAGTTGCATACATTGAAAATGGAATCATCGAAGGGCGCAGTGGAAGAGCTCGAAGCAACATCTCCATCCCGACCAGGCGCGTTACATGATTTCGCAAGCTCAAGTATTGTTGCAGCGGCTTTGTCCACAGGGAGCCAAGAGCATGTGCCAGGCAACTCAGGCAGTGAGCCCATCGCCAGAGCCGATCGTATCATCAAAGGTATTGCCTCTGAATCATTCCACAAGCCCTTCTCGGAATGGCCGGAAACCTGTCCGATCCGAAGGGAATATGCTCTCGCTCCACAATGTCTCGCCTGACTTACGATACGCTCCCCGGCCAACTTCGACTGGCCGTACCCTGCGAGGGCACATTCCAAGCCAACTGGTTCTTCAGGAATCTCGTCAAGCTGGGAGCCAAGCGCTGTTGAGATTGAGGAGCAGAAAAGCGTCACTGCTGGCTCTTGTCGGTGCACGGATAGCGAGAATTGAATGAGATTGTAAAGGCCCTGGACATGAGATTCGAATTCTGACAAGGGGAGGTTGAAATTGACTGGCCAGGCAGTGTGGATGATTAAAGAGACTGATTCAAGCATCTGTTGGAAGACTGGGGTATCTGCAGCCAGACCAAACTCGGGTTGGTCAAGGTTGCTGTTCAAGGCAACGATCTTGGTCAGTTGTTGAGGTGATACAGAGAGTTCTTTGCTAGCGAGACTTTCGGTGATATCCTCCAAAGGGGTTTCTCTGCGCGTGAGACAGTAGACAGTTGATATAGAATCATCAATAAGTAGTTCAAACAGCACATGTGCTCCAAGAGAACCAGTTCCTCCTGTTAACAGCTTGAAAATGTTAGATATAACCCCTTCCGACGTAGAACCTCGGAATATGTAACTCACCACACTGTTAGAACTGGATGCAGTTGATCGAGGGATGTGTCTATGAAACATGGAATACTTCTTGACCATCTCAAGAACCCCTGATTGGCCATCGTCACTCGTCACCATCTTGTTTCCTTTCTGTAGTTCGCAGATAATTCTGGCCAATGTCGAAATATTGCCTGCTTCAAAGATAATGTTCGAGCCTGGCACATTGTCCGGATCAAAGCGGAAGCGTTGAAGGATCAGACGTCGAAAATGAATAGCCTTGAGACTATCGACACCTTCTGAGAAGAATTTGGCATCAAAAGTGGACATTGGTATCCCGAGCTCGTCACGGGCCAATTGACCGAGAGCTTCCTCGGTCTCATCGACTCTCAGCTCAAGCCCTTCAACCACTGCAGTATCTTTTGAGTAGAGGCCTTCGATGAGGTCGTGGTATAAATCATAAAACTGAGCTCGGATCATCGATCCTTTGTCCGTTCTTGGAAACTGTGCATCGTGGGGAAGGACCGCAATCAAATCACGAGAGATCTGAGAGAAGGCCTCTGCGCGCGAGTTGGCCTCTTGAACATTTGGCCAAATCAAGTTGATATATTGACTCTCAGACACTTTCCGAGCCACAGGTGAGTCGGCTTTCACGAGCACAAGTCCAGGAGCAGATTTTCCCACTCCAACCAGAACTGCATCATGAATGAGATGGTGCTGTTTGATACAACCCTCGATAGGGAGTGGCAAGACCTTTTCGCCATTTGCTAAGTTGATGCGATCATCCAGTCGAGACATATATTTCCAACGGCCTGCGATTGTGGGATGAGGCGTAAAGACATCCTTTGAGTGGAAAGACCCAGGCGGCTCCGATGAGTTTGATGTTGTGAGTGCAGGATGGCCAGCGAGATACACACATTCATAGAGCGGCTCGAATTTCGAAACTGGCTTCATCCAGACGTAGGGGCGGACGTTGTCGAAGAAGCGCAGATAGTTCCAATGAGGGTCCCCCTCCGGACGAGATATGGATTCAGCAACGAGCCCAGCCTCGGTGCTGTTCCCAGAGTTAGTCTGCTGTAATCGTGTTGTGCGATCTCCACTTACAGGCCAAAGGCACCTCCTAGACGTATCCCTTCTCGAACCAAGTGATCCCCCAGTTCGTCAGGACACGGTGCGCCCCCATAGGTGACTAGTTGGCATTTCCGCAAAGATTCAATGCCACGAGGATCGTCAATCAAAATTTGAAGCATATAGGGGACTGCCGCGACTGACTGCGGCTGTGCTTCCTGAAGAGCAGCGACGGCAAAATCGACGGTTAAAGGCAGCGCGGCGTTCCACATGTAGGCTGTCTTTCTCATCCACATTGCCTGCAATGCGGTAGATAAGCCATGGAGATGATACCAAGGTAGAGGATTGAATGAAGTGAGTCCAGGACCTCTGAGAGGGTGAGTCATGAGAGCTCGATGCGTAAGGAAGAGCGGCTTGGGAGTTCCCGTTGATCCGGAAGAATGAAGAATCAGAGCAACTCTCTCTGGATCTTTGTTCCGGTACAGTATCAAAAATGATGTTTCTGCCTTTCTCATTCGCTCACAAGTGACGATCGGGCGACAGCTTACTAGCTTTCGGCGCAGTATGTCGCCCAAGGTTGAGCGAATCGCGACTGAGTTGCCATATATGATCGTTTCACAATTGACTGCATCCAGTAATGAGACGCAGGCCTCTCCCGTCAGCCGTGGAGAAAGCATCATCACAGTGTAACCGAGGCGCGTCAAGGCAAAGAATGTGATCACCATATCGAAATCGGACAGTGTGAGGAGTGCCACGGTCGATCCATTCTGCTTGGGCTATAGACGTCTCTTGTCAGTGGATTAAATGAAGGCCAGTGCGATAAAACTCACCTGCTTGAACCCATCCTCCATCAGAACTATCACGGCCTGGTTGATCAAGTCATCTAGGTCCCGACCACTGTAGTGGTCGTACGAGGCAGGGTCCTTCTCGGAACGAGGATATGCAAGAATTGAGTGCTGTATAGTATCGGCGGCCCGCAGGCGAATCAAGTCATCTAGCACTTGGAGATTTCCGAATTCCTGGACCAATGGGTGTACCGTAGAAGAGCCAGCCTGTGCGGCTTGAGCATCGTGGTGAATGCCCATTGCAAGCACCGAGGTACAAGACTGAGGGGTTCCTACGAGAATAAGGTGGTACCGCAGATTTGTGCTTCTCCAAAGCTCAATCCTCAAGTTGTATTTAAAGAAATCTCTGCCAAGCCGGTTGGGTCATGTCTATCTTTGGATATACAGACTGCATTCGGAGGAGACTCCTGTCCTTCCGGATCTGGAAAATCATACACGTATCGCACAACATTAATTTAGCTGCGAACTAAGGGAGTGTGTGGAAGCTCCGAGCGTGACTATCCCATCAACTCTAGTGGGCAACACCAGCTGTTGACATGTCATTGATTGTCATATGCAAATACCCCACGTACAATAATACCCCGATACTAAGCCTAAGGAAATGACCGTTTGTGGCAAACATCGGAGCTGAAATTGACGACTCCTCAGCTGAAAGCTAGAAGTGGTGCTCGTAGCCGAGATCTGACGGCCTTATCACAGCATCCCCGTCGGCTAAAGAGTGAGTTGAACGGCGGAATCCAAGCAGCACCAAGTGTGGCTACAAGCTTGATCGACATGCAGTCATTCAAATATTCCGTTCAATTTTGATCGCGCCTAGCGGAAACAGTTGCACTGCAGGGCTGCCCGAGACACGTCCGATGGTCAGGACCCCAATCCCGTGGGGAGGTCAAGCGCGGACATGACCCTGCCAATAAGAGAATTGGTCGCATGCCGTTTCCAGCAATTCGGTAGAACCTTGGAAGTCTCCAGTCGTTCTCACCCGTACCGTTGGGATTTTCTAGACCTGTCAAGGCCTCATCCACGGACTGACGGCAGTCAGCATCTGCCGGGTTCACCCTTTGTCTGGGTGACATCTCGGCAGGGTACACAGCGTACGATGTTCAATACACCCCGATACCTGATTTGGTCAGGAATAGCTCCGTTGGCGGAATAATATTACGAGGGGCTCTACGGTGAGAGCCCCTCCAAAGGTACCCCTTGTTGAGGTGGTGAATGTTCCTTCGAAACATCGAGTATTCATGTCTCAGAGTCTCGAACCCGGAAGAACAGACGCCATTCTACGATGTCAGCGGACTATGTATCCCGAGCTGACGTCGAGTACCTCTGTACATACCCATATATTCTAAGGTTTTGTGCGACCGGGGCAGAACACATCTTCCGTGCGACCGGCACATTTTTCTGCGACGAAACTGCATAGTGCCGGTTCCAGGGTTCCAGGGGCGGGAACGGGCCGTGGGAAGCATCCGGAGCAATCTGATTCACCGGGAGTAAAGGGGATCCATGGTTGAGACCCTCAACCTTAGAAACGGGTCTGCAGAACCGCATTCGAACCTGAAGAATGCTGGACCGATCGACTGGGACGTGGGATTCCGATCCGAAGGTATTCCGTACTTTCTTTCGTTTTCCAATGTTCTTTGCGACATGTCTCACTGGATGTCAAATGCCAAATGGATCTAGTCCGGTTCTAAGAATGCCGTAGCGCGCATCCAGCCCTGGAGCATTCCTCGAACATTACAAATCTTAATTTAAGGACCAGTTGACGTATGTATTTCTTCGGTGGCCAATTACACCCCGTGGACCCGCAATAGCTGTACATGTACGGACCTCGGAGTAAAGGAGTGCAGATTGGTGCGCGTGTACTTCGTACACACGCTGACTTAAAGAAGGACGAATACTGTAAGAGGGGTTTCTTTCGATTACAAGAAGATTGACCTGTCTAATCGAAGCGGAAAGTCCGATTGCGCATAGTTCTTGAGAGTGTCGATCCAACTTGGAATGAATCACCTAGAAGTATACTGGCTTAAAACAGAGAGTGGAATGACAAATTACTTTCATTCCATCCCAGAGACATGTCTTGGTTCCTTTTGCTCATCCAGAATCTTGAGCACTTTTGCCCAGGATCGAGCTGCTCTCGATGCGTGCTCACCGGGAACGGTGGGGCTGTCTTCCCCAAGGGTGCGCGAGAAGACTTCCATACTGACCCATCCCGTGTAGCCAAGGCCCGCAATACAGGCCTCGGTGACTTCACGAATGGGAAGATACCCACCCCGATCCTCCTCGCAAGGGAACAGACGCGCATTCCGCGACCATGCCAGAAGCGTGGCCAATCCAGGTGTATAGAGAAAGGGGGTCTGTGGGTCAACTCGCTCTCCATCGGCCAGCTGAACCATCAGAACCCGATCCGGATCAATCTCCTGCACAAGCCGAGTCATGGATTCTTGAAGATGTTGGTCGGCACGCGCGGGCCGACGTCCGGTGGGGTCCAAGGGATCGGCCCAGATCCTGGCTGCGATGTTAAATGTGTCCAAGCAAATTCCCAGGTTGGGCCGGTTGGCCCGCTGAATCACATCCCAACAATCCTCCCAGGTGTTGATATAAGTTCCCCAAGCCAGTGCCTCGTAGGCAATTCGTACCGGAAACGCCACGTCGGCTGCCTCAGCCAAGTCGGCGGCGAGCTGATCGCGGTCGTCGGTGATCTCCGAGGGATCTAAAAAGGAGGATGGGATAAGGATGAAAACCGAATCGCCCAGGATCATGCAAAGCTGAGCCCAGTGCTTTAATTCGTCGATCCGCTGTGCATGTTGGGCTCGATCTCGGAGGCCCTCATACTGACGAAATGGCTGAAGAGCCAAGACTTGCAGATCACGGTCCGCACATAGATCGCGGAGGACGTGCGCTGCGTCGATCTCGTAGTCTCGATCGGTGTGTGACGAATCCTCAGCTCCTTGCAATCGAAGGGTCTGAGCCAGCTGTGCAAGGTCGTCATGAAAGAGTTCCAGCCCCTGTTGGCCATTCAGTGCTGCGGCGTCGAGTTTGGAAACTATGGGATGGAGTTGTGCCGCTCCCAGGCTCACCGTCGCGATGGCGGGCTTCCATCGCGAGCCTGTGTCGGAAATAGGGGGACTTGGGAGGGAATGCATCAGGGCCAGGTTATTTCGGAGTCTGGCAGGTTACTAGTCACCACTAGCGAGGGTCTATCTTTATAGGCAGACATCCTGTCACCTCACTATGGTCATTCTGGTTCCGTGCTGATCCTTTCCTAGGGGCGACTATTTGACGGAATGAAAAAAGAAAACAAAAGAATAACAGGAAAACAAAGCCAGTTAGCTTTCCCTCTGGCGTTTCGAAACCCAAATAAATCCAGGTGTCATGTAAAGTGGGGAGATACGGCCCAAATGAGAATGCGCACACCGTACGCCAAGTCGGTACTGTGGAGCTGGATCGCCTCTAAAAGCGGATTCAAACGGAGAGAAGTATATTGCCCGCTTTCGGTTGGATTGCATCCGTTGGAATCTGACGCCGAGACCAGGGTAAGTGCCTAGGTAGTCCCCGGATGTCACGCTCGGAGAATACATATAAGAGAGAGAGCGATCCTGTCAGTTCAGTCATTGTACAACTAGAACTGCGGTATTTGGCAGAGATGACGATCAACACGCCACTGCGGTCTCTAATGAACCGCCTCAGTCAAGCCGTGATGAAAGATGACGCGAATCCATCCCCCCAACTTCACTATGAGGTGCTTCAAATGATCGACCAGCTGCGATCTGCGGTGGAATCACCGACAGAAACCGTGTTGCGCTTGATTTACCAGGTAGGACGTCCGCGGCGTCACGCTGGATTTCCATTCTGACCGAATGTAGCCTCCACAAAATGCCGCCATACGGATTGTGATCGAGTTGGGCATCTTCGACTTGCTGGATAGGGACACAGTACTCTCCGCCACTCAGCTGGCGAAATATACGGGCGCCGAACGAGACCTCATTGGTACTACTCCCTGCAGAGAAAGTCACGAATCACAAATGTGGAGCACGCTAACAGGTGTGTAGTTCGACTGATGCGCGTAATGGTATCGTTGGGGTTGTGCGGCATGTCAGCCCCGGAAACGTACGCTGCAAATGAGAAGACTGTGGCGCTCACCCAGCCCATTGGAAGAGATGGCCTGTCTTGCATGTGAGCATTGTCCCCCTGATAAGTAGAGCGATCGCTCACTGGAATAGATTCGATTTGACACTGCCCACCTTGAGCAAGCTTCCGGAGTACATGCGCTCCAATGGATTTTCCAACCCCAAGGACTACGCCCTGTCACCCATGCAATACGCGGTGGGCCAGAGTCAGTTCGAATGGCTGGCGAGTAACCCGAAGCAGCAGCGGTTGTTCAACTCCTACATGACCAGTCGCCGAGAGGGACGGCCAATGTGGTTCAATGTGTACCCCGTGGAGCGATTGTTCGGTCATGGTGTTCCATTCGAAGACACCACTTTCCTGGTCGACGTCGGAGGGAATCAGGGGCATGACCTAGGGAAGTTCCGTCAGGAGTACAGTCATCTGCCCGGACGACTTGTACTACAGGACTTGCCGGAAGTGGTCAAGGGGGCTGCGTGTGATGGGGTAGAAGTGATGGGGCACAACTTCCTGGATCCTCAACCCGTGAAGGGAGCCCGCGCATACTATTTCAGAGCCATCTTCCACGACTGGCCAGACCATATTTGTCAACAGATTCTCCGAAACACCATCTCCGCCATGGCGCGTAATTACTCACGGATTCTGATCGTGGATTTCGTCCTTTCGGACACAGAAACACCCCTGATGCAGGGATCAATCGATATCCAGATGATGAGTATAGGAGCAGGAATGGAAAGATCCCAACAGCAATGGGAGCGATTACTTGGAAGTGTTGGCTTGGAAATCACTGGAATGTGGAGCCAAGGCCCGGGGATGGAGTCGGTCATTGAAGCAGTACCAATGTCCAGCTGATCAAGTAGAAAATGTTCAATTTGATGGCGACTTGTATCTACACTCTCTCAATATACCCTTACCATAAGCAATATGGTCATCCCCGACTCTATGTTCCGATTTGAAGGTTTGTGCAATGCAAGCAAATGTACACGTTGGACAGGGGACTGTACCTAGTATCTATCTCTCCCGAGGTCGGGCTCCAATGTAATGTCTTTTGTGCGAGTTTCTCATACATAATTGTAGCTCCACATGGCAACGCGAAGTGTCAAACTCGGCGACTGAGATATCTTGCACCTACAACAGAAGCATTCTCGACCACCACGGTTCCGCGAAAGTATAGCCGGCGGGAATCAAGTTCATCCTCAAAGGTCGCTCTATATCGGTCATGGTTCAAGAGCCCACCTGCCAGTATCAACACAGACTGCTCCGGTACCTGGTATTCCAGAGCGTCTGGATTCACCAGCCGACTCAAATTTTCACCAATCAGTTTGCCAACTTGGGCCTTCACAATGCCTGCTGCAACCTTGCAATCACCCATGAGATTGAGCACAGCTTCAGCAACACCAGCGATACGCCTTTTAGCGCCCTGTGTACATTTCTGAGCCAGGAGATCGTTCAAAAGATCCATACCGACGTTGGAGCGGATATGAAAGCCCAGTTTGGCAGCTACAGCCATTGCCAGCTGATCGCTGTCAGGTTTGACAAGGCCGAGAGAGACATCCTCAAAGAGACCAAGGGTATGTTGTATCGCTTTCAAGCCAATCGCATACCCACCCCCTTCGTCTCCGAGAATATGTCCCCAGCCACCAGACCGAGCGACACACTTGTACTCCTGGTGGTCTGCAGACCACTTGTATTGCATTGCAACACTCCCAGTCCCTGCAATGACAATCAATGCAGGACACCTGGCATGGGATAGAGGTATGGCTGCGGTCAGCAGGTCAACGTCGTTGGTCAATCGGACATTCTTGGGATCATCAATCCCGAAAGCCTCGGCCAACTTTGGTGAAAGCCGGTCTTGAAACCCGGCCCTGTCCAAACCAGCTAGACCAACCCACACGGAGTTAAAGTATGTCCGAACAGTTTTCTGCCATGGTTCTGCTCCAGCTCCGCCATTGGTGACACCCTTGAGTGCGGACTTGGTCGCCTCAAGTATCGTAGATATCACGCTGTCAACATCCCCAACGTGGTCGGTTCTGTGGATCAGTTAGCGGAATCCTCAGCACTCGGTGTGATGTTCGATACAGATTGCAGGGCCCGGAACAGCCTTGATATACAACCCCTGTGGCATCAGTCACAGTGGCGGCGCATTTGGTGCCACCCCCGTCGATGCACAGAACAAAGGGACGTGACGCAATAGATTCAACAACGGTGTTCTCGTTCGGTCGATTGATTACAGCTAATGCTTTAGCCAAGACACCCCCGGTAGATGCAAGATGCTTCTCGCACACGTCGACTGAGCATTGTGATTCGGCAACCAATATAGCCAACTTGACACTGTGGTTGCATTCAACAAGAAGGGAGTCCAATTCCGCATCTGAGAACGTGTTACATCTCGCACTCACACTCCGCAGCATGTTACGGGAGCGCTGTTCGAGTTTCAAATTCGAGGCCACCATATCGACCATCTGCGAGAAATGTTAGCTGATGTACCGGGTTGACATTCGCGAAGTCCAGCCCTTACCATGTTTCCATACGTCTTTCCCGTCTTTATCATAGTGCCTGTGCTCAGAATGTTCAACACGAGCTTCGTAACCGTGCCAGCCTTCAATCTTGTGCTCCCAGTGACCACCTCAGGACCCGGCAACGGCGCGATGACGAAATCAGCATCCCCCGAAAGACCGATGGCCGACGGACTGGTACAAACCAGTCCGATTGTCATGCACCCGAGTCCCTTGGCAAATGCAAGACAGCCCAGAACATATGGTGTCCGACCCGAGCTTGCAATGCCGATGATGCTATCGAGCTCAGGGTTCAGATTCAACCGACGCATGTCTTCTTCGCCAGCGAGCCGATCATCCTCAGCGCCCTCCTGTGCCTGTCTGATTGCTTCATCGCCACCTGCGATCAACCCCAAGAATTGTGAGCGAGGCGCTGCGAAGGTCGGTGGGATCTCTGACGCGTCCAGAATTCCAAGTCTATCCGTTATCAACGTCAGCGCCAATTTAGGCTCAAATATAGTCCAAAGGGTCTTTACCTCCCACTCGTTCCAGCGCCCACATAGATCACTCGTCCGCCTTGAGATACGCGTGGTGCTAATGCGTCAATCGCGCCTGCGATCTCAGGCAAACAAGGAACCACACTGTGGGGGACATGCTGGTCATCGGAATTGATCAGGGTGCACATGTCCAACGTCGAAAGCTGGTCAATATGCACCGTCCGAGGGTTCACGCCCTCCGTTTGAAGTTTTGCCAAATTTTCAAGATCCATCGAATGATCGCTGGCCATGTAACGAACTGGAGAAAGTGCACAATGAGGATGAAAGAGCCCGCATCGTGGAAGCGAAGTCCGGAAACGAAGAAACGCGGGATACTGACTTTCGGCTCACAGCCGGGGACAACGTGGTACGTTACGCGATAGAGTTGCATGTAGCTCGGCTGTTTCAAAGCTCACAAGCGCATTGTGGAGAGTGGTTGTGTGGGGGTTGGCGGTATTCCCCGCCAATGCACGGTCAATGCGGGCCCTGGAGACTACCGAATGTTATAGATCTGGATATCTGAGCCCCCAATCCCCATGGGGTCTCCACTTTGAATGCTACAATGCACATCCCAGCCTAATATGCTCGTGTGCAACGTCCCGGGAACTGGGGTTGTGCTGTCAGGCCCCCAGGGAGGCCTTGTGGGTGGTTTTTTTTTTTTTTTTTTGCATAAGAGGCAGACTTTCACCCGCTTGTTAACGACAATCGTATATACACAAGCACATATGAGATGTCGGAAATGAGAGCCGAAGGGCAACTCGCCCTGAATGAGCATCGTGGCCCGTCCAATGCCTCTTCAACTGTGTACAAAATCTGGACTCACTGTTGGTTCCAGATCATACTGATCAGCTTTATTTGCTTCTGCTGTCCGGGGGTAAGGGCTGAAGATGCAAATGCTAAATGAGCAATCAGACCCGCTGACTTTAAAGCAGATGTACAATGCGCTTTCGGGCCTGGGAGGCTCTGGCCAGGTGAATCAAACCGTCACAGCCAACGCAAACGTTGCTCTGCTATCTGCGACGGCTGCAACAGCACTTTTCGTGGTTGGCCCGATATTTGACCGCGTCGGGCCTAGAGTCTGCCTCTTGCTGGGAGGCTGGACGTATCCTTTATACTCTGGCAGCCTTTTGTGCTTCAATGGTATGTCTCGTAGCCGAATCGTCATGCAGCTAGATTAATCAGACTTTTTTCGGAATAGCAACGAAGAACGGGGCCTTTGTGATTGCCTCCGGAGCAATCCTAGGTATCGGGGCGTCCTTCTTATGGGTGGCTCAAGGCGCGATCATGACGACCTATGTCTCCGAGTCGCACAAGGGGCGTGCTATAGCAGCATTTTGGATCATCTTCAACCTCGGCGGTGGTGTGGGATCTCTTGCCAGCTTTGGGCTCAACTATGACTCGAAAAGCGGCACGGTTTCAAACCAAACGTACATCGCTCTTCTCGTCATCATGGCGGTGGGATGGTTACTGGGGCTGTTGATATGTCCGCCCTCGTATGTGCGAGGTACTCAGCTGCAGGAGACGCCGAAACCAGAGAAGAATTGGCGACATGTCGCTCGTCAATCTTTCAAAACGATCGTTGACTGGCGGGTCCTGTGTATGCTGCCGCTCTTCTTCTCGGCCAATGTGTTCTATTCATATCAGCAGAACTCTGTGAACGGAATGAACTTCGATCTCCGCACACGCTCTCTGAATAGTGCGCTGTACTGGATCGCACAAATGCTTGGAGGATTGGTGATGGGCATGCTTCTCGACACCCCACAGCTCACGCGCCCCATGCGAGCCCGTGTAGCATGGGTGTTCCTGGTCGTGACCGGAATGGCAATCTGGGGAGGTGGCTACTCGTTTCAGAAATGGTCGGATTCGCGTTTGCGACAAGGCCTCAAGCAAGACATTGACTACACCGATGATCATATTTCGGTGGGTCCCATGTTCCTCTATATCTTCTACGGCGCGTACGATGCGTTTTGGCAGTCGTTCTGCTACTGGCTCATGGGAGCCCAGTCAAATTCGCCTGCGGTTGCTGCCGTTCTCGTTGGGGCATACAAGACCTTCCAGAGCGTTGGGAGTGCTATGGCGTGGCGTGTGAATGCAATCAACACGCCTGCCATGACTCAATTCGCCATGAACTGGGGTCTTTGTATGGGGTCCCTCTTCATCGCCATCCCAACGGTGCTGGCAACTACTGTGACGAGCGAGACTGATCCCACAACAGAGGCAAGCTCGTCCGTGGCAGAGAAATTTGACGAGGAGGCAAAAGCAGGTTGATACCCTTCAATGCATATGGCCCGGGGAGGTCTGTTTGTTTGTCATTTCGCGGTCGGCTGAGGGCTAGGATGGGCTGTCTTGATACACATCGTTTCTGCTCGAAGCCTTAGTCGCAAAGCTCTAGCTATGAAGTCAGCTGTCTCGAGGAAATCCCCTAGCAGAATGTCTCACCCAATCACTGTGATAGTAGATAAAAATGGGATTGGAATATGGCGGGCGGCGGCCACAAGAGGCCTTCGTGAAGGGAAAGTGTTTGAGGAGGCAAGACGTATTCTTGTTCATCGGGACTTATCGACAGATAGACTGCGATGGGAGATATTTACATAGCATGGTCCACCAGTGTGTCCATGGTCGGTTTTATGTGCCGACGAAGATGATCCTCGAGAGACGGACGGTTGTTCATTTGACATAGATTATTTCACGCACTTCTTGAGAACAGCCGTCTCCAGCAAGAGCTTCGTGTATTGGCGGTGGGCCCAAGCAATCTTATCGTCCATGGGAGGTGCCTCTGCCTTTCCGGCGCCTTGGTAGAAACAGCTCTTTAGACTGAACTCGGCGACATTCTGTTCCTTCTTGACCACAGCAGCGATTTCAAACAGGCCGTCGGAGGCGCGGACGTCGGGGTTTCGGGGAGTGTCTCCGCAGCGGACGACGATGCGGTCTTCGGTCTTCTCGACCACCTCGAAATGGTCCGTCACGATTGTGCCAACTTCGTAGGTGTTGGAGAGAAGGTCAGATCGATCCCACAAGTGGCTGGCGGTTTCGGGGCCACGGTACTTCCGATCAAGGTAGGCTCGCTGGGGGATGTAACCTAGAAGACAGCAACGGCGAACCGATCAGCATATGTCATACGGAGGGGAAGATTTACGGTACTCACCCAGGCCACCCCAAACACCGGCACAGAAGGCCTCCACCAGCTTGCCCTTTTCCTCGACTAGGGAGGGCTGAATCTTGTCCAGGGGCATTTGACGAACGCACACATCGTGCAGAGTCGGGTTGCGATTGGGGTTCCACTTATTGAAGAGGGCAGATTGGAAGATGGGGTCGGATGCGTCCATGTGCTGGAAGATGTCGTTGCGAGTCGCGCCCCAGAATACACCGACCGAAGCGACGCTTCCTGCGACGGTGGTTTTGACCAATTTACTGAAGATGCCCATGGTGGAAGATGTGACAGGAGTGGGGAGATGCGACTCGTGAAGATCAAGAGAGCTCGACGAAGCTCCGGCGCTTCTCCGGGCTTGGCATCGGCAACGGCAACTCACCGCGCCAAGCCTGTCAGAGCCACTTTCCTTCCTCTTGTTGTCTTCTGCTTGAATATCTCTCAAATTTGCAGACACCGAAAGATCATAAAAGATCTCAGCTATTCATTCGTGTATCCTAAGCGAGGCCTGCCATGTTTTGAGTCCGCAATGGCAAGGCAACGGATATATATCCCCGAGGCCTTTGAACCCCGTTGAACCTCAACCTTCCAATGTTCCAAGTTGGAAGCACAGCCACTCCGGGGCCTTGTATCATAGCTTAAGCCACCAACACAAAAGATAGGGACTTCCAAGGCCCCAACATTTGATAAGCTCCCCCACAGAGATCGACTTCAGCTCACATGCCGTATGCAAGGAATGGCCCGGGAATTCCGAGTACCCGCACGAAGTTCCCTATTGGAAGAAGTGCAAGTGTTCGCCATCTGGGCGCATAGCCCCTGTTCCATTGACGTCGCCATTCCTTTACAAGCAAAAGGAAGCAACTTTGAACCCTGAAGAATGGTGACAACTTGGAACGGTTATCTCTCAACTCAGAGCCCCTGGGCAGCAACATATACTACGCTTTGGGGATTGGGAGGGGCGGACAGTTCATTAGAAATAGAAAGCTGATATTGATACCTAGGTACTGCTCTTGCACGATAAGCTAATATTCGATAATGATATGATCAAGCAGCTCGAAATGAAGCCAGATTTTCAAATAATGCAGCTGACAAACCGAAAGTTGTCTTCTCCGAGAACAACATCATGGTCTCCCTGGCCAGGAAGTTGATCAAACAGAGCCACAAACGGGAGGACCAACGGTCCACCCGCAAGCCTGTCACCCGAAACCTCGATCTCCTGCGCCGAATATGCTTGCTGTACGGCAGGGAGCTGCTCAGCCAAGGGAGGAATGGGCGGGTACTGCTCGCGCAAAGATTCGATATATGCTTCATTGAGGGGACGCGGGGCGAAGGGAGGAGCTAACTGCCATTTCTCGATGCGAATACCAGTCTCTCCGACGACGAGAACGAGAACGATGCGCACATGACCATTTGTGTTCGCGAACCACCCTTTCGCATTTTCGCGGAGTCGAGGAAGTGACAGGGGTAGGCCAGTCTCGATGACGAGAGTGGGACAAGTCGAAGTTTGCAGGGGGCCAGGCAGTCGGCATTGTGGAGAAAACGAGTCATCGGCTTGGATGCCTTTGGTGGGTGTGACCATGTGAGCGGCGTTGGCATTCCATTTGTGAGCTGGAGGGTTTTGCATAATGGCGATGTGGTAATCGATGGCCCTTGTGAGCTCGTCTGTCATCATGAGGTGGGAGCAGTCTGCGACCACCTTGATAAGTGCAGCTGCGCCCTCCCATTGAGCCCGGTAGCTCAGGTTCTCCATTGGGTGCACGGGGTCGGCAAGCCGGTTCACAGTTGGTGGCGCGAGGGCGACAAGAATGATCCATTGGCTACCATCGCCATCTTCTTGTATCTTCTCCAGCAAGATATCGAATGTGAATTTGAGAGAGTCGGATTCGCTGAAGGGCCGAAGTATGAACCCGTCAGGAAGCCCCGCCTGGTAAGCGAGGACAGAGGTGTATACCTTCTTCATGTTGAGCCGGGGTATTGGGGATGGAGCTCGGTTGAGGTATGATGAAAAGTTGACAAAAGAGAAGATGGAGGAGAAGGGAAAAGGTAAAGGAATGGGAGAGTGGAAAGAGAGGAAAAGGAACGGAGGAAAAACAAGCGGAAATAGAGGGTGTGGGCGCACTGGAGAAGAAAGTGAATTAACAATAGAAACAATCCATGAATCCCTCTGGCTGTCACCAAACGAGCGGGAACAATGTCGGTCGGTTTCCCTTTGGTATCGAATGTGAGAGATTTGAATTGGCCCATCCGGACGGTGTGATTCTACAAGTCAGGCGACGAGGAGCAGGAAGTTCGAATTGAAACAATTTATTGGTACAATCTATCAGCAATCTAAAGTGACAAGAATGATCAGAGACGTCTTAGCGAAACGAGAAACGAGTGAACATCAGAACCAGTTCTGAAATGTTGAGACAGATCGAAGACCCCTTAGATCAGACCAAAGAAAGAAGCACCGGTAGAAGAGGGACGGGCACTGCCAGACGAGGCCGCACCGGTAGGGGTTCCAGTGGGAGAAGGTGTGACAGTAGAAGATGCGGCACCGGAGGACGAAGCAACTGCGGAGGAAGCAGGACGGGTCGACAGGGTGCGGGAAGGTGTAGGCAAGCCAGTGGGAGTCAGTATAGGGATGGTCTGCTCAGCACGCTTCTGGCCACCAGCAGAGGCAACGGCAGCACCGAGAGACTCGACCCCCGACAGCAGAGAGGGAATATCAGTAGGGAGGGACGGAGAGTCACCACGCTTCTGAGCACCGGCAGAAGCCAATGCGCCGACAGCAGACTGAGCATCGGAGACCAAGGACGGCAGATCAGTGGGCAGCGCCAGAGCGTCGCCTCGCTTCTGAGCACCAGCAGAGGCAACGGAAGCGCCAAGAGATTGGACACCCTCTACCAGGGAGGGAATATCGGTGGGAAGCGAGAGAGCGTCATCTCGCTTCTGAGCACCAGCAGAAGCCAAACCACCCACGACAGACTGAGCGTCGGAAACCAACGATGGCAGATCGGTGGGAATGGAGAGTGCCTCACCACGCTTTTGGGCGCCAGCACCCGCAGAGGCAAGAGCTCCAACCACCGACTGCGCATCAGACAGCAGCGACGGGATGCCCGTGGGGATCAATCCAGCTTCTCCGCGCTTCACAGCACTTCCAGTAGGAGTGGATGATCGGGAGTAAGGCACAGAGCCCGATGACGGCGCAGCAGAAGACGAGTGACGCGCGCTGCTCGAAGCGAAGGGGTCGGGCAGAGGAGGGTCGCTCGACAGATGAGCGGGAGTCGACGCCGAGGGAGTGCCCGATGCGACGCGGGTGCTGCTAGAGAAGGGAGCACCAACGGCAGAGCCAGAAAGGGCAAGGGCGAGGGCAACGACAGAAGTCTTCATCGTGAAAAGTGATTCAAAGTAAAGAAGATACTAGTTGGAAAAGATTGAAAGAGCCGTCGGTCAACGATAGCTGGGAGATGAAGAATGTTCTGAAAAGAAAGATTGTAGACAAAGAGGATCTCAGATCTGCTGGAGAGAAGTAATTCGAGGAAGTCGACGAGGGTTTTTATATCTGATCTCGGTGTTGATGCGGCGCTGATGCCGAAGCACACCATCGGCACTGTGCCAGGATCGTGAAGCGACGATCATCTCTGCCTCGCCTCTGCCCTGACGAGCGTTGGAGGATCGTCAGACCTCGTAACGGGCTTCTGGAAGGATTCTGACACCAGAACAACCCCTGGTGAACTCAATTGACTGTTTCAAGTCGACCTGTTACCCTGGTTGAGCAAGGGATCTGAACTCGACCAGTGGAACAGACACCCCAAGCGAGAGTGGACACTTGGGCCTGAAGCCGAAGATCATGAGAATCCTGATGGCATCAGTGGTCTCCAGGCAATCTGCCGACTGGGACCCGAGTAAAGTTTCGGGGTGGCGTGCGAGATGCGACGCATTGGGAAGATACGCCGTGCAGACTGGGGCCTTTCTTGGATTGCGGAGGACTTCCGACCAGTCAGTGTTCATAGGGAAATAAGGTTGTCCCAGAGAGTTCTCTCCTAGGGTCTAGTTCGAGATATGGTGCCGACGACGATCCTGCCGATCTCAGTCGATACGCCGGATTAGGCAATGGGTCTGAGGACTTCCCAAGGTTGTTGAATTTGCCTCTTCAAGTCCCTCACCTGGGCAGTCCTCACCAATACCTTATCTCTTTCGCGATTATGAGGGGTTTGTCCGACTGGAATCGCAGCTCGGCTTTCTCAGCAGGCCAACATGCCGGCAAGAACCATGGAGTGTGCGGTCTTCCAAGGTTGTCATCTCATTTTTGAGGCACCTGAGGTACGTTGGTATCCATAGTGCACGGGGGGATTGCACTTCCAAGGTTGTTCCACCTCACGTTGCCTTTTATCTGGACATGGATGTATGAAAATCTATCAATTACGTTCAAGGAATCATGAAAACACATCCGGGCAGTCTTTATCATTCATGCAGTCTGGAACCGCTTCATTGGCCCGTAGCTTGAAGTCCAGGCTCTTAGTGAATTTCCCCAAATAAAGAGAGGAATGGCAAACAAAATACTGGCCACTTGAATGGCCGCCATTTCTCCAAAGACAGCCGCAGGCCCTTGACGTTCTATCCAGTCCGCCGCGTAGAGCGAGACAAGCATGCCGATCGTGTTGCGAATGACGAAGATAATCACGAGAGCCTCGCCCGTCACCTGATTGGATGTGAGTTATGATGTTCCAGGAAATAGAGAACGTTGTACGTACTGGTTTATACGAGTCCAGCGAATAGGTGACCGCGACGTTGCTGATAGCAGCGACTCCAAAGGCCTGCATGGCATTGCCGATAGCAGGGCCGATCCAGTGGGTCTTGTGGGCGACGCAGAGCCCAAAAATGAGAATCCCGGCGGGTCCAATCACCCCCGGGATCACGATGGCCGGCAGCCGATATTCCGGTCGACGAACACCTCCATGCCGATTTGCCCCTCTAGTGGAAATGATATCGATCAGTCGACCACCAAAATAAAACGCGATGATAGACCCGATAAACGCAGCCAGAGACAGCAGACCCAGATCCCCTAGCCCCCAGTTGTATGGGGGCTTAGTAAATGTTCGAGAGGACATGAGCTGAACGACGATGTTCCTAGATTTCTGATCAGTCCGTGTGGTCAGAGATTTCATTCTGGTGGAACGACAAACCATCCGACCGATATACCAATGGTCAAGGAGCACCAGATCAAAGGTGGATAAGCAGCATTTGCCACGATATCTCGCAGGGGTTGCATAAATGATGCATTGGGGTTATAGCCTGCCGTGAGGGACATCCATTGCCACTGAGATCGCTTCGGGGAGAAGAGGACGGGATCGTCAGACTCGCGTTGGCGAACCGATGTCTCCCTGATAGTAAAGATGGCAATGATGAAGACAACCCCGACCGAAATAGCAAGAAAGTAGCACATCCATCGCCAGTCTTGTTCCTGGACTAGATATGCATTGATAAGGGGACCCAGAAACAGGCCTCCTGTCATAGCGAGGTGGAAGAACATCATATAGTGGCCACGATCCTGAGGTGCGACCATATCAGCCACCACGGCGGGCACGGTGGCATCCGCTGCGGCAGCGACAAACCCAGAGAGGATTCTCGAGGCAAGTAATTCTCCATAGCTCGTGGCTTGGCTGGACCAGACATTCATCAAGCTCAAGCCAAGCATCGCAAGGAGATATACCGGACGCTTGCCAATGACCCGCATAAGTGGTACCCAGAAGATATTTCCCATTCCAAAAAGAAAGACATTGAAACAAACTAGCTCCCCGGCCTGTGTCTGGGTGACGTTAAATTCCTTGATTATAGGCTGTGTGGCGACCGTGAAGTTGCTCGAGTTGATGTTGGCTAGAAAGGTGAATAGGCAAATCGTTAAATATGTGCACTGCTTTGCGGCCATCGACCAATTCTGGACATTGCGGTTAAGTGTCAGCCTTGCGTTTGTGAAGAAGTGTTCTGGGCCGTACCAGAGGGTGATTGGGGTCCATATCCCCCGTTATCTTTGTCTTATCATAGCTCGGAGACGTATTTTCGACCTCCGGCATTGTTTCTAGGTGAGTAGAACTTGACTGTGATTCTTTGATCTCGGTCATTCTGAGCGTGCCTTGATACCCTGAGTGTGAGAATGACGGTAGATTGAGGCTGGACGAGTCTGGGGGGATCGAAGCAGATTCCCCGGGGCGACACTAGCCTCAAATACGACCGAACTTCCCCACAGTCCAAGTATGGGGAAGTGCATGCAGGAGAGGGATTGAGTCGGCATTTCCGATGTGCGAAAATCAAAAGTGGGCCCCGGGATATGGAAGAGTGGAAGACCCGAAGAGTACATATGGAGTATGCTTGGGGTGTTATATCGCTATAGCCGCAGGAGCTAGTACATAGGCTAGGCAAGGGGGCAACAAGACAGAAACATGATTAGTTGACAACAGCAAAAATCAAAATGGAGATGAGGTCGAAGGCGCGTCTACGAATCTGGCGATGTTGGGAAAGCGGACTTCATTCTGCCGGCAAAAATTCCCTTATATCCCTTCCCAGGTTCATCCTATGGTATATTGTGACCGGTGCAAAGATTGCAGACTGCCCGAGGCCAAGGATGACATTTCAAAAGCAGGCTTACGCCAGTTGCAGCCCAATCTGGCGGAGAAATGGGACATTAGGGAAACTTGAAGATTGATCAGGGGTCTGGAAAATGGGGACAGCAGGAAGCCCGCTTGGCTGGGGACCTGAACCTCTTTCATAGGATCGAGGCTGTTCAGACTGACAGTCATCACAGCTCTAAGTCATCGGAAAATCAAAAAGTGATCAAAACAGAACGCGGCTGAAGCCCCAAATTCAACAACAAACCGAGGATCAAAGCGACTCCCAACGACATCGATGCACGCACAGGTCTGATGCCGCTCTGCCTTCGACCAGACTGTTGTCCTCATATGTCTCATTGACTACGACCTCAAGAGACCGTTGTATCGATGCAGCCTCCCGAAGAGCCCGTGAATCGCACGATCTCGCTATCGCGGAACATGAGCCGCGCAAAAAATGCTCTCCGTGCTGTGGACGATGTAATTCAGTCTCGCAGGCAGATGGTCAAGGCCAGAATTCTCGTGCCAGCCAGTTGTAACTCCACCGACACCAAGTGGCTGTTGTCCATGTTGGATCAGAAACATTCCGATGCCAGAACGACGCTGGCGCAGGCTAGGCTCTCTGCCATGGATGCGTACAACGCCCTGCCACCGGCTGAAAAAGACGCCTTTGTGTCTCGCGAGGGACCTGACCTGCACCGCTGTCTCAACCTCCCCTTACCTCATGGGGAAGTTGTCCATGGTGATATCATCCACACCCGTAACCTCCTGTACCGCACCCGCGACGCATGGTGGCGCGAATTCAACTACCGATGCGCCAAAGACCTTGTGCCTTCCTGGATCCTAGAATCAGAGCCAATGATCCGAGATCGGATTAGACATCATGATCGACTGGTGGACACATGGATTGAGGATCGCCGCCGCAAGGAATGGGACACGGAGTCCGCCTTTAGTGCCATGTCGCTCTTCCACCAAGACGTGTTTCGAACATTCTATCGGGACCTCATCATGCTGGTCCAGATGGACCTTTGAGATTGCCATGGCCATGAGCGCAGTGGCTGGCCACACTTGCCCCGAATTCCAACTGCATGATTTGGAAGATGTTCCCCTTGTACAACCGCCCATCCACATAGTACTGTACCGACTTGGACCATTGAGAGGTACCGCCATCACCTCAGTTTCCCCTGTTTTTACTGTAAACAAAATCCCACCATATTTCAAGCCCATTCTCCCCGTATAGACGTAGATGCCGAGAAAATGACGACGGTGGTGAGTTGTGGATCAGGAAAGCCGGTTTCCCGCCCGCCGCGTCAGCACAGCCACATGAGGTCCCGACCAATTCTCCGTCTTCAAGATCTTGGCTCAACAAAACGATCTTGAATTCTTTGGACTCCCATCGCCTGCTACGCAATGACACTTTTGGCACGTCTCAACGAGTGATCGGCGATGCCACTCGATTCTCATCGATTTGAACGCCTGGGTCATCCAGCATGTCCGATGGGGGATCCGGGGCATGGCTCCGTATGTCATCGATCTCGTTGTGAGACACTTTTTGCTAATGTGATTTTATAGCTCGTCTTCCTCGGCTTCGTCCGCCCCTGTCCCGAGAAGCGCGAGGCTGGCGTCCAGTCGCCTTGCGACCGGCTTATCTCGGTGCCCTCATATGTTCGATGTTGACGATTATATTGTGTCTGGAAGGGCTGCGACAGTATAGCGACCGGGAAGGTGGACTGGCTTTCTTCGAAAACACCGACGATGTTTCCTCCGCTCAATCGTTCGCCTACAACTATCTGCCAATCATTGTTTCACTCGTCCTGGTCGTGGTATGGACTGTCACCGATTTCGATGTCCTCCGCCTCGAGCCGTATTTTCAGCTATCTCGACCCGAGGGAGCCCCGGCGACCGTGCTATTTATCAACTACAACTTCGGCCAGACTGTTCTTACCCCGATCAACGCCGCTCGGCGGCGCCACTGGGTAGTGCTGTGGGTCTCGTTCGTGACCCTCTCGATTCGAATGATTCTCCCTGCCTTGCAGAGCACGGTCTTCGAACTACGAGAGGTCACGGTGACTGATCACGGCACCATGAAAAGCTGGCCGCATTTGGTGAACCTGGATACACAAGAGCGGTGGATGTCCACGCAGGCCAACAATACTGTCGATTCCCCGCTTACTTCGGACGAGCAACTGCGGCGCACCCGATCCTCGAAATTTGCCGTTGCACCCGTGGAAATCCCAGGGACCCGACAGGATGAGCGCACAATGTGGACTTTGGATCAAACCCTATACTGGGCGGAACTCTCCTGTCAAAACGTTCTCGTTGGTGACAAGCTTACTGTTGCCATCGAAGACCCTCAAGCCGAAAACCCAATGATCTCATGGAATGCGAGTGGCATCGATCTAGATACCAAATACGGCGGTGCGGACGAATGCACTTTAGGGTTTCAATACGAAAGTGTTTATTTTCCGTCTACTGATTACCTCCAAGTCCGCTACTGGGAGCCAGTGATCAGTGATGCAGCTAAAGAAGCCTTTCCGAACCGGACACAGGCCTTCACTGCATCTGGATGTGACCCGTATGACCTATATGGCATGATCATAGGCGTGAATGCCACGACCGCCACTTCGAATGATTACTCCGTCTCGGGAATGGCCTTCGCCTGCGACATCACCTATCATCAGGCGGAGGCAAGCGTCATGATGCATTCCAACAGTTCGATCACATCTATCCAGATTGATCGTGGCACTACGAGGAATCTGACGGCGGATGATTTCAGCATCGAGCACTTCCAGGCCCTGCTATCACAGCGCGCCCCTTATACCAGTGACATGCTGTTCATACGTGAAAATGCCACCACAGGGGACCGCACGATCACGGAGTTGCCAGTCATCAGCCAGGAAATGGGAGATTTCCAACCTCTTCTGGTACTGGACACTTCAACTGTGATGACAGAGGCTGAACTTATATCGAAGATTGAAAGGGACGTCAAACAGACGTTTGTCTTCACACTTGGTCGCCTATTTGATCCAGAGACCAAACCGGCCATCATCGCGGCCACCCGTCTGTCAAAACAGGTCGCGATCGCGGTTGTTGACTTCGCCGCCCTGTGGTCTGAGTTCATTCTGATCCTGGCTACCTTGACTACCATCTACCTTCTCTATATGCATAACACACGAGAGCTGTTTCTCAAAAGTGACCCAGGCTCAATTGGCGCGATGTGTAGTATCACAGCGGATGTGTTCCACCCTTCCAACATTCTTGCCGAGCCAGTGGCAGAATTTCATCAGTTTTCCACTCGCCAACTTCGTCGTATCTTCAAAGATGCTCGCTGTTACTGGCGACCAGGTCCTTCTGGGAACCGTTTGGAGATTCTTGCAGAGGATGGTATGTCTCCCAATTTCTCAATGACGCCCCCACGTACTTGTCTTGGAAAGTCATTAATTTCTTTTAGGCTCCCCTGTACAGCTCGGGGAGAATCTCCAGACTCATGTTGACCCCATGCCCCATTTCCTGGTGATTCCTTTCTTTTTGGTAGAATTCCTAGCATTGGCTGGAGTAATTATTCTCATGGGCCTGGTCGTCGCGTCTCTGCTGCGTGATGGTCGCTTTCGCCATCTGACGCAGTCCGACTCGAGTGCATTCCAGGTTGTCCTATCCTTTTTGCCATCCCTCATTGCATCTTCCGTTGGATCTTTGTGCACTTCGATTCACCGGAATTTAAGCGTTCTGGAGCCATGGGTACATCTTCAACGCGGCAATGCCTCAGCACGGGCCTCGTTATCGATCAACTATTCCTCACAGAGCCCTTTTGCAATCTTTATAAAGGCAGTCCGCGACCGTCATCTCTTGCTCGGACTTGTGTCTATTGCTTGCGTCATGAACATGGTCTTGACCGTTGTCGCCGGTGGACTGTTCACTCAGCAGTTGACAACCACGACGTTAGACACCAAAGATTTGACTATGAACTACAGTCAATCCATCTTCTGGCAGACCGACTTTGCTGCCGAATTCACGGAATATGATCTAATCCAAACGAGTATAACCAGTGGGGTTCCCATTCTCTCTTGGACTAGCCCAAACCAGTCTTTCATCCCTGTTCATGTGAATAATCGCAGCCCCGATGTGACTTACGGCGCATCTACCCTCGGTGTGGGCGCTGAGCTCAAGTGTCAAGCCCTCTCAACAAGTGACCTTGTACATAACAGTACAAGTGGCCATCAATCCTGGCGGTACAAACTGTTCGACAATTCTTCGGTGGAATGCGCCGCGCGCATGCCGGCCCTGCAAAGCAAAGAAGAGGGCATTGCCTTGTCGATTCACTTCCTTTCTCCAGATGATTTGGCTCATTCGGATGTCTGTCAGACCTCGACGGTACTTGTCGTTGGTCGCTGGGACTATCTTGCAAATTCCCCAGTCACAGACAAGAACACGATTGCGTTGCACTGTGAGCCCCATGCCCAATTGCAAGAATACTCTGTTGCTTTTGATCAGAAAGGCCAAATCGATTGGCATGAGCCTTTGCCCCACACATCCATCAACAAAGGGACCATGTACGACAACGCCACTGTCAGTCTCGGCCAGTTCAACAAAGTCTTTGCTGCTATTCCGAGTAGCTACATTGGCAACACCACCATGCAGAATGGTACATACAACATCTCTTCGTACGATTGGGCGGGCTTCCTGGTCGCCCGACTGTACCAGCGCCAGGATCCTGATTTTGATTCACTCGACTTGGATCTTCTGACTGATATGACCCAGACCGTTTACCAGTGGGTATATAGTACTTACTTCTCCATTTGGCGCGATATATATCTTGAGCCGCTTGATAAGCCAGTCTTGGCTACAAACGCCACCATCACCAGTAGCACATGGCACATGGCCCCGTCAGCCCCATCCCTTGCTATTGCTCTGACCATCATTGTATTTGATACAATCGTCGTTCTCCTGGTTTTCGGGACTCGCCGTGGCCGGTTCCGAGGTCCAAGAATGCCTCGCTCGATCGGCGCCATCATTCCGTGGATCTCGCACAGCCAGATGCTTCACGACTTCGCCGACACCCACACCTGGAGCAGCTCCAAGCGACACGCTCATATCTCGGCCCTCAACAAACGTTATGGGTTTCGCATGTTCATGGGCGCTGATAACCGCTGGAGATTTGCTGTTGACCAGGAACCTGGGCCCCCAAAACCTTCGGATGACCCGGATCCCGCGGAGGACGAAGTTGAGGTCGACAAGACCACGACCATTCAGTTGCAGGAAATTCAAAACCCACAATCTCCAAGTCCGCATTAACGATTTTTCACCCTCATGAGTTACGACTTTTCATTCCATTTCACCTCCATCTCATCGCGCTGTCATGCTTTTTTCTTACATATATGAAGATTGGCGTTGGTGTTGTTCACTTGGCATGGCCGTGCTCAGACATAGACAATGGGAAGAGCGAGCTGGCACTCGCCATCCCCAATCGCATCTTTCGGCAACATAAGTGGGAGCGGCGTTTCTTTCACCGGGCTACCCAATTTAACGTCTGCATGAAGATCGGCGTTTTCTACGATGCTATATCTGGACCATTTAATGACACAAATTTACAAACATATTTGATACTCTGCACTAGTCACTGCCTTGGATCGTCGGCGGGTGTGCCGTGCCGTGTTGTGAAAATCAGATTCTAAGGTCATCGTTACACCAGAGTGGTAATTTTTCTCGATCACCCCCAGGGCTAACCAGCCACTGGGAAGGTCTGAGCCTTGAAACTTCCTGTTGACCTTTGCTTACAGCGCAGCCCTCAACCGACCATCTACCGCTCGCAGGATAACGTAGAGAGTCTGTAAGAACGGTGCTGGGATCCCGAGATCACGAGCCTTGCGTGCTGGATAACCCAAGATGACATCGATCTCCATGGGTCGTCCATTCTTGCAATCGGTCTGCATGCTGCTCCCAATACCGGGCATGGCATTAATTTTGTCCATCAGTTGATCAATCAGCTCATCCTGGAGCGGCACACCGCAACCACGAGCGATTTTGATAACCTCTTGCATCAGCTGGCGGGTAAATGGGGTTGCATCTTCGGAAGAATGGAGCCACGTCTGCGTGTCCACCATGGTAATTGCAGTCAGGGAGTTCCACGCGACATTCCAGACCACCTTTTCCCACCGCTGGATTTGCATATTCTCCAAGATCTGGAATCGTGTCTTGCCATTGCGGAGTAGATCGGCGAATATATCAAGTCGTTCCTGTTCGAGGGACCCATCCAGCGAGGGGTTGGGAAAGAGGCCGATCTGCATATCCTCGGATTTGGTGTGCTTCACGACACCAGGGCTGGTCTGTACGGCCCCGACCCAGGTCTATTCCAAGGTGAAAATGAGACTCTGATTCACGCATCGAGCATAGGAGAAACGTACCACACACGTCAGGATCGAGTTATCGGGGAACTCATTTCTAAAAGGTTCCTCGTTTCCAACACCATTCTGGATCACGACAATAGTAGTCTCCTTGCCGACGGCTGGTCGCAAGTTCACTGCCACCTCGGCCTGATCGAGCGCTTTGTGCGCGCACACAATATAGTCCACTGGACCGCACTCGGACACGGACCGTATCACTGTCTTCTAATCAGCCGGGAAAACTCACTGGCGTGGAGTACATACCTCGATGGGGATGGAAAGTATGTTGACCGTGATTTTCACTGTTGATGGCAATTCCCTACTGATGTGAGCGTTGAACTCCCATCACAGGTTGGAAATCTCACATTCGTGCGGACTGCGTCATAGTTCGAGCGAGCTAGCACCGTCAACCTCACCCGTGGGCTGCGGCTGAGGATGAAGGCATAAAAGGAGCCAATGCTAAGACACAGTTAGAGCAGTCACTCGACGAGGGACCAACTTACGCTCCCAGTCCATAAAGCAGAACATCAATCTGATCCGACATTTTGGCAGAAGGAATGCGGTGGTTGCCGGTGTTTTGTGTCCCCCGCATCTCGGAAGAAGACCGACGTGGGGGTTGCAATCCGAAGATCCTTTGGCAGCTCTGGCTTACCTGCCTGACTGGGACCTATTGGTCTTGTTGGGTGCATTTTACCCAATCGAGGCCCTGCCGGGTTGCTAACTGGATGAGCGATCTCGTCGAACTTCCACGAATAATCACTCGTTGATGCGTGGGATGTACCAACTTTCAACCTTGGAAGATGACAAAGTACAGCTGAAAATGGCCGTCAGATCAATCTACCTGACATAATATGTGAATACGAATGTGCATAGCCATTGAGATGCAGTCGTGCCCGTCAGACAGGAATGGCAAAGCCGAAGACATCAAGAAAGCAGAGTATATTGTAACGAGACTATAGTTTCACGCTGCCGATCATATGTTTTTCCAATCGACTCGCATTCACCATCTCCGGTCTGAGCTCATCCAGACTACTTACCCCGAGTAAAACCATATTCGCCTCAATCTCCTGTCGGAGAAGTGCAATCATCCGAAGGACCCCTTTCTCGCCATAGCCCGCGGACAAGCTGTAGAGAAAAGGTCGTCCCAGTCCCACGGCATCTGCCCCCAATGCAATGGCCTTGAGAACGTCAGTTCCCCGGCGAATCCCTCCGTCGACAAATATTTGCATATCACTGTCGATTAGCTGGGGCGCGAATTTCCGGATCTCCAAAAGAGTCAGCAGAGGGGATTGGGCACTGGATGATATCAGTACAATGGCAACGCATATCGGAGATTGAATATGAGAATCACATACGTGTCTTGGGACCGTCCGCCATGGTTCGAAAGAACAATTCCGCGAACACCATGGCTGTGCGCGATCACGGCGTCCTCGACAGATTGGATTCCTTTTACCACCAGTGGGAGATTTGTGATTCCTCGGATCCAGGTCAGAATATCCCAGTCGATAAATGGCGATATGAAGCTGGCCATGATCTTAGCAACGCCCTGTCCTTGTTCGTGGCTATCGGAGGCCTGGTAGAGAGTATGGATTAGCGTTATAGTTTCAAAAAGATCTGTCGCTGATGTTCACACACCGAAATACTCAAGTTCAAGCGTTCATCCATTTCTCTTTTCCCTACCACCGGTGAATCGACTGTAATCCAAATGGCCCCAGCTCCCGCCTGCTCGGCGCGTCGGACCACTTCAACAGACTTTTCAATATCCTTGTTCACATAGAGCTGCTGGAAGATAGGCTGGGTCGGGGAAGTGCGACTTTTCATCACTCGTTCGATGGGAAAACTGGACCCGTTCGCCAATAACTGCGCCAGTCCTTCCTTTCCCGCCGCAGCTGCCAACGCGCACTCGCCGTCCGGATGAGCAAGCTTCGCGATCCCCACAGCTGAGATATAGACCGGCAAAGATGTGGGAAATCCAAGAATCGTAGTAGCTGTGTTGACGGAGAGAACTCGGCGGAGAATGCGAGGTCGAAGTGAAATTTTCGAGTATGAGCGCGCATTGTTGTGTTTACTGATTTCATCGTCTGCGCCGGATGAGTAGTAGGCCCAGGTTGTATCTGGGAGATGTCGTTGGGCGACTTCCTCGAAGTCGTTAAGGTTGATCAAAGTTTGCAAAGGGGGAGGTTTCAAGTCAATCTGCTCCTCTTTATTCGACTCAGTGTCCACCTCCGCCGCTTCAGAGATATCGATCTGACCCCGCAGTGCGGTTTCCGGGAGCTCGTTCAATATCTCCGGTGCATGTACAGAGTCAAAGGCGTTGCTGGCATCTTTACCTGCTGATCTTAGAATGACATTTGCTCCCCCGGGATGGGAGCTCAAGAAATCTATTGTGATTAGCCCGAGATCAAGCTGGGCTGATTGAGACAGTACCGGTGACATCGTATACATTCCCGTGAATTGCAACCCAGCAAGAGCTCCGGTCATTATGTTGGCGTATGTCATCGTGGGTCAGTTTCATGGTGAGAGATGCTGGTGTGCAAACCATGCATCTCTCGACAGAAGTATATGATCGTCCAGAGGCGGGATGAAGCCGAGCGTGGGGGTCGCTGCAACCGGGGCATGTTTTTCCATCATTCTGATCCACTCCTGCTTTGCGGGGAATTGCGGGGAGTATCACGCTGACGATCGACAGTTTCAATGACGATATAAGTTTTGATAGGGTTGGGCTCGTCGTCGACCCTCTCCCCAACACACCACAGTCACTGGCATTACCCATGATGGCCGATGAAACCAATACCACGGCCCCCAAGCCGGAATCGACTCATCTTGAAGCCCCAACCGATGTGGACAAGATCAAAAATGGGGATAAGGCGCTTGCTCTGTTCGACAACCTCGACGATATACATGTAGGCTTCGAGCCAGGCGAGGAGAAGAGATTGGTACGCAAGATTGACATGATGATTCTTCCTTTCTTGTCAGTCTGTTATGCTTTCTACTATGTAAGACATTTGAATCCCATATTGGCGCGGAGACTGACATGCGACCAAGATCGACAAAACCACACTATCATACGCAGCAATTTTTGGAATCCAGGAAGACTTGAACCTATCAGGAGCCGAGTACAGCTGGCTTTCAAGCGTGTTTTACTTTGGATTTTTGGCTTGGAGTTTTCCAACAAATTTGTTGATGCAAAAGTTCCCTATAGGTAAATATCTAGGGGTGAACATCTTTGGGTGGGGGTTCTTCCTGATGCTGCAAGGTAAGTTGCTCATGTGAATCCTCAAGTGATGAGACTGAGCGTTTTGGTACATAGCTGCCGCCAAAAACTTCACACAACTTGCGGTTCTGCGAGTTATTTCAGGAGCAGCAGAGGCATGCAGGTGAGACCAAGACGACCCTTGATGGCTCTTGAATGTTCGCTGATTGTCCGCAAGCGATCCTGCATTCATGTTGATCACAGCGATGTGGTATACTCGACGTCAGCAGCCCATACGAATTGGCCTCTGGTACACGGCTAATGGGTTCGGAATCGCCCTCGGTGGCTTGCTTGGATATGGAATCGGTCAGATTGAAGGAGCCCTGGCATCATGGAAATATGAGTTCCTGATCATTGGCGCGCTTTGCTGCGCTTGGGGCATTGTAATGATCATATTCCTTCCAGACTCTCCAGTCACTGCACCCCAGCTCTCTGAACATGAACGACGAATGGCAGTCGAGCGACTGAGAGACAACCAAACTGGCATCGAAAATCGCAATATGAAACCACGACAAATCTTTGAAGCGCTGACAGACTGGAAAGTCTGGATTTTCTTTCTTCTTGGTTTTGTGAGTCCCGTCTATTTGAGTAGAGCAATGGCATCGCTGACGAAAAAACGCCGACGAAGAGTGGAAACATTCCAAACGGTGGGATCTCCAATTTTGGGACATTGATTATCAAGGGATTTGGCTACTCAACCTGTAAGTTGCTATACTTGACCGACACAGAAAAAAATCGCGAAGCACAGCAAATGCTGACCTTCCAGTGGTGACAACGCTCATGCAGATCCCCTACGGATGTTTCATCGCAGTAATGATTCTCGCTGCTGTCTTCATCAATGATTCACTACCGAGAAACAACCGATGCGCCGTCGCCATATTCTTCGTCGTACCTACACTCGCAGGCTCACTGGGATTGAACTTCGTGCCCGACTCTAATAGTGTAGCCAGACTCATCTGCTACTACTTGACCGGCTCTTACAATGCATCATTCGTCATCATTCTCTCCCTTGTCACATCCAACATATCCGGACACACCAAAAAGTCCGTGACCAACGCGATGATCTTCCTAGGTGTCTGTACTGGAAATATAGCCGGTCCATTCTTTTACAAATCAAGCCAAGCGCCGCAGTACACCTTGGGCATTTGGTCCATGGTCGTTGCCAATTTGATCGAAATCGGCTTGATTGTCCTCCTGGCCATCGGGTTGGCACTTGAGAACAAACGTCGCGATTCCATTCAAAGTACACAGGAGGGAGTTGATGATTATACGCGGCAGCTCGAGCTGGATCGCACAGCATTTAGCGACTTGACAGACAAGGAAAACTTGAATTTCCGCTACGTGTACTGAGGGACCTCAAAGTGATGACACAGCCCGCTCAAACGGATTTGCTTCTCAATGCGCGGTACGCTCTATCCACCTTTTCCATCAGAATGGATATATAAACGTGTGTCTAGTAAGAATCACATCTTGATAATTAAAGCCAAAGCCTAGGCACAAGCTTGAAATCTCGAGGTCCATATATTGAATTACATGCATCAATGGATATCTTATTATCGTTTGAAAATTCCTTGCCCAGCATGTGACATTAAATAACTCGGAGTCTCTTTTCAACGTTGCCGATGGGTGTGGAAGTGGGCTTTGTGAACTCCATGTTGATGATGCCTACTCCGTACAAGGGATTGCGCTGGGTCTCATCGCTCTATACTGCTCCTTCTATTATTGTTCACCAAAAACTGGAGCTGGTACGCAGCCCTGGGGCCAGCCCTGGAGTCGGGGGTACTATGAGTCACGTGATACACATAGGAGGAGTGAAAAGATATTGAACAGAAAGGTAATATCTTTCGCCAAACCTGCGGTGGTCTAGTTGGTCACACAGGGAGCCATATCTGCACCCTGATCTTCTAGATCTACCGCTCACGGGTTTGATTCCCTTGGATCGGAAGTCGCTGGGCAGATGTTTCGCCATTTCCCCGGCTGGGATCGTCTATCTTTTTTCTATCTGAAGCAGTGGGACTCTGACGATTTTTAGTTTTTTTTTTGGACCCATTTTTAATCTAGTTTGGCCCTTGATGAAAGAAGTGTCTGTTGGAGAGAGATTGGAGAGAGATTGAAGTGTTTCTGGCTCTGCGTGTACTCCAGGGCTGCCAGGTGTATACTGCTGTTTTCACACTTCCCAAAGTAGCCCCACTAGTCCCACTTGGGACTAGTGTCAGGACCCACACCTGGGGAAGCAGCGGCCACTCAATTTGTACGGGCGCCAGTGCTGGCTTTGTCGTTTCTCTGAGAATCTTATAGGCTACTTCTCTTGTCCCTGTGATGACGATCGTGATGTTTTCCCGCCTATCATAAGCTCTGCCCGGGCGATGCAGCTCTCTTCTTGGCGTGGGGGAAGACAGCTGAGTCGGACTTCCACCGAAGCTCTCAGGCGTGGGATGCAAGTGGGGTGTGGGGTTCATACCCCAGCTCTAATTTCATATATAGCTTGGGCTCCAAGAACTTGCGTTGGGAGCAGACAATACTACGGAAATCCCTTCAACATGACAAAGATCAAATCAATCGAATACTTCCGAGTCAAGCCTCGATGGCTGTTTGTGAAGGTCACCGACGAAGAGGGCCGATATGGATGGGGAGAAGGAACATTAGAAGGGCATTCATTGGCAGTTGAGGGTGCCTTGGACGAGATCATCACTCGGATAATTGGATACGAGGCAGAGTATGCTAAGCTATCTTCATCTTCGTACATTAGCTGACCCTCACAGCGATATCGAGCATGTTTGGCAAACAATCTGGCGACTGGGATTCTACCGCGGTGGACCGGTCTTCATGTCGGCACTTTCAGGAATCGACATTGCTTTGTGGGATCTGAAAGGCCGGAAGCTGAACGTCCCGGTGCATCAATTGCTAGGAGGAAAAGTACGACAGAAGGTCCAGGTATATGCATGGATCGGAGGCGACCGACCGAGCGATGTTGAAGCCGCAGCGTGGGTCTCCCTGAATCAATTTGTCGTGACTTTCTAACAGATGAATCTCACAGCAAGGCTCGCATCGCGCAAGGGCTCAAGTGCATCAAAATGAACGCAACCGAGGACGTGAACTGGCTTGATTCACCCGCTGTGCTACAGTCGTGCGTTGAACGGCTGAAGCAAGTGAAAGCCCTGGGCCTCGATGCTGGATTAGATTTCCACGGTCGCCTTCACCGACCGATGGCCAAGCAGTTGGCCAAAGCATTGGAGCCATACCAGCCTCTCTTCATCGAGGAGCCCCTGCTATGTGAGCACCCCGAGGCAATCAAACAGCTTTCCGAGCAAACCACTATTCCCATCGCCTTCGGAGAGCGACTATACACCCGCTGGGACATCAAGAGATTCTTGGAAGATTCATCGGTGGATGTTCTCCAACCCGATATCGCTCACGCAGGTGGAATTTCGGAAACAATGCGCATTGCAAACATGGCGGAGACCTACGATGTTGCTATTGCTCCACACTGCCCTCTGGGCCCAATTGCTTTGGCTGCGTCCCTTCAGGTTGCTGTCTCCATTCCAAACTTTGTCATTCAGGAGATGTCACTTGGTATGCACTACAACGTCGAGGCCGGGGATATCGACCTCAACAGCTATCTGGTCGACAAGACGGTCTTTGACATCAAAGAGGGCTATGTAGATGCCCCTTGCAAGCCAGGCCTTGGGATTGATATCGATGAGGATTTGGTGAGGAAGATCAGCCAAGACACAGAGCCCTGGCAGCCCAAGGAATTCTTCGGACCAGATGGTTCAATTCGTGAGTGGTGAAGATTTGGTGTCACACAATATAGCTGTCAGCCATAATAATTGATCAAGTATTTGAGAACTTGCGGGAATCATCTATCGTACGCTTCCCCACGTTCCACAATCCGGAGAAAAGAAAAAGAGTAGATCGTACGTACTGTTAGACAGGACCGCAAAAGCTACCAATTGACATCGGAATCGACCTCTTCCATCCTTCCGATGCGGGGAAAGGCGTGGGGGTATCATCGATGTAGGACCAACAGAAGTTCTTATAAGTGTCGAATATCCGGTTCGGTGGAATGTCGTATCAGCACAATATTTCGGCAATCATGGACCTATTCTCTCTTTCAGGAAAGACAGCCCTTGTCACGGGGGGAACCCGAGGAATCGGCAAGTCAATGGCTCTTGCGATGGCTGAAGCCGGAGCGGACATCATTCTCATTCAGGTAGTCTTTCCATACTAAACGCGCATCAACAGAGACTGACCCCGAGTAGAGAGACACCAGCAACCAGGGAACAAAATCTGAGATCGAGAATCTCGGCCGCAAAGCAATCATTTACACAGCCGACTTATCGAGCCAAGATTCGGTCTCATCCCTGGTTTCGAGAGTGTTGAAAGATGGACATGACATTCACATACTTCTGAATTGCGCGGGAATCCAACGGAGGCACCCCAGCCACCTCTTTCCCTTGGAAGATTGGGACGAGGTATCATACCCCTTGATGAAATCCCAGAGCCTTTTCAACGACTGATTGTACCACGCTAGGTTTTGCAAGTTAACCTCACAACCGTGTTCACGCTGTGTCGAGATGTTGGAGCCCACATGCTGGCACGAGAGCCCGACCAGGCTGGTCAACGCGGTCGTATTATCAATGTAGCGTCTCTTGTGTCCTTCCAGGGGGGGTTGACTGTTCCCGCGTATGCAGCTGCCAAGGGAGGCATTGCGCAGTTAACCAAAGCGTTGTCTAACGAGTGGGCGGCGAAAGGGATCAACGTCAATGCCATCGCACCCGGGTACGTCGCGACTGATATGAACACTGCGTTGATCCAGGACGCGGACCGGGCAGCCAGCATTTTGTCTCGTATTCCAGCTGGTCGATGGGGTGATCCCGACGACTTCAAGGGCTCCGTGGTTTATTTGGCCAGTCGGGCAAGCGCATACGTTAGCGGGGAGGTTCTCACGGTGGATGGGGGGTGGATGGGTCGGTAATTGGTTATTGACGAGGTGCAAGGCCCTCAAGGTCATTTTTTATGGAGACATGAAGGTCTGGAGGAAGAGAAGGACACGGCACGGGGTCCACTCCAGCTTAGCAAGGTCCTCTCATATTCTGCACAAGGTCTTCATCGTTAAATATTCTGCTAACGTGTATTTCAATCGACTTTCACTTCTTCTGGGGTAGTGATTTGTTCTCTTTCCCTTCCCTTCTGATCTCTCCCGACTAGTGTTCCTACACACCTGCTTCATGATTGCAGTATCCCAGTCCGCTTCTCAGCATGAGCGATACTACACTTTTGGAATCTGCATCTTACCGAGCATGGATATTTCCAGGCAACTCACGCAAATAGAGGATCTTCTCCAGTTTCACACCCTGGCGACTCATGTCGGCCGAGCCGAGGCACAAATCCCAACCCCGCAAACCCCTCAGTCGTATGTTGTCGACTGTCTGAGCATGAACACTTGACGTGCCATACCACAAGCCCAACTTCATCAGCTCAGATACACCATGCAGGCAGTGGTATTCAAAGGATCCTCGGAGGTAGCAGTGGAGCAAAGACCTCGCCCGTCAATCCAAGACCCTACCGATGTCATTCTCAAAGTGAGATACACAGCACTATGTGGAAGGTAAAGACCGTGAATGAGTTCGCGATGGCAATGAGAAATGTCTGACGTGATACCGTTGAGCAATATATAGTGAGCTCCACGTGTATAGAGGCCACCAGCCCTCCAAAACCGGGTTCATCATGGGACATGAATTCACAGGAGCAGTCGAGGAGATTGGCTCTGAAGTCACGAAATTCAAACAAGGAGATCTGGTCGTCTCCCCCTTCACAGTTAGCTGCGGATCATGCTTCTACTGTCTCCGAGGATACTCGTCGAGATGTTCCAAATGTCTGCTGTACGGCTCCGCGGTGTTAGACGGTGGCCAGGCGGAATACGTTCGAATCCCTTTAGCAGATTCGACGCTGTTCCATTCGCCCCCGGATATTGACGAGAGCAAGCTTGTTCTCATGGCAGATATCTTCCCAACCGGCTACTTTGCCGCGTCCAATGCCTTCCGCGCCTTGGGTTCTGAAGAGATCAGGGAGAGCACTGTCTTGCTCTTCGGCTGCGGACCAGTGGGTCTCTGTGCACTGGTGAGTGCCCTCGAGTATCAACCGAAGCATTTAATCGCGATCGATAGCGTGCCATCACGGCTGGCGCTGGCGGAAGGCCTGGGGGCGGAGGCGTGGAATTTCGCAGAGAGCGAGCAGGGACTTCGCGACCGGGTGAAAGAGCTCACGGACGGTCGGGGCGCCGATGTGGTCATCGAGGTTGTGGGACACAGCAGCGCGTTGAGAATGGGATTCGACATGTTGCGACCATGGGGACACCTGTCTAGTGTTGGTGTGCATAATCAGGAAATTCCATGGACTGGCAATGAAGCATATGCAAAGAATCTGCGTCTACAGATGGGTCGATGTCCTGTTCGAAGCATCTTCGCACCAGCAATGGAGCTACTGGTTCGAAAGCAAGACATGCTGGGGTAAGGCCCTGAATTCGGCTTCGCGCGAGGCACAAGGCTGATTTTTCGCAGGTTCATGTCCGCCGATATCCGACCTCTGTCCCAGGCAGTCCAGGCGTAAGTTCTCGGCGCTAGTTGAGTGATGCAGTGCTAACCCAGGTTCGATACAGGTACGATGATTTCAACCAAGCGAAAAGTCAAAAGATCATCTTTGAGGCGGACAAATAATCCCCTCCCGAGTCCCGACATAATAGCGGTGGGCCCAATCCTAGCCCCAGCTCTCGCCGATGGTGGGGCCGTGGGGTGGAAACTACGCTACGTCTAATATGCCCCAGTGATGGATGGTGTTTGGGTCGTTCAGCCTTTTGTATAGGAAATTGAATGCTTCTCTAGGAATTGAGGATCAGGGACAACTTCCTAATTCACCTTTACTTCGAATCCCCACTACCCCCGAGGCCCCAGTGCTTGATCCCGTTCGCAGATCCCCCTCTTCACTGCCGAGTACAGTAGGTATCACCGCGACAAGCTCAGGGTAGTACGTCATTGCTCGGGAAAGAACTCCGCGGTATGTTATGTGTACTAGTAAAATGCCAGCCTTCAAATGTTGTCTGACTCCAGTTACTCTATATTGAATTGCAGTTGGGGATATACTGACCCGGGGGCGTTGAAGGTGATGTTGCCGGTGTCCCGGGTATATGTTGCGATCGGGGTTTTGCTAATGGGGGCCCTCGACCTCGCCAAACGATCAAATACCTTGTCGATGTAAAGCCAAAAAAGAGAGTATGATGTCAAAAACACCATATGCTAGGTCAACTCAATTTCATCATCGCCAGGGTGTTCGGAATTCGTGCTCTCACACTTCACTATAATCCTTTGCATTTTCTCAACTTTGTCCCTTTGACCTCAATTTCTTCTAACCCCCCTCCGAAACAATGTCATTTATGCTTCTCCTGTCTCTGGCTGTCGCCATAGTCGCCGGGGAGCATGATGTGATCTCCGTGTTTATTCCGAACGCAGATCCACAGCCCCTGGTGGCATCCATTATAGCTCAGGTTTGGCCAATGTGCTACTATGATCATTACACAGACTAACTTCATTCTAGAATTCCGCAACCACATCGTTCAGTATCAATTGTCCACCCGGTACTGACGGGGCAAGCTGTGGCATGGGTCCTGGCCTTTTCCTGACCACCGCGCCCACAAGTGTCGAATATTTGATCGGTGGGCAATCTGGCGACATGTAAGCTCTTCCGTCCGTTGGACTCAACTCCAAACAAGTGGATTGGACTCTCATACTGCATCAGATATGACCATGTCATCTGCCAAATGACCGGCACCACCAGTGGAGTCTGCACCGCGACTGTAACTGGGTCGGGCGCCAACTTCCCTGGCACGAATACCATGACTCTCAATAAAGATCAGATCACATCCTTGCCTGTGACAATCACTGCTGGTCCGAAGGCCAACTCATCTGCTGCAAGTACATCTGCTGCGAATACAACTGCGACTACATCCGCTTCAACTGGTACGGCATCGACTCCCTTGGGCGGCGGTAGATCGTCAGTGGACAACGCCGTATCCACGAGTGCTCAACCCACGACATCCTCTCCATCAAATGCTGGTAGCACTGCTCGGGTGACAGGATTGCCCAAGTTGCTGATTGGGGTAATGGCTCTCATAGCGGCTGTGTAACAGGTCAGACGCAAATACATTGCTTAAGAATAATAGGGTTGTAAGACGCAAACTCACTGGATATGGGTGATGGGAATTGAGTTAGATGAAGATCCTACCAAGAGAGAAAACTCTGGCTATCCATTCTGCCTACATGAGAAAATATACCAGAAAGACAGACCAAGATCAATAATTGCTTCCTCGGCCCTGCATACCCAGAATAGCGACAAAGCCATCCTGTAGTCTCAAAGCACCCTGCATGCCGTCGGCGGGCAGTACCCGTGATCACAAGCGAAACTGCAAAGGCCCAAATATGAATCATCTTCCCAAGGTAGAGGGGCTCCCCGAACACCGGTAGAACGCGGTGGTGAGACTGGATTTCCATATCCCGTACATGTACAGGGGCCTGGGGGACAGTATCCGAAATTGCAGCAGAAAGAGCAGAGTCCGATATAGTTGCCGGGTCCTGTTCCTGCAATACAAGTTCCACCACCACCGCCCCCTCCCCCCCCTCCTCCTCCAGAACCTCCTCCACCAGTACCTCCGCCACCACCTCCTCCATCACCCCCACCGCCGCCACCGCTGCCGCCGCCTCCTCCACCTCCACTACTGGGAACTGGACAAGACGAAGGAGTCAGCGTTTCTGTTACAGTGACAGTGACAGTGAATGGTGCGTTAGGACAAGGGGAGGTGGTTGGACCTGTTGGGGGAGTGCCTGGCAGAGTTGTACTGGTAGATGAGGGAGGTGGAGGGGGCGCGGTACCTAGAGATGGAGTAGCTTGGCAATCGACGTGAAGGCCCTGTCTGAAAGAAGCAAGCCCGTCTGGCTGGAGAGGATCGCTAAACCCAGCGGGAAGAGTTCCCACTAGACATCGCGTTTAGAATCACACCCTTTCAAAACAAAGCATGCAGATACGCACCGTATGCATTGAAATTGTATAGCCCGCAAACACAGCCGTTGATGATTGGCTTCAGGCTGGTACCGGAAAGAACAGTCTGGCCCCCTCGAATGATGGTGAAGCTTTGGGAGCCTACTCCCATCGGAACTCCTTGTGCACTTGCACCAGCTGGTGCATTGTAGTTGTACACACTCCCTCCACTGTTTACTTGGATGGTAGCTGGAGCTGTGAGTAGAGAGACCACAAACACGGAATCTGCCATTGACTGCCATCCATCTGGGCGACCCATGAAATAATTTCCACTTCCGTTGTTTGCTGGTACCATGCAAGTGTCGGTAGAGTCGCAATTGACACCTCGGGGAGTTGGTCGATACCAGTAAACCAGTTCGTCGGAGGAGATGTAGCTGTTGGGGGAAGATTCACCTGCTTTGAAAGCAGCAATGTAGGGCTTCGAAATATCCAGCCATCCGTCGTGGGGCCTGGGTAGCGTTAGCTCTATTTTCAGTTCGATAAGTGAAACTTCAAAGGTTGAGTGTGTCGTACATATCATTGACCCATTTCGAAGCCCCGTCGTCGGTATGAGGAGACTTCAGTGGGCCGATGTAATGGCATTCACCATAGTCATTCCAAGTGACAATTTCGATGAAACGCGGCTTCAAGGCGAGGATCTCATTCCACCTATTGAACCATAAAAGATCCGAAGGGAAGTTCCAATTCTTACTGTATGAAACCTCGGGCCCGAAATGAGTAAAGAACCACGGGGAAACGGCTATTCGGTGGTTAGCATGCGGACAGGATCAGGTTGTGGTAAGGGAGGTACACTCACGAGCGATATAGGCTTTACCAGCCAAGGCATTCACATACACGTTGTCTCCATCTTCTACAGATACGTTGTGACCCGGTGTCGGAGCCTTGTTGTTTCCGTTATTTGGCCAAGCCATCCAATTCAAAAGCCCGTCCACTGGTGATATATCGGTTCCATATGACGGATGGAAGTTGGGCGCAAAGAAGATCGATCTTCCCACTGCTGCGCGCAGCGTCGCAACATTTACCCCGTCGCCAGCGAAGGATGAGACAAATACCTTGTTGTCCACCATGAGTTGAGCAGGCTTGCTGGCATATTGGGCGATTTTTTGACCTATCGCGCTGGCTTGGTCGATATGCCACCAATTGAAATCAAACGAGATGAACACTTTCATGCCATTATTTGCAGCGGAGTCGTAGGCTAGCTGGAGCTGCTGGTCGGTGTATGGATCCACTCCAATGTTGAGAGCAAATGCATCAATTCCCAGAGATCTTGCCCGCTTCATATCATCATCATAATCAGAGGCACTTCTTCTGTCACTGACGATTCCGATCTCACATGATGTCAGTATAAGGCGACGCTATAACCCTCAATGACTCTTACTTACCATGAAGTGCGCAAAAACCAATCGGTCGGTCGACTGCCGTTTCACATCATGTCTGTCTTGGTCGATGCCAGCCACCACAGAGACTATCAGAGATAGCAGCGCCACGAGGCGGTACGCCAAAAGCCTTTTCATCATGTGTTCCGATGTCTATCTGGATGAAACGCCTTTAAGGTAAGTTCTGTGCGCCACGATGTGCGATCGTTACTTGCTTTAATGTGCATTTTTATTCACCGAGCCAAATTTCCCGGTTTGCGCAGCTGACCTCGTGGGCATTCATGACAGATGCTCCATGTGTACTTTATGCGCTGAATCTCTCCGAAACTCAATTGAATCCAGGAGCTTCGTTGTTGGGTTCGGGTAGAGGCGCATGATTCTCAATTATTTCAAATTGCTAGGCTGTTCGAGGTTGTTTGGGTGAATGGTGATTACGAGCCAAACTGGGGAAAAGAACAGCCAGTGATAATCATGTATCCATCGCTATGTTCCAATTTGAAACCTGCTCAGGTGGATGGTGAAACCTTCCCTAGATATTTGGAATTCAAACGCAGCTTCTGATATTTTATAACAATCACAAGGTTTCCAAGGTTGCAAGGAGCCGAGGTTTCCGGGGTCTTTTATATTGAACAAACACTTGGATGAAGCTTGAACAATATATGAGTCCAAGATCGACAGAATACCACCCGCGCCTGAGCAGTCTTGCGCGCTATGATCTGGGATATAAGGGGGGACATGGATATACAATAAGGCCGGTGCTTCTCCAACCTTGACCGATCTCGCCTCCACTGTCAGAAGGGAAACTTGGAATTTTGCCCTTAGTGCTCTAATTTGATGTCCGGGGATAGGTGGCTACCATCGGGTTGTCGATGTTTGATTTGACATGAGTGTATTACAAGAAACAACAACGTTGTAGATCTGACGCAAAGGTCCGCGTGCTCTTTGGTCCCTTGCAATGGAATTACCTTCCGAATGTAACCCACAGTCGACCGGTGATTTTGATAATGAACGACGTCGGGAGTACCTAGGTAGTAGTCGGTGATGATTTCGAAAGTCTACATGGCCCTGGAGTTTCTATGTGCGGAAGTATATATGTCCCGACTACATCTGTCAAATGCTGCGAGGTGGTGTGCACCAATCGCACAATCTCGATGTCAGTACTGGTACTCACAGAGAGCTCGGCTCATCCGAGGTCATGGCCGAGGCAAAACTTCGATTAGCCAGGTGACAGTGGCGTTTTCGGACTGGAATGGGCGCACTAAATAACATAAGTACGCTGGCAGGTCGACACCTGATATATCAGGCAGGTCTCACTGCTGCCCTAGCCTCCATACTGTACGATTTTCGTTAAATGATCTACCAGCTCAAAGTGAGTTGCCAAATTTGGAGCACCGAATCACAATTCATGACTCCGTAGACTAACACTAGCTCATGTCCGCTCGTAGTGGAGAACTGGAAAAAATTCGGAAATCCTGCGAAGACACTATTATAGATAGGGCCGGTAAAATTCTTTTCCACTAGGCCTAATACAGCCCCCGGATATTTTTAGGCGCATCCCGTTCGTATTCGATTGTGAGAATCAATTGAGCACTTCAGGGGACATCTGGAGACATCTCTGATATTCAAATAAACTGACAAGAACATACTGAGTGTATCTCACCGTAATTCAGCCTTGTGGGGAACAATGCCGCGCGGCGGGTGCGTACGAATCCCCGTTTATTTTGAGTCCGCAAAAATAGCCTGAGGCGGAGTAGTATAGCGCCATTTGAGGCTGAGAATTACCTTGGTTGTGGGAGTGGACGCGAATCAGTCCGGTCTTCCGCGTGTACATTAGACCGGGTTATAAGGCTCGTTCAAATTCCTTCGAATTTCTCACTTCATCTCTCCACATAGCGAAAAGTATGCGGGCTTTCATTCTTGCTCTCTGGGCAATCCAGTGCTGTCGAGTCTTTGGCGACTTGTATCCTGCAGAGAACCCATGGATTGTCGCCCCTACAGCTATCTCAGAGTCCGCGTTGGCACCGGAGCCTACCGAGCCACCCATCCTCCCCCAGAGACGGGCTTACGGCGAATTATTCATGAGGGATGCAACCACCGAGTCAGACTCGACATCAACAACTGAAAGCACGACATCAGAAACATCAACCTCGGAAACAACCTCAGAAACATCATCCACCTCTACTTCGTCCACATCAACTTCGTCCACGACCACATCCAGCTCAACCAGCTCGACCACGTCAATATCGACATCAACAACATCATCCTCTACATCCTCGACCACCTCGTCGACTTCAACTTCATCAGCCACAACCTCATCATCCACCTCAAGCACCTCAACCACAAGTACCAGCTCAACAACATCAAGCACCGCAACCTCAACCAGCACTGAAAGCGCCGAATTGAAAGAGTGGAACCGACGTGGCAACATCGCAGCCATCGTATTCGGATGTTGCATGATCTCACTATTCTCCGGCATAAGCATAGTCTACTGTGTGCGCGAAAAAGCCAAAAGACGACGCATCGCAGCGCGGGAGCTTTTGAGATCCGGAGCCTCAATCCCGATGGATACTCCACCTGGAACATCCAAGGGAAGCTTGACTGCTGAACCCAAGCTGGACCGTTCATCTATGATGTTCACCAACCATCCTTCAACGGAATACTTCCCGACAGCTCAGAGTGAGCCATTGGTGTCGAATTATCACAGCCATACTCCGTCGGCGGATTCGCAGAATTTGACAGAACAGAGCTCAACGCGAGCATACAGCAGGAGGGCGGATGCAGATGAGCACACGATGGGGATGGTATAGGGAATCGATATTTCACTCAATAATACCCGGTTGCTAGGAATTTCACAAAATGTTACGAATTTGAATACAAACTACCTTCTTGAACGAAGCCTTTGAACGAAGCTAGCCAAGTCGAATGCAACGAACAATTTGACAACGCATGTTATGTCGAAAAGGCTTTATGTGGATAATCTGGCAAACGCGATGTGGCTCAACATCATCGCTAAGACCTCGGAAGGTCAGTGACTAGCCTGTGCTTCACGAAGTCCCAATGGGATGGACCATCACTATAGTAACATGGAGACTCTATATTCTCTAGTATCTCATCCAAATTGACTTTACGAAATCGACTGCAGTAAATGTTTTGACAAGACTCTGACCTGGACGCTACACCGCATCGGCCATTTCCCACTGTTCGCAAAGGGCCTGATGTGCTTTCCGCATTGGCCAAGCATGCAGATCCATAGTTCTGTTGATGATACCCAAAAGCGCGTCCCTCTCATCAGGCTGCGTGAAATATTCGCCATAAAGTGTAATCGCAATGACGGCATTCACAAGAGCAGGTTGGCATCGCGGATGACATATTGCAATGCCACAGAGAGACAGTACAATTTCACGAACCTGCGCTTCAGCTTTGCGATGTACTGGGCCTCGAGCTTTTCTAGTGGTTGGAGCCGAGTTAGATCGCCAAGTGCGGATTTGTCAAGTTTCGTGATTGTCCAGGGGTCGCTACTCACTCGAGATAGGGGCTTTCTGCGATCAAAATCATTTCACCTAACCTGAAATGCTGAACTGCTGTCACCTGGGACTCCGCTAGATACCATATTCTTGGAAAGATAGATCCTCTGGCTCGGTCTGCCTTTTCGTCCAGGAGTGGCGATAGCTCGTGTGAGTATTCGTCGTCGAGCTGATGTTGTCTTTTCTTAAGGATTTCTAAAGCGAGCAAAATGTCAGTTGGAATTGACTGATATTTGCCAGGTGGTGCGCATTGTTACCCCATTGATATGTTGTCTTCGTTCCCCAGCGCCATTTTGCCACTTCACTTGTAAAAATGACCATGGTGTTCACCACGGAAGGCTTCAAGCTTTCAGAGCCGAATCGGAATTCCGGAGTTTGTTGTCTGGTTAAAGCACACTGTATTCAGTTAGATATGAGTCAAGTGGCTTTGATCTATATTTTATATTGTTGGACTCGAAAGTCATTAGATTCTTTGATGGTTTGATTGTCAACTTACATATACATCTTGCCTGACGGTAATCCAAAAGGCAGCGGTAGCGAAGGGATGGTCAAGTGGGGTCGAAATCATAGTGTTAATAATCGTATGAGTAATTGCCAGGAAGTTCACTCGATCATTGGCGTAGTTTCCAACCTCCCCTTCTTCCAGCTCTTCTTCCATTTCCTCATATTGCCGTAAGATCACAGTCGTGGCCATGATGTTCTCCTGGTGAGTGGGATCTTGAATTTCATGAAACCGAGTCAACTCGGGAATGCACTTCAACATGTATTCCAAAGATGTTGACTTTGTTAAATCTGGCAAAAGCTCTCCCTGATACACAATGCCTCGAGAAGTCATGTATTGCGGTAAGCGGGAAAGGTGACGAGCCGATACGGCAAAGACTGCATTGCGTAGAGCAAGACAACGTTCCGCCCGGCGAGGAACTACCAGTTGGAAGTGGCGTAGCTCGTCACAATGATCGAACTACTCATAGTAAGTCAATGAGTCCGGCTTGGTGCTTTGGATATTCGTACCCATGGAGATAGCTCTTCGATAAAATACCTCATCAAACAGGACTCCTGCAACTGACTCGAGGGATGTGTTGTGTCTCCATTCACACAAGACGGGATGAGTGTGTCATGATGGGGTAGATCGCTCTGAGTTATTCGGCTACTGTGTCCAGAATCTCGGATCTCATGACCAGCATTGATCAGCTGTCTATGTTGTCCATCGGGCGTACTGACAAACGAGGAGCGCATTGAACCAGCGGCGTCACTGAGATGGCTAGGCGAGGTTGAACTCCACGTGGTGAGCCGCGAGGGAGTATCGAGCGGCGCATGCGGACTTGCAGCGCTCACTTGATTCGACTGGTTGTCCAATGAGGCAGGACCATAGTTGTGCTGAAAGTTATCGACCGGGGGCTCTGATGCGGGTGGACTATCAGATTGCTCATTCGACAAGGCCAAAGTAGAACGACACTGTGATACTCGATCCGGTCCTGTAGATTGTCTCCAGTTCCGAGGCTGGCTGTTTACCCATATTTGATCGTGTCTGAAACTTGCATCCAGATTAGCCGTTGAGCCGAGTCGAAATACTTGTTTTCGCTGCACCGGCTCGCAATCAAGACCTTTTGTTTCGCAACGTCTACATTTCGGCCGTCTTCGGTCACCTAAAGATCGTCAGTGTTAAGGGGTGTCCCCAACTGAGTTGTGAACTAACATCTCTGATGTCGCTCTGAGGCAGCATTAGCACTGTGGACGCAAGGGGAGTGTAGAGCACCCACCGCGACAATTGACACACGGGGCTTTGGCGAGGGAATGTGACATATCAGGCTGGCTAGGCCAAAGTGCGCGTAGGTCGTAAGGTGAGATGGAAGTCGCGATTATACCCCGCATCCGTTGGGGTAACCGCCCCCGCATAATAGCCTAAAGTGGTAACTGGGCCCGGGTTTCCCGGCCTCGATTGTATTGCTTCATAAATCATTGATGTATTTGTGTATAGAGGAGATGATTCTTGAAAAGCTCTACTCCTGATAATCTCCCTTACTTGAGGTAGTACTCCAATCACCCGTGCAGTGTCATCTCCCACCGCTATCCAATCGCCCGATGGGAGATAGAACATACCATCCGTCACACAGGAAGGCGCAGGGCACATTCGGGGTTTTTGATTTAGTATGCCTCTAACTTCGGGGATTTGATTATGCATAGTGAGAGAGATGGGCATAGCAGACATTTTGGGGGTCATTTTTGTATTACTTTCGACCCAGAGCGGAAAGAGAAACCTAAGGAGAGACAAGGGTATGTGGCAGTATCAGCCTATGTGACTGATGGAGGAATCAGCGATTTTCCCTGTTGTCTTCCCCAGGAGCCGCAAAGAAGGCACGGATAAAGTCATCACCCAAAGGATCATAAGGAAGATAGGGGTCGGCAGGTGCCAAAGGGTCCTGCACAGGAGGCGTCAGCCCCGGGGTGGAGTGACCGAGGAAATTCGTCCAGAGCGGGAGCTCAGTTGTAGAATGCGACCCAAAGAGGGACATGTCTTCAGGTTGAAGGTTGAAGTAATCCTGCGCGACGTCGGGTGGGTGATGAGGCGGCAGCGAGCGACTGGAAAGATGGGAGTGATCTCGTGAGGAGGCTTGAGATGGGATATCCGTAGTGCTGTACTTCATTCCTCGGGCGAGCTTTCGGAAGATGGAATCACACAGACGCCAGGCGCGCTGGGCGCTGGGTTCAGGCATGGCAAAGAACCATCGTATACATTTCTTGACCAGCTGTACAAACTTGGACTCATCTTCGGGAATGTGGACGCTGCCAAAGGAGAGCTCGAGAAGGATGACAACGGCTGCCTGCATGAGTAGTCGTAGGATGCACCACCAGGGGCACATCTGATAGAGCTGGAGAATGTTGGGCTCATCTGATATCAGATTAATCATGCAAGTGGCAGAATCCAAGGTCATTAGGGCCATTGTGTGGCTGAAAGTTGGCGTGGATCCATTTTGACGGGCGTCTCGCCGGCAGAGACACGGTCGCCCCAGTGTGATCCGGGAGCTGTAATAGTGAAATCCCAATAATAACTTGCATCGAAGACGATCAGGGCCATCATGGTCTGTCCGTTCTGTAAATTCAAGTGCGGGCGGCAAGTTGGATCGCCACAGGTCGAAACGGGATCGCAATTCATCAATCCGACTTTCGATCTCCGCCCACGGTAGCAGGACACAATGCGTAGAGTATATCTTTTGGAGGACTTCTTGTGTGATCACCGTTAGATCACAGTAGTACAGATAGCATACCCCAAAGGCTGCTGGAAGACCTTTGACCCATGATGGATCGGCTTGGGGGACATTCTCCCGAGTAGAGCCTTGAGTACGATCCCACGAGCTTGCCATAACATTTCGAATCCTAGACTCGCGTAGTTGTGGGTTATTGAGCATCTCAATGGCCGTCGGGTCCGTCTTGAGTTGGTCTTCGTCAAAAGGCAGCGGTAGAGGAGTAGCAGACCCTCCGTCCAGTGTACATGATGGTCTACCCGTCATGATCCCAAGCATATGCTCCAGGGAATAGATGCACCACCACACTTTATATCTGGATTCTTTGGAGACATTAGGAGTGATGGAGTTGTTGTTCCTCAAATTCAACCCCAGTGTGATAGCAGAGCGCACGGCCAAAGCCGAAATTCTCCAGGCCCTGAGGGGATGATGAGCATGAGGTCACAGATTGAAGGACTGGCTATTGGCAAACCTGTTGATCTGATTGGTGGAAAGTAGATAAAATGCAATGAGGCCTTCCACCTGGACCTGCTGAAGGTCTGGATGACTGAACAGATCTTGACTGCTCATACTCAAACGTCGAGCCCGGGCGAGGTAAATCAGGTGGGCTGTCCCCGATCCATGCCACGGCGCATTTGTGAGATCGGCATGATTGGCAGCGATGGCGAAGATCATATTGAGAATGGCAAGCCATTTGTCGCCGGGTCGGATGCCACGGAATTGTGCCGAACTGTCGAAAAATGACCGGAATTGTGCGTTGAATAATGGTTTGCTGATGATTGGGAAAAACGGGTGCACCATTTCGAGATAGGTGGCTAGTAGGTGATCTGCTTGGTCTCGAGGGGGCATGCTGTATTCCTGTACCGGCTCAGGAACAGAGATACTGAGGTCGTCCAGATGATAGTTCAAGGCGTGAAGTGAGAATTTCTCCTTCGTCTCCTGATCTTCGTCGGGGCGTGGCTCCAAAGAGCCGGACTTTCCATGGGACCGCTGTTCGGCTTCTCGTTGCAAACGTTGAATCCAAGTGATCTCCGAGCTTTTGCCCATGTAGCCTGTGGCCCGTGAGTCTTCTGTCCTGTTGTGATCTTCGTCCACCCGGTCAATTGCGTCTAACGACCCGATTGAGGACAGGGGAGAAGCCTGAATTCCATCCACCCCAGCTTGGGAAGTTGGAGGGCGTGAGATAGCATTGTCATAATTGAGATCTCCCTTCAGGTCATACTGAAACCGACTGCTCAGGACGTATATCTAGCATAGAAAGGCGACTGGACACATACCTTGTCTAGTAATACCTTAACCCAGTGGGCGGAGGCTGACTCTGATGCATTTCGAAGCTCTTGCAGGAAGTTTTCGTACTCTTGGACTTCTGCCGTGAGTCTGTCAACATCTCTGTGGAGGGAAACCCCCAAATTAGTGAACGCCATCCACGCGCCGGATCTAGGGGTCTCCCGCGGCACTTACTGCTTCATCTTGTCCCTCCACCCCATCGGATATTGACAAGCGACCCGGAGCTCGCGGCATTGACGGCAAACGGGTGCATCGCCACTGCATTTTGTCTTTCGTTGCCTGCAGGACTCACATGCCCGGGGCACGCGACGACTGTAGCGTTGCGTGGACCCCAGCGGCTGGCGGGGTATGGCCACTTTTGACGTCGGAAAAGAGTTGGAATCTCCCAACGCCGGTGCTGAATTTGTCGCCCTCCCTGCAGCGTCAGTCGCTGAACTAAACGCTCCTGGCCGCTGTGTCGCCGGCGGTGCGCTGTGCAAGACAGATCTATCTGGAGTGGCTTCATTTCGCGGTGTTTCATCGCCGCCGGGCAAGCTATGCGCCTTTTTTTGCTTCTTGCTGGTCATAAGAGAATTGCAAGTCGATTCACACACAGGAAACAGCTACAATACGAGGTGAAAAGCATTATCGAGGTTGTTGTGTGAGGCCTTGTGCTTCGGTTTCTGATGCCGCCAATGACAAGCTCGGATTCCGAGAATGCAGATGAGTGGGGATTTAAGGAGTTGAGTGAAGAAAGAAGGGCTCCAAGCACTCACTCCAACACCCTTTTTTTCGATGGGCCGACCGCATCCAAATGCAGATTCCGGTTTCTTTCTGGTTCTCATCCAGCTCACGAGCCAATCCCAGTCCTGTGGGAGGTGCGATCACCGTCTATCGTGCTTCGCCCATCGCCGGGCACCTGAACATTTGACATGCACGGGAGAACAGATCCCGTCCGAAGCGAGGGGAGTGTTCAGGTGAATTTCCTCGATATTCTACTCTTACCCATAGTTCGTCCACAGTACTGTACTGGTATACAGTAGTAGAGGTTTGAAGACAAGTTTTCTCGGGCCATACCGTCTCTTCCAGAAGAGCGGGTAGATTTGGGTGGATTTTTTTCTTCTTTTTTTTTCTTCCCATTCCCTTCTCGGCTCCACCCTAAATACCGACACGGCGGCACGGCTCCATCTACTGAGTCATACGAGACAGCACGTCAATCCCGGCAGATCGCGGAGATGCGCTGCATCCATGGCACAGCGTGTTTAGAGTTGGCGACACCCTAATTTGAGTTGGGTGCTTCTCATTGGTGGAATCTCACTCAAGCCCGCTGTGCCCGTGTTTTTCCGCTCCGGACTAGATCTGTTGCCTGATATCTCGGGCACCAACACGGTCACCGATCTATCCAACCTTGGAAAGCTTGAGCCCTGGAGATCTATGGATCCATGCCCTATGTAGTCTCCCGGGATCACATGCCGAGTGTCTCCGGAGTATGGGAGATGTATGAGAATCGGAGCACTTTGTTTGAAGACCTTAGAGAGCATACAGATTACTCGTTTGGAGTCTTTGGCTTGCAACCAAATCCCACGGCACGAAGAAGAGCAACCTATTTAAGCCAGAGAGACGATGGCGGTTATCAAATACTACACAAGCCAAGTTGGGGACCTCGCCCGGGAATATGCAAGCTGATTGGCGGGGCCCGGGGCCTGATTTTGAAACACGGACGTTTTCAAATGCTTCAAGGTATTCATACAATTAAGACATTTATTGGCTAAGGTTCAAGGGCGTGGAGTAGCAACTTGGAACCTTCGCAAAATTTTCAAACGACTAACACGTTGCTCCCACTTTGATCCCGCCGTTTGATACTGAACATTGCGAAGGGATCGGCGAGCGTAGCAGTGCCCATAATGATAGTCTGCGGTGGTCTTTCGCCGGCGCCTTTGAAATCATATTGTGTCAAAAGATGACAGAGTACGATCTTGATTTCATGTATTGCCAGAAATCTGCCCGGGCAGGCGTGCTTGCCCAATCCCCAGCCCGTATGGTCCGATGTTGGGGTGACCGCTAATGACGCGGTCTCATTGGCTGGGTTCTCTCGCATCTTCAGGAATCGGTACCCGTCAAACTCTTCAGGGGCTTTGTACACCTCAGGATCCCATGTGCCAGCTGACAGGATGACCGGGGTGTCTTTTGGAAGGTGGGTACCATCGGACAGGTCGAAACCCTCCAGCGCAATACGTTGCAGGGCAACTGCTTGGACGGGCTTCAGCCGCTGGCTTTCTTTCAGACAGCTGTCCATCAGTCGCATATTGTTCAAACTGGAGATTGTGAGGCCCTCTTTCTCGATGACTGTTGTAACTTCCTCTCGGAGAGCCTCGATCAAGTCGTCTTTCCCATCAAGATCATACATCAGTTGAGCAAGCATATCGGTCGTTGTATGAATTCCTGTCACTGCGAGAGCCAGCTGAACAATAACGGGATCGCATGGACGGCCCATCTCCTGGTAGTGTTGACTCATCCATTCGAATGCATCCATATGTTGCTTTGGTGCCTGTCCAGACTGTGAAGCCGCCTCTTTATCTAGGCGGCGCTGATCTAGTACACTACCAATTAGACTCTCCGCTTCCGCCATCTCCGCTTTGAGCTTGCGGCATACTGGAAGAACATGGATCATGATAGGCCTAAGTATCGTAGGCCACTTTCGAAGTGCCTCGGAGGCCTGAACGGAGTCCACTGTGTATTCAACCATGATTTGTAGCCAGCGCACATTGTTGCACAGAGGATCTCCAACGAATGTTTTAGCCAGAACCCGGGCGATGATCATTCCAAGGCTTGACTTCAGTGCAACCGGATGCCATTCTGGAGGGGTGGAAGTCAATTTTTGAATCAAGCAACATTTGAGGTCGGCTAACCAGAATTATCAGTCCATTCCGTGCGCAGAGCACTGGAGGCAGTATCAGACAGTGGCTTGACAAGGTCCGCTAAGATATATCAGAGTCAGCTAGAGTCATTCGAAGAAAAGGACCACGCCTTCGATGATCTATTATGTTAAAAGAAGGGCCTTTTACCTTGTGGCACCAGCTTCTTCCGGATGAATTTTATGAAAGCCTCATCTTTTTCGAAAAATGCTTGATATGGGCGAAAAGCGTTCAGGTGGGCGTGAAAGCGCTGGTACATAAACGCGCCCAGGCTGAGGGAGTTATGGTTGCGAATTTCTTTGGTGAACTCTGGATCGAGGACGACTTGAGGTCCATCATTTGTGAGCACTTGGAAGACTTTCCACTGTATGCGAAAATGGGTTAGTCTCGGGAATGACCACGAAGCATTCTTATTGCACATAAGTGAACTCACCTTAGAGAGTCCTTGCTTAATTAACCCTGGGCCACCTAGAAGGAAACGTAGTCGGGCCGAACCGGTGCTTAAGCTCCAGGGATCCCGGGGGTTGATCACCGGGAGATCCCGCCGCTGCGACCAAGCCCTAGGGGCGATTCTCCCCACAAGGAACAGGGCCACTGGAAGCAGACATAGCAGCGCAGACGTAAGGAGAGAGTCGGTCGGATGTGAGAGCATGATCTTTGGCGCGTCAGTAACAGCCGTTACCGGAATGAAGCAGCTTGTGTCTGCTTTTGGATATAAATGCTTTGAAATCAGCGGTCAGCGGGAGGTGAACACAGTTCCCCGGACACGGTGGATCTAATAGTTTGATGCACACAAAGAAACGGGGGCCGAAGATCGACACGTTAGAATGCTGGCCATGCAAGGGGTATCACATCACAACACTCATCGTGCGGGGGAGCTCACCATACTCGTGTCTCGCGTGCTGCATTGGAGTGCACTGTCCGTCAGGCTCCACTGGCTTCCAGAGTGAGAGTGGACCAAGCGAACGCCTTGCATTGGAGACTGTACGGAAATACTGTACAGTATGTTCATGTCAATGGTCATATTGCGTACGCCGCGTAGCAGATAAACCAGTACGGAGTATGTTCGACTTGTCAGAAGGACCAGTCAGGGATACGATGAGAATGCCAATCATCGTACAGAGAACTCCGGACCCCGTACATGCGCGTGCTTTAGGGGCGATCAGTACCGCATCAGTCTAAAACAAGGTTATCTACTAACTGAATATATCAAAGATCGACCAGCCAGTTCCACAAGGCTCAGCCGCGTGTGATACCTCAAAAAGAGGCAAAAGTGACAGGTTAAGAGCCTTTCAAAGTTGGGAAGAGAACTGAGTGTTAGTTACCTAGTCTACATCCATACATGCAACGATTCTTGAGCATTACCCTTTCCAAGCCGACCGCATTATTCGTTTCGTGCAAACAGACCAAGTATATCAGTCTTCTCTTGAGCCGCGGCAATGTCCAATGCTGTTTCGCTCTGGTTGTTTTCCTTCCATGGATCGAGTCCCGAATCAACCAGCGCTTTGAATAGCAAAGTTTCGTCGTCACCTGAGTCAGGGGGGCATTTTGCGCGACGTGCAATGACATGCAGCAAGGTATCTCCAGCTAGATTCATCGGGGAGATATCATGCGTCTCAATAAAGGCAGTCCAATCATCCGGATGAGAAGGCCGCGAACGGGCGAGATCCGAAAAGCGTTGGTAAGACTTGGGTGCTCTCACGTAGTGGAATATCGGGGTTTCCCCGTTCCTGTCACGAGAGTTACGGTCGCATCCCGCATCAAGGAACTGTTGATATAGCGTAGTTGCCTCGGTAAAATGGTCTCTCCCGTCATCTTCTTTAATCTGCTCCTTTCGGTCCTTGTTGCTGAAATCCCGTAGAACCGGGGCCACACAATGGAGTCCTAATCTTCCATCGGGTAGAATGGTAAGAGCATTCGCACCTCCATTCAACAAGGCTCTCAATGTCAAGAAACCAGAAGACCAGCAGTCGTCGGCCTCAGCGTAATCTTTCAAAGCTCGAGTCGAAGGCGTAAACCCATCGTTGTCAACTGGGTCCACTGAGGCTGATCGTTTGACAAGCTCCCCAACGAGGGCTTCGTCAAATGCCTCGGCCGCGTAATGCAGTGCGGTGCTCCCGGTAGGGTCAATCATGTCAAGGTCAGCACCAGCTTCAATCAACTTTAGAGCCACATCGAAACAGTTTGCGCTTCTACTTAGCGCGGTGCGGCCTTCACTGTCTTTCGTGTCGACGTCTATACCCATTTCCAAAATAGGCCCAAGTGAAGTTCCACCCCAGTGGTTGGTGCATAGCGTGTGGAACACGATGGTGGATCCATCTTCAATCAGAAGAAGGGGGTCAGCGCCATATCGAAGAAGAAGAGACACGATAGCCGCGTGTTCACTTAGCAACTTTGCACTTCGAGGTTCTTCTAAGAGTGGAGCCTTTCGCCAATCATTCGTAGCATTTGGATCGGCGCCGTTCTTCAACAGAAGCTCGACTGTGGCGAGGCTGTTTCGGCGGATCGCCAAAGTGAGTAGTTTGTCATCTCCGGGCTCGATAGAGGCTCCGTGCTCGAGAAGTAGAGCGATGATCCAGGCGTCGCCGCCATTCTCCACAGCAGTGGAGAGAAGCGAATCAGCGTGGTCGTTACGCGTATCTTTGGCATCAGCGCCGTGCTTCAGCAGCATCCGAAGGGTCTCGTCACTCCATTTATGGCGTTCCTCTCCGTCCCCGTATGATTTAACCGGAAAGGCTGCAGTAATGGCAGATCGGAAAGCGCTGCTAGACCAAGTTTCAGGGCAGACACCCTTTTCAAGCAGTAATGTAAGAGCCTTGGTATGCCACCAGCGCTTACCAGCGGATACCTCGACTAAAAAATTTGAGAAGATATGCCTGTTCTCCCTTGGCACTTGCTGGATAAGCAGCCGCATCATCTCTAGGTTATAGGCAGACCGTTTGGTGGCTTGACTCAAGAGAACGGGAATCAAATCGGCAGCATCCTCAAGATACGGCAGCAATCGCTTCAGCATGGTGGTAAAGCCCAGAAGCGGAAGTAGGAAAATGCCCGTTTCATGGGACCGATCTTTCTCACTGTCCACCAATTTTAGGTGTTTGACGCGAACGAATTCCTCAACTAGATCCTCATTCCCTGTTACGAACAGGCGTTCCAAGAGTTCGTTGTGGTTATCGGGCACTTCAGTAAGGTCGACAATATTCTTGATTTGGGCGTCAGTCACAACAAGAAGTGATTCGCCGATAGGGTCGAAGGATCGAATAGATGACTCCATATGGCTTTTTCTCAACTCCTCAACAACAGGAGCACATCCAAGCATCACAGCAACACATTTCGGGCTGAGGCCATTGTTGTCGACTTTGTTCGGTTGCGCACCAGCCGCCAGTAATAATCGAACCACCTCTCTGATGCATCTGGCGTCATCGTTGGGGGCGATTCCAAAATCATAGCCAGACGGTGGATCCGGCTTTTTTACGCCTCGCCAAGCACAAGGTTTCGGCAATCCCAGCAAGGGTGGCTGAGAGATTTGATGATGACGCGCTTTTTGTGGGCCAGTTCTCTCTTCAAATTCGCCAGCCGCATGCAAGGCTGTTCGGCCTCGCTCGTCGGAGAGGAACGGATTTGCGCCAGCGTCCAGTAGAAGTTTCACGGTTTCTGGACAGCCGGATCGAGCCGCTTCATGCAAAGCAGATCTCCGTTTGATGCATTGGTGGTTAATGATTGCAGGATCATTTTGACAGTATTCTAGAAGAAGGCCGACCACGTTACTTTGACCTGCCTCCGCAGCAATGGAGAGAGGTGTGCGCATTGATCTGTCTTTTGCTTTAGGATCAGCCCCATGCTGGATCAAAGTTAGGACATTGATGTCAGACACAGACGCCGCTAGATGAAGAGCGGTGATCCCGGAGTTATCTGCTGCGTTGATGTCGAACTGCATGGACGGGCGAAGAAGAAACTCTAGGCGAGTCCTTATTTTCCCCTGGCGGAAGATAAGATCTTCCTCGATCGTAGCAGCGGCGTGCAATGCAGTCCTTCCCTGCTTGTTAGCCGTCAAAATCGGAGCTCCGAGCTCTATGATAGTCTCGGCATGCTCTTCGTTTATCAACCAATCACCGTGATTGTGAACAGTGTCGTCTTTGATGAAGTGTTTGAAGAAGCCATTTCCATCATGATCTGTGTCTTGAACCCTTGCTCCATGATTGATGAGTAGTTGAGCCAGCTCACGTTTACTTCCATCTTTGAGGAGGGAAGACTTTTTGTCTGGCCGGAAAACATAGTGCAAAGCTATCAATAATCAGCATCTGTGTCATATCAGGGAATTTCAATACAGGAGAAATGACCTACCAGTTCTTCCTTTGAAATCTGTGGCTTGGGCACTGGCCCCTCGCCGCAAAAGCTCCTCAACAAGCTTGAAGGTATGGAATTCGTTACCCGAGAATGCGGTAAGCAGGGCTGTTTGTCCAAGTCCATCTTGATCCTCCAGTGATACACCGTGTTTGAGAAACTCATCAATGGTCCGAAGGCGATCAAGTCTGCTCTCTTCCTCCTCTTCTTCATCCCAGAATTTGCCGTGGGTTAGGGATAGGAACTCGTGAAGCGGTGTTCGACCAAGATAGTTACGTGTGTGCGGGTTTGACTTCGACAACCATGAATCAAGATGACAACTCTCCCCCAGCGGATCGCTCTTGAAATAGTGATGGAGAGCCGTATTTCCTAGCCAATCTTGTTGGTGAAAGTCTGCTCCAAGCTTGTGGAAGACTATCGGATCAGGATGATTTTGCTGGCTTGCATTCAACATCAGTACCGTTAGTCCATCACTGAATCTCTGGGCATTGATATTACAGCCGGCATTGACAAGAATTTTTGCCAGCTTTGGGTAAACCCTCTGTGAAGAGTGTAGAGGAGTTTGGCCGTCAACGTCAAGGATAGAGGCATCAGCCCCACGCTCAAGAAGAGCAGACACAAACTTATCCTCGCTCATGGTTGACCAGTGAATTCTGGACCACTCAAAGATAGGTGTTCGCTTTTTGTGGTTTCCTGTGTTTACCTTGGAGCCTGCATCAATCAATAGATCTAGGCAAACCACAACAGCTTCTTCATTCATTGGCTGTTCGAAGTTGCCGTTTGGATATCCAAATGCCACTGCATGTAGAGGGGTGTACCCCGGAATGGCATGGGGCATGGTTTGACTTTCTAGCTCTGTTGGTGGCTCTGGGGGGTAGTTTCTGTTCATGGATAAGATACTGACGTCCGCGCCATGATTAAGCAAAACTTTGATTGTGGTTGGGCTTTGTTTGCGGGCTGCAAGATAGATTGGAGTATCACCATAGCGGTCGGGATCATTGATAGTCAGTCGAACCTTGTCATTCCGTAATAGGGCGGAGAGAATTTCATGTTTTCCCTGTTCTGCAGCAGAATGTAAGAGATTGTCTTTGCAGAGGAGAGGGTCAACATGGCGAATCAAATCGAGCACAGCCTCGGTGGATCCCTCTTCGCATGCAGATGCAAGGGCAGTGACCTCTCTACGATGATCAAAGTAATAAGGGCGAAGGTCATGTTCCGTCGGGTCGTCAGGAATTCTTGTTTTGCCTCCACCACCGGTGATCACTTTGGCCATCGGATCCAGACCCCCTTGGATGAGGGCACGTACCGCGTTGACGTGGTTCAGTTTGCATGCATACGCAAGTAAATGATGACCGGCTCCCCAACTAAAAGTGTCGTCCCGAACCGTGACATTGGTTGAAGCACCATGTTCCAATAGCAAGGTAACTATATCGTGATGGCCTTTTGACACTGCGTAGACCAGAGGTGTATGGCCATCCTTGTCCACAACATCCGTTGTCGCTCCCCTGGAAAGCAGAAGTCTGACAAATTCAGCTATTCCAGAGTAGGCAGCGACATGCAAGATCGAACAGGAAGGGGATACATGGGTTTGATAGGCGCTCCAAATTTCAATCCACGCCTCGAGATCATGGTTGTTGTTCTGAAAGAATCCGTTCAGGCACTCAACAAGGTCGGTACTGAAGCTTCCTGCTTTGCCAAGATGAAACATTCTATGGCGTAACGGAGAAAGTAGAATTTCAGAAACAGCGACCTTCTTTCTCTCTCTTCATCTTTGCCCTTTCCGACCTTCCATTCCCGTAGAGGACCACTGGCGAGATATCGAAGACAGATTTGGGCCAACATCGAGTGAACAGCACCAGAGTCTACCACCGGGTCATCACGACTGAGCCTTGACATCTGGGTATGCTCAACATCACCGACTGAGGACAAACTCTGTCAGGGAGTGATGGATGACCTGCACAGCTCCGTCCTCGCAAACCTCAAGCACTGGGCCACACGCAGTTCGTACGGCCTCCTTGACATTTTGCTCTGATGCGAGGCCACCGCGGTCTGGTAACGACTCAACCATAGCTGCGAGCTCAAGCATGCGTAACGGGCGGGCTGAATGAGTGACCCACTCTAGAATGAGTCTCTGAAAGCGTGCAGAAGTTTTTGACCGTCTAACCCGATCACGCAAGATAACGGTGTATAAATCGCCGAGGCCATTGGGGAGACTGAGAGCGCGAGATTGTATGTTTTCGGGATGCTGAAGTAGTTCATCGAGCATGAGCTTTGCGTAAAGAAACAAGCCGTTTCCCTTCTCACAGAGAGCCTTGGTGACAGCTGCGATTTCCAGAGCCCCCAGCTCAAACTTGGACTCATTCAGCTGTCGCATCACGAAAATGGCAATGTCCTGATTAACGTGTAGACGGTCAAGGCGTAAGTCAACAATGCGGCTATTGTGCATATGTCTCTCCACCTGGGGAACCTGTCGACTCGTCGTGAGAATCTTGATTGAACGAGGAAACTGGCGTCCGAGCTCCAGGAACTGTTCAAGCCACCCGTCGTGTCCGTGCTCCATCTCATCCAAAGCATCTACCACACAATAAACCTTTTCCATTGATCGGAGAGCAGTTGCCAGGCACTGCCAGAGCTGGTCAAACGGGACGGAATCGATCGCCGAGAAGTCACCGCGCAACCGCTCCAATGAGGATCGAAGAGAGGGCGAGCTAGGGAGTAATTTTTCACAGAAATCGCGCAACAGCCCGGAAGGAGTGTTTGTTGCAATGATCTCTCTCATAAAATAAAACAACACGGGAGCATCATTTAATTGCTGGAGCCGACGAATTACATTCGCAGCGACCACTGACTTACCACAGCCAGGAATTCCTCTGATCCACAGATTCCCTACTGATTCGCTCTTATTCCAGTCGTGATATTGAACAGTGTCGAAGATCCATTCACCGGTGCCTTGGACATGCGAGTGAAGATGTCTTTGAAACTCGCTTGTTGGAGCATCCGAGTCAGTCGGTGTCAGCCATATATTCAGCAATTTTGTTTTGGTTGTTGATTCCGTGTTGTCTGTCGCCACTGAGATTGGTCGATTGGATATCATTTGGCATCACACGCGACGGAAGAGACTGAGGACTGCCGCTATGGCGGGGTTATCAAGTTTTAAGAGCTATGGCTCGCTGTGACTCAAATTTGATTTTTCCAGAGCTTCAATTCTCACGCTAAATCGACAGTGACTTCACGCGTTGCCTGTGCGCCTCCATGATTGGCTCTTGGGGCCCGCTCACCCCAGCTTTGGGGCTGAAAAGGTCTTCTTGGGGCCAGGGGCGGCCCAGGTGAGAACCCAGCGTGACCAAATGGGACGAGCGCAATGGCGGTCTGGCATCGCAGACAGGACGATAGGATAACTGTGGGTCTGGTAGCAGAATCAGAAGAAGATGCCGAGTCTCACTCTTGCAAACACAGCAGAAATGCCAGGTCACGTTCTTGCGCCTGAGGCATTAACCTTGGAAGTGGACCGCCGCACTCGCAGGGACTCTGGCGATCTCCCGTTCCTCCAGTTTCAATCCCATCCGGTCTTGGCCTGCTATGTATTTTGAGCCCGAAAAGCCAGAGTATGTATGTTTGAGGACAGATATGCTTTTTTCGTTGCCCAAATATTTAATTTAGGATGTTTATCTTTTCTTGGCCTTCGCTCCTCTCCCTCAACTTGACAATATCTTTACTTTCCCATCCCTCCCTGGCTTTCTACGCCCGACTACATACGCAACGACGCGCTACTCTGATGATGAACTAGGCAAACTTTCATTATTTGATGTGATCATCAAATTTTCAGACATAGCAACCGGCTACGTGTTTGTTGGTGGAAAAACACACTCACCTAGCAGCCAAGAAGAGCCTCGATATATCTCGAGGGTGATTGTGATCATTACATTCAAGTTTTTACCTTATCTGAACATCACGCATATCGTTTGAGACCGACAGGTACCTATCGCCGCCGGCAGCAAAAGGCCCATATTCCGTTCAGATCGCCCAATGATTCTTCCCTAAATAGAACGCAACCCTGAATCTTGGAACTCTTCCAAGGTCGTAAAATACCTAGGTATTTTCAAGCTACAGTACGAACAGATGGAAATCAATGTCGACCTGAAACAATATCTTTATCCATGGACTAACTGAACCTCAAATAAGCCCGCGGGCTCACTGAGGTCTGCGGCTTGCCAGGTGCGTTCAAAGCCCCCATTCAACAATTTTTAACCTTGGAAGACTTTTCAATTACCAATTTTCCTGTGGAGATTCTCTTACCTCCAGCGCTCAATGTGTAAACTTCTCCAGGGCTGGTACTTTGTAGGAAGAGCACTTTGGCTTTAGATCTCAAAAGGTTAATTTCCAAGGCGCATACTTTCATCCAATAAGAAAAGTTTCCACAGATCTCTGAGCCCTATCAAGCTAGCGTCTCCGATGAGTAAGCGGGAATTCACGAGGCCCGTGCATACACACTATCAATTTTGAGATGACCGGTAAGTATCGATCAAAGGCGATGAGAAAAATCTGTCGATGTGTCATGACTTCTGAGTCGATATGAGTCAAGATCCCTCATCCTCACAGTTCTAGAGTGCCAGGGTCGTGCCAGGTGGTTCGTGACAAGCAGGTATTTATGCTGAGATCATCTGTAATGTAATTTTGGAAACGTCGTACAGTGAACGTAATACCTACTTTGTACAGCTCGCGTATTAAACCCAGAGTAAAGCCCAAACGAACTCTGCCCCTCCAACTTGGCGGAGATAGATTAGCTCTACGTAGATGCGTCTTTCATTGACTGCTAACATGCCTTTCGGTAAAATCTTGGAGTAGAAAGACGAGGGCCCAGGTGCACCCTTTTAAGGTTCAGAAATCCCCTGCCGCATAGACGGTTACATACAAGTGGCATGATCGTGGACTTTCAATATTAGAAGCATTGAAATTTTGAGGCCAGGAGACTCTGAAAGCCAACCCGGAAGTCTGGGAATGGCGGCTCAACTGAGGCTCACGGGTAGCTTTGCTATCCGGTTGACCTGTGTGTATTTTCAGAGCCACGGGACTTTACCTGTGCTTTGTCCATTGCGCAGCGGCCGAGACGTGCAAGCTCAGATGTGAATCCATTCAGGAACCTCAAATGAATGATTTCGGCGGGGGTGAGGTTCCGTATGGGAATGTTGTTGAGCAGCGAGGGGACATTATGGAGGGTCATCACATCTTGTGGGCTTTGCTGATTCAAGGGATCTTTGAGAATGTTGCAAAAAAGTGTCAAATTTGCAGTCAGGATATAAAATAGAACGACCCTGTTTCGGGGTTGCAAGTCAGCGTATGTATATATACCCGACAAGAGGACAATAAGATCTTACCAAAAGCATTCGCCCTTCAACGAGGGCAATGTTGCTTGAAGCAGTGTGAGAGTCGAACGGCTCGCAGTTGTCGAGAGTTCGTCACTAGAATTGATTACATCGGGCTCGAATCCCTGTTTGAACCCGGGAACATTGCGCCTTTCACTTGCTTGATGAATTATGGACACGCAATGGTAGTATGATAGACGCAATATGATTCCTTGCGTGTTCATATTGGCGCGGACGGATGTCTCTGCAGCATGGCACAGCATTGGGCGGACATCCAAATCAAGTGAGAGTCTCCACTCCTCTAATACTTCGTCTAGATGCCGAATGGATTCGAGGACCTGTGATCTTGATTTGGAGGCGGAGCTGGCCGAGTATAGAGTGCTGTAAGCTTCCGATTTAATCTTTGACAGGCGAAGATCCCAAGGGAATAGTGGAAGAACATTATCATCGGGAGTCAGATCATCTCGGTGTATGTTGCTGTTTTGCAGCCTAGCATACCCTGAAGGAAGTGAGAGATCACAATCTAAGTCATTGATCGATGGAGGTTGGCCAATTCGAAGGCTGATGTCTTTGTCAAAGGAATAGCACAGCCAGAACAGATCCCTCAAATGAAACTCGGGCACTCTTTTGTCGTAATGGGAGACATAAATGGGGTCTGTTTGTATCGTATGGGCCCCAAGCTTGTATAGAAGGCGAGTAGCGACTGATATAGACACTGCCGCAGATTGCAGATCACCTAGAAAGTATTGGAGTTGAAGCTGGATATGTCAGTCAGCATTGCCACTTCGATCGATATAGACCATGTCTCTGGCTTACAAGCATCATAAGGCACTGGATTCCATCCAGGGTCATCTCCTGTATGACTCGTGGAAGTAATCTCTGGGCCTCCAGAGTGTAGAATCCACAATCCACAGCCCCGCGGACATCGATGTCGAATCCGAACAATGTGACGAGCGACAAAAATGACCAGACGCAAGCTTTCGCACTAGCATAGCCAAAAGATTGAGGAGATCCATATGCCAGATCCAGGGTCTGGACAAAGAGGGACTTGCTGATGACAGGGAAGACAAGGGTCTGAAAGGATGAGGTATATCGCGTGACATACAATTCAACCACCTGTCGCTGGGGTAGCTCGGAGGAAGAACCCGATGCGACGGGATCTTCATCTTGTAATCGCCGTGGACACGTCCATGGGAGGTCAAACGTGTTTAATTTCGCAGTCGAGATCTTCTCCCCCACGTGCGCCTCAATCCACTTGAGGCCTTCTGTAGAAAGCAAATCAATACCACTCAAAGATGTGACGCTTCTGCGAAGGCCTGCGGATCTATTTATTTCCTGCGATTGGTCAAAGGACGTATTCAGCGAGGCAACCGAGGATGCGATCGCGGAGCCCGTCGAAGTTGACTGATTTGAGGTCCCGGAAGAAAATATGATTTGGTTGCTATATTCCGTCAGTAAGACGTGATCAACGGAAAGATTGGAGTAAGAAGCAATGGCATGACAGAGAAGCGATTGTGGGCTATAGGCTATAGAAACATGATAGCGGCGTCATACCTTGATTTGATTCGCCCGGCTATTCGATTGTACGTGCAGGCCAGACCGTGGTGTTTACACCAGTTGCATTGTGGGAACTCTGCGTCACATTTAATCTATGCGAAGAAAATACAGACCACTGTTAGCAGAAACCCCTAAAGTTCTTGGCGAGACATCCATGGATGGGAGTTCAGGGTACGCGGGGGGAGAGGGATTCGACTTCGGGAGGGCTGCATTACCTTCCTCTTGAAGCATGTGTCGCATGCCCTCCGCCTCCCTAAAGCACGCGTGGTTTGGCGCCGGGGTGAGGATGCCTCGGCCATCACTGTAAAGACCGAGTGTAGTGAGTGACTGGGGTAAAATTGAATTGGGCATCGCCAGTATTCGGTATTGTAACGAGCAAAACAGTAATACACGTGACACAGGTGAAACATCCCGAGGTCTACGTCATCGGCCAGCTCTCACAGCGCTTCGCTGCACATGTAGACTACTGTACTCCGTATAAAGGGACTCTCTCCACAGTCCAGCCGATTTCTATTCTTGGAGGTGCTCGGGTGATGAATACTATCGTAGCAACCACCGAAATTTGCACACTAACTCCAAATTTGCTTTGGGAACATGCTAACCTGATAAGCAACAGCAAATTACCATGGTAAAATGTTACCATCGGACTGAATGAACATCCCCGAGAATTCTGTCCTTGAGGCTACCTCAACCTTTGGAAAGCATTATAGATAAGTACAAAGATACAGGCATAGAGGGAGCTCTTTCAATCTCACCTGGTTGAAGATGCCATCGACACTTTCTGCAACAGTCATGGGAGCTTGAGCTAATCCGCCAAATTGAGCCCCACGGTTACCCATGTCAGTTTGTACAAAACTGACAAACCAATAGTAAGAAAGCTATCCACGATTGAGCGTTAAGAAAGAAAAATGGGTGAACTCACCCTGGATCAATGGAGAATGCAATGAACTCAGGCTCCTCTTCATGAATTTTCTTGATCAAATAGTTTCCTGCCACTTTGGACATACCATACGCGGAAGTGAGTGAAGCAGATTGATCCAATCTGCTGAGACTCGCTAGCTCAGAAGACAAGTACACGAACTTGGGCGTCTTGGCGGCCTTCAGCAAATGGAAAAGTGATCTGAAAAGGCGGAGGGGGCCCAATGTGTTCACCTGGAAATGAGATAACACATCGGAATCCTCCAATGCCGAAACGGGCCCCCAATGGTTGGCAATTCCTGCGTTTGCGATGACAAGATCAACATGATCAACCATATGCACTTTCTCAATGTGAACAACAGCTTCGGAGACAGATGACGGATCTCCCTGATCAAGTTGGGTAATAATCAATCTCGACTTCGGGCCTTTGGGGGCAGATTCAAGGTCGGATACGTTTGTAATGGATACATCCCGCACGGTTGCGATGACAGTAACATTGGGTAGGGTGAGATACTTCAAGACAAGGCCTTTGCCGATGCCTGGGGTTTCAATCAGTTTCTATAAGCTGGTTCACGAAGTCACGGCTCTCATACCTCGGTTGGCTCCTGTGATAAGAATAACCGTTGATTGCATGGTGAATGTTACCTAGTACCCCTTGGGTCTTTGAGAAGAGGCAAAAATGTGATCGATGGCATTTCTCTCAATTTAGAGTGTTTCCTAGAATGAACTTTTAACAGCAACAATGTTTCCATCACACAAAATTGTAAGCCACGCCCACCTGGGGCCCGCTAATATCTCCGATTATTCAGCGGGGTGGGGTGCCCAGGTGCCTAGCGCACTCGCCGACATGGGGGGCGTGTGCGGGTCGGATGTAAGTATATAGTTTCGGCGTGGAGATGGCGAAGACCGAGCAAGAATGGAAGTGAAGGCCATGACTTACCATGCTCAGCTGACCCCAGCATCCTGTGCTCAGGTGGCACCCTAGGCTACCCTAGGGCATCCAATCCGATTAATAATCGGGCTTCGATGAGATCGAAGAGCTGGGATTGCAATGTGGAGAAAGAGGAAGTCTTAGACCGCTGCCAGGTGGTCGCGGTTGGGTCGGAAACGGAGGAGCAGCCTCCACTCTCCTAGCGGAGACAGCAGCCTCCAAGCCCCCAAAGGCCACACCAGCACAACACACGTTTTCTGAAATGCTCGATCGGCCTCCCGATGCTCCGAAAATCTCGGTCGTTCGGACTTTCTGACTTGTCGATCACAGGACAAAGCTGGTGGTTCCTGGTTATATATTGTGAGTCCTCCCTGGTCCAGGTCAAATTCCGCAGTCCCGTCTCTTCTCCATTTCAGATTTCCTTGAATCATCCCTCTAGTGGTAACTCTAGCCTTCAATCAACATGACACGCCAAACTGTTGTTGTCATTGGAGCCACGGGTTCACAGGTACGCTCATCGACAGGAACTTCATCGAGGGAATGTGAGTATCTAACCTTCGATTTATTTGAAATCAGGGCGGAGCCGTGGCGAGAGAGCTTCTGAGGCATCCGGATACCTATGCTGTCCGGGCGATCACCCGTAACACGGAGAAACCTGCTGCAAAGGAACTTGCTCAGCTCGGAGCAGAGCTTTACACTGCTGATTTGAGTGGTGGGCGTGATGCTCTTGCTGCCGCTTTCACGGGTGCTACTTCTATCTTTGCATTGACGGATTTTTGGCAGACACAGTCAACCGTTATCGAAATTGCGCAAGGTAGGGCAATTGCGGATGCTGCTGCTCAGACAACAACTCTCAAGCATTTTGTCTGGAGCGCACTTCCGGATCCCGTGAAGCTGTCCGGCGGCAAGTTTATGAATGTCCACCATTGGAAGGGCAAGAGTCTTGTTACCGAGTACATCCAAAGCACTCATCCAGGGCTCTGGGCCAAGACTACGACGGTTCTCTTCCCCAATTACTTCGAAAACTGTCTTACCACCCCTGAGAGATATCTCCCTACTAAGGTTAGTGCACCGCGAGATCTACGTTACTTACATTTGGGTTTGAGTGCGAATGGTACTGACGAGAAACTTCTTTCAGGGTGCTTCAGGAGTATACACTTTGTCATTCCCGCACAGCCTGCAGACCGTGATGCCGAACGTTGCTATTTCGGACACAGGCAAGCTTGTGCATCTCATCCTCGAAACAGGATCCCATTACTTTGAGAAGACCATCGCTTTCTACTCCCAATCCCTATCAGAGGCGGAAAAGCTGGCGATCATCGGAGAGAGTACGTTTCCCAGCGCACTGAACCATATCGCGACTGACCAAGATAAAAGAGTACCAGATCCCAACGGAGTACAAGAAAATCAGCTCCAGCGAGTTTCAGAAGATTCTGCAATCACGGGATGGACTTTCCGAGGAGATAGCCCTTGATTTTGCAGAGCAAATCATGATATTTGAGGACTGCGGCAATGTCTATGCTAATCCGGAGTTTATACAAGCCTCTGAGGTACGTCAAAAGCTCTCTTCAGGGAACGCATCTACATGGAAATTGCGCTAATCACCAGTCAATAGATCCCAGGGTTAAAGCTTCAGACTTGGACGGATTTCCTGGACCAAAATGAATTGCGGTTGTGAGAATTGAGCAAGATCGACTTGAGGATGCTGTGAACTTGAACACAGCTTCTTAGATACCGAGATTGTTTGGGAGCAATCCATCTCACTGCTAGCATCTTCAAATCAAGGGCAAAATAATTCATCGGATTATTTACAATTATATGAGCATACTTCCAGGGTCTCAGCCGTCCCAGGCAACCGGTGTAATTAATGTCACCAGAATTGCATACCGTACGAGTTACAGTACACGATACAAACAACCTCCCGTGCCAAGGGCGCCTAGGGTCGGTAGGTGGGGGCTTCGGGTCAGTCTCAAGGGCGATCAGCAGCTGGGCATTCATGTCCTCGAAGCTCCCTCATAGCCTACCCAGCAGACTGCTTCATACTGGTATGTCTCTGTCATCTGCAGCAACGGCATCTTTCATCGGCGAGGGCAGTCGAGTCTTCCAGCCATGGCACTCTTTCGACTCCGCTCATGCACAACGATGGATTCCGGCATCCAGTCCCCCTGAAGATTCCGCACCCTCAACCTACGGAAAGGATACACCGGACCTGGTGCTTGCGACCTGGAACATCGACGCAGGCTCTGAGCGAGCTGCAGACCGCGCAAATGAGATCATATCATCCATAATAGGCACAGAACCGAAAGTCGACATCATTTTCCTCCAAGAGGTGTCCCGAGAAGCCCTAAAGCAAATCCTATCTGATGACCGCATTCGCCAGTCCTGGTTTTCGAGTGAAGGCGACGACAGCTCATGGGGGACACGCATGTTCACATCTGTGACGCTAGTATCCAAAGCCCGATTTGCGTCTCATGGTGAACTGGGAAAGAGGAATCACTCTCTAGGCCCCGTTTGGCGGATCAAATATCCTAGCCGCTTCGCCAGGGATGCACTTGTCTGCGACATATTTCTTCCCCGTTCCAATGAGTCACCATCTGCTTCCCCGACTAGGCCTACGCGACTTGTCAATGTGCATCTTGACTCTCTGCCAATCCAGCCTTCCTTCAGACCACGGCAAATGGCCATAGTTTCTTCTATCATCTCGGACGCCGGATCTGGGTTGGTGGCTGGTGATTTCAATCCGGTCCTTGAGGAGGACGCTTCTCTAGTCGAAGACAATGGTCTGATGGATGTTTGGAAGTCTCTTCGTCCCCAGGAGGCCGGTTATACTTGGGGAGTTGATGGAAAGAAACGGTTCCCGCCCGGTCGGCTTGACAAAGTCGCTATGCTAGGGCTGCGCCCTTCCAGCATCAGAGTTTTGGAGCCAAAAATATTGAGCACCTCCAATTCAGTACCTTGGAGTGATCATCATGGGTTACTCTGTTCTTTTGCACCAGTTGCGCGCCGGGAAGCATGACTGAAACCCCAGAGAGAATGTTCCCTGGATTCAAAATACAGGAATAATATTTTCGAGTTTGGGTCTGTCAGAACCGTTTTCTATGGTTTTTCTGATCGCTGCATCGCTTCATAGCAGGGTTTAGCACGAAATGAGTGGTTGGACTTGGTAGCACCGAGCCTACGAGGAATTTACTTTAACCAAGAAAGGTTCATGCAAGATAACTGATTTTTTTAAACTGATATCTGGCATTGACGGCTTTTTCGAGGTTTTCTGTATGATCGCTGATGATCAGATCGCATTCCAACATTTCAAGCCCATCTAGCTCCGCGGGTCTGTGAATATCCATGAATCTGAGTCATTTCCCCCAGATCCAAGTTACTCCTGTTCGCCACATGGGGCCTTCAATACTTGAATGAGTTTACAATGGCGGAATTGGGGGCATGTGGATGAACAGCCCTGAGAGCCCTGGAGTGGATACCGGCAGGTGAACCCCACATCAACCTAAGCCCAATACAGCACTGTCGGATTCCGGAATACCGATCGTACCGGGGTTCGTCCGCCGGAACTCATCGAGGGCAAGCAGTTCAAAACGATGCTTTTCCATAAGAGCGGGCAAAAATGTTAGCGGTGCGACAACGATACAAGTTCCTGATGACACTCACGCCGTGACAAGACTTGGTTTTGCCCCCGCATTCTGAACAACTGCGTGACCCATAGTGGACCAGGTCGTGAATGCCGCTATACCTGATCTCCATGTGTTTAATTCTTGAGTGAAAGTTGGATTTGCTGCTAGAGCCCGCGCTCCCGAGTTATCACCATACAGCTTCATAGGCTGCGGCATAATTTGATCGAGGTTTTGGAGCAATCTCAGCAACCAGAATTCTTCCTGGGGCGAGAGTGAAGCCGCACTGTATTCCAATTTGGTAGTCGACAGTGAGACACAACTTTCTTTCTTAGAGGTCCGAAAAATCGGGCCGCCTGCCAGATAAAAATTGTAGCCGGATGTTGATAGGGAGCCCTGAAATGCAACCTTTCACTGCAGAATCAAGCACATGGCGATCAGGTATAACAGGCCTCGAGTCAAAACGTGTGAAGTCACCCTTATGAGAATCCGAGTCGACATTATCGTAACGGCTGACAGAACGAGTCATCGCTTCAGCATGAGGTGCATACTGGAAAGGCATTGGCGATGGCACGTAGGATCCATCTGGATTTCGATGTGGACGTGCGTGGACATGGTGGCTCGCAAGGGGCTCACTATGACAGATGAGGAGAGATGCAGAATATGTCTTGTCTTCGCTTGGAGAGGAGAGAGAGAGAAGCTAGGATCTCAGATCTATGTAAAACATAGAGAGTCCTGTGAAGAAGTCATCTGATTCTCAACACACCACCTTCGAAGGTTGGGATGGTTCATGGAAGGATTGCTGAGATGCGTCCTACTCAGGTTCATGAACACACGAAAACCGGGTTTGTTGACGTTGATATAGATCGTCCGCCTGTGAATCAGATCGGGTTTGGCGAGATCGAGATCGATGATACTTGCCCCGATGCCCAGGGCGAAGTTTTTCAGTTTGGGGTTGACGATTTCGAGACCTTTGGCCAGATTGTGGCTGCTCGGGAGGAGGGGCAGGAGTCTCAGGTTCGAATAGATTAATTAGTTCGCCCTGTTCCTCAGGGCGAGATTGTGAACGAAAGCGCCCCAACTCATTCCTCAGTCATACAACGCGGGGTTAAAGGAGACAAACCGTAGGCTCGAGAATTTCAACTTGATCTCCCTCTTGGTTGTCAAATTCCTCCGCAAACCTCATCGACGTGTTGACGAAATCGTCGGTCGTACTGTTGTCGTCATCGTGTTCCGACGTTGCTGCCTCTTTAGACAGTGTCGCCACTTGGTAGTTAATAACAGGTCGGAATCAGCGTCTGAATGTCTGCTATTCAATCACTTCCTGTAAGGCAAGGTGACAGTGGGGTGAAAGTAAAGTAAGAAACTCCTGGGGTAGCATGGGGGCTTCGACCCTCTACCCCAGAAATCACCCCCAAGTAAGGAAGCGCGAGTAAGTGAGTTTTCGCTCAGAGCTAGGGGCCTTCGTAAGCAGAATATCCTACCTAGGTACCTAGGTACCTATATAGTTTGCGAAGACGCTCATAACCTCTAGAGGGACTGCCCAGGAACTAATAGACCGAAAGGCCATAGATTGAGTGGGCAGAGAGAGAGAGAGAGAGAGAGAGAGAGAGAGAGAGAGAGAAAGAGAGCAACAAACTACAACTATGTACAGAGTAGGAACCATGTGATTCCTACCTAACACTATAACAAAATTCTGCACATATATTCATTTTTCCCCCTCTCTCGAATGTGCGATGGATCTGGCTTCTTCTAATCTTCCGATCAAAAGTGGACATGGACTCAATTCAATTGGTGGAAGAATATGAACTAGGATCTCATTCGCGTAAGAATGTCAATGCTGCGATACAAAGGGCATCAACTCCAGCCTTCATCGTAGGCTGAATCACAGGCGCGAACAATGCCGAATGGTTGCCGGCGATTTCCTCTCCGCTGCTCTCTCCTCGTTGTGCCTTATCCCAGAGTTCAGGATCAATGCCGCCAATGAACCAAAAGCAACTTGGCAAATCCCTGCATGTAGCTAGCGTTGAGAAATCTTCGCTGACGTTGGTTCTTGGTGTGTCGCCATCAAAGTCTTCAAAGTGGTCTCCAAAGGAGGTGGCCAGCTTGGTGGTAACATCGCCATCATTAAAGGTAGGAGGGAAACGACGAGTTGGGGTAAAGATGGGTGGCTTGGGAGATCCACTAGCCATGCACTCAGCTTCGACAATTCGCCGAATAGCAGCAATGATTTTCTCTCGAGTCTCCAATTTCACTGTACGGAAGTCAAGCCCGATCTCGGCCCGATCTGCAATAATATTCTCCGTCTGACCGGCTTGCAGACTTCCCACCGTGACAACACCAAGATCACTGGGATCAATCTCTCGGCTCACGATACTCTGGAGCCTAACAACAATATGGGCAGCCAGGAGGGCCGGATCGACAGTCTGGTGCGGCAACGACCCGTGGCCTCCGCGCCCAAACACGGTAACCCGCATCGAGTCAGCTGCAGCCATTATCGTGGAAGGACGTAGCCCAACACTGCCCGCGCGAAGCCGCATAACATGTTGACCGAGTACAATATCCGGAACAGGGATCTTGGAATAAAGCCCGTCATCAACCATGGCCTGGGCCCCGCCACCCCGCTCCTCGTCAGGTTGAAACAGCACGATCAAAGTACCGCTCCATGAGTCCCGGGTCTTGGCTAGTGTTTCCGCAGCTGCAAGGAGGCAGGTTACGTGCATATCATGGCCACAAGCATGCATGACCGGCCGTTCCATTCCGTTGGTATCCTGCATGGTCACGGTGCTGGCATACGGAAGACCAGTGAGCTCTTTCACGGGAAGCGCGTCCATGTCTGCGCGCAGGAGGATTGTCTTGCCGGGACCATTTCGTAGAACACCTACGAGTCCATAACCACCTATTTTGGTATGGATCTCATAGGCATTCAATTGGGAGAGATGCTCTGTGATCTTTTCGGATGTTTTCAACTCCTGACAGGAGAGTTCCGGATGAGCGTGGAACCATTTGTACAGGTCTTGATAGGGTGCCAAATCAACGGCACCGTTTTTGATAGTGTCGGACAGGGATTTAGCCATTCTGATGTAGGGATATGGAAGGAAATGAAGAAGCTTACGTTCTGATATAGCACAACCCCTATAGAACTCTCCGAAGCCTCGGGGTGGGGCGGGGTGAGTCATTCGACGGGCCCACCTTCCCGGGGTCTTGAACCCCAAGCCGTGGGGGGGGCGTAGATCGGGGTATCAGGGGTATAAGTAGTGAAAATATAGATTCTGTACAAAATTACGCAGCTTCTATCAGTGGCCATCAAAGCCCAAGAGCTCTGGGTTTTCCGGATGTCCGCTCGCAATTCACTACTAGTACATCTACGTCAAAGTGTCTCGCCCGTGGATTTCAGATGTAAGTTCATTCCCAGATCTTAATAAGACCATCCTATCCCAAGCGTTGAAACGCTACTCCTGTCCCCGTTCCTAGTATCTTCGCAGATTTATCTGAATGTCAGTGATCCTCCTGTTGACGGCTGACATGGCTCATATCGGTGACGAATGGTTCACCCGCTGGGGCCCAACGGGAGGCCTTAAGCCCAGTACCACTAGGGCGGGGGTCAGAATGATAGACGGTAACAAGGAGGTTCTCTTTGCATGCCCTTCAGAAGTGGTTGGCGGGTGGCAAGAGGGTGATGGTTGTGGGGAACCTCAACCTGAAGGAAAGATCGCAAACGCCCGGGCGGTAGGGCGGTGTAAATCGTGACCTGCCCATCGCCCCGCAGGGGTGGAGACTTTGGCATCCTGCTTTGAGCCTTTTGGAGTGCTACACCGGACGTAGAAATGTAAGCTGGAGAAGCCCATCGTGAGGTGGCGAGCCAGAGGTCGCTGCTTAGTGGCTTTGGTGCACCCTGAGATACTTCGAGGAGACCTTTCGTTCAGCCATGTCGGTCTCGGGAGATTGGGGGATTGACGGAGTTGAAAGAGTCGTCTCGACAGGTCTCTCCTGGGTGACATGGTCGGTCGAAGAATTTGGTAGGTTTGCCTCGCGCTGGGACTGGGGGGAGTCCTCCTGACGAGGATCCGGCATCACGGTGGATGCCCCACGTGCCTGTTCGGCTTCTTGGGTCTTACCGTCTTCCTATTTGTATTCCCAATGTCAGCTAATGTAGAAGATGATTTATGAAGTGATTTGAAAGTCAAAAATCATTGTTTCCACGCTTTTGTGCGTGGGTTGATGGTGACAGGTGAAATGCAAGAGATACATAGCTTGCATTCCTCACATCGATCTTTCAATCACTTACCGCTGCTTGAGTGGGCGGTACGATATCACGGCAAGTCATTATTCTGGCGCAGTGTGAAATGTGTGAAGACGGATTTGTGTAGAAGATGAGAAGAAAAGGAGAGGGAGGGATGGAAAGAGGGAAGAAAAGCCAGGAGAGGAAGAGATGGAACGCAGAAAGAATAAGAATAAGAGCCAGAAATAGAAGCTCATTCACTATTCATCTCTCTTTCCTGGATTTTCACTTGCAATTTACTACACCTACGTCAAATGATCATCCATGCATTTCAAAAGTAAATTCCTTGTCGCAGAAAGCATACCCTATACTGAGGGCTGAAATTATTTTCCTGGTTCCATTTTCAGTTGTGTTGATGGTTTTGATTAGACTCAGATCCATGTATCACTCCCCCTGCTTGGTCACGTCCATTTTACCCATGGACGAGTTGCCCGTGGGGGCCCAGCGCGAGGCTCCGAGTCCAGCCCCGCTAGGGCTGGGGCTGGGGCCCACGGGGTTGGAGATAGCGGCAGTGTCAGGCTTCGAGGTTTGGAAGGCTAAAGCGGACGTAGTAATCGACGCTGGCGCCCAGCGAGAAGCCGCAAGTCCAAGGCCACCGGCGAGGGTGGTTGGCGCGCCCTTAGTTGTTGAAACATAGCTCTCCCAAGTGGTACCCTCAAGTGAATGGTGTTGGATGTCGGCTCGTAGCTCGCATTTTGCAGAATTATCCGGATAAGGGTTTGGGATAGCAGCGTGTGGCTCGCGTGCCTGATCATCTGGGCCTTTCTCGCCTTCCTGTTCGTATCATCGATGTTAGTGAGTGTAGGATGTAATTGATAAAGTAAATTGAAAGTATGATGCCATCGCCTTCATCCGATTATAGGTGAGTTGATGGTAACGGATGAAAATCATGAGATGCATAGCTTGCGTTATCAGATTGATGTTTGTATCACTTACCGCTGATATTGCGGGCGACATGGTGGCAGTGCGGAAAGTCATCGCTTTTGCTCGGAGTGGGGTCTGGCAGGAGATCAGATGAAACTGCAGATCAGACGAAAATGCAGAATAGACGAAAAGGTAGGAGAGGAAGCGATGGAAAGAGGGAAGAGGAAAGGAAATCCAGGAGAGGAAGTGAAGGAAAGAGGAAAGAATAAGAAGACCCAGGAAAAGAAAATCTTTAAATCCTCTCTATAGGCATCCATCAATATGATAGTCATTTTCCTGGAAGTGATTAATAGGGCAGCCCTTCTCCATTGTTCAGCTTTTCATTCCCCTGACCTCGGGAAGCTACCTAGGTATAATATACATCATGGGTCTTAATATAATTTTGATTCTGATTGATAAACTCTTCTGACCATCATGTCACAATACGACCGAGCTTCTCTCTTCTGTCTTCTTGAGAGAATAAGAAGTCACAACTAATTCAACTGTTCAAACTGAATGAGTGGTTTTTCGAGATTACGCTTTCATTAGCAACGTGAGAAAAGGAAGATCGAGACAATACCCCCAAAACAAAAGAAAGTGTATGATCAGTAGAGTATATCTTACTAGGTATCATGCTGAAGTTGACCCTCGTACACCAGCAGCACAAGAGCTGCGGATACGCTCCGTGTCACGACTATCAGCTTGGTATCTCTTGCTCGATGGCCTATCACAACTAATACACTCATAATAGGGTGCCATTCAGACGTTGAATTCAGGACACATTTGCGAGAACTTCCATTTTCATTGCTAGCCACTATTGATTATCTCGTGTTGAGTTCCCAAGAAGAACAATTCCGAGGAAACTATATCTCCTCCACGACCTTTGTTGCATCCTCACTGGTCAATTGTTGATCCGATGGGGCCCATCGAGAGGCCTCCAGGCCGGACCCGCAAGGGCGTGGGCTAAGGCCGGCTGCGTGCGATACCAAATGTTACACTTGGAACGTAGATGTGGCTAAAGATGATGTATTGATACTAGCTATGGGGCCGTCATAAGGGTAGTAAGTGCAGAATCGTTGTTACAGATTATTACCCATTGTGTTTCTAAGCAGGCGATAGTTTAGTATAGCTCTGGGAACATAGGTCTGTCCTATATTATAATGATTGCAGTGGTAGTCTAGAACTGTGTGGAGATTTAAGAATGTGGAATGTCGGATATTAGCTGTATTATAGTAGTAGAGGACTATGTCAGTACTGCAGCTGTAGGTATTGGGGGTGGCGCTAGTATTACATCTATGGGAGTTGGGTTCACTATTTGGTCGTTTACTGTTTAGTTGGCTGTAGTAGTATTAGTGAGTTTGGCGTGTTTGGTAGGTTTATTATGGGTATCATCCTAGGATCGCCGGGAACGTGATTTGAGGATAGTGGACTAGGAGAATTATATGTCAAAGGCGCTAAATTGTGTTAATGGTCAGAACGCAGTTGGTATCGTTTCTGTGATGGGGAGATCTCTTAGTGTGTAGATCGAAGGATTGTTATGGTTGTCGGAAGTGGTGTGTGGTGAGTATGTCGACGATATGTTTAGAACCTTGGAATATCCTTGAATAGGACAATGCCAGCGTGATTGTGGGTGTCAATAGTCTAAACGATAGTTCGTATAACTTCATCTGGTAGAAGGCCATACAGGCCAGTATCGGTGTAGTTGCCTCGCTTACTTACGTGGGAGAATTCCTACGTATCAGTAACGTTTTGGGGTTCGATGATTTGCGGAGTGAATGTCCCTAGAGGGGTGTCGAGGCCTTATGCGTCCATAGCATCGTCCGAGGATGTTGCAGGCCTTACGCCCGGACTGGAGATGATCTTGGCTGGGGCCATAACCAGGCCCGCTTGTAGCCAATGTGGCTTGTTGTTGTCATCGTACAACGTTTGCAGTAGCCAACCATCAGTAGTATACCCACCTGCTAAGACGTAGGTGTCGTGGTAAACTGGCAGCCAATTTACATTGTGTGCATGTATGACGCAGGTGGGCGCCCGGGGAACACGGGTGCGTCGTATACGCCCGCGTTTGTCGAAGTCAAAAGCAAGCTGTTCGGCGCGCCAATGGGCCTCCGTCATGGGTAGGGCGAACACGACGCCCAAATCAGTTAGGCGTCGACCCTAGGCATATTTTTCGAAACCGGTCTTGTCGAGGTCCTCCCGTGTGCGGATTGCGCTTGGGTTCGGTGGCGCGCAGACCAGGTGCCAGTCCGCCATTCCTTAGAGACGGGATTCATAGTGGGAACGGTCACACTTGTAGTGTTGAAAGATGGAGCCCACCGCGAAGCAGTTAGACCGCTCATATTTCGAGCACTAGCTGCGTGTAGATCGGTCAGCCCAGGCTCCCCTGGTCGTGATAGTTGATTTGAGAAGCTTCCGGCATTTCGTTTTCGTGCTTTGGCTTGGAGGAATCGAGTGGTAGAAGCTCAGGAACGGCGGCAGGTGGCCTGCCTGCCCGTTCCGATTCCTCCAGCTTCTTGCCTTTCTGCTCGTAGCTGTGGTATCAGTAAGTGTGCCATACGACGTGTAAAGAGAAGAGAAGTGAAGTTAAGATATCAGATCGAATTTTCCCAACGGGGTCAAGGGTGGCAATGAAATCAGATGCAAGTGAGGTTAAGACAGAGGGGTGGGATCAATGAAGGTCAAATTGTAATATTTAATGTTGCGTGGTCCAAGAAGAGAGGGCTGGACCTCGAGACGATCTGATGTTTACGTGTTTGCTTGAGTGGGGGAAGATCGGGAGTATGATAGAGAAGTATGAAGCACTCTCGTATTAATCTAGAAAACTGAATCAAGTCACGTACCACCTCTCGTGCACGCCGTTTGATTGCACGAATAGTCATTTTTGTAGAAATCGTGAAGTTCTCAACTGAGGAATCGCTCATGCAAGATGTAGGAATGGATGGCAGTGAAGCGAGGGAAAAGTTGGAGAGAAGAGCAGAGGGAAGAGCAGAAGGAAGAATTGAGAGAAGAGTAGAGGAATGGAGATGAAAGAGTAAGCGAAAGGAATTGAACTGAAGGAATAACCAGCTCAAGCAAATCAATCTTCTGCAAGAACGTGCAACGACGATGCCGATTGAAATGACTTGGAAATCACGAAATCTGCCGGTGTAAGTGGTAAAATACATCGCCCTTTTCCAATATTACTCTCTCCCTACCAGTTGAAAGAAAAGCTACATACCTAGTATCAAGATAGCTGGTGTGCCATGTGGTGATTGTTATAACGTTAGTATAGGCGTTCATGGAAATCTTAGATGGAAGCAGGTTGTTCAACCAGATAATCTCCCACCCGAAGTAATCTTATATGAATGTTGATAGTCCGAATCTTCAAGGTTACTTAAGTAGGTATGTTTTGTTATATTTTTCCCTCTCATCTTCGTGATCTCTAAGGTGACTTGCATCTCAGCAACATATACATTCAGGTTTATTTTGATCACTTCTCTCTTTATTATGCCTGAGATCACCTTTACATTTGTATACTCCGTACTGATCTCCAAATTGGGCATGTGGAGGACCCCACTGTCCCCGCATCAAATCGGCAGCCCCTGGACACCCTGGAGCCTCGGTCAATTGGTGTCTTCCCACCTAAGACCGGCTTGCACGGGATGATTATCTGGAACTCTTCAACAGATATACATGAATGTCTCCCGCTATCACCTTATCTACCAGCTGAGATCACGATGCTCCGACTATCTCTGACTCCCAGGAATTCGGGGTTTAGAGGTTTTGGGGTAATACAGCGGGATGGAGCAGCCTATCATGGCAGAGAAGCATATCATTCCGGGATGTTCTTGGGGTCAGTCTTGGAGTTGACGTTGGCTGCCAGACATAATTGGTGCGCTACTCCAAGGTTACCTCTAAGCATCTGTGAACGTCGGAGGTGCTTCCCGGGAATTGCACGAGGTTGGACATATCTAAGTAGTAAAACGATGCAAACCATACTTACCCCGCAGATAAAACCCGTTGTTTTTCCACCTTTTGGATTTCACAGCTTCAACAAACTTGACTTTGCAATTGATTATGGAAAGCTGGCGTGACCGAGGCGAGGCCAAGCGCCTGTCGATTCTCAACTCGATACCTGAAAAATGGTGGCTCGTGGATCCGGTCCCTCCAGCCACAGAGTTGCGCGATGTGACTGGGAGCTACATTCAACAATTCCTGACTCCTCGGGAGATCGAAATCACGGAGACCGATGCCGCAGGCATTGCAGCACACACATGCACGGGTGACTGGTCCGCCGTGGAAGTGACGGAGGCCTTTTGCCATCGAGCAGCCCTTGCTCATCAGCTGGTATGTTTGGAACACACAACCCGTAATTGAAGCAGTAATTTCCTCATAGGCCATGGAATCTAACTTCTCCCCAGGTAAGCTGTCTCCACGAGACCTTCTTCGACGCAGCACTCGAAGATGCCAAAGAATACGATGCATACTTTGCAAAGCACAAAGCCCCAATTGGTCCTCTGCACGGCCTCCCAGTCAGTCTGAAAGACCAATTCCACGTTAAAGGCGTCGAAACCACCATGGGCTATGTGGGTTGGATCAACACATTCCAGGGCCAACAGGGTGATCCCCGCTACAAGACCGAAGAAAGCGAGCTCGTGCGCGAGCTACGTGCACTAGGCGCTGTTCTCTACTGCAAGACCAGCGTACCATGTACTCTCATGACTCCCGAGACAATCAACAATATAATCGGGTACACCTGGAACCCCAAGAACAGACACCTCTCCTGTGGTGGTAGTTCAGGGGGCGAAGGCGCCTTGATTGCTCTGCGTGGATCACCCGCTGGCTTTGGGACTGATATCGGTGGCAGTGTACGGATTCCTGCTGGTTTCAATTCCCTGTACGGTCTTCGACCTTCAGCTGGTAGAATCCCTTATGAAAAGGCGGCGAACTCTATGGATGGTCAGAGTACTATTCTCTCGGTGATTGGGCCAATTGCACCAACAGTGAGATCATTGGAGTTGCTGTTCAAAGCAGTCTTGTCTCAAGAGCCGTGGCTTCATGACCCGCTTGCCGTGGAAATGCCGTGGAGGGATGAAGTCGTTGAAACCACCAAGGCGTTGATCGAAGGCGCTAGGAATGGATCTTCAAAGCTGGCGTTCGGTCTAATGAAGTACGATGGGTCAGGACGGATCGATCCCCCAATTGCCCGGGGATTGAAAATTGTCGAGCAGACGCTTCAACAACTCGGTCACACAGTCATCGAGTGGACTCCACCATCGCACGACACGGCCATAGAGTTAGCCGACAAGGCATACCAGCTGGATGGCGGGGTAGACTTGAAGCACCACTTTAGTCTAAGTGGTGAAAGTCAACCAAGTCAAGTGATTGTCCCCGAGAACGGTACAGAGCTCAAAGCATCTGAGATTGCTGCCGTTAATGTGGCCAAGCGCGAGTACCAAAAGCAGTATATGGATTACTGGAACAGCACGTCCACGCTGACGGGTACTGGTCGTCCAGTCGATGCATTCTTCTGTCCATTGGCACCCCACGCGGCTGCGAAACCGATGCAATATGATTATATTGGATACACTCCTTTCGTGAACGTGCTTGACTACACGAGTATGGCGATCCCGGTCACTTTCGCTGATAAAAGAGTCGACGTGCGTCCTGCCGATCACGCTGGTGATTCCGACTACATTCAGTGGGATTGTAAGTTTCCATCGTTGAAAGGTAGAAGTTTTGGGCTCCAGGCTAATCAATTGGGGGTAGATGATGCTGAGATATACGATGGTGCCCCGGTGGCAGTCCAAATGGTAGGCCGGAGGTTCCACGAAGAGAAGATACTGACTTTGGCGGAACATCTGGGAGGAGAGATCGCCCGAGAAGCCTACATTTTTGGAAAGTGATCTTGGACGGCGGCGTTTTGAGAATTCTTGTCAACGTATTCAGCTTTCAGGTAGTTAATAAAAATTGATATGATGTGGTTCTCAATCACAAGCAAAAAAAAGTCAAATGTAATAGCATATAACAGGATATCATCAGGACGCCTTTACAAAATGCAGAGTGTAAAAGTACATTGCACATCCATTAATTTCGAGATGGAGGCGTCTGCCCCGAGGGGGCAGCAAGATTGGAGAGGTGGGGAGTAGAAGATCCCCACGGTTTGCCCACCGTGTGAGGTGGAGGAGGTCCAGACTCCGCAGGATCATCCGACCCATTCATGAGCCGGGGCCGCTTGGCTGGCGGTAGCCCAGTCACCGGGGGCAGGGCGCCAGATGGGCTACGAGGATCTGCATAAGAGTGGGGCGAGGCGTAATGGATAGATGACGCAGGAGTAGATGCAGCACCGACATCTGGGCTCCGAGTTGCCGCGGACTGCAAAGGCCGCAGTCGGTTGGGGTGGGATGTGGTATCTTCCCCTGGGCGTGGCGGCCGAATATCAGGGCTCTGTTGGGGAAGATTGTGATCCGGATCCCCCAGCGGGCTTGGGTTTCCCCCATAGCCAACGCCAATGCGACCCATGCCCTTGTCATGCATGACAACCCGCTTCCATTTCGCGACGACATTGTCGTAATCCCATCGTTGTGAGGTGGGACTCATGTGGCTGTCGTGCGCGTCTAGTTCGCGCGCAACTTGCCGTGGGAGGGGCAGCGTATCAGGTGGGAAGAGAGCAAATTCCCGAGGCCACTGGCATGAGCCAAGACGCTCAACCTGCGCACGAAGCTGGTTCGCTTCCTGCTGTACCCGGGCAAGTTGCTCATCCGAGGACTTGCGCTTTTCGGCTTCCCGTGCGAATGCGCGCATGATTTCAAGTTGCCATGCGTCGCGGCGAGCGTCGTGTGAAAGTGAATTCCAGTGATTGAAGGCCAACTCTAGATGCCGGAGACTGATCTCTTCGTGCTGTTGTGCGCTTCGGTATACCATGCTTGAATCCACCCCGTTGCTTCCGTGCCGGGCATGGTGCGCAGCAGCTGGATCAGCTGAAATTTGATCCGTTTGCCATTGTGCGACTTGGGACCGTAGCGCTTGTCGGACGGTATCAACATATTCGGCGCCCGGTGGTTGGAGTGGGAACGAAGACGATGAGGGGAAGGGATTTGTTGCGAATAAGGTCGGCGGGGGAGGAAGCAGTTGCAAGCACAAGGACGGGAAGGTCTGCGATTGGATGTCGAAGTCGAATGGGGACAACCGTGGTCGGGAACGTACACTAGTGTTCAATTAGCAGGGGTCATAATCAAAGATGAGACTGATCCAACGCACGTTGCCGCTTTAATGTTGTCGAGCACTTCGCGCAAGGCCAGCTCCAGTGCTCGCATGGTATCCGGATTGCTGGCACTTGCCCCTCGACTCGCATAATCTGGCAGCTGAAGTGAGGCATTGCGAGACTGTGAAGGGGCGATGCGTGGCCCATCCGGTACGCGGTTGGGGTTCGGGATGTCATTGATCACCCCAGTCGCATGCCATGTGGGTGTGTTGAACATCATGCGCACCGGGGTGTCGCGCGACTTTGAGCTGGAGTCGACAGCAATAGACGGGTCTACGGACCCCTTCTTCTGGCTTCGCTCAGGACTCGCGTCCGTCTTCCCCGCAGATGTCCTGGCCTGCCGCCTCGTGATTCCACTCCGAAGTCGCCGGATCTCCTCCACATCGTGAACGCCGTCCGGTTTCTTTTTGAACAGGAATTGATCGAGGTGGCGGCCCAAGGATGACGAGGTGAATGCCTGCTGGCAGTACTGGCATTTGCGATCCTTGGCGGCGAGGTTGGCCTTCGAGCCAGGGTCGTCGGCAGTCGAGCCCTCAGGTGTGCCTCGAGTGGATTCCTCCTTCATTTTGGGAAGAAAACAAGACGCGACACAAGAGTGATTAGACTAGAGCATAGCAAAGAATGCGCAACCCTTGAGATGTATGGTCTCCACGGAGCAAATGGGGTTGGAAGGTTTGCGGGAATGCCAAGACATGTCAAGGCACGAGTTCTTCCGAGCAACGTCCTATCAGTACTAGTACAACCTCCCGAGGTCGACCTCCCAGTGCAATGGAAGGTAATAAGCCATTCAATCAGTTGTAGACACAAGTGTTCTGGATTATCTGAGCACCGTGAGCACTCGTATTCTTCCCTGCTGAACGAGAAGCACCATGGCTACACATGACCAGAACATGATGCCTCTCCTGGATATTTCAATGTGAGTGTGTAACTATTTCAATCCATGGATGCTACTATGTAATACTAGCCAAGGCGTCTGCAGTGTAACAACCTTGGAACGTGAAGATATATTTGCACATGTGGATGTCCAACTTGAAACATACCTACTAGGTACCTGAGCAGCTCTGCAAGAATGGATGTGCAGGTACATCCATGCATTGGACCAACCTTAGAAACTGCATGGCAACCTCTTTGCCTGGGTTACTCCCAGGTACCTAGTTATAGTTACCTACTAGGTAGTGGGTACCTAGGTAGGCATTGAGTCTCAGCATGATGGAATTCTCGACTGGCGATTGGAGTCCCATTCAATGCCTCGAGACCTCGGGAGTGCAGGGATGCATGAAACCTGGAACTCGTCAACTTATCTCACAGGAAGTATCGGAGCTGTGTAGACCTTGGGATCTCCCCAAACATACCTAGGTAATATTGCGCACATTCCTAACATGTCAATAGACCTGCATCAAATGCGTCAAATACCACATGCACACAGGCCATGCCACGCCGGGGGCTTATATGAAACCCCTCTGTGTGAGCACACCGGTGAGATATTTGCACAATTATGATACTGTGTAAGCTTGTGCATGCACGACGGCCAGTGACCTCTGATATCTGCCAAACTGTATATTGAACAACATCCCAATCACCAAAGCTCAAGGCCTCGAAAATGAGTGTTGGTAGAAGACACTTCTGGCGTCTGCGAGACGACGGTGCTTTCAGGTCATGCTCCTTTTTCGGCTATTCGTCGTCGTCAGCATCAGTCATGTTGCTCTCTTGGCACAGAGAGTGGTTTTTCTTATGTTTGGGGCACAACTCAGAGGAGGGTTGGAGGTCTTTGTGCCGCCTGGAGTCACGATTACCGTCTCTTAGCCACATAGGTACCACTTGACTTTCTGCTCAAGGCATCCGTGGACAAAAGCCTTGCTGACGACGGCCTTCTCCGCTGATACCCTTGGTCAGCTATGGTCCCTGGGCTATTGTTGGCGGGATATCTGTCATCTCCTTCCTAGTCAGCAAGGATAGCAGCCCCGGAGAACCAAATGGTACCCTATATATGATCAGATTTCCCCAGGTGAGGATTGTATTGTAATGTGTGCGACTGCATCTCAACTCATTATATTGGTGATGCTCCTCGAAAATGCAACTCAAAGCAATCGGGTTGTTCCCGGCAAGGAACGACGAGGGGAGAATGAAAAGGTTTAAGGGAATTCAGATTGAAGAGCCATGGAAACGGCCTCGGGGGTGAGACTACCTATTAAGAGAACTGCGGAGGGCGGGAGCCACCACCGTAGACGGTAGCTCTCGAGAGGTCGTAACTGTGCGCAACCAGCACTTAGGTAGACACTTGGGTCCGTGTCATCTCACCCTGTGCGGCTAGTAATCTACATGGCCAAAGTGTAGATCTATGGATGCCGGTAGTGCTGTCTTTACGCAGTCTCCTTTCCAACCTTAGAGCCTACCATCTGTCTAACGTTCAGGTTGATTCTCTTCTGGGACATCCACCCCTTCCACATTTCATACGGAGAGGGCGGCATCCCGGGAACCGACTCCCCAGACAAAGGCCAGTCAGCCAGCCACGCCGGACATGTCGAGGGCAGGATTTTGGGAACCCCATGCCAGGCGAAGCGCGACGGACCGTTCATGTACACCGTGTCGCCTGACCGAAGCCGGATGATCTCGCACCCGTTCCCATCATCATGGCTGACCAAGAACAACCCGTCACACCCAAAGCTCACACTGATCAGACCAACGTCGCAGTCTTCGCTCACGTCACGGTGCACACTCAGCGTATCGCCTGCCGAGTATAGGTTCAAAATGGCAGCCTCCGCGGTAGTTTCGGGGAACGCCGCATGAAGAAGTTTGGCAATGTCCGGCGGGAATTCGGGGGGAGGCCCTGACGGGTATTCTTTCGCTGTCCAGTCGTATTGCCCTCCTAGCGTCACCCAGCGTAGTTTCTTCTCCAAGAGATTCTGGACGGATACCGGTTTATGCACCTCGGGATCCTTGGGTTCAAAGGTTCGGGTGGGATCATCTTCAAAAAACGACTTCGGCTGCTGTGTGTCTTCTGCTTCTTCGGGGTATGTTACGTCGTAATGTAAGTGTAGATTTGTCTGATGCTCGGGGCGGGGCAGGTCTCGGTGGAACAGGCGTGACAGTAATTCAACTTGGACAGTAGGCGGGAACAATGCAGGTATCATCAGAAGGCCTGGCAGTGGGTCAGGAACAGCTTGCCCTGTGGGGGTCAGTTCTAACTCGGGCAATATAACTGCTAACCGGATATTGAGTTGTGAGCATAGACCGGGATATCTTCGGCAAGGGGGGCATGCTCGTCCGCCGTGGAATGCCCCCCACGAATGAAATCGTCAAATGCTAGCCGCAAGTCTTGGCTTGACATGGACTGCGAAATCGTCACTCCGTGTGGTAATTGGTCACGGTCGAGCCGTTGCAGGTCGAGGATGCCTGCGTCATCGTCAACTTCCGACAAGGCAATTTTGGAATATTCCTTGTAGCGAAGTCGGACAGCATCAGGAGGGCGGTCATACGCGCTTAATCCTTTGATTTGAGCCATAGCCGTTGAGAGTAGTAGTCGGTAGCTCGTCCGTCGCGGACCACAAATGATACCTGGCTCACCGCCCAGCGCGGACGCGGGGTGTTTGTTGACAAAAGAGAGTAATTTCTGTCCCCACCATCCAGTCTTTTCGCCGTCTTTTTTGAAGTCTCGTTCTTCGTTTACTGGAGCGGATTTGGAATCTCATTGGTCAAGGTGTGTTCAGAGATCTATATTGCAGTGAGTGGTCTTCTACGTCTCCTTGAATTCCACATACAAAATCTTCTTGGCAACCATTCTTTCGATCTTCATGCCCACTCAAGATTTGCTCTCTTTCTAATCTGATCTATATCAGGATTCGGATACCAGTCACAATGGATAACTACCAGAAAATTGAGAAGATCGGTGAAGGTATGTGGTCTTGTGACGTTTGTTTACTTGTGTGCTCCGCGGCCCAACTAACGCGCCAATCCTTATCAGGTACATACGGTGTGGTCTACAAGGCCAAGGAGCTCACCCACCCCAACCGAATCGTTGCCTTGAAGAAAATCCGTCTGGAGGCCGAAGATGAAGGCGTCCCCAGTACCGCCATTCGCGAGATCTCGCTCCTAAAAGAAATGCAGGACCCCAACATTGTCCAATTGCTGAACATTGTCCACGCCGACGGTCACAAACTCTACCTCGTCTTTGAGTTCCTCGATCTCGATCTAAAAAAATACATGGAGGCTCTGCCTGTCAGTGATGGTGGACGAGGCAAACCTTTGCCCGATGGTTTCAAGGCCGGTGCTACCCTCGGCCTGGGTGATGCCATGGTCAAGAAGTTTATGGCTCAGCTGGTTGAAGGCATCCGCTACTGCCATAGCCACCGAATTCTGCACCGTGATCTGAAGCCTCAGAACCTTCTGATTGACCGTGAGGGCAACCTTAAATTGGCCGATTTCGGTCTGGCTAGAGCATTCGGTGTTCCCCTTCGTACATACACGCATGAGGTACGTATCGAAGATCTGACGCCAAGGATCCCGCTAATCTATATGCAGGTTGTGACTTTGTGGTACCGGTCCCCGGAAATTCTCCTGGGTGGGCGTCAGTATTCTACTGGTGTTGATATGTGGTCCGTGGGTGCTATTTTCGCTGAAATGTGCACTCGCAAGCCTTTGTTCCCTGGTGACTCTGAAATCGACGAGATTTTCAAGATCTTCCGGTACGTGCGGTAACGATTAAATCCAACACCCTTGTCCTAACACGTTCATAGCATCCTTGGCACCCCCGATGAAGAGACTTGGCCTGGTGTGACCTCATTCCCCGACTACAAGGCGACTTTCCCCAAGTGGAAGCGCCCCAACGTGGAGATTGTTCCTGGACTGGAAGACGCAGGATGTCAGCTCTTGGAATCACTCCTCGAGTATGACCCTGCACACCGACTCTCCGCCAAGCAAGCCTGTTCTCACCCGTATTTCCGCAACGGCAGCGCATACTACTCCGGCCGTGCTCCCAGCAACGGATACCACTGAAATGACCCTTGGACCGGCGTACATTTTTCTGTGTAATCTTATTCACTGGGAATTACTTTGGGACTTTTTTGCTTGTCTGTACGGCGTTCAACGGGGAGTGACACGGAGGGTGGGCTTACTGGATACGAAGTGCTTTAGTCATGAATAACAGGCGTACATACCCCTTTCTAGCTTCTGCTAGGTGTATATGTATCATGAAGACGATGTGACAGTGTCTTTCAGCCTCAGCCCACAATGATAATGAAACTTATGAATCGCCGATGAAACCCAAGCCTGATGTCAGAGCTGAGCTGCGCCCCACAAACCCTATGATATTAAGATTTCCTGATACATTTCCTTGATTTGACGTTCGGCATTTGCTTACCTGCTTATTCTATTCTCGGTCTAGGAATACGGCGCGGCTGCAGAAAGCAGATGGGGGCCGTTGAAGGGGGCTGACGAGCGGGTTAGTTGGGGGCCAGAAGCGCTCTTTGCACTGGGCGTCCTGATTTGTCCATTCCAGGGCTAGTTCAATGCACTCTGCAGCCTTAAACCGAACGCCCTTATGGAGAGAAACACGAAAACCAATCAGCGCAGAATGCTGACAGCTGAGGCTATGTTTTCGGCTCGGCGTGGCCGTGTAGAAAGAGGGGGAAATTGGGGACTGGCTCTGAACTTCTTATAAAGTCACGATCCCCATCTTCTGTTCTATTTTGAACGGCGATCGTCGACTTTGACCTGGCTAGTGTGATCCCAGGGAGAATAGCCGCCCAACTAGCCCCCACCACCGCACTTTTTCAAAAGACATAAAGCGCGAGACAACGCTCCCTTCGAAAGGTGAGCCAAACCTTCAGCCATGGAGTTCGACGACGAGATGGGCTATGCTGTAGCTGGACCCGGTTCATCGCGGTCCAACAGCCGACCACCAAACCGGGCACGCAACCAACCTCCCCAGGAGGCTGTCAAGCAGTTCTGGGAGCAGTTCAATACCAAGCATCCAGGCAAGGTATACACAGTGTTGCCGGATAACCCGTACGCACGGACGCGGGCCAAGCGTGTGCCCAACGGTCCTATTCACGGACACGAGGCCGCTAAGTCCTATGAGCAGGCCCGGCGAGAATGTATGAAATCAGTTGATCGCATCGTGAAAGAGTGCGAGCGTGTGAACCAGAAATACACCGACCCGCATTTTGATATCGAACTAGACTTGAAATCGGGTCGCAGACACTATCTCGATGGGTTGGATAAGCCGAACTCGGAGATGAGACCTCGCGGCGTCAAGCGGGTTACGGTCAGTTCGTTCCGGTCGATTTGACTCAATTCGGTTTTGAACATGGGCTGATGTCTTGTAGGAGATCTTTGAGAAGCCACAGTTCTTCGTCAACGGACCGACAGCGTCGGACGTGCGACAGGGGTATGATGGCGATTGCTGGCTTATGGCTGCATTGTGTACCATGGGCAACAAGATCGGCTTGATAGAGAAGATCTGTGTTTCCCGATATGAAGAAATTGGAATTTATGGCTTTGTGTTCCACCGGGGTGAGTGACATTGTCGATTCCACAAGGGCCAATATTGACGATTGCAATCAGACGGCGAGTGGCAGCAGTGCATCGTGGATGATAAGTTATACCTCCGCGCTGCGGACTATGATGAATCAGTAGACGAGCGACCACTCTGGGACGATATCAATCGGACCGATACGGAAGAAGAGTACCGACGAGTTTGGCAAACAGGCTCGCGGGCACTGTACTTCGCGCAGTGCGTTGATGATAACGAAACTTGGCTTCCTCTCCTAGAAAAGGCATTTGCAAAGGCGCATGGTGATTATTCCGCTATTGAGGGCGGCTTTGTTGGTGAGGCTCTTGAAGATCTCACTGGCGGCGTTACCTCGGAGGTTTTGTCCAGCAACATTCTGAACAAGGATCGCTTCTGGACCGAGGAGCTCATGAAAGTTAACAAAGAGTTCCTCTTCGGCTGTGGTACTGGTTTGTTTTCCAATTGGTTGGACCCTCAGTATCGAGGACCCCCAAGAGATCGCAAGGGTATCTCGGAGCAGCATTCCTACTCTATCATGGAAGCTCGAGAGGAAGATGGACATCGACTCCTGAGGCTCAGGTAAGACAATCCATTGTCAAAGTATGAGGATGAGATACTAACTCATGTCAGAAATCCATGGGGTCGCAAAGAATGGCATGGTGCTTGGGGCGATGGATCAAAGGAGTGGACACCCGAGTGGATGGAGCGTCTTGGCCATAAATTCGGCAATGATGGCGTGAGTTTCATATTTTCTCAAGCAACCTGAGCAGTAAACTGATATTTTCCAGTTCTTTTGGATCAACTACAAAGATCTTCTTCGAAAATACCAGCATTTTGATCGAACCCGCCTCTTTGGACCTGAATGGAGTATCGCGCAGCAATGGACCACACTGAATGTTCCATGGTCTGCCGATTACCACAGTACCAAGTTCATGATGGATGTCACTACCAGCGGCCCGGTAGTTATTGTTTTGTCACAGGTTCGTCTTGCAAATATCAACTTCCTTGGTATTCTTGAATGGCTCTGACAAATACTGAAAACTACAGCTTGATGCACGTTACTTCAAAGGTCTGGCGGGTGAATACAGCTTCGTGCTGAAGTTCCGCCTGCAGAAAGAGGGCGAAGAAGATTATCTAGTGCGCAGCCACAGCAGTCACTTCATGGGTCGATCAGTAAATGCCGAAATCAACCTCGAGCCTGGTCACTACCATGTCCTCATGAAGATCACCGCTTTCCGGCACGAGGACGTACAGTCCACCGAGGAGATTGTCCGTCAAGTCGCATCCACGAGAAGAGAAAAGCTCGTGCAGGTCGGGTTGTCGTACGACCTCGCACACGCCAAGGGCCAGGTCGGGGAGACAGATCAAGAGAAACGTGAATCCGAGATCCTCAAAAGAGCAGAGCGGAAGAAACTGCGGGACGAGACCAAAAAGAGTATGCAGAAAGAGTGGATTCGGCGCCAGAAATTGTCTGCCCGACAGGAGCGCAGGGCAGCCTGTCGCCAGAACGGTCCACCACGCGGCCCAAGCAGTGGCTCGTTTGACCATGACTCCACCCGTGGTGGTGTGCCTGGGCAGATTATCGCGGAGAAGCCGGTCCAGGACTCTCCCGTTGACGAGGGGAGTGTATCAAGCGACAACAGCGACCGTCGGATGCCGAACACTCCTAGCTCTGTTCCAACCATCCAGTTCAACAATGGGGGTGGACTACACGCAAGACATGCGAGCCATGGCTGGAGACGTGGTGCCGAGTCTCCGCGCCCCAGCCTTGATGCCCGTCTTTCCACTGATGTGCTTGATCCAAGCGACATGGAATTGTTGGAAGGGTTTGAGTTCGACAGCGATGTTGATATGCCTCCGGAAGTATCTGACATTCAAATTCAACCTCCTGGTGATCATGAGGAAGAGCTCTCGGTTGACCCGTGGAATGCAGTTTGTGTGGTTGGACTACGGGTTTACTCCAAAGACCCAAGCTTGAGTCTCCAGGTTGTGCGCCCAGTGCTGGACGAAAGCCAAGAAGCTGCTCTTGATAGGGATGATCCTGCAGCGTCGGCTACCGCTCATCAAAGAGATTCATACTCGTGGAAGGATTCGTGGAGTAGCCAGCTGCCATTCTAAATTCCGTCATACTGGGACCTGTGAAGACTCGTTTTTTTAAGCATTGATACATTCGGCGTATTGGATCCCTATTTTGCATTGAATCTCATGAGGCGACACATGTAGTGAAACATAAAAATTATTCCGGGTTGTATATTTTGAATCGGGTTGTCCTGTCAAATTTAACTTTGGATATCCAAAAAAGTAAATTAGAGATGAAAGTATCTATAGAGACATGTTCCGAGGTCATTTCCAAGTTACACCTGCGCCAGCATCTGAACCATAATCGCCGACCTCCACTCGGAATCACATCTGATGCCCAGCTGCGAGTTGGTGGGATATCCGTGATCGCTGATCAACAACCTGTTTTCTAAGGCACCCAACACGGATAACCTCGCGGGAAACAAGGCGTGCTTCAGCATTGGAAGAAAGCCCCATCAGAACTCACAAATCGCAAAGTACAGGCACTAATGGTGCTATGCGAGCTATTATCTGCTCTACCCGCGGCATAGTCCCCCTTGTCCGCCGCAGCCCATCAATTTACCTTGTCATCGCGTGTTTCCAGCGCGCGACTCACTCCACATATTCATCACACTCCAAGTGCACTGATGAGAACATTGCTCTCCCCGTCGGAAACAATGGGTCTATATCGCTACGGTAAATTCTGGACTTTTTTCTGCCCGAGTTCCAAGGTTTTGAGCTGTACTGACTGATCAAGAATTACACGCCCAGGCGCGTTGAACGAAGCCAACCAGGGACTTTCCGAGAGGCCAAATGTAATCATCTATCTTCCACCTGGGCCTTTGTTTCACGAAGTTGATTCAAATAACGGACAAGGGGGTGAGTCCCTGTCGTCCCTCGATCCAGGACAGGGAATTGGACATGCTGTTCCCCTAACCCCCGCGGGAGCATCTCCCCAGCACATTCTAGCATCTACCACTTCTGCCGTGGTAGTCACGATCAACTATCGCTTAGGGGAGGTCCAGAAACGGAGGCGACTGTCTGGAGATGCAACCACGAGCCCTGAAGAGCGAAATGAGGCCCCAGACCAAGCTATAGTCCCACGAAACTCTCGGCCACAATCTTACCAATACCCAACCCCAGTACACGACACTCTAGCTGGGTTTGACTGGATCTACGAAAATCTCAAACCATCTCAATTAGGTGTCTTTGGCAGACACGTTGGGGGCTCACTAGCTCTCATGCTAGCACTGACTGAAGCCCGATCCATCAAAGCTGTGGCCACCCTCGACCCCGTCTGTGACTGGCCTATCCTGGACGAATACTGCACCCGAGAGAGCGCCAACACAAAAGCCAACGAAAAAGACGGAAATACATCCATTATCTCAAAACCAAAGCGGCAAAGAAGGAAGGCCGCACCTAGCGACCTAGTCCAGCTCCTCGAAGCACGATCTCGCTTCTTCTCAACACCTGAACGCTGTTTCGACTCATTTGCCTCTCCAGTTCTATTTCTCCGCTCTGCCGGCCGAGATGTGCCACGCGTCTTCCCTCGATACCTGACAGGCCCCGATTATCCGGTCCCAGTGCTCCGGGAAACGGGACAGATGTCAAATGATGACCTTGGCGATTCCATCTGGGATCTACATGAATACCCGGATGCGGACGGTGATGAGGTAGATGAGGTGGCGGTGACGACTACACGTCGCAGGAAGGCGCTTTCTCGATGGCCGCCTCATGGATTGGACTATGGACTTAGTGGAGACTCTCGGTCTGGGCCTGATGCTGGAGTCGGACGGCTGGAGGTGACGCTACCATGGGTGAGGGTGGTGTCGACAACGCCGGTGAATGGACCTAAAGAGGACGGTGGTGGCTCTAGCACTACTGTTCTTGCTAGACAGGCTGATGAAATGGTCTCTGTTATGCGACGAGCTTGCTTCTGGGGTCGGGAGAAGGGGTTCGCTGAGCGGAAGGTTACTTTGTCTAAGGTTGATGATATTGACAATTTTGAGGTGGGAGCTTGGTTTGACGAGGCCTTCCAGGGGGTGATGGACGATTCGGATTAGCATCATCACTTTGTTTTGGATGTAATCTTAGCAACTTCCAACGTGTGTACTCCCTACCTTGTTCGTGCAGGTACCTAATCATAGACAAACGCGGATATTGGCAGGTCGACGATGTTCTCATGAATTTCGGGACCAGATACTTCAGCTGCTATTGCGCAAAAGGGCTCCTGGGCTTCAGGAGGGGTGAATCCTACATTGATACTGAAATCAATCATTCTGATCTCGAGAGGTTTGCGCACTTGGGCACCCCCATGCAACTTCCAAGGTTTGTGTCTCCAGGGCTGTACCCGGTAATACATTTTGCCCATGTTGATCTTGATTAAGTATTTCCAAATAATTCCCGGTTAAAAGCGTGGACAAGAAGCCAATATTAAATCGAAATATATATGTCTATTCTATCCACGCGCCAAAGCTCCCAAGGTCCGACTTTTACAAAGAGCCCCCCATGCCCGGGGCATCGTTGGGCGAATCCCACCACGAATCAATATCTCCCAAATCAGCAAGCATCTTAGGGTCCTCCGGGAAAGGTGGAGAAGGTATTTGCCCCATCCCATTCACAGGAGGGGCATGTTGAGGCTCGGATAGAAGGTTTATGTCCGTGTTGTGGACCCAATCAAGAGAATCCAGCTGTGAGGCTGTGACAGGGAAAGGCTGTTGTTGGTAAGGGGTTTGTTGTTGCTGGTACTGTGACAGAGGAGGCTGTGCAAGATGAGATCGGGTCGCAGACTGTTCACCAGTAGAAGATAAGTGAGGTGGGATATCAGACACAGACAGTCGAGACTTTTTCCGGGAAGGATCTATCCCCTGTGAGTTGACTGCACGACCATGCTGAACAGAAGGTTGCTGCGACATAGAGGTCGAGTTAGAACCGTTGATTTGGCGTTTTGACGCGCCCGAACGTCTCATGTGTGCCTGCCAGCGTCGCTGGAGTGTGACTAGATAGTCGCGGGTGCGCTTGGCATTCTCGAATGATTGTCCTAGTTCGTCGAGCGCGCGGAAGCAAAGATTGAGGTATGCTACCATCTCTGCGCTGCGGGGGTAAGTTGGGCTGTCGCCCTGTTTTCCGGGACTCATTGGGGAGCCTGAGACGGTGACGAAAAGTAGCATGAGGGCGGCGCTGAAGATGATTGCTACTACTTGGTTGTTCATACGACGGAAGGTGTAGTGTTTTTCGTAGAGGTGGAGCAGGCGTGCGACGGCGGTGGCTGATTCCACACACATGCGTCGCGCGTGGTGATATCCGGGACCTTGGCGAGGGGCCCGGGGTTGGATGTAGCTCTTGGAGAGCCATGGGCGATGGAAGAAAATTATAATTTGGTGGTATTGCATACTGCATCGTTGTTAAATTTGGCCCTTGGTTCTCTCGCATTGGGTATACTCACTGTAACATCATCAAGTGTGGCAGTATGGGAGTCGTCTCATCATCTAGGTTAATTTGAAGGCTTGATGGGAGATTGGCCTTCCAGGCAAAGAGATCTTGGGTCACTTGATATGTGATTCTTTGCAGGTCGTGCCGAGAAATATCAGAGCATCCATACCTAAGATGACATGTTAGTATAGGATATTGACCGTGAATTGAAGAAGACATACAGAATGTGACCAACGGGAGAAATCATCTCCCATAGAACGACGAATTGCCTGCAAATAAGCTCAATTGGATTCTTGAGTCCATTTTGAAGAAGGCTTTGGGACGCTTGATGACCATAGGGATGCCAATTTTCCTCTTTCTCGGGTCCAAGAGAGGAAGCAGGCTTCGGAACACTGACATCACCAGCGTTCATTCTGAAAGGACGCCCCAAATAGAAGCCCCAGAAGCTGAATTGGTCAGTCGTAGTTCCACTCTAGAATGATTGAGACTTACTGATCTGCAACATAACTTCCCCAAAATGCCGCGCGACGCACGTCAGCCTCAGCCTGAGTTATATCGCCTCTATTGACGTATGTTGTCATATCCAAATGCAATCCAAGATCAAAGGCAAGTCGCATCGACATTCCTGGCAGAAGATTAGACAATGGCTCATAACCGTTCCGCAAAAGAGGTTCTTACCGCTGTACAACCAGCCTCGCGCATCGCGGTTTGATGCGCCTTCGTGGCAACTCATGATCACTAGGGCCTGGACAGTAGCCACACAGGGCGAGTCAAGTTCGATCTCGAGAAGCGCCTTGGCGCGGTCTGCGAAGAACTCCGCAAGAGACTTGGGGAATGTAATGAAGGTGGGGTGATAGCGTGCTTCGAAAGCACTTCCAATGGCACACCTTGGAGAAGTCAGCAACAAAATCGGGTTTCCGTACATTGAGAGGAATATAGACTGACATTGCGTTGGTTAGAACCTCGGAGTAGAAGGCAGTGTCATCGAATTCATTGCGCCATTTAGATCTTGCCGTCATGAACATCTCCTTGTCAACGATGTATGTACTTGGGTTTTGCCAGGTGAAATACAGCTCCACAAGGTGATCCTCGAGCGCTTGATCCACTGGCTGACCCACGCGGAGATGGTTCAAAATATCCTGACCATCGTGTCGTACCGTTCGCGCATCCGGCCGCTGTCGCTGCTGTGTTGCGGAGACATCTACCAGATTGAGATTGGAAGTTGCACCATAGAATCGCAGATGGCCATCACCCGCAATCTTCAACGTGCCGATTCGGTGGGACAATTGCTCGATCACGTCGTTCTCAGCCTCATCTTCTTCTCCACTGTCTGAATCATGCTCTACTCCATTAGGCAGCCCGCCCATCAACATACCAGACTGGGGCGCCGCATCCATCCCCAGTTGGTAGCTGTCTGGGCTCAGATCCGAGTTCACCGGTAGGCCAGCCATCGTGGGTGCCCCAGGGCCACCAGGGCCGCCATTCAGATTTGCGTAGATAGTGTCCAGACTTTCCGCCGTCGGCAGAGTGAAGCCCCAATGAACAAAGTTCTGATTTTCGGTCGCCCCTCGGACCATTCCAAAAGGATTCCAGCCATCTGGCGAAGGGAAGTGCCCGCTAGAGGCAGTATCCTGACCGGGAGAGGCGCCCGAAGCAATCACGTCGGTCGCTGGGACCGGCCCTTTGGGGCTAATGACAGCCGGACTCTGGGAAGGCGATTGACCTTGCGCAACAGGCGCTGTGGGTTCAGCCGATTGCTGCTTTTCCTCCACGCTGGCCGTGCGCTTAGGGAACCCACGCGGGATCTGGAGGGTGTCCAGGACCCTGTTCATCCCAGCTTCATCCTCTGGCTTCATGCATGGGGGCTCTAGCCCCTGATCTCTAATGAAGTGACAAAGCTGGTCGATCCTGGCCGAGAACAACTCAGTGGCTGCCCGGAGCGACACTCTGGTCATAAGGTTAGCTGTGAATCATGAATGCGCGACCACGGTGTCGCCTCGCCACCCATTCTCACTCCCCCCACAAAAGGAACACTGACTTGCGCTTATCGTCGCCATGCTGATATTTGCATTCTTTGCCTTTCCGCTGGCAATTCTGGCAATTCGGAGTAGCTCCGTCGCACTAGTGAGCCACGTTAGAGTTCTCCAAATTCGCAAAATTTCGACGGGTCACACTGTACACACCCTGATCTTGCTTTCTCGACAGGGTACACAGGCGGTGGTAACGTGCTTTCGCGGCGCCTTTTTCGTTTTCTCGTCAGGTGACATGGCGAATTACGACGATGGAACCCCGCAATTGCGCTAATGGAAGAAACTAATTCATCACTACCCCAAGCATCCAGGAGAGAGAGAAGAGAGAAATGAGACAGGCGATGAGAATGTTCTGCGGGGAGAAGGAGAGGGTCCACAGCGGCGACCTATGAAAAAGGTGGGGGATAAGCAAAACTCGGGTCAAGTGATTGCGGAGTCTATCGATACAAGTGTACACCTGGGCATTCATTGGTAACTCTACTCTACCAGTTCGACGACCGCTTGATCTTCTCGTTCTGTACAACCTCAATCCAATATCCATCCGGGTCCAGAACAAACGCAATGTTGTGCATCCGCCCGTCGGTCAGGCGCTTCTTGAAGTTCACCTTGAGGGACTCGAACCGGGCGCACGCAGCCTCAAGGTCGTCGGTGGAGATACCTGGGAGGCTCGGTTAGAATACAGGAACAACGGGGGCGCGGGGTGGGCACTTACAGATGTGACCGAAGCCTTGGGGCTCGGCGTTGCCGTTGTGGTAGACGGGTCCCTCTTGCTTCTCGGTGCCATAGTTCCAAGTCAACTCCAGCAAGCCTTCCCACTCGGCCACGCTGTTGTGGGCACCTTCCTTGATCTCGGGGTTCGAGCCGGGGTAGCCCAGGAAGTACAAGTTGAACTGGTTGTCCGGGTTCTCAATGGTCCGAACGAGAGTCATACCCATGGACTCCTGGTAGAACTTCAAGCTGGCCTCGGCGTCCTTGACGCGCAGCATGGTGTGGTTGAAGCGGTAGCTGCCAGGGTCGGTGGTGGTGCCCACGTCGGCGTCGGCGCGGCGGATAATCTCAACCCAGTATCCATCGGGATCCTTGGCGAAGGCGATGTGGCGCATACGACCTTCAGTCAGCTTCTTCTGGAAAGGGTATCCGGCATCCTCGATGCGCTTGCATGCCGCCTCAATGTTGTCGACTGAGATAGCGATGTGACCGAAGCCGCGGTGCGGCTCGGTGTTGCCGTTCACCACGCTGTAGTTCGGGTCATTCTCGGTGCCGTAGTTATGCGTGAGTTCCAAAACAGCGTTGCGATCGGTCCAGTGTCGATCACCCTGCAAGGAGGCCGGGCCATCATAGGCCAGGAAGTAGTTGCAGAACTTCCATTCGGGCATGTCAATTGTGTTGACCAAGCTGAGGCCAAGGAACTTGTAGAACTCCACCGAGCGCTTTGGGTCCTTGACCCGCATCATCGTGTCTGCCCATGTCAGTTTGGGGGAATTTCGAGGTCGCGGTGCGTGTGGACTAACGGTTGAGCTTATAAGTGGAGGTATCGGTCGCCATGGTTGCTAAGGATCCTTGACAGGGGTTAGTGATTGGCCATTGCAGATTGGCAGAGACATACTGATTGGTACAAAGAATCTTTGCTTGAGGACCCCAGTGGACAGACGTGCAAACATTGAAGGTGGCGTGTTATGGAGGGGAAAAAGAGCTTTTGTCAGCCGTGAGGAGAGGGTGGGGCCTATGACGGAGATTCATCGCGTTGATCTTGAAGTTGGACTGCATTGGAATCTGATTGAATCTGACTGAATCTGATTGAATGACTGGATCTGACTGGATCTTGAGATCTCTTTCAGGTATACACCAGTGTCATCGCTATTCGCATGGGCATTCGTTTCAGCCTAGCAGTGCCCCCGGAGCGTACGAGTCCGAGTAGAATGTAGGAACTAACCACACATAATCTGTGATCAGTTTGGGTATCGACTTCATGTGCAGGAAAATGCAGGAATTGTCTGACAGGGAAGTGCGATCAGAATCCTCTCAAGGTGACGGAGATCAACCTCCTTCTCCGCAAAGATCAACGGATCACCTTATCGTCGGGCATCTTCACACCTCACCTCCGCAACACCTCACACCTCCTTTCTCGATCGAAACCCTCCAATCTCATCCTCTCAAGGTTCGTGACCACCCTCTTGCTGTGCATCTCCTCCACACTCCTGTCCCCGCCCCTCGGTTGATCCCCTCTCTACGATTGGCTTCTGTCGCTCCCCCGGCGTCGTGTCGCATGCTCGGAACGGTCTTTGGCCTCTTTTCCCTCTGACTTGGAACTTTGTTATGCTGCCGCGCTTAGCACTCGGCTGCCAATCACTTCCCCCCGCCAATGAGATCTCTGCCAATGTACACGTCTCCCCTACGCTACTGCCCGCCAGTGCGGAGCCTCCCACATCTCATGATCCCGGTCCAAGGGCCTCATAAAGCGACTATCACCGATGGTACCACCCGGCCAGGTTTAAAATCATCTTGACTTGCCATTTGGGCCGGGAAGTCCATACGCGCATTGAGTCAACGGTTCCGAACCGCTTCGTGCTTCCCCTCCCCTGTCATATGCGTAAATCTCCGATATGAGATCGCGCCCTCCTGCCCTCGTGTTCTCTGTCCATTGATATTCTGTCGCTGCGGAGGGCACATCGAACCAAAATTCATCTCTGCACACAAGAGTTCTATCCATGGGGTTGAAGATGGCTGAATGCGAACCTCCAGTCTTAGACTACTCCTCCTCGGTATCCGAAACCTCCTCGACAACCCTCTCCACCTCCTTTACCTCCCAAGACACCCTCGAGCCGGCATTCCTACCATATTGGGCCCGATACGAGACAAAGTACGCCCAGAACCTGCTAGACTACTCCGACGAGCCGATCGAATACGACCACGACGACGAAGACTATCGCGACAACTGCTTCTTCTTCCCAGAAGACTGCTCCTGGACACCCCCGAAAGAACTCGGGTCCCAAGACCTCCAAGAGGATCTCCAAATCCCAGAACACACATCCTCGAAACAAGCAACCGACACCATGATCCCCGGACTCCCCGATATCAAAATGCTAGACGCAGAGGCTCTAAGCGACCTTCTAGAGGATAACCTCTCCCCACCAGAGATAACAACCATAATGTAAGATATACCCCCATCCCCTTCCCCACCCCACCCCTAAAACTAACAAACCCAGCGTCTTCGCAACCAACGGCGCCGTCTTCGCCCACGGCTCCACCCTCTCCTCCCGCCAACTCCGCAACCTAAGCGCCACCTACGGCGCCGCCTACACCTGCTACGCCAAAAGCGCCTCAACCGGCAACCTGACAGGCGTCAACCCAGCCAGCCACCCATCCTCCTACGTAACCGCCAAATCCATGTCCCTAGGCGACGTCGGCTCCATCGTCTTCGAGCTCGACGACTCAGTCGCAGTCGTAACCCGCATCGCAGACAAAGTCCTCGTCGCAGCTGTCGGCCCCTCTAAATCTAAATCAACAGAAACATCAGACTACCTATCCGCTGGCACGGATGGTGCACCGACGACTCCGGAGGGATCGCAGGAGCGCACGCCTGGGCCTTCGAATGATTGTGAGATTGATAGGAGTGCTGACCTTGATCGGTTGGCGAGTTTGAATATTGCTGCTGAGCCTGCTGTGTTGCTTGCGCTGGAATCTAAGTGTGCGGCTTTGGCGAGGTTTTTGGGTCAGAAGTTGGATGATTTGGAGAGTCCGGAGGATTTCTGATGTATTGATTTAGTGGAATGAGGGAATCGGGGGTTTATGGGGTTATATGAATCTAGCGTGGAAGTGCGCAATCTGATTCAAGACGGATCGTGCCGAGTTGATTGTATCAGGTTTGGAATTTATGATTTCAATGAGCGTTTGCGATATGCGTCTTGCATTGTTTTTGACTTTTGGAAGGTTTATTCATGTTCTTATTTTGACGTGGAAGGAAATTCATTAGGTGGTATATATCAAAGATTTAAGCAGTGCGCAAAATGCGTAGGAATGCTGAGCTCAAAGGCACAATGCACATGCGTTAAAAAGTATGTGGGTAATGCAGCAATCAACATCCTTTATAAAGGAGACTTGCACGGATTTGAAAACAGACAATCATATTTGAAGTCTCAAGTCTCTTACGACTTCTCGGACTTCTCCACTGCCGCTCCACCGGGCGAACCGTGGAAGTGGCTGGTGGTACTGGCAGTGCGACTGATAGCAGGTGCCGGGCTAGTGGCAGCAGGACTAGCAGCAGCAGGACTAGCAGCAGCAGGGCCAGCGGCAGAAGGGCTAGCAGCAGCAGCATCTTTGACATCAGTAGAAGCCGCAGCAGGCTGAGAGGCTGGCTGGGCCTTCTCCATCTCCTTCTCGGCATAGGTAGGAGGCTGGCTCTGGCCGGAGACGTTGCGGGACGGGCTCACTGACGCAGCGGGAGATGTAGCGACGGGAGAAGCAGCGGCAGGCGAGGCCAGGGTCGGGACAGGGCTACGTGTTGCGTCCTTGATGACAGTCCACCACTTCTCGGCGTCGCTGGCTGTATGGGCCTTGAAGCTGAGTTCGGTATTGGTGTGGAAGGCGTTACCGATCTTGCCTGAGGAAACGTCTTTGCCCTTGACGTTGAACTTCACGCCGTCAATGGCTCCGACGATACAGTCTGGTAGGTAGAGGGAGAGTTCGGGGGTGGGATCCTTCCGGAAGTCGTCGTTGTCCTTGAACTCGTGGAGATAGCGGGCCGGGCTGACGACATAGTAGCCAGTTGAGTAGCCCTTGATGACGGCTCGGGAGCGACGCTCAAGAGAGCCCTCGATCAAGGGCTGGGTGGCGCGGTGGTCCATGTTCGGGAACGTGATACTGGAGAATGAGCGCGGGGGTGCATCCGGGTTGACGAGGGTTGCGTCGTTGCTCATGCAGAAGTTCACCCATTCGAAGTCTGGGGGGATGCGCTGGGCGGTGCCGAGGATGTCGGCGTACATGGCGCGTTGGCGCTCGATCTGGCCGCCCATTTGTTGGTGGAATTGTTCGAGGGCTCCCTGGACGGTTTGCAGGAGATGGGCCTCGAATTGCTGGAATGAGTTCTGCACGGCGAGGATGTCTTGACGGTGGTTGTTTTCCTCGTTGACTTGGTTGTTGAGACGGTGGTTGATGCCGCGCTTGAGGATGTACGGGTCGTGCTGCTGGTCGAGCTTGTTGGAGGCAGCTGCGTCGAATGAGGCGGAGTTCTGGCCCAGGAGCTCGATGTGCTTCTGGGTGAGGGCGCGAGCTTTCTCGACGGACTTGGCGCCCTTGGATGCGCCGGAGTTCAGCTCCTTGGACTTGTTCTTGATTTCCTTGTGCAGACGCTCGAGGGTGGGAAGCACGCCGGCCTTGATGTTCTTCTCGCCGTCCAGGTACATGTTGACAATGCCCTGGGTGTTGTTGCGAATGTTCTCGAACAGACCTGTCACTCCACCGGCGCCGGAGCTGAAGTGGTGGCCTTCCTTGAGGGGCTCGTTCACGGTCTGTATCAAATAACGACGGTCAGTCTATGCAATTATGCCGCGGGTGGGTCGGATCTTACCTTCAAGATCTTCTCATAGTCCTTGGACTGGGACCTCTGCACCTTGGCGGTCACAGAGAAGTAGTCCTCGAGATATCCACACATGTGCTTCCATGCCTTCAAACGCTCGAGCAAGAGAGTGGTGGTCTAATTCACGAAATCAATTCACTGCTCGTTACCACATAATTCATAAACCCACCTCACTGCTATCGGTCTGGGGAATGGCTTCATCGTCGCTCACCGACGTGCGACGGGTGAACCCGCTGCTCACGGTGTTCGACCGCTGCGGGAGTTTCGTATCCGCGGGGCTCGTAGGGGTAGACATGTCGAGGGGGTCAAGCGATCACAGAGTGTGGGAGATGTAGTGTACTCAAGCTCCTAGGAAATTAATGGGGTGTAAGAGGGGGGAGACGCTAGTCCATGGGCGGACTAGTTAGCACTAAAACAGATCCATTAATGGAGACAGCACTTACAGACACGTAAGAAATTGCAGATGAAAAGATGCAACGGGGGCATTCTTAACATTCTTGTTACGCCAATGAGGTCACCGTGCCCCTCCTGCCAAACCTACACATTTGTGGCTTTGCGCCGATCAATTGCCTTTTCTGCTGGGAGCGCAATCGATTGGGCTCGGATCGAGATGCTTGGGCCAGTTTGACTACAGGATGCTCTGAGACCCGATCATCTCTCGGCCCAAGGACTTGGTAACTACTCTATACCCCCGGGGCCATGCAACTCTAACCTGACCTACCCGTACTAAAATCGCTTTGTTTGTTTTGGGAAAACGGACTCGGCCATGGACCACGTTACATCTGAGGCGAACAACGCCATTGACGAAAACAGTCCACATGTGCAGCACTTCTGTTGTCCGCCAGATCCGCTGATGACTAAGGATGATCGACCACTAGTTTCCGGATCGGGATATATGATGTCATGATTCGATTAAGCGTAATTCGTGCCAGTATCCCATTCGTAAAGCAGCCGGTCTATAGAAATAACAATCCAATCTAAGAACGCCGAAAAAAAAAAAAAACAGAGTTGCGCTGTGGAGAAGATGCGAGAGACCGCGAGATAAAACATATGCGGAGGGGCAAATGAAAACGTGACAGGGGGGAATAGGGCGAAGAGAGGCGATCCGGGAGGCCCAGTGACCAGCACTGGTGATGCAAAGGGGGAACTTTTGTCGTGAAATAAGAGCGATGGGGCAAAGTCACAGATCATGCTCTGGCGCGCGCTTGCTCAAGTCTAAGTCTGCGATCCTCATCATCAGCATGGGTGCCGTGGGAATGGAAGTATCCGGGGCGGTTATGCACCTCTAGGGGGGTCGCAATCCCACTGGTACGGCCACTGCGAAGGTAGGCCTGTTGGGGGGATTGGGGGACGGAGATTGTGGGCAAGCTGCTGGCGATCACAGCGTTGTAGTCTGGTAGACCTGAATCGCAGGGTCGAACTGCGCACCGCACGGCGGTGGAGTAGCTGGGTACTCGGCTGAGAGTCTCCACCTCGGCGTACTGGGGGTGAAAGGGAGTCGCCATGCCGGAGGGAAGGGTCTCGTGTTCCACTTCGTCGGAGGGTCGGCGGGACAATTCGGGGCTGCCATGGCTGTGTGAGTTGGATCCGGATGAGGGGCCGAAGTAGTCATTCGGGACACCGAGTTGACGGTGGATGTTGTGGCCATCGATCGGGGACTGGGACCCATGGAATCCATCGCTGGGGGTCATCACACCGGGTGTCATTGCACTAGGCGTAGCGGGGTGGTGTCGCGTGTTGGTATTTAGATTAGTGAGACGGTGGTGCAGCGCCGAAGCGGAGATATCGGTGTTGGTCAAGGCATTCATGGAAGCCAGGTTTTCAGAGGACATGTTGCGACTGAGAGGGCCGAACGGAGTGCCAGGGCCACTGCCGGGACCCGGTGTGCGATAACCACTGGGGTCAAGTTCACTGTATAGCTGATCGAAAGTGTGCTCGCCGTACAGGGGAGGGGCTTGGTGGGCGAACTCATCCACAGCGACCCGGGTCGTTTGAGGAGTTTGCCCTCGGAGATTGTTATTTTCGTCAATGGTGAGGTGAGGTGAGATGAAAATAGAGACTGGAAGCGTAGCGCGGAGCTGTTTGAATGTTAGCCTGGTCGATCCCACAGAGCTGCTGATACTCACCTCGCTAACATGTCCATCCGGGTTGTGCAGCTGAATGCGGAACTTGAGCTTATGGCGAACTTTGATTCCCTTGGTGTCTGTGTCCTGCAGACAGCGGGTCAAGGTCTGCGGCATGTCAAGCACGCGCGCGCAATGGTATCCCTCCGCCGCTTCGTCAATGATTTCAAAGCTGTCCTCGTCCATCTCATGCTCGTCGGTCAGAATTGTCCTGGTAATTTTATAGGTGTTGCGAATCGAGTCAGGGTCTTCGGGATTCAGGGTGAGATCATGACTTTCAATCAATTGTGACGTAATGGTGCCGATTCGAAGGCCCTTCAGGAGCGGGATCAGTTTGAAATCGACATGGATGGCGGTTCCAAAGACGATCGCCTTGGTTGGAGTGCTGATGGAATATTCGATCTTGTTGGGCCAGATGTTGTCCACGGACTGCGGAACGTTAGTCAAAATGAGTCAAACCGGGCGCGTCCCCACGTACCATTGCATGTGAGAGTTCCAGGGCGCTGGGGTCCAGCGTGCGGATAATGCGGAGGGGCTTGCGGGCGACAATGTCTTTGGCGTACTTGCGCCCGATTTCGGCCTTGAAGCGGTACATGACCCAGGTCTCGGTCAATCCCTCCACGCTCTCGGGCATGGAGCCCTCCAAGATGACATCGAAGGGGTACTCGTAATTGCCCGCCGGAAGAATCTCGGTCTTTCCCTTACCCGGGTCCCGGAATCGCCATGTCTTCTCGTAGAAGACCCGCTCCCGCCACGATTTGCGGCCCCCGGAGGCTGAGGTCGAGGGGAGTTGCCAGCTGAAATTTTCGGTTAGCAGCCATCTCGGCGGGGGTGGTTGCGACACATACCAGACGCGGGACATGCCCGTTAGCTGCAGGCGCAGGTGTTTGATGGTCAAGGGCTCTGACAGACACAGAATCAGAGTGCCCCGCAGGTGGGCGCTGGCGGCTTCATGTTCACCACCGCGAAATACAATATATTCATCGTTGAGTCTGTCCTGTTAGATACGAACCACTGCATGCAGGGACGACCCACCTAATGTCGAAGTACTTGGCGCTACTTGAGCTTCCGCCACTGCTGAAGAAGCTGAGAGCCATGATGGAGAGAGTGAGAGATGGAGAAAAGAAAAGAGGCAACAAGAGTCATAATATTTTTTCCTTCGTAGATCTACCGGAACTTGACCAGATACGCAAACCTGGTCCGACCAACGGGTCCCGCTGAGGTGGGCCGTTTCCGGTTCTTTTTTCTTTTTTTCATTTCTTTTTGTACTCTCTTTTTGTACTCCGTATTGTATTGTACTTTTTCAGTTTCATTTTAGAATTAGAATTAGCATTAGAATGACTGTTCTAGGACTGGCACTTGGCATGTGGGATATACTACCTATGCCAATACTTCCCTTCCAAATTACTTTACGGTACTTCAAGTTATTTGCCCAAGATTGAGTCTTTTACGTCAGCGCACATTTATCCTATTAGCCTCTCACTCCCAAGGTTGCCAAGATGTGCCCTACGAAGCTGTCGTCTGCCCCATCACGCCATCACTCCGATCGGCACGGTTTGAGTTGGATGCACAACATAGTTACACAGCTTCAATGTCCAATGTGTGATATCTGTGCGCAATACGGAAGCCCTACGCGTACCCGTAGACTATAGTACAGTAACTATGTACACTCGAGGATCTGTCTGAATATCCACTCCTATCCACTCCATATCTATATCAGATCAGGCAACCCGAATGACCTTATCTATGATGGCGCCACCGTGCCAGGTGAGATGTTTCGCCTTTGTTCTACCGCCCATTCCAGTGGTCGGAGTTTCCGAAACTGCAGCTGTGCAGCGCAGACAAGCCAAGGGGACCGTGTGTTCCTGCAGGGTGCCCTGAAGACGTGCGCACCAAAGACTCAAATTACCCGCTGATCCCCGATCCATACTTGCACACGTCCTGTGGAACAATCGACACACCTCGTACCCTCGGAAATATCCGTCCTTTATCCGCGTATCACACGTCCATGCCAGCAGGCCCCCTGATGAGGGCGGTAGGAGCGGGTGAGATCAGGGGTCCACCCAGCTGTCAACGAGTGTGTCACCGTGATAGGCCATCGATTCTTCCCTTGAGTACTCTGTACGGAAGATAAGGTCCCGATACGATACACAAGTGGCGCCTGCGAACATGTTTCGAGAAATCGGCACTCGGCCTGTCCCCGATCAAGCCGACGGGCCCAGTCGGGATCCCTTCGGGCATTTCCGCTTCACCGGTTCGGAATCCCGCATGCCGACTTGGGCTGCCCGAGTGTCTGTGCTGGGCCGCGATGCTGAGTATAGGCCTCCGGTGTGTCTTTGGAGGCTTTTGTCCCTGAACTCGACGGACAACGTTGCAGCGTAGTCAAGGTTCATGGCGCGCGCCACTAAGCCTCTGCCTTGGTCCACTACGAGCTTGGAAAACCACAGTCTAGAATAGCGACTGTTGCTCTTTTGGGTTAAAGGTGGACATCCACGGTCAGCTCAAATTCACGGTTATCAAGCTCATCTGCGAGGGAGCCTTGGGTCCAATCACAGCGTACTCATGAGAATGAAAATTCCACAAAAGTACGTTGAAGATTTCCGTAGATCACTGAAATTTTACAGTCTCGGCTCCACTCGCAGGACTTCTGAGCTCCATATAGCACCCCGGTGTGAGTTCCAGAACATCACATTTCATCCACATTGCATCATCCCGAGACTCGATGCGATGCGACTTGTTTGGATTACGAATGTAGCCGTAAATAACCCTGTAAATATTATGGCGTCACGACTATGGTCATATCTGGATGACGGCACACTGCGTACTAGTACTGCACCTGAATAGCCTCTCACATGCAATCTGCACATTGACTCGGACGTCAAGTGGACCCAATCACACTGGGTTCCGTACAGGATGGAGTATTTCTACACTATAATACACACTGTTTGACGGTGGATCACACCGTTGGACTCCAACACACCGACTCAAGCGGTTAAATGATTAGAAAAAAACATACGACTAGGGCGGTTAAAGAACAAAACAAAATTGCACCGTCAAAGCGCACCTGAAATTCTTTCTCCCGGCAATTCTCGTGCCGAGTATAGGACTTTGAAAACTTCCGATGATCGCCAGGGGCGAGGTTGCAATGTCTGCGGGAACTAAGAAGATCGCGTGGATCGACGGCCTGCCAAGAGCAAGGGAAAAGAATTTTCGCGCTCTAACAGATTCTGGTCTGGTCCAATCATCGGCGGTTATTGCGCAACATGGCCGGGTGCTGTCATGGCCCTTTGGTTGGGGGTTTTTCCGGTCTAGATCGTGGTGGTTTGATATGTACTTTCGCGAATTGGCCACCCAAGCACCCATGGCGCCAATCGCTGTGCTTCAGATCTCAGATTGTTTCTTCACTTTAGGGAAGTGCCTGGGAATGACCAGTCGTATTTTTGTTACTGTAATCATCTGCAGATCACCTTTTCCAGTCTGTCCTAGGAATAACCGGTCCGGCTCGAGCTTCGCATCGAGCGATCGACACAGAAGAAACATGGACTCTTTCACTTAGGGCTGACATAGCCCGGCTTTGATAGCTATCTTGCTAGATCCCAACTGCCGAACTTCGTTAAGCATAAGGATAGTGCCCCAGCGCCACGTCGCACCAAAGCCTCTTAGGCTGAGATGTATTCAGCCAAGCGATGTACGGATAATCAAACAGCAGATCCCTGCATGAAGCCCCTGGCAAAAGATTGTCGAGGCCTAGACCCCAGATATGCATGAATCATATGCCATTGAAACATCGGCCGAGGTCGACCGATTGGGCTGAGGTCTTGCGTGGACGTAGGATGATCTTCCAAGTTGTCACTCGCTTTGATCGAGACCATTCTGGCTAGAGGTCTCGCTCCTCCACGCTTTGTTTGCTTCTAATCCTCGCCAGGGCGTGGTCATACTATTTCGCCTGTAGGTTGGCACAGTCTACTAGGTAGACAGCAGCCTACATGTGGCAGGCACGCAAACCAATGGAGAAGGAATATGTCTTGCTAACGGGCGGCCCAGAGGCCCACTCCGGAAAAGGATACCTTCGCTTTGAGCAAAAGGATGAGAATGGGGTTCTTCTGTTGGCCTCATCCGTGCTCCGTCTGACATGGCCACGACAATCCAACGCGCCAGCTACCGGGCTGCAATGCAGATCACGCATTCTCGTAGATACGCTTCGTAGCATCTCGAGTCCGCTTTCGGAGCATACACGCTGGAAATTATGCAGCTTCAATACTTGAGCCGATATACGGTCTGCGAGGATCAATCGACCGACTCATAAAGCAAGCAACTATGGAAATGGCAAGGGAGACAGAGAGAGTAGAAGCTAGATCTGAGAGCTCTTTACAGTCATGGGAGGCAGATGGCTCTGAACAATTCTACCGGTTTAAAACTTCAATTTTAGACATGAGCTGTGCCCCAGTTCCTCTCTACCTAGCAAACGTGTCAAGTGAAACGTAAACGAGAGAAAAGCTGTTTGTTGGAAGACCCTCAGAGTTCTCATCATTGGATATTCAAACAGAAGAAAGAGTCTGTCAGATTGGTTCCAAAAAGTGGTGCACAATCCACAAAGCACGAAGCAATGAGGAAAGGCGAGGTGGAATAAAACCCAAGCCTCATGGAGCACCAAAGGAACCCCAGAACCATCACACAGTACGGGTTACCCACAGCACTTGATCAAGTCCGTCTAAAGAAAGGCACAATCTTCAATGCACCTGGGCATGATACGAGGAAGAAAGGCATCCAGGAAAATGATCACAGACTCAGAGCAGGTTGTGAAGTCAGATTCCCACGAGGAGGCTCTAGGGCGCGGGACTGCACGCACTCACCCAGAGGTCCCCTCGTTTCCCCGCCTATACTGCGTGACCTCAGCAACAGTACCAGCGTTCGTGTTCCAAAAAAAAGAGGGTGCACAGTCTTCGGAAAAAGGGGTGAAGACTGTGGCGAGGTTGGGGAAAAAAGAGAAGAGAAGAGAGTTGAGTTGGGGGGAGGAGGGGGTTTATATACCCAGCGGCCTTTCCCAATCGGGAGAGCTTAGGGCTGTCTGTTTCCTATTGTTCTTCCTAGCTTGGGATTGTTTGCTTCCTATTGTTCTTCCCAATTGGGAGAGCTTAGGGTTGTCTGTTTCCATTGTTCTTTCCTCCTTTACTCACCAACTTACGATACGTTACGTTTCTCAGACTGGATGTCTAGCTCCTATGTAAGAACCATGGTGTTTGCCTCCCACAACTACCAAGCGTGCTTGCTTGGAGTTGCCTCTTTTTTCGCTGATCGTGTCACCTTTATCATGATCTCCACCAACGAACAAGATGAATCTCGAACTCGTCAACATGACCCTGACAAGAGTAAGATCTCACGACAGGCTTACCAGGAACTGGGACCAGCCCTCAATTGGGGACGTGCTATTAACTACAAACTAGGGAACCGCAATCTGTTCTTCCCGACCAACTACGATGAACCCCTGCTCCGGAGAAATACCTTTTTTTCCTCTCGGAAACCCCCGTGGTCAAATATGACTGCTCGTGGAGTGCTCCATACGAAACACACTGAACATCCAGGAGTGGCAAGACAAGCAAGACTTGCGAGAGCAGTGATCAGTTGAGCTTTCAACCCAGTGTCGCTGTCACAACGCCGTATTTGGCTTCTGCCAATTTCAAAAGGACCTATACGGTATGATGATCGCATACGGGAAAACGGAGATTCAGATGAGATGTCACCGTCTGAGATCTATCGCGCTGTGAGCATCGAGTCTCATAACCAGTTTCGCTTGGCCAAGGAGGTTATGAAGATATCAGGTACGCAGTTTGCGTTAATTGAATGGGGAATTTTACCCCGGTGCCAGAGGCTTGAGGAGGATCAAGATCTCCTGGCGAGTACCTCCGGGAAAGTACGCACAGAGATTGAAAGAGTGGCATCGCAGAGGCTCTGGTCGTTCTCTTCATATTATCCAGCAGTTACTGACACAACAAGTCCTGATACCTCCGTCCTGGCCGGCAGGTGAGACGGACTGGCTATGGTACATGGACAACCGAAAATGACAAATCTTCAGAGCAGTGGGCGTTGCTTCAAAGAAATAGAGGCCTGGATCTGCGGGCCTCGGGGCTCTGCACCTGCTTGGGACTCACCTCTGCTCGAAGTGATACAACCATGAATTGGGGAGAGAACCTTCTTGAGCGGGGTTTGATTTTGGGCCAAAGGATATAACAGCCCTGCCATTTCAGAATTCAGTCGGGATGCTTGATGAAATATCGTTCATGGAGTTAGTGGTGAAGTGCGATTCCTTGAGACCAAAAAACGTCAGAAGGGGAAGACCAGGGGAGTCAGAGTCATGCACCTCAAACCCATGAACGCCATTAACACCATTAAAGCCATTAAAGCCGACACTAACTTAATTCCGGCAGCATGACATTATAGGCAGTCAGATAACCCTCCAGGGCTGGACGTGATGCAGTCGATCACAAACCAATCACGACGGAGAACGGCACCTGCGAGTCCCACATTTCTACATATACTAGTAGTCCCGAGTCATACATCAACGTTGGAAAGAAAATGAAGAGAAAGACCTATTTATATCCGACATTGAGACGCCTTTCAATTGAATTCTCACACTCATTTCCTTCAGCCTCAGCATAATGCCTTTCTATGGCTCTTACGCAGGCTTCCTCTATCGCCAGTTCTTGGTCTGCCCTTCCAGAGCCCCATCCACCACCTCCCTCCTCGGTAAGGCAGGCATCGTGACAGGGCCCAATACCGGCCTGGGATATCAGGCTTCCGTGCAACTTCTTGGCCTCGGACTCTCCCATCTGATTTTGGCCGTCCGAAGCATTTCCAAAGGAGAAGCTGCTCGAAAGTCCCTTCTCGCCTCGCTTCCCGCCTCTGCCAAACCCCCGATGGTCGAGGTCTGGGAACTGGACCTAGGCAGCTATGCCAGTATTCTCGCATTCGTCGAGCGCCTCAAAAAGTCCGACATTCAGGTCGACTTTGCTCTTCTCAATGCCGGTGTTGCCAACTTCAACTTCACCATCAATCAATCTACCTCTCACGAGTCAAGTATTCAAATTAACTGGTTGAGCACAGCTCTTCTCACCCTCCTGTTGTTACCCGTGCTCGATCAACAGGCCACCAACAACCTCCACCGCGCTCGCCCGGTGATTTCCATCGTCGGCAGTGAGGTAGCCGCCTGGGCCAAGTTTGCCGAGGCCCAGGTATCCACCAAGCAGGGACTTTCCCTCATCGACGTCTTGGATGATGACGCCAACTTCAACATGAGGGATCGTTACTACACCTCCAAGCTGCTTTACCAGCTCTTCTTCCTTGAGCTGTTCCGCAACCGATCCAGCGCCCAGCGCTCCGCGGGCACCATTCTCAATTTGGTCAACCCTGGTTTCTGTTATGGTTCTGAGTTGCATCGCACAGCTGAAGGTGTATTCGGTAAGGTTCTTGGCGGTTTGAAGAGAGTTATTGGTCGCTCTGTGTCCATGGGCGCTCGGACCCTTGTTCACTCATCCGTGTTGGCTGGTGAACCATCTAATGGTAAATATCTCAGTGACAACAAGGAGGCTCAATTTGCGGGATATGGGGACAGTGATTCTGGGAAAATCACACAGGCACTGGTGTGGAAGGAGACAATATCCGAGTTGGGCCCTGTGGTTGACATGGACAAGCTGTTGTCGCAGATTTGATTGATTTTTTGAGTATTTTGTATTCTTTTGCGTTGTTTGCTACCCTTACCCTTGATCAATATTTGTCTTTTGTATTTACCAAGTAAAATATGAAGAGCGCAATGACGGTCTGCCGAAGCAGACAGGGCGAGGATATAATAGGAAATACATGATTCATGAAAGAGTTTTAATTGCTTGCCTCCGACTATAGATCTGAATACCCGGGCTGGCGGATTAGGCCACATACGGGTGCTGTTTTCCCATCACAGTGCCCAGGTAGAGAGTCCCGTACAGTGTCGCATTCCACTACTACTAATAGGCTCTGGGTACCTGGGCACCTGGGGCCTAGCCAGATACTGACTAACCAATCGTGCTTCCCGAAGTCCCGAGGTCCCAGCCCAGGAGTGTGGGGAACATACGGGTAGCACTCAGAGTGGTATATAAGTAAGTCAGGGTCTAAGATAGCATACAGATCCCATTTGGCACAGCGGTAAAACGCAGCTGCATTGAAGACCGGGGCGATGAGCTTGGAAGCTTAATTGAGGACAGGTGAGCTCCGGGCTTCTTTGTACAGGGCCACTTGGGATCGTGGGAGAGCCCTGGTTCGAAACCAGTACTCGCCCTTTTTCTTTTTGCTCTTCTTGTTTACTTTCTAGCTCTCTTAGTTTTTATGCCCCAGGTGATTCTGAGCCCTGAGCTTTGCTTAATGGGACAATCTATGTTCTGTACGCTATGTGGGTCCGCGGGAGATCTGTACCCGCCCGGCCCTGGAGGTCCCGAGGTCCTTGTCGTCTGGAGGCGCACGAAGTTGCCGAGTCATAATCACTGCACCCCTGAGATGATCTGATAAGTATCTTTGAGGGTTGTGTGTTTTCTGGGCAATCATCATGCCTTCTGTGTCAGTGGATGGACTCACTCCACACGAGCTATTACATTATTTGCCTACATATCGGGTATTGATCTGCCGATGTTGCAGGTACGCCATCCAACCTGGTGCAGTCGCTCGCCATCTCAAAGAAATCCACCATCTTCATCATCCGTTGCGTGGAGCATTCGTCGACTACGCCTCTCAATTTGAACTATATAAACCCGCCGAAGTTGCCTTGCCAGATGAAACCCAATTCCCAGTGTCTCTGCTGCCCAAACAAAATGGGCTAGCCTGTTCCTTTGCGCACTGCGGCCATCTTTCTGCTACAACTAAGCGCATGAAGCATTATTGGATGACTTTTTATCACACCGCAGCCTCTGATATTTGGGGCTTCTGGGACACTGTGCCATTGCAGAGCTTTTTCCAGGGAAATGCCTTTCGCTACTTTACTAACCCGGCGTTGTTAATGTCTTCGTCGTCATCTGCCAGTACCGACGAGCCGACGAGTACTGTAAGTCAAGATGATGACAACCAGTCATCATACATGAAACTAATTCAGCCCCAAAGACTATCACAACCCCGGCTTCAAGCTTGTATCATGGAGAACCAATCATCTCACAAATGTTGATCACGACTGACGCAGAATTACTCGATCACTACCAGAACTATACCTATAAAACCCTCTCATGCGGCCCAGAGACAGGCACCGCATTCCAAATAATCGTCCCCCAACTAGGAACGCAATTCTCCTTCGTACTTCATGGCATCTTGTCCTGTGCCGCCCTCCACCTTGCTTCTATCGACCCACCCAATCGCGCATATTACACAATCCAGTCAATACGACACCAAGACCAGGCAGCTCCAGTATTCCGACGGGCAACGATGCACGTGGACATGGACAATAGCCAGGCGGTGCTGGCATTTGCATTCTTCCTCGTCGTCTATGCCCTAGGCTCTCAATCCACCGACCAAGCCCTATTCCTTAGTAATGATGAAGACCCAGAAGATGCGCCTTCATCAAACTGGATCGAAATACTTCGCAACGGTTGCTCCATGCTCTGTCCTGTCTGGACAGAACTCACGACTGGCCCCTTGGCACCCTTTACAACTCTTTGGCGAGATGATCTCGGCGTCCCTATAGACCCCAAGGGCCCGCTTCTGATTACTCTACTCTCTATCATACCAGACCATGAATCGGAATCAGCTGAAAGCTTAATATACCGCGACTCAGCTGTCAAATTGGCAAATGCTTTTTCATTCATCAAGAATTGCGGACCCTCGCCGAGTATTTGGGATGCTCTCAATTCATGGCCAATGCGTGTTTCCCCTGATTACCTGGCCCTGTTGAAACAGAACAACCCCGGTGCTTTACTGCTTTTGTCATACTATGCTATCATCCTCCGGCCACTTAGGGGAAAATGGTTTCTAGAAGGTCGCGTCACGGGGTTGGTAGATCAAATCGCGCGACGATTAAGGGGGAATTGCTCGCCACGAATATGGGAGGTATTTTCCACAATGCAGGAGGAATATTTCTGACGGCCGGCCTAGAGGCCCTACCCAAAGGGAGACGCTGCGTGACATGGGTGTTGATAAATCAGGCTCAAGACTCAGATCTGACTCGGGCTGGTAGTTTGTTGGTAGCACATTAGGTAGCTTGTATTGTGGTAGGTATTGGTGGAAGCTTTCCCCGAAAGATGGCACTTTCACGATCGGCGCGCCAGCTGGCAGGGACGTTGCAGAATTCTCTGAAAAGGACCCATGTTCCTAACAGTATCACAGTGACGACAGCGAGGGCGTGCCAGACTCTGTAACTGGTCGAGACCATGATGCCGAGTCCTGACTGGTTGATGTGCGGCAGAGCTGCGTCGCTTCCAAGGGTGCTGTTTGTCTCTTGTTGGTCTTGTTGGTCCCACTGGAAATTATTCCAATCGTGGTTATTGCTCGGGCTGCTGCAGAACGGTTTCAGTCCTCGTACCCATCCCGTCAACCAAATGAATACCTACCTGGCAATGAATTTCGGTCATGTACATGCGACCCGATATGGGCACCGAGCAAATCAAAAATCGAATCGTTTTGATTTTTTCGATCTGGCGGGAGGTAGTTTGGGAGGATTGGCATTCCAGAGAATAGCCGGAAACAGTATGTTCGGAGACACGACACTGCCCAGGTGGTGAATCAACGTGAAAATAAACATACGCATCCGGCGGATAGCACGTGCCGGAGCCTTGCCCCCAACCTTGGAAGCTAAGAGATGAAACGTTCCTGTTTTTGGTTGTGACATGCTACCGTGGACTTGCTTCTCAGTCATTGGTCACCTTTATAAGCTTGATCCGGGGATCGGCATGTCAACCCCGGCTGGGGAATCAAAATCTATGTACTGTAATCTATGGCCGAAAATGTAGACGTTGCCAGGCCCTTGTGGGTGAAACCGAGTTTGGCTTCTGCTTCTTCTGTTTATGTCCTTCGAGATGTTACACTGAAATGTAATGCTAGAGCCACCAGATCTAGACTGTGCCCATACCTAGGTATTTCATATCAACGATGGGATTTGAATCGTGAAGCCTTGAGCCAAAGCAACTATGTTCACCGGCAATCAAGGTAGTAGTAAACAGTATGGTGGACAGATGAACTCGAGGATCAGGATGCAAGTGAGAGATCTCGGGCCCTGGCGGCATTTCACCTCCACTTGAACTGTACACAAATTCATGGCAATATCAGCCAGGAGATATGAGAAGTCGATAAGCGCCGTGGAGAGAGCGAAATAGATAATGTGCGGTTCAAGGGCCCCGAGAGTCGTAGGTGCACGGCCCATGGATAGGAGCACATCGGCAAGGTTCATGTTAGGTACGGGGACGCTGGCGCAGGTCAACGCATCGAGCCCAATTGTGATTGAGCAAAAAATACAGACACGCTCAAGGAAGTGATGAAGTTATTAGCTTAGTAAGTCATGGCTCAGAATGAACATGATCGAACCGAATCTTGGTCCAGCAAGAATACCGAGTCGATAGATGGCACAGGCAAAAGTGTAGCGGGAAGATTGCGAGCATGCTTTAGAAGATCCACCCAAGAATAATGTAGAGCAAGAACCCTGCGGCAATACAGATTCCGGCGATCTTCAGCACTGCCATGGTATCGCCTTGCTTCGCCATTCGCGTGAGTCGGGATGCGCTTCCCTTGAGGTTGGTGGAGAAGGAGGAGAACACGTCGCTCTATAGAAGGTCTCATCAGTCGTCGATTCATTGAGTTTGGAGATCAGATATAGCAGTGAGATAACTAGACACTAGCCATATATCACGAATGACATGGAGGATAACCGATAGACGTACCGTGCGGTCAAGAGTGTCCTGATCTCTCGCGTTGTCGTGGATATCAATGGTCACTGAGCGCAGGGCGGAGACCTTGGAGGAGAGAGAGTTGAGGAGCGCATTGTTTTGCCTGGTGTGAAAGATTAGCGATCGGGTCGCGCGTACAGGAACCACTCGCGCAACAGTACTTGCTGCGTTGAGTTGGAGGAAGGTAACCTACTGCTCACGTTCGTAGGCGTCACTCATTTTGCAGGTCGGTAAATTCAGCGGAGGCTATTATCCGAACGGCACTGCGAAATTTGCAGGAACAAGCTGAGTGCAGAACGGAACGAAGGTGGCCAGAACTTGGGGAAATCGGAGGCGACGTCAGTTCGATGTTTGACCACGTGACTTATCTCCACTCGGCGGAGGTTACAGGTATACACCTTACTTTTCCGACTTTATTGCTTTTGAAGAACATGAAATTGTACCGATTGTAGCTTTTTTCGATCGCGCTGGTGCGTGTAGTAAATGATCTGTCTTTGATGCTTCTGTGCCATATGGTTCAGCATGTGAATTGTGAGATGGACAGAGTACCTACATAGGTAGTCCATGCTTTCTACCTAGGCAGTGACCCACTTTGGCTGTGACATGTGGATGTACGCAGAATCCAGAGTCCCAGTGCATTCATCATATAGAGGACAGACTATGCATACCTGGGTACATAGCTATGGGAATGCTAGACTACTACCAATGCTTGAGTTTGTTACGGAAGAGCTGGTGCAAAGCTGAAAGACGGCATGTGGCTCTTGATGCTGAGAAGAGTAGCAATTGACAGGAGTTTGTTTATGCCAGCTAGGACGAAAATCTTCAGAGCAAACAGGGAAGCATGAAGAGCCTCATGGCCAGTAAAGAAAATATACTTATTGAGTGCAGCATCCCTGGGGTCATTTCAAAGGAAAACGAAAGACAAGTCTCATACTAAAGAAATCCAACCACAAGAGGAAATCAAGTTAACTGGGCCTCGCTGATAATTTGCGAATGAAATGAAATGACGGTCGTAGTCGGTGGCCTGGCTGCCCAAGGGAGTTGGAAGTGCCGAGCACGGGGAGCACGGGATTGTTCCTCCGGCCTTCCCGGACCGCTCCCCGCCTTCGACTTTACCTCCGATCACCCACCATTGAGGCTGAAAGCTCATGTGACACGGAATGGCATCAACAGAAGATGAGAGGCCCTTAAAGCGGACTCGTCAAGCATGTGAGCCTTGTCGGTAAGGCTGACCATTGGTGTGGCTGGATGCATCTGACCCTTTCATAGTCGGAAAAAGTCACGTTGCCCCGGGGAGAAGCCGATTTGCTCTTATTGCGAGCGATTAGGGCAAAGATGTGTGTATGCCGGGGCTGATATTGTCGAGGATGGAGCAGGAGGTTCCAAGAAGGCCCTGGTGAGTACATCTCGGGAGCGATGTATTCTGCATAGACACGGTTTTTTGATATCTCGTCGCCATCTAGGAGCAACGAATTTCTGGTATTGAAGGCAAGCTGGAGCAGATGATGGAGTATATCACGTATGTAATGAGCTTACGGCATACTCCTTCTCTCGGGTCTCTCGGGTACTGTCCAGCCGACTGATTGATGCCACAGGCGATCTGCTTCTACGACACCTCTTTCACCGGCTGTCCCAAGGAACAGTCTTACTATCCCCGAGAATACTCTGCCGGCAGGAGCCCCCTTGTGAGCTCATTATAGATCCCCCGGTTCATAACTCAGCTGACTTTCTAGAAATGAATCATCTGAGACTCAAGGCTTGCAGCTTTATTTAACATACTGCAACTCCCAACCTCTCTTGCTATTCCCTTCCCGGTCCTCTCTGGCCTCTTTGGGAAAGAGAGATGAAGAACTCATGTTGGCTATGGAGGCCACGGGTGTTCGCTTCAGGGGACAGGGAGTCCATGACAAGGCCATTCAAGACGAAATTAAAGGCAAAATGGAAAGGTCTTGCAATATGGTGATGATGCGAATCGCAGCAGGTACAGTGGAATTGTCCACAATACAGACTTTGTGCATACTCAGCATGTTAGAGTTCTCAGGTATGCCCGATTCTCAATTTCCTCGGGTCCTTGCTACTCTAACACATGAATTCTTCTCAACCAGCGGGTCACATCATTCGCGCCGGCTCCTATACAGGGCTTGCTACTCATCTCATGCGGCACCTGAAAATAGAGGGCCTTGACAACCTGGGCAATCTAGAAACAGAACGAGACGAGCGTAAGCTATGTTACATTAGTCTCATCATGCTCCAAAATCTTCAAGGGTCTTTGCATCCGCCTGAAATTGGAGACAGCCTGGACTCACTTGCCGCTTTTGATGGATCGAACTCTCTCTTGAGATCAAAATGGACATCCAAAGGAATCACATCAGGCAGTAGCAGCGACAACAAACTCGATATCGGAATCAGCGGCACCAACGTCCACACAAGCGAGCTATGGGCTCTGGCATGCAAGTACGCCAGTAGTCATGTGGGCGTTGACGCTCATTCACCATGGTCCCCCAGGTCTGATTATGCCTTGATCAACTTCCACCACTGTGAACACGAGAGCTTGATGCCACTCCGATTTCGACTTCATGCCAGCCGTTTTCAAGATCACCCGCCAGCAGAGCTTCAAGCACATCGTGACTACTGGGGGCCCTGGCTGTTCTTTCAGATGGTATGGCATGCTGTCCCATGTATAGCAAACCATCCATTCCTTCTTTCCATGAGACTGCGCAAGTTTCGTCGAACAATGCCCCAGTCATTTCTTCGCAACTCTTTCGAGCAGCTCACTTTCCACTCGGGTTGGGTCATTCATTTTCTTGAACTTATCGAAGCTAAGAGCTTTGAAGTATCCGATCCAACCATTGGACAATGTGTTGCGATAGTGGCCACCATATATCTTCAGCACAGTTTTGTCGAGGACCAGGCTTTCAACAAGAAGGCACAGTTAGGATTTGAAAAATGTCTCAAGTTCCTGCGCAATATGGGCCGCCGATGGCCCCATATCGATCGTCAGGTCAGAAGATTTCCTGTCTCTCTCTCTCGTGTCTTCTAGACTGATAAACTTCCAGGTCGGACAGCTAGAAAAGCTCCGAGACAGTGTTGCTCCAGGGGGACTGGCCACAGATAGCGGCACACCGGCGGTGTTTCATCTCCACCAGAAGTGGTCTGTCAACTTGCAGCTACTGTGGAGAGTCCTGGTTTATGCTCATGCAAGCAACACATCGGATACATCTAGTGACATATTCGGCCCGGAACTTGCTAAGGACAGCGTCGGCCACTCCAGTGATCCATCCGCTGGCGCCATAACGGAGCGTGATTTCTCCTTGATTGGGTCTGCCGGAATATCTGGACACCAAACGGTCGCTTCTGAGTGTGTCACTTACCCGCCCGATCAACTTGAGGATCCGACACAGGGAGGAGGTCAACCTTCACCAACAATAGATATCTCCGGGCTTCAGGGCGATCCTAATGTGGAGCTCCCGGGAAGCGATACACTGTTTCTTCAACTCCAGGATTACGGGAGAGCATTTGAAGACTGGCTTAGCATTAACCCATCGTGAGCCTAATACTTGAAACCATTCTCCTCTCCACTTGGCTGTGTCCGGGGAGCGGACCGTATCCGAGTATCCCGAGCGCCAAGAGCCGGTACTGAGCCGGGTTTGCCTCCATGTCCCCCACCCCTAGCTTGAATTTAAAGGCGAAGAACGCCAACGAGTATCTCGCATAAAGAAAATCCAACGATCAAAATGACTGGAGCCAAAACCGATTCAATCCTCATTGTGGGCGCTGGCGTCTTCGGTCTATCGACAGCGCTTGAATTGAACAAGCGCGGGTACACTGACATCACCGTTGTCGACCGATTTGTCCCCCCATCAGCAGATGGAAGCAGTGTTGACATTTCCCGCATCATTCGCTCTGACTATGCGGACCCCATCTACTCTCAAATGGCTCGTGAAGCCTACAAGGAATGGACCACTGAGTACAAAGACCAATTCTTTGAATCAGGATTCGCGCTCTTCTCCGAGACTCCCAAGAACACCTATATGGAAGGTTCCAAGGCAGTGATTCGTGCGGCAGGCGGAAAGCTGGACGACCTCCATGATGCAATGGATATCCGCAAGCTCTACCCCAGTGTCCAAGCTGAACTCTCAGGCATGAGCGGCTACCACAATCCCAAGGGTGGCTGGGCCGATGCTGCTGGCAGTATCCAAAAGCTGGCCTCGAAGTGTACTGTTGCTGGCATCTCGATTATTGCCGGGCCCCGGGGAACTGTTCTCTCTCTGCGCCGCGAAGGTTCAAGAGTCGTTGGTGTTAACCTTGTGGGTGGCCATGTTCTGCTCGCTTCACAAGTCATTCTCAGCGCAGGAGCGTGGACCAATCGCCTGCTGAACATTGGCCACACTGCGACTTCCACTGGACAACCAGTCGGGTTCATTCAGTTGACCGAAGAAGAAGCTCATGAAATGCGAAAGATTCCCGTGATGATCAACATGAGCTCGGGTGTCTTTTCATTCCCACCTACGCCGGACACCAACGTGCTCAAGCTGGCGCGTCACGGCTACGGATATGCAACCGATATCCAAGTCAATGTAGACGGAGTCAAGAAATCAGTCTCGTCCCCGAAGTTTGAATCCAGCAACGCAGTCACTGGCTACCTGCCCGACGATGCAGATGAATCGCTGCGCAAAGGTCTCCGTCAATTCTTCCCAAAGCTGGGTGATCGTCCATGGATCAACCGCCGCTTGTGCTGGTACACCGAAACTCCCAAGGGCGACTTTATCATTGACCACCACCCCACTATCAAGGGTCTGTTCTTGGCAACCGGTGGCTCAGGACAGTAAGTACTTACTCTCATATTTGTTCAGTGCTTGTACTAACCACATCCAGCGGCTTCAAATTCCTTCCCGTTCTTGGCAAATATATCGCAGATTGCTTTGAGAACAAGGCCCCTGAGAACTTGCGCCAAAAGTGGCGGATGAACCCACCGCCTCAGGTCGATCCCAAGAGCACTGTGCTAGGCGATGGTAAAGGTGACGGGAGCAGGGGAGGCCCTCCTTTGAGAAGACTCAGTCCTTTTGAACAAGCCAAGCTGTAGATACTTAGATATTGGGAACTGTGATGTGAAACAGATTTATCATACTCCATGAGACAGCAGCCACCGGGACATGACCTCCAGAACCTTGAAGTCGAGGGAAGTTCTAAAGTTGGGAAAACATCATTCTTATATTCTAGATCTAAGATGTGAAGTTACAAATTTGCGCAGCCCGTGCCCAGGTGGAAAGATACAACCTTTCAAGCTGCCCAGGTGGAAGGTTGGAACCAGAACTGACAATTCAAGGAAAGACACCAAGTAACGCCACCTGTCTAAGTATATACATAGATGAGAATCATAAGAAAGATCTCACTAAACGCTTTGATGTGCTGGAACATGCTCTTTGACCGGTGGGTTGGATCTGGTGTTGGTGGCCGTCCCCATTGCAAAGCTACCATCTTTACAGACAAGCCATTGATCTTCTCGCAACCAATACTCTTCATGAGAAGGTGTACCCTTGAGGGTACCCTTCAGATCCAGAGGATCAGCAAATGTCTCCCATCGAGATCGTCGATCAGTCCAGCCAGGACCCATACGCTCAGTCTGAGCATCTGGACACAGATAGCGTAGTTTCTGGCGAGGCAGATACCGACCCGGGTGCATCAAATTCATCCACCACGTAAATATCAGCATGGGACCCAGCTCAAAAGCATACAGATACCACTCATTGCTGAGGATTGGTCCGCAGTCCACCCGGCAGCCGAGTTTGCTAAACATATCGAATGACTCGACAGCCCGGAAAATACACCTCAGCAACACGAAGGTTGATGTGCCGTACAGTGTGAAGCAGATTCTGCGCACGTTGGGCGATAGCATTCCCGCTCGGGAGCAGCGCCTGTGAACCGTTGCGACGATCCCAACAACCACGCATTCCACGACGGCCTGGAGGATTAGCCCTGCGGCCACGAGCGTCCCGCCTGACTTGTACTTTTCCAGGTCTGAGCCGGCCGATGCGTTCTTTGCGGCACCAGCCACTGTGATTGCTTCCACTGCGGCGCCGACGTAGACGAAGAAGATGAGTACACGGTTGGGGTTAAGCACGGCATGCATCGGTAGGTAGTTCATGAGGCGTCCGACAAGATTGTATGCTGAGGCTGAGTAGACAGGGGGTCCAACGTAGATAAAGACCTGAGATGCGATATAGATGTCGACGTTTGTTGGATGGTAGCTCGAGATACATCGTAGTATCCAGCCGATGGTGAAGAGAGCCCCGCCCCAGCAGAGGAAGAAGGTGACACGCCAGAATCGGTAGCGACTGTTGATGTTAGGTTTTTAGTTGTCACGTGGGCATCCTTCTGTAAGACTCACTAGTTCTGATAAACATGCAATAATAAGGATAGACCAACAACTGCAGCAAAGACTGCTGGTAAGATATGGCTTGGGTTGTATAAGTAGAGGCTTTCTGTGGTAGTATGCAACATGATGAAGTGATCGTTTTCTTTGAAAGTGAATCTCTCATGAAACTGGGAATATCAAAATCTATAAGTATTCAAGGGGCCTGGACGAAGCGCGACATACGTCCCAATGGGGATTAGAGGGGTGGCGCAAGAGCCGTGGATAAGCTCCAGATCGGCACATTAGTCTGGGGGCTTTGAAGCACTGCCTGGAATGCCTACACTAAAGGAGATCATAGGGGCACTCAATGACGAACTGCAGAAGGAAATAAGAAGAAAAGAAGAAAAAAAGAAGAAAAAAAGAAAAGTACGAGGTTGTACACTTCAGTCGACCAATCAGGAGTCACGGACTCAGCCTTGCGCGGCGGCACATCGGACCCAAACGGGTTAGGCTGCATCGCCAAAGAACCTCAGCTCACTTTCCCTCCAGAAGTGTGCCTTGCGTGGGATTTTTACTTCAGTGCGAAGTATACTAAAAGAGCCAAGCCTTCAAGCCTGCAGTCGCAGTCCCCTTTGAGATCCACGCTCCGCTCCGCACTTGACCCCACTATGCCCGGCGTGCCAACGGGACGAGCTTGTGATGGGTGCCGGAAACAAAAGAAAAAGGTGAGCGCAGACTACTAGTTATATGGTTCTGGATCTAATAACCGGATGAGTGTGACGAGAAACAACCCACGTGCGGCCGATGTCTTCGTCTCAAATTAACATGTGTGGGGTCCGGTCAGCAAAGATATAAATTCAAACAAGACCATCGATTCTCGTCAAATTCCAACCAGGGACAGATGATAAATTTCGATTCATCAAGCTCTCACAGAAGAGAATCCTCCCCTGTCGAAATTCCTCGAGCGTGTCCGGGTAATAAAACCACATTCCTGACGGGATCGTTCGTCGGTGCCATAAAACGAACCAATGACCTTCGATACAACTTATGGTGGTCTTTTGGTATCTTCCTAGAGGAAGTGCCGCGACGAATTGGTTCCAACGAAGCACTGGACCGCGCAGTTGACGCCCTGGCAGCTTCACACGCAAGCTTTTGTTCCCGTCGATCGATCTCGGTGGAGGCGTTGTCTAAGTATTCTTCCGCCCTGAGGACCCTGAGAGTATACTTGGATGACTCAATCCAAGCAACCTCTTCAAACACCCTATGCGCCGTTATGGTGCTGCTGTTGTGTCAATCATTCCATGGGCATAATGGGCGAACTATTACAGGCCACGCGCAGGGCGCGTCCAACATTCTCCGGGCCCGAAAGCATTTTGGACCCCGCGATGAATTCGAAAAAAAGTTGTTTCTCTCATTGAGAGGCAGTGTGGTACGTCAAAGATGTTTGATTTGGGTTGACTGATACTGACCGAGCACGCAGTTATTTGAGGGTTTATATAACGACGCCATCGACTTGAGCTCCGAAGAGTGGGATGCCTTGGTGACAAATGACTTTGATCAAGATCACCCCGAAGGCCAAATCTTACGATGCCTAGCCAAGGCGCCTGTGTTGATCAAACGTGGCAAGCAAGCCAAAATTAATATGGAGGATCTGCAGCCTCTCAGAGAGGAGGTTCGGCCAATATATGAGCAGTGCAAACTAATCCTGAAAGACTTGAAGGCACGAAAGGTGCAATGCAAATCATCTGATCTCGGCAGCAACACAGAAACATTCATCACACGCCTACTGGAAGCCCACTACCTTCGCACTTATGGCATTGGGCTTGCAATCACCATTTTTTTCAACTGCATGCTTCAAGCACTCGATCCCAGTGATCGAATTTACAATACAGAATCCGGACCATTGGTTGAGGAGACACTTTTGCATGCCGAGGAATCCAATATGTTCAGGCCAGTGGGAGCAGGCTATAACATAATGTGCCTAGCGGCGGCATGGGCAGCAACCACCGATTCCCAATTGCGACTACAAGTTGAGGCATCTATGCTTGATTATTACGGGGATTTCTCGATCAACAATCGACCCCATCTCTACGAGCACTTGGAATTAGCAAGGAGCAATTTATGGCTTGCAGACATCCCAGCACCACAAATGGGAAATTGAAAAGCCTCAAACCATTCTGGGGCTCAGGATGCCACGGGTGTGGGAATAGATACCAGTGTTGAGGAGGTCTAAATCTAGCCCAAACAAAAGTTGGAAGGCTACTGTTTGGCAAAAAGAACTGGCTCATTCGGCCACGATTGGAGACATTCAGACCGAACCTTGGAAAGTTCCAAGGGTTGAATACCTGTGGACATCCAACTTCGAGCGGGCATACAAAAATGCCAACATTGCTCCTGGGGAGCTACTAGGTAGCTACATACAGTTTGCCCTAAATATAATATACCTAGGTATTTACAACTTGCATGTAGTAATTCATGTGGCCTCGTTCCAAGGTTGTATCTCCGCCGTCTCCAATCCTACATGCAGTATTCTCTTTGTTTCGGGATCTGGACCACATAGATCATACAGAACATACATCAAAAGCCGGTGCTCTGCCTTTCCTAAACGGATTGCCCACCCATTGGCGCCTCAGGCGAGCCAGAAATTCATGGAACGAGAGTAATTCCGAGATGTGTTCCTCCTGAATGGAGTAAACAAAGTGTGAGCCCTGGAGCCCACCTTCACTTTCCTCTCACCCACTTCCTCTCTCTGTCAGCTCGGTCGCGTTCAAATTTCTTTTTGCAAGCCTACCGCACATTCCACAAAGAAGATGAACGTCAATAACCTCCGTTCTGATGCGGAAGAGCATCTGAAGCTGGCTCAAGGTACAGCGGATGTCTCCGATCAAGATGAAAACTGGAACGAAGCGTTGATCACAACACCACTCTTCACCTTGGCCGCGTCTGAGAGTCTTGCCGCTAACCATGAGAATGGGGATGCGGACAAGGATAAACGGACAAAGAAAGAATCTTCCATCCAATATGGGCTTCTTGGAATGCGTATCCAGGGTCCTGGAGATACTTCTGAGCCGAACAATCTTGTGTACACCAATGTATCGGCCCCATGGTCTGCATTTATTTGCGGTAGCCAAGGGTCTGGAAAAAGCCATACATTCTCATGCTTGCTGGAGAACATGCTGATGTCTCCCTCCCCTGTGGGAAAGTTGAATTCCCCTCTTACTGGCCTGGCTATGCATTATGACAAGTTCACGACCTTCTCGAGCACCCAACTCAGCGAAGCTGCGTACCTCTTCACCGCCGGTATTCCTGTGAGAGTTCTTGTTTCGCCCACAAACTACTCTACTATGAAAGCCGCATATGAGGGAATATCGAAGGGTAACAGGTTGTTCGTTGTCGAGCCTCTGTATCTTCCACAGAGATATCTCAACACCAGCATGATGAAGACTCTGATGGGCATCAACAACAAAGCGGGACAGCCACTTTACATGGAGGTTTGTGCATATCCGATTTGATTCTCGCCCTTCAGGATTACAAGGCTAATTGTCTCTCTTTCTTACAGGTCGTCCTGAAGATTCTTCGACAGATGGCCGTTATGAACCAGGGACAAGCGGGATTCAACTATGCCGAATTCAAGCGTAGACTTGCATGCGAGGAGTTCATCAGAGGTCAGCTAGGACCACTGCACATGCGCTTGGAGGTTCTGGAATCGTTCTTCGAGCCTGGTTCCGTGCCTAACGTAAAGTCGAACGGCCCCAGGGTGGCGACCAGGAGCACATGGAGCTTCCCTCCTGGAAGTTTGACCATCATTGACCTGAGCTGTCCATTTGTTGACCCAGAAGATGCATGTGTTCTTTTCAACATCTCTGCCTCGTTGTTCCTGAAGGACCGTCGTGAAACCGGTCGAGTCATTGCTATGGATGAAGCCCACAAGGTAATGACCGATTCTCGATCTCTCAAGCGCCTGATCCCACGCTAACTACTAGGAACTCTATGTAGTTTTTGAACTCCACCGCACCCGAAGCCCTCGAGCTTACCGAGACTTTGCTGTCCATCATTCGACAGCAGCGCCATCTCGCCACCCGCGTCCTGATCGCGACACAGGAGCCAACACTCGCTCCAGCGCTACTCGAACTGTGCAACATGACCATCATTCACCGATTCTCATCCCCTGCATGGTATCGAGCAATCAAGGCGCACATTGCAGGCGCAGATAACAACAACAACCAGGATGTCCAGAGTGGCAAGATCTTCGACAAAATTGTCCGCCTGGCGACGGGTGAAGGACTCTTGTTTTGCCCAACTGCTCTCTTGGATGTTGGAAGAATGGCGGAAAGCGAGATCGGCGGGCGCTACTCAAATGAGCTGTTCGAGGCTTTCAGTACCTCAGAGTATGGGACTACCTCGCGAAAGGGCGGTTACTTCAACGCCGAGACCGCGAACAGTAGCTGGGGCCGCGCTGGGAATGCCACTCAACCTGTTAGGGGTCTCCCTTACCCACTTGGATCTGGACACGCCCTTATTCGAGTGCGACAGAGAATCACTGCCGACGGTGGACGCAGTATGTTGGAGCTTTGAAGGAGAGGCGCTATGGATTAGCGGGTGAATGAACTGGAGTGCGAATTGACTTGTTGCGGAGTGAATTGAAGGGCGAATTGACTTGTTGCTGAATGAACTGGAGGGTGAATGGACTTGTTCCTGATTGAATTGAACGCCAGATACACCAGATGAGCTGAGGGTTGAATGATCTGAAGCCTAGATAAAAAGGGTGTTTGGTGTTTGAAGTTTGTGGAGGCATGTATGGGAGCCCGCTGGGGTTTATGCCTGCATGTTTGATGTCAGATTAAGATCGATGCAAAGCTAGCCAGAAAAATCTCCTACGAATTGAATTAGTACTGATCAAATTCCCTATGAAAGTTTCAAGAGCGCTGATGTCCGGGGTAACTGGCTGCTCCTAATGTTGGTTGGAAGCGCTAGCTGCATCCAAGCTTCAACTGAGCAATCAAAGAGGGCTAGGACAATAGTATCTCTGCACCTCATGTGGAAAACTAAGTCACTTCTCGTTCGTATGTACACTCAACACCTACGCAATTTTGTCAGAAGCTCTGATCACTACCTAGCTCCCATTCATCTTGCATGACCAATTTGATGCCCATGCCAATGTAATTTCCCCGTATGTGGGTAATTGGAATATACTTCTACCGTCGCGTTCAGAATATGAATTACACCTGCTCTACCTTAATGTACCTGCAATCATCATTTGGCCTTTTCATAACAACCCTACACTTCCAAGGTTGATCTCAATGAGGTAAGGCGAGCACTAGGTACTCCCAATGTAGACCTTGGGTGAGAATGAGGCTCACGCAACCCCCAGTCGAGTTGTATGTTATTGGATGCCAGCTCTCGTTCATGGATTACACTCTTGCTTCCGCGCCGTCCTCTAATTTTATATTGTTTCGGCTGTAAGCAGCCTACCTGACACGTTAGCTGTCACGTCGTTTCAATCGAATACGTCAAAATGATAGCCTGAAGCGCCCAGGTCGGTCTTGACCTTTGCCTTCGCGTCATGTCTAAGCTTTCGTAGGCCGCTTACGACGACAGTCAATCCACAAGAATAAGAGGGTGACTACGATGATATATAATGTCAGACAAGAGGCAAGATACAGCCAAAGACGGCTTGAATCAACCGTGGAAATGTCGGAAGACACGAACACACGCTCGAGGCCGAACGGGGGCTGTTTGTTACAACAGTTGAGACATGAGTCGGCCCCGAAAGGCAACCTTGAAAAGTAATGAGATAGAACATTTGAATCTCCTCCAGAAAGTAGCGAATGAGTGCTGTTCCGAGGCTGTGTTCATGCTCTGTAACACTCACCATTTTCGAAGATAGCCCCTAGGCAGCCGTTTTGGAATTTGCCAGAGTCTCTGCGAGGGGCGAATGCAGATCGCTGGGGCATGTAGACTCTCCAATGCAGACCTACATTGGCTAATTGCTCTTTTCCGTGATGATTGCAAACGTGGGATACCTTTCGCTTGGCATTGTCCTACCTTAAAGCCGCCAAGAATACCCAAGGGGCCCAATGTTTCCGGTGCGCTAAGGCCTTTCGGAGCCATTGTCCCACAGATATTCGTTTGAGGAGCCTGAGACAGAAGCCATGATCCGGTGGTTTAGAGGCAATGCTAAGATATGCCTTTCGCTTTTATGCGACTGCCACTACAGAGAACAGTAATCAAGCAGCAGTTTTCAGGGTCTACTCCACGATCTATAGTCTACTACGATAGCCTCACTCTAAATTATCTAGCTGCCGGGTCCCACAGTTATCCCTGGCGATCCGCATTCAAGCTAAATGGGCTGCAGCGGTCATCCTGGGGGACCCGTGCCTTCGCCAATGACCTGAGGATTAGCCTGAAAGATCTCATATGGCAATACGGAGTATAAACAGGAGATATGACGCGCGGCCAGTCGAATTCATGGATGCTGTACGTCATGAAATTACCGATGGGAAATTCGATTCTGGGCTGAAAGTGACTTTGCGGGCTACAACTTCGATTGTCATTCCCGTTGACCATTTTGGGCCCCTTGACCTACAAAGGGACATCACGGGAACTTGGAAATGCAGTACTCATCCTGTTGTCTTTGTACCCCCGTATACTTTGGAGCACGACGTACGATGGATCAAGGCACCATGGAAAATCGGCCCAAAAATAAAGGTAAGATAGAACCGAAGACCCTGTGAGATGTACGGCTGAAATTGATATCAGGATATAAAGTATCGTTCCCCCATCGTTCATCTTGTCTTTTGCTTCCTTCAAGCTCTTTGCTACTATATTGCCGCTCAGCACTGAAACCTTGCAAGCCAACTTGCTTACAGACTTTCAATTGAGTGAACTCTTCGCCAATATGCAGATCAAAGTTTTCACTCTGGCCACTTTGGCTGCTACAGCAGCAGGTATGATATTCTACCTTGAGAGAATCATTAGTATCTTATACGTCTCGAATAGGCCTCGTCGTTACCTCCCCACGAATGGGCGAGAAGATTGATCCCGATCGACCTCTTACGATCAAATGGCAGTCGGTCGAGTAAGTCGCCAGACTTTTGAGGAGATCGATTTGTTTATATCAAAATATGCTCATAAAAATCAAACAATAGAACTGATCCCGACACCTTTGAGATCCAGCTCGTCAACCAAAACGTCTATCCTCCAACCACCGAGGTGGTAGCCTCAGATGTTGACTCTTCGAGCGGCTCCTACACGGTGGATGCTAAGACCTTCAACGGTGTTGATACAGGGTAAGCGAAGGCCACACTCCATGTTGGACTGGTCGCTGACCTCTATATAGGAAAGGATACCAGATCAACTTCCTTTCCCCGACCAATGGTATTCTGGCCCAGTCGCAGCAATTCCGAGTGACTGAGCCTGGTGCGCTTTCTAGCATGAGCTCTGGTAAGGAAACCAGTACTGCAAGTGAAACTTCGTCCATGGAGTCGTCCACGTTGCTTTCCACGGCGTCGACAAGTGATGTTACTTCTTCGAGTGTCTCTTATCCCTCGTCGACTGCTACTCACTCCTCCGCCAGTGCGTCTTCCCCTACCTCGTCCTATTCATCTACTGCTTCCTCTACCTCTGTTACCCCTACTTCGTCTTCTTGGATGACCAGCTCCTCTAAAAGTGCGTCTACCTCTTTCGTTGCAACCTCGTCATCTGCCTCTACAACAATTTCTTCCCCTGCCTCTACGTCAAGCCCTATCAGCATGCAAACATCGACAGAAACAGCCACATCTGCATCCAAGCTTACCACCTCTGCTTCGTTCTCAGTCTCTTCTTCAACCCTGACACCCTCAACCTCTGTCATCACATCAAGCTCTGCCAGTTCTTCCATCTCCACAACCCCGACTACACCCACTTCATCTACCTCATTCATCACATCTACTTCTCGCTCTACTTCTATCTCCAAAAGCACTTCTTCCACCTCTCACTCTTCCACCAGCCGGGGTTAGTAAAGGCGGAAAGCACGGCTTCCAAGATCACAACTTGCATATACCATTGAGATTTAAGAGCCATATCACTAACATATCCTTTGATAGTGACGACTGAGACATCTACCATGACCTCCACTTCCATGTCTACTTCAACTCACTCGACCACGACCTCGACCACGACTCACCGCACAACCTCGACCTCGACCTCGACCGCTACCGAGTCGGCGACTACTACTGCCAATGCTGGTGCTGTCTTGATGCCTCCTGCTGGTAGTCTTCTTTTGGGTCTGTTCGCCTTGGCTCTCTAGACATTGCCTTGGGTACATGACAACAGTCCTGCAGATATCCTAGTGGCTAAAATGCGGTCATGGATTTGGTGTGGCGCTTTGTGTCGACCAGTGCCTTTTTGAGTCGATGCAAGGGCGGAGAAGCTACATGGTTTGGTTTCGTATGATTTTATGGATGTCTGTGTTGATGATTTGGTTTATAAACCTTCGATATGCCCCTACATTAATGAGATATGTTTTTGCTCCCCGTTCGATCCACAAGGCCTCCAACTGGAGTTTTACATGCGTATACAGTGAGTCTGCGGCATCTTGATTTGAGCCCTATGTACCTAGTAGAATGAAATAGGGCAGAGCCCATGGAATATACACGAAACAATCTGAAGTACAAATTTATTGACATAGAAAGATAGGGGTATCTGGCAATAGAGGCATTGGGCAACGCTTGTGAGCCATATGTGCAACATCATGATTTGCCGATGCTTTCATTGGGTCGATCCCAGGTTCGAATGTGGCCTGATTGAAATGTCAGTATGGATGGGTTCAAAAACATCTGATTCCTAGCTGGGCCACAAACCTTCAAGAGAGGATGTCATAATACAATCTTTCTGGAAGCCAAGCCAGCAGATAGGGTCTTCACCGACGATCTTGGACTAAGACGATATTAGTTTCGCTTGAATTAAGAGAGCAGCCATTATATGAATGACTCACCATGATTGGGGGAAGCATAGCTGTGCGCGACCGAGGTTCCACGGGGTGACTGGTTGTCGGATCAATGTCTCCATTGAAGTTTTCCGTTCCATTGGAGTCCGAGCGCACACGACCGCCGCCACTGTCTGACCGATGGCGACTGGCGGTCTGTGTGCCTGGCACAACCATGCTCGTTCGGTTGCGAGTTGATGCGTGATGTCCCCTTGGACGATGGAGCATACCCACACTGAAATCCCACAGAAGAAGGCGGCAGTCATCGCCGACACTGCCTAGTCGGTAGGTTTTCTGGTCGCAGCGCCATGGGTCGAATGCCACTGAGGAAACCCAAGAGTTGTGACCTTGGCAACGTGCAACAATCTTGCGCTCGGGGAAGGACCAGATAGTCAATAGATCGTCTTGACCGCCAGTCACGATGTATTTGCCGTCTGGAGACCAGCAAACGCAGATTAGTCCACCATAGTAGCTTCGGAAGATATCCAAGACCCTGGAATAAGTTAGCATCAGGTTGGCTTATGATTGTGAGGTGAGAGTGGATCGTACTCCTCTTTTAGATAGTCCATTAGTCGCAGTGATCCATCTTCAAGGACAACAGCTAGGTGTCTTTGATCTGGAGAAAAAGAAAAGCTGGAAACCTTCTGGTTTGCCATTTTCCAAAATGAAACAGGGTTCGTCTTTTGGTTCTTGGAGTTGACGGACTTGAGGATTTCCAAAGGCAACCTTCCCGTCTCTTTTTCAGAATGACCGTTTGACTCGGCAGTGAAAAGCGCATCCTCCTTCTCCTTATCGTACACAACCAGAACGCCATTGGCGTGGGACGCCATGAAAAGATTCTCGGATCCAGGTAGCCATTTAATATGGGTGACCGGAGAGTTATTGATCACGCCGTTTTTGTTGATCCGAGCATACTTTTGCGACATGGGCTCATACCAGATAATGTCGCCTGCAGAAGATCCCATCACAATATCCAAATGGGAAGCGGTCTTGGTGAGCTCATTGATGTCATGGCAGAGCATATGCGCCTTGGTGAAAAGCACCTTAGTGAGGTGTTCTTCTTTCGTAGGCGAGCTGAGGTCAAGCCATTGGAAGGCTCGGTTGATATTCGCGAATGCGAAGACACCATTGTTATCGCGGTCGCTCAGCCTCTTCGCAGATGTCTCATGTGTAATGACTCTCGAGACAAAGGAAGAGCTGCTCTTGATGATGTTGTTCTTCGGCTTCCTCCTCTTCAAAGCATCCTTCGATGTGACCGGTGGTGCCGCAAGTGCCGAGTTCCCATCACCGAATTGTGGTGCCGTAATCGCAGATTTCAAGAATGTCGGAGGCTTCTTTCGCGGGTCAAGGCTGACGAGGGACAACTTCACGCCACAGGTCGGAGGTGCCGGCACGGTAGTGAGAGGATTTGGGTTGACAATGGGAGCTTCGGAGGGATGCGGAGGCGGGGTTGCGAGTAAAAGGTCATCTTGGAGGACGTATGTGCCTGTCGTGGGGTTATGTGAGCGTTATCTTTGAAGAGGAAATGGGGTGCGGTGGACTCCGCAAGTCGCATCGACATTGACATCGACGTACCCTCTCCTACTTGTAATGGGCACCCCCGCTCGGGGTGAGTGATGGTATTATTTGTTTCAACAACAGGAACCGCCATACCATTGGCCGCCCCCGCCGCATACGCGACAGGGATGGTATAACGCGGAGGGGGAGGTGGGAGGACACTGCTAGCGTGTCAACAGAATGCCTATGTCAAGTCGCGTCACTCTCTACGTCCTTGCGCAAGGCTCAGAAGCAAAGCAGAGAGAAGATTGATACGGAGAGTGAGGAAAGAAGAGAGAGGAGCCTTACAACATGATCAAACGTCACGGCTCAGATTGAGCTTATAGGGCGATTCTGTGCGACCCCCGTGTTGAACCCGATAGGCTATGCAAACTTTGTGCTGCGTCAATTATACCACTATATCCTTCAGGTCTTTTATAAATGATATCGAGAAGTGGTCTTATAGGTCCGGGATGGAGTGGCTGACAGGCTGCAGATAAGAGGCGAGAGGTCCGGAATGGCGCAACGATGCAATATCGACGAAGGAGAGAGGAAGAGGTATATAGCGTTCGGGGGATATATGTATAGAGAATATACGTAGCGTAGTCGGTATGAGAGAAAGAGGGGGGATCGACTGAGGTGATGTCCGGGGTAAAGTTGGAGCGGAGAAGAAACGTGCCTGGGGCCCGAACCTCCGAGTCTCCGGGTAAATTTACTGGCATTCGATCATTCAAGCTTTACACAAAAGGGCCATGATATTGATTTGGGAATTACAAGATGCTCCAAATACTATGAGCAACGATGTCAAAAGATCCAACATTCTCGCAGACATTACTTAGTGTATCTGGAAGCGGACTTCTGCGGCCTAATTTCCGGTGCGCCGCCATATCATAATCGCCGCGGCACCAGCGCAGACTACTGCACCGAGGGCAATCCCCCACGACATCCATTTACCTTCCACGTCCTCCTCGCTCCGTGGAAAAGCAGTGCTGGGTTCCATGGCAGCCTCTGCGATATGGACAAACACTTCTTGTATGGAGCTCCAAGTCACACTTACGTGAAGAGGCGGGCTGGGCATGTTCAGCATGGCCGTGTATTCATGGGGCTGGTGCTCCGCCCGCTGGGTGGTCCGATCCAAATCAGCCTTGAGGGCAACAAAGACGCTCGGCAGCTCTTCCAAGTGGGGATATTTCGCCCACAAGGCCGGGATGTAAGCAAAGGAGTCCGGGTCCGAGGAGTCGTATGTGTATGCAATAACGTCGCATTGATCAAGTAACTTCGCTTGGTTTTCAAGGAGAGCAGGCTCCAATTCACCAAGTTCATCCAGAATCAGATAGCATTGCTTCCCCCCAGGAAGTTCAACTGTGTTGACGGCAGTTCGGGGTTGAATGGTAGGATGATAAAGTCCGTTGAAACCGCGCGAGAGGAGCGCATCGAGCAGAGCCGATTTGCCGGAACCGGGTGCTCCTAGAACGTGGCACTGGACGACATTTCGCCCAACACGACCAGGGCGCCGGCGCCTCTTGCGTGGCCGTGTGACTTTCAAAGCCGCCGTGATCGATTGATCACTTTGGTCGGATGGCTCAAAGCCTAGGTATGCCAGATACTCCAGGGTGGTCTTTGGGGAGAGGAAAGTTGTCATACTCCACTGGGCAAGCCAGCCCTGTAAAGTCACATCTCCTGCTTCGTTTCGGACCGTAGACGATGGGAATGAACCGTCGGCCCAAGATGCAGGCAAGCCAGGGGTAGGGGCAAACAATGATGCAAGCTCGGTCTCATTCAAGCCCCCATCATTGTCCTTGTCAGACAACAAAAACAAGTTGACGAAAAAGCGATAGCCTTCTGGGGATAGTTCTGCAGAAGCGAAAGGTGGAACTTCAAATTTGGGATGCAAGAATCTCTCCTGGAGAGAAAGATTGTCCGTGTACTGGAACGCGCGCAAGATGATCCAAACTGTTTCATGGCGTCCCTTCTCTGCATAAAGCTTGTTGAGGTGAATGAAGCCTTGACAATCGATGCCCGAATCTGTCACTGATTCTGGGAAGGTCTTCTGTATGGTTTCCTTGATGTGAAGGAGGTCCTCTTCATTCAGGGGCTTTCCGAAGCATCGATTTTGGAAATCTTTGATCTCTTTGTCTGAGAGATAGCCATCTCGGTCTTTATCGCAAAGATAGAAAATTCGTTGGAGAGCTGCCACTGCTGCCGGTTTGAGAGCTGATTCCTTGGAGTCGAACAAAGGTGCGATTGGGTGGGTTACGGCCTTCTGGCAGACGAAGAATGCTTCGTTCACGTTGCGATGTTCCCGTGCGCTGGTCCGAATACACGAGTCAATCTCTTTAAACTCTGCCATCAATGGGAGCATCTCCTCCTCGACTACCTGGGTGTGACCCGTGCCGAGATCGGATTTGTTTGCGCATAGTATCACGGGGACGTTGACGCCCAATGAACGGAAATATGGCAACCAGAACAAAGCTACTCGCTCGTAGCTGTAGTGGTCTGAGTATACCAGGAGGATGACGTTTGACTTGCGAATCTCCCGCGCGAGATTGTTTCGTTCCTGGGGTATGGCAGACGTATCGACAACGGTTGTAGTGGTGACATTCTCAGGGGTTCCGAGGGTAGGAGGTATTGTGATTTGAGGGAGGACTGGCTGGATCTTGTTTGTAACGAAGACACCTTTGACAAGAGAGGTGATCAGGCTAGACTTGCCAGTCCCTTCGTCTCCGCAGACGCAAATCCGAACTGCGAATCACGTCAGTACCTAGGTAGTGTTTCAAGAAGTCAACAGCAGTATGTACCGGTTGCCATGGTCGCATCTAGCGATTGCCCAATCGATCATACACCAATCATAACTTTGTGGTCAATGCAGGAGAGAATACGTGATTCGGAGCCCAGGTGGATTCGGAGACAATCGCGATGCGATAACAGACGGTCTTGGCGCCTGGGGCATCTACACGTGCAACTTGAGAGCTCTCGTTTCGTGCAGCCCTGGAGCTTTAGAATGCGATGCCACTGGAATCACCTTTGACGCCTCAGTAATGGCTCCAGGTGTCTTTTCTATCTTCCTACTGTACATGCCTCCCAAAGTGCCAAGCAATCTTCGTCTTGCTCCGCCACTGGCAACCTTGGAAGTGAGAAGAGGAACAATCTTTTCCCCAGATCCAATTGCATTCAGACTTGTACCCATCATCCCCTAATATTCAGGTGATTCTATCATCTTGGAATCGACAGTGATCTACAGTATAGTTTGTAAGCGCTGCATCCCCCAGAGCCTCCAGGGCTCCCACGAACTGGCGTCCCGTGTCAGCCGTCATACGGCCCACACCCCACTGACTAACCGCTTCCTCGTAGGACCCCGACCAGCGACCTTCTTCATCAACGTTGCTCTCCTTGTCTCCTTCGAGTTCTCGTTCGCGCTGCACAAATTCCGCCATGCCTCTGGGGATCAACAATCCGCTCCCATCATCGATGGGCAGTAAGTCCTTCCCCAATTCCAACAGCCCACTTCCCCGCAGTCGTGTGCGGCATCTCCGGCTAATACTGACTGCTCTCTGCACAGGCGAATGCAAGAAGGCCGCAAAGATCTTGACATCCTTCGTTGATCCTAAACAAGCATTCGGCCCCGACAAAGTCATTCCCCCAGAAATTCTGGCTGGCGCAAAGGTACGTTCCGCTTGCTCTTCCGTTGGAGAATGCATCGCCAACTGATCACTCTCAGGGTCTCGCGATTCTCACGGTTCTGAAAGCTGGTTTCCTGGGATCTGGTCGATTCGGCTCCGGTATCGTCGTCGCTCGCCTCGCTGATGGCACTTGGTCGGCCCCATCGGCCATTGCGACTGCCGGTGCTGGAATCGGAGGGCAAATTGGATTCGAGTTGACCGACTTTGTCTTCATTCTCAACGATGCGGCCGCTGTTCGCACTTTCTCGCAGTTTGGAACCCTGACCCTGGGTGGTAACGTCTCACTGGCTGCCGGACCCGTCGGCCGAAATGCCGAAGCGGCCGGAGCAGCCAGCACCAAGGGTGTCGCGGCCGTCTTCTCCTACTCCAAAACTAAGGGCCTTTTCGCAGGTGTCAGTTTGGAAGGTAGCATGCTGGTGGAACGCAAGGATGCCAACGAGAAGTTGTATCGAAGCCGCGTCTCTGCCAACCAATTGCTCACTGGAAGCGTTCGACCACCCCCAGCGTCTGAAGCCCTCATGCGCGTGTTGAACTCTCGCGCCTTCCAAGGAAACGCGAGAGCCTACGGAGACTCCATGTACAATGACATCCCCGTCTACGACGACAGTCACGACGATGTGGTCTGGGAAGGACGCAAAGGCGATGCCTACGGCCAGGGAAGCCGGCGCAGCCGAGCTAACACCGCCGACGATGACTACAGTTACCAGGACAAGCCGCGCCGCGCAAATACTTGGGCCGATGATGTTTACGACCGGCCCGCTGGAGGACGTTCTTCGACATCCCGGGCAGCCCCCAGTGACTCATATGACAACTTTGGGCGCAACCGAAGCAACACTGCGCCATTTGATGAGGACTATGTCTACTCGGATCGCCGACCCACTCGTCCCACGGCTCCCAAGCCTGTTTTCGGACAAAAGACAGGCTCGGCCCAGCTACGATCAGACCAGGCGATTGCTCTCTACACATTTGACGCTGACCAGGATGGGGATCTCGGTTTCAAGAAGGGTGAAATCATTACGATCCTCAAGCGGACCGAAAAAGCCGAAGATTGGTGGACCGGCCGTGTCGGTAACCGCGAGGGTATCTTCCCCAGGTACGTGTTGTCTTGCCCAAACATTACCAGAGAGTATGCTAATCTTAGTGCAGCAACTATGTCGATGCTTCTTGAGACTGTGTCTGTCTGCTGGTTCAAGCAGCGCATTCTGTGAACACCCAATGCATATTTCTCCGTGTGGTGCATGAACATACATGCCTTCGATCCTCAATGCTCTCAATATATCCTGGCGTCTGCGGATTTGCCGTTCTGTTCTTTCTCACGTCCTGCCTTTTCCATTCTTCAGCGTGGAGTTCCTCGTTCTCGTGCTTGGGGCAAATTATCATTTTCATCGTTTTTGGTTCCCGGCAATACATCTCCCTTCTTTGGTCGCCATCCCCCTCAAGTTTTATCCTTATCCGTGCTCCAAGGCCTTTCAGGCAGCAAATATCTTGGCTCTCGTGCGCTCAGTGGGCTTGAGGGGGTCCTGAGGTCCCCCAATATAGTTACAGATGTTCACATGAATGCCCAGGTCACCTGTAGCTCGCCAGATGTCCTTCTCCGGTCCCCGTACTTTTGTCATTATTATTTGCTTATCCCCAAAAGTTATCACATGATGTAAGTCGACTGCATGTCAATCATGATCTCGATGAGGTGTCCTCAAATGTCATTTTTCGGGGAGAGGTGAGGTCACACGACTTTGAGGTATATCGTAATACCAGGAGGGTCAGGAGTACACGACGCGCTGAAGTACCCTGATCCCATTCTAGTGCATGTCCTTGAGTGACCCTGGAGTACTTCTCACGGACGTTGCGAGGGCAAATAGTAAGTTATCGCTGTTAGTGGGGTTTGAAATTGCTCGAGGCTTTAGGCTCCCAAGCTGACGAGGAGGCAACGAGTACGAGAGGCAGTGCCACTTCCTTAGTATAGTCCGTTCGACCCGAGCCAAATATATACAAAGAAAAGGCGGAACATTGTAGTACTAGAGACAGATATATGTAGATCATTCGCTCTAAGTGGATCCCAGAATGAATAAAGAACCGATAGACCAAACCCCAAGAACTAAAGGGATTTAAAAACCCTCGGAAGAAAGGCCTAACGAAAGCGAAAACACATCGAACAGATTAATTTGTGTGTCAGGTGCCGAAGTCAGCTCTCTCCGCCTTACACCCTTCTTTCCTCTTTGGAAACCCACTCGAGACGAATGTGTTGTCTTTCCGCTTCAATGACTCTTCGTCTGTTTCTTCCGACTGTCTTCTCTTGAGTTTTCGCCCGTTGGGCTCTAGGGTCTTTGGTACCTGTACTCCGTACGATTGGCTCCCATGCAGGTATGTCCCTTGTCCTTGCTTCTCTGACTGAAGCCCCTCCTATCTTGACCCCTCGTTTCTCCCCTAGTCGGGAGAGCATTGTTCGATGAGACCGGTCTAATCTAACCTGTTGGATCCCAGGCCTCAACGAGTGCCCATGAGGCCGGACACGCGACGCGGCGAGGGCATGCCCCCCATTTGTCGATTAGCGACCCAAGCCACCATGTGACGGAAGCGATCGGACACATGTACGACGACGACTACGATCGTAATGATCCGAGACGCCTCAGCTACATAACCTCTCCACTGGGCGAGTCTATCACCACCATCCCGCGAACCGCCGCAGGTGCCGAGTCGCTCTCCCCGTCTTCACCTCTACAGAACTCGTTTTCCGGGCAAACGATACCAGGGAATGGCCAACAGCGACCGCCACTTGTTGAGAAGTGGTCCTATGAAGCTGCATCTGATGCCGGACATTCCGATGACACTCGGCCGCCCTCTGAAACAGCGACCTCCTCCTTCCCACTCAACGATATCGACTACGAGTCCAATCCCGCGGCCGTAGCCCAAGAATTGAATAACCTCGCGGCAATCCGACGCATGTCCATGGATGTGGCTGCCGCCGGGGACCCTGACCTTCCCGGCTTCTCCCCACCCCCCAGTCCATCGGCCGACGAAGATGATGCCTCACGCTTATTCTGGGTGCCCGCGCGATTGCACCCTGAGCTGGCCCCCAAAGAGTTCAAATCATTCTTGGACAGCAAGGCGGATCACATAAAGCGCAGATCTGGGGATTACTCTAAGGAACGCAAAGGATCGACAGGTGGGCTTCATCGCAAGAAGTCTATGCTGTCAAGGCAGATCGACAATTCCTCGGGTTATACGGATGGTGCGGATCGGCTTGAACGACAGCGCTCGCAGTCAAGCAAGCGAGAAGCCGTTCTCAGTCCTAATCTACAGCAATTGGAAACCCTGGTGGATGATTCAAACCCCGTGGATAAGGACACGCTTCTGCGTGGGATGCAAAATGCTAGCATCAAGGATGAGGACAAACCGATTTTACCTCCTGCGCCTTTGGGAAACAGTTTGAGACGCTCCACTCGGACGCAGTACATCAAAGCGGGCACTGTGAAAAAGGGCGAAAAATTACCCTACTCCAAGCGCGTGGGCCGGGGGGCCTCAGAGTCCGCAGGAAGTGACACAGGTTCCAGGACGATTTCACAGCATGAGGATCAGGCAATTCCAGGCTCAACGCGCGTGTCAACTGACCATGCCCCTAATGCGGCGACACGGCGTGCGCGAACCTCGTCTACCTCCTCTAGGAGCGGCGCTTATTCCCCGGCTCTCTCCGCAAGCTCGACATTCGAATCTATCGCCGATCACCCCGAGGCCGAGCAAGAAGAATTCCCCACACCCGGGGGGCATGGAGATGCTACCGCGGACCGACCTGAATCGAGGGAATCGGATCACTCACGGCAATGGCAATCTAGCATCAGCTCGAATGGACGCTCCACCGTCAACACCGCCCCGGCACAACAGAATATCCCGGCAATCGTTGAAACACCACCCGCTCCTGAGCCCACACGCAGCTCACCCCCTCAAAGTGCCCGGTCGTCAGATCCTCCCGCGGCAGCGGCACCACAGAAACCTTCACATCCCCACGAGTCGTCATCAAAACGCTCGAAAAATGCTCGCCAGCCTCAAGAACCAGCATCCTCGCTTGACGACTTGTCCAGTAACCCGCAGATGGTGCCTGGTAATAGCACCCGCACCGACAGTCTTTCTTTGATACCTACTCTCCCAGAAGAGCGCAAAAGCGAAGAGCGAAAGTCCGACACGAAAAAATCAAAGGACAAGAAAGACTCCGAAGGCAGCCGCAAGTCTAGCTGGCATTGGTTACTGGGTAGTGAAGAAAAAGACAAGAAAAAAGACAAGGACAGTGACTCCAAAAAGAGCAAATCAAAAGGCTCTGATAAAGCTCATGACAACACGCGCACGGATGCACTCCAGTCCTCAAGTGAGAGTACACCTCGGGCACGCGAAAGTCTGATTTTGGATCGACTAGACCCGAAGCTAGACGAAGAACGCCGCAAAGACAGCGTAAGGAGGACATCAGGGGATTCGAAGAAAGAAAAAGATGGTATATTTTCCTCCATCTTCGGTGGTGGCCGAAAAAAGCACAGCAGTGAAGGTCATCATCGCAAACATTCATCCCGAAACCTGTCCCCTGAGCCCCCGATGCGGATACTTCGTGCTGATCTTGATTATCCTTGGACCCGGTTCTCCATCTTGGAGGAAAGGGCTATTTATCGCATGGCACATATCAAACTTGCAAATCCCAAACGAGCCCTGTACTCTCAGGTATTGCTGAGTAACTTTATGTACTCATACCTGGCCAAGGTCCAGCAAATGCATCCTCAAATGTCATCTGCATCATCTGGATCCTCCCATCGATCATCCTCAAAGTCCAGGGACCAGCCAGATGAGTATACGCAATACCAGCGATACCAGGAGGTACGCAACCCACTTCACTCTTTGGATCCAGTACATTAGCTAACCTCCAATGTGCAGGCTCAGGCTCAGGCTCAGGAGCAGCACTACGCGGAACGCGGATATGATGACTCCTCTGCTTACGACTATGACGACGATCCACATGATCGCTACGGCGCTCAGTCCAGGGGCAGCAAGCAGGGTTATGAAAATGGCAATGCTTACGGCCCTGGACATTATCAGTATGGACACTCGTCGTTTGGCGACGACGTCCAACTAGATGACGATGATGACGATGATATGTGGTGAAACTAAATCCCGCTTCCTCATTCGTTTCCTTTCTGTATCTTTTCTCCGATACCTTGCTTCGTCTTTAGCAGCTCACGGAAATACCCATGCTTATTGTCGGTTCTAGATGTTACTAGAACATGTACATCCAAGCCGCGTTCTCCATTATCATAGATCCTCATTGTATTATCCGCACTGGCTCGTATTCTCATTCGCGCATGCTGTGGTGACCTACCACCTTACTGGAAGGGGATTCCTCCCCTTTCTTATGGTGGATTCATAGGCCCTTTTTCTCTTTTCTGTGGTTACGGTTGTCGTGGCCGTGTGGCCTTCAAGGTTGAGGGCTGCAATATATCCTGTCTGTGTCCTCTCATTTTCCTGTTCGCATAGCGCCTGGTGGTTTTCTATTTTCCATTTTCCCTGTTCCTAGCTCCAATTGACTGTCTAGTCTGGGTCTTGCGGCTTCCAATGCTCTTTTTATGGATCCGGCATCTCGTCGATGGAACGAACGCAATGAACACAGATCTATTGCATCCCGAGTCTCGTCTATATATCCTCTTGGTCAAGTCCACGGTGCCCAGGTGCCCATGGATGTAACGGGTGCAGTTGAAACCTTGGAAGCACTCGGAATAGCTACCTAGGTAGGTAGCTAGTAATTACTGGGCATCATGCCGTGCTCAAGCTCAATATCACACCTGGCCAGATACTAGGTACTCACTTGGGCACAAATCGACCTCAGGAGGTTCGGATTTTTATGTGGTCGGGATACTGTTTCGATTATATACCCGTGGACACCCTCGTTGATACCTACATAGGTACAACCAAAGGACCGCCTTTTTTTTTTTTTTTTAAATGAGATATGTAGCGTTAGCCATTCAGCAGGTTAAAGGCTTTTGTTTTATTTTTTGAATTGGGGTTTCTAGAATTCTGGCTACTCCCGAGTCTCACACCGTTCAAACTCTTTGTAGAAGCCTTCTAATATCCCATCTGAATTGGGTCGGAAGAGCATGACCAGCTGGGGGAATGTTTACAGACGTTGCATTCCTTGCGACGAATGGCCCATTCGAAATGTCCAGAGGATCGTATCGGGACTCCAAGTCAATGTTGACCTAAAGGGTGGTGGATCTGGTTTCGTAGATCCCAAAATTTTAAATAAAAACCCCAAGAAAATGGAGGTAAATAATGATAGAAATGATCAAACTCCTCATTCTTCTAGACCAGAGGAATCATAGCTTATCGAGCGAGCTGGCAGTGGTCTTGGGGGTTTGTCTTAATGTGTTGAGAGAGACGTGAGGACAGGAGGGAGAGAAAGAAAGAAGCTCTGGATATCTACAAACAACCTTGGAAAATAGTTAACTAGTTAACTAGTTATGTACCCTGGAGCGCAATCCCGAAGCCAAACAAAATGCCTTGACTATCTCCAATGTCGCCCGGACAGCAAAGCTTGCACGATCTCCCTATCCCCTTCCGATGATCTCCGCTCAGTGGTCGTTCCTACAAATTTATCATAATAGAATTTTCCCACATCAAGTCCAGCTCGGGTTACCGGGTCCTGCCCTTCCCGTCCAAAAATTCGTCGATTACCTCTCTTCTGGGCATCCACATGAAAGCCCTTTTGGTCATCAAAGCAAAACTGAATCGATATCTTAACGTTTTCTGCGAGTGTGCGGCTGAAGCCGGTAACGTTTTGACGGGTTGTGTGGTACTGATCCTGATGATAGAGTGTTAACTACTAATTGACTCTCTCTCTAAATTGAGAGTCATATATTTTGTTCTTACCACGAATGTGTAAGTCTTGAGAGTGATGCCATCAAACCCCTTCCGTTACCACCTATCCACGCTGCAGCCGCTACAAGTGGATCGAAGACTTCGATGGGTTCAGACATATCTGCTTCTCAGATTGATCGTAGTTTGAGAGTGGATGGGTTGAAGAAGGCAAGTGGACTGAAGATGAAAGTTGAAGAACGTAGTCAGAGAACACCCGGGCAGAACCTTGAAGGGCAGGGTCTTGCTCCTTATGTATTTTTCAAGGCTATCATGGATATGATAAGATCCAATGCCTACCTAGGTAGATGCAGGTGGCTTCAAGGTTGATAACAGGTGCCCAGGTGATATCCTTGCAACCTTCCAAGGTTGGAAGGCAGACAGATACAAGAGGCTCAATTTTATCACCACATAGGTTGGATAATAACCATCTATTGCTGATTTTGCAATAGCGACCCTTTAATACGCGTGTCTTACTGATGGGCTGTTAGAGCTTGGAAGCTAGCTAATCTTCACGTTACACATTTCTGCTCCGCATCCGGCGCATTTTGTTTGCTGCGAGAATGCACCCAGGTTCGCTTCTTGGCAAGGCAAATGGCCCCCAGATGGGCTAGCAAGGTGGATATATCATATAAGTCCTTGCAAATAGTATGCAGCTCTCTATAATCAGTTAGATACAGAGGGCTTCTCTGTCCCCTTTATCTCTCGGACGGTCCTTAACACATTATTCCAGAATCACCATGTGATGCTTTTTGCTAATTAGAATACGAATTTTCCCACAAAGCGGTTGCCCAACAGTGACTGATATTTGAAAGATACACTATCCATGTTTGCTCCAGGGCCCCCCTGTCGGATCGACATAGATTGAGCTTTAATCGATAGAACGAGGGCTCCACCACGTCGGATCCATGCAGTATCATAGTCTTTTCACCCGGGTGAAAGCTGCAGGGAGAAAAGCCCTTGATGGTCTTAGGACCGAGCGTACACATCTTACATAGGGAGTAAACCATCCGCAATAGAATTTGGATTGCCAAATTTCACAAGCCACTGAGCAAATCCACGGAAATCAAGGACAAAAGCTGGAGGCGAAGACATTGAATCTAGTAGCGAAAGAACACAAAGTCATGTACATATGGTGCACCCAGTGCGGACAATATGGTCCAAACAGAGACGGATTGATCATCCTTGACCCACATAGTACCGTCCGTAATGCTCAGTGCCCATGTGAGCCCGCGCCAGGCGCGTCAGGGGGCTATTTTCCTAAAAGTATAGTACATCAACACTTAAAGATATGGCCAAGGTCTGCATTGTTTAGGAGGCTGAATCTTGGCATATTTGTAATGTTTGGGCCCAATGTGCCCCCAGAAAAGCCCACTGGGCTTCGACCCAGAGCCCAGAGCCCATTACTGGGCCCGGACTTTCTGGGCTGGCCCGGAACTGGAGTCTTGGTACGGAGTAGGATAACAGAAGCCCTGACATACTGCGTGCCCAGGTGTGCCTAGCTTTTTAGGTGCATATACACCCTCAAACAGCCCGGGAATGTCATACTGCCCAGGTATAACTATGCGATTCATCCATGGTACTGTGAGTGCTTTTGACTTCGTTTCGTCGGAACCGTCAAGCGTGAACCGTGGTTGAGATTTTGCCAACCGCGGATGAAGCCTCCACGCTGACCGTGCACTTACGATGACATCACGCCGTCGCGGTCATCATGTGACCTTCTGTCGTGTTCCCGCCCTGGAGGTTAGTTATCTTATCGTGGGTTATCAGATCCCTGAATGAAAAAGCCATTTTCTCTGCCCCGCCTGACAGTTGATCCGTGGCGTGAACGGGGACATCCAGTCGTGTCGGTCTCAGGGTATGAAACGCGTACGCTGATACAAACTCTCTTCAAACCTCTGCGACATCAACGATGGGGGACTCCAAAGACAACCTCGTCCAGGTACGTCACACTGCTGCCACACTTTAGGCCCGGCTAGTATTGGGTCCTTGTGTATCGTGATTCAGACTGACAGTTGTTTTCATTCGCAGGAGCTTGCAAGCGTGTACTGCCCACAGATCGACCCGGCCCTGTTTCAGGCGATTGTTCTAGACTATGACTTAGCAGACCCAGACCAGGTTGCACAGTTGCGTGAGATCCTGGACGTTGTTAAGACTTCTGCCATCGAGCAAGGAAATCTGCCGTTTGATCCAACGGGAACCACCAATCTTAGAATTGATGAATGCGCAGGTTCACCACGCACGGAAACCCCCGCCGGTGCAATACATCCTGACACCCTCCTGCCCTCCATCGAGTATCTTGATTTGGACAATGATGGCTTTAACTGCATCAGTGATGGCAACAGTGGGGTCAATGCATCTCGGCGTGCACAGATTTCTTCGGGCATGACCAGTGCCGAGAAAGCTCAGAGCTTGATCAGCATGTTCCCGAGTATCACCCGGCTAGAGGCTGAGAGTATCCTCGGGGACTCTCGCGATGATCTAAGTCGTTCAATGGATGTTCTGTTGAACCTTGCTTTCATCGAAGAGACTAAGATCGCCGGGGACGCTTCCCAACAAGCCGAGATTGCCCAGGGATTCCGTCAGCCTTTGGCCCTCAAGTCAATTGATGGATTTGAAGCCAAGGAAAGTGAAAACGGCAACAAGAAAAGCCGCAGAAAGAGAAACAAGCAGCGTAAGCAGAACGTCGTGGATCTGGCTGCAGAGGCTACCACTGAGCCTGTGACGAACAAATGGGAGACTGGCGCGAAGGACATCGATTTCATTGCCTCGCGCGCTTGCGATCTGTCGAGAGAGAAAGTTGCCTCGACCTATCACGCCAATTCCATGTCTCTTTGCGCGACGCTGCGAGTCTTGGCGAATGCCCAAGCCCCGGCGGACATTGAGGAGATCGAGGAAGACCCGGTACTTGTTACACAAGTGGGAGATCTCGTCCACAAGTACCCAGCTGTTGCTCCCACGACCTTGGTCGGGTTGATCAGAATTGCCAATGAGAACCTATCTGCGGCAGATGAATTAGCGGAAGCGTTGTCACGTCGGCCTGCCCTAAGCTCCATTTCCAACATCATTGCCTTTGTTTCACAACCTCCTGTCATAGAGGAAGACGAAAATTCTGCACCAGAAAGAGAGGTAGACAGCTTTGCAGAGGACATGGACTTTAATCAGGCGTCAGCGGCTGCCGCTTCCCATTTCGCGGCTCGATCGGTAGCCCTGGGGCAGGCATCACAGTCAGCTCGTCGTGCACGATCAAACCACCTTTACGGCGGTGCATCTGCTTATTATCGTGAAGTCGGAAACGAGCAGCGGCAACTAGCCATGCGCCATACGGCAACTGCTTCTGATAGGCTCGTGGCGCACCAGTCGAGAAACTGCGACTTGGATCTGCATGGTGTGAACGTCGCCAATGCAGTCAGAATCTCCCGACAGGGTGTTGAGAGTTGGTGGGAGGCCTTGGGCGACCGTAAGTACGTTCGCGGCGGCGGAAGAGACGTTCACGGGGGCTTCAAGATCGTGTGTGGTGTTGGCAACCACTCCCAGGACCGTAAGTCTCATTTGGGGCCTGCTGTTTGGAAAATGTTGCGCGGCGAGGGCTGGCGTGTGGAGTTAGATCGGGGCTCCATGTTGGTGACTGGAAGGGAGCGTCGTTAGATACTCCCGAGGCCAAGTCGTGCTTTCTTTGGTGGTATTTGTGACAGTACGGCGTATGGCTTTTGAGATACCCCGGCATGAGTGGAGTTTTTCTGGCATATGTGGCAATTTTCAATCAATCACAATTTTCGATATGCTAGGCTGTGCCGTAGAATAGTTCTGAATCAATAGAGCTATATAGAGTGAGCGAGGCAAAGTAGAAATAGAGATGTCTCAGTCTAGGCTTTAAGCAGTCCCCGACGGGTCTCCCCGCATGATGACGCAAATCCCCAACCGGGATTAGCCTCACTCCACTCGGGATTTTTTACTCACACATCTCTTGTCTCTGCATCTTATTTCCTGTCACTGTTCACTCCATGAGATCCCACGCATATCGCAGTTTAATCTCCCCCCTCAGGCCCCAAGTGACACCTCTCCGTCTAGCGTCGACCTTGTCATCTCGACCCTTGTCCAGTTCGGCCAAGCATCCCCGATCCAAGGCAGTTCCCAAGACCATTAGAGCTGTGTCTACTATCCCATTCATTGGTGCCTTTTTTAGTTCCAATCGTAACACCGACTCTTCTGCGACCATGTCATACCCCGATCAGCGAAGCGACGACCAGTGGAGAGCCGTTCTCAACCCAGGTTCGTGCGGCACAGCACATAACTGAAGCGCTACCCCATATCTCACCATATACTGACTGTAGCGTGAAATAGAACAATTCCGAATCCTCCGCGAGAAGGGAACGGAGCGCGCCGGCACTGGTGAATACGATGCCCATCACCCGTCAAAGGGCGTTTACAACTGCGCGGGCTGTGATGCACCCCTCTATACCGCGGATCACAAGTTCAAGTCTGGCTGTGGCTGGCCTGCATACTTCGACTCTATCCCCGGGGCTGTGACCAGACACGTGGACAACACTTTTGGCATGAAGCGAACGGAGATCGTCTGTTCCAACTGCGGGGGTCATCTCGGCCATGTTTTTGAGGGCGAGGGTTACCCAACCCCCACAGATGAGCGTCATTGTGTCAACAGCGTGAGCCTGCGGTTCACCGAGGATGCCCCCAAAGAGCCGAAGTCCAAGGCTTGAGGAACGACCAATGGAAACACGCGGGTGTTACGGAGAATAAAGCGGCATAATGGCCGGCATGCATGATGAATGGCGTCGTTGGGGAGTGGATCAATTGTATTCTCTGAACATCCAATATATTGTATTTTTTAGTGATATTCATGACCTTGGCTTACAATTGTATATTTAACTACAGTAGTGTACCTAGGTACTCCATCCACATTGATCGGTGACTTCATATCAAACTGCGGGAGTGGCATTTTCGCCCATCCGTATAGACCCCTGCCGCCTCAGGCCGCCACGGTGCCGACCGCCACCTAAGATTAATTAGGTAGCGTTTCATTGTTTCTCCCTTTCACCATTCTTGAGTCGCTGCATAGAATTATGTCTCGACGTCCGACTCCCGGGCAAGCCGCCCAAAATTCCCAGACCATCAAGGGTCTGTTGAAGCTAGAGCACAACAAGATATGTGCTGATTGTAAACGGAACAAGCGTGAGTCTCCGAACCCGTGCAGTTGCGCCCACGTTGGCCTCAATCCCATGCTCAAGTCTTGGCGCTAACATATCTTGCTCTCTCTATAGATCCGCGATGGGCTTCCTGGAACCTAGGTGTCTTCGTCTGTATCCGTTGCTCCGGTATTCACAGGGGCATGGGCACGCATATCAGCCGAGTCAAGTCCGTGGATCTCGACGCATGGACTGATGAACAACTTCAAAGTGTGATCAAGTGGGGAAATTCAAGGGCAAACAAGTTCGTCACAACCAATTGACTTGTTGTAAGGCAAGGCACTAACAAGATTCAGGTATTGGGAGGCCAAACTGGCACCCGGTCATGCTCCCTCGGAGGCGTGAGTACACTCGAGAGCAATCACGCCAGTGTCGATGCACAGTGCGCTAACACCTGGGGTCGACAGGAAAATTGAGAACTTCATCCGCACCAAGTATGAGAGCAAGCGGTGGGTGATGGATGGTGGGTTGCCGGACCCATCCACTTTGGATGACGGCGATGACGACGTTGTAAGTGGTCGCATGGTACATATCGCACTGGCCTTCAATAACTGACCTCCTAGCCTCTCGCTGTTGTACAGGAAAAAGCCAAGGTCGAGCGTTCGTCTTCTCAGCGCATCGCTGCCCCCAGCCAACCCCCGGTACACCGTCAGCAAGCCTCAATTGATCTGTTCGGCGACGATATCTCCCCTCCAGCGCGCCCTAGCACAACCGATCCTACACTGCGTGCGCCGCCTAGACAAGCTCAACCTGCGCCTGCGCCTGCGCCTGTCAAGACCCACAAGCCAAATGATTCACTTCTGGGGCTGGACTTCTTCGGGAGCACCCAGCCCGCTGCTGCCAGTCGCCCGAGTAGCACCTCCTCGACCCCAGCAGCACCGGCTGGAATGTCTCGCCCAGATCTCAAGCAATCAATCCTGTCATTGTACTCCAAGCCGCAACCCGCAGCGCCTGCGCAACACCAGCGGGGTAACTCCTTCGGCGACATGGCCTCCCCCGCGCCTCCCTCAGCCTCATCGAACATGGGTGGTCTGACAGATGCCTTCAGTGGATTGAGCTTCCCGTCCACTACCTCTCCCCCGCCGGCTAAGCCTGTCGAAAAGCCCTCGGCATTCTCCAACCTCACATCATTCGGCGCTGCCAAGTCTACCCCTGCGGCTCCAAAGGTCACATCGCCCTCTGGGTCCGCCAGTGGCGATCTGTTTGACAGCTTTGCCTCTCCCACCATGTCTGCCCCCAAACCCCAGTCCCGCACCACCTCCGTGTCCTCCGGCGCACAAGACTTTGGAGGATTTGGAGGATTTACTTCCCCGACTGCTAAGCCGAACCCTCCATCGTCATCCCTTTCCAATGACCTGTTCGGGCTTTCTTCGCCCCCTCTCGCCTCCAAACCCGCGGCCTCGCCTCCCAAGCCCACTGCTACCTCACCGCAACAAGAAATGAAATCCGCTTTCAACATTTCCGCCCCTCCAATCCAGCCTGCTGCTCCCAAGGTGCCAGCCCCTAGCGCTGCGACTGCCGCTGCGGCTAGCATGATGTCTGGAAGCCTTGACCCATGGGGTGGTAATGCCTGGAGCACGCCTGACCGCGCGCCTTCGCCCGTCGCCCCTGCTCCTGCCCCTTCAGCTGCTTCCATGATGAAGGTTCCTGATACGCTGACTCCAAACGACCTCGGTAACGGCTGGGGTGCGCCCAGTGCTGCCCCTAAGCCGGCGGCCACCGTAGCTGCCGACGAGGACTTTGGCGGCTGGGCCAGTGCTGCTCCAGTTTCCAACCCGACGCCTGCCGCCAACACCAGCAAGCCGGCGGGAGGGTTTGGTGGATCCGATGATCTCTTTTCTAACGTTTGGGAATAAAGTTAGACTGGTGATACCCACTATAATCTCCATGGACAAGCCAAGGCTGCGAGATTTATGCGAATGCTGACGATACCTGCACATCGAATGTTTCACCGTTCATAACGACATACTTCTCTTGGGGACTATACGTTCACATTGGAGATGTGCTCATTCTAATATTCCTCCACATTTTTGTAACGAGTTCTATTTTTCATGACTTGCGGGCAGCTTCCGAATGTACGATGGGCGGGTCTCATGCATATTGAAAGATCAGCTCGTTTCTCCTCGCTTTGGCATATCTTTACGTCCTTACAATGCATTCACAATACCCTCGGGCTTCCATGAGAACTTTCTCTGTGTAATTCTTGCTATCTTTAGCCCCGCAAAGATACATTCCAAGTTGTTCGTCTACAAGGAACCACCGATATCGACTGATGTGCAGTCTTGCTTTTAGGCGTCCGATTTGAGTTATTTATGTAGATTTCTGAACTTATTCGAACCCCGGTAATTCTCGTAAGGCGTAGCGAAGTATATTAGAAAATGATGGCCTTGATGGCTTTGCCAGCCTCGCCTGTGTAAATGGGTATATAAACATCACCGTGGAAAAGAAAACACATATAAAACATCAAGCCGCCCCAGGTGCCAGTGGATATGGTAAACAATAACGAAAGCGCCACCCAGCGTAAAGAGTATAAAAAAACATCATGGATGAAAAGTGAATGTGTGCCAGGTACAAGTCAAATATCATGAAGACCCAAAGGTTGAAGTTTCTCACACCAACTCTTTTGCACTCTCCTTGTCGTCATGAAGAGAGATCTTTGTATGAGAAGTGCTTTGCTGGGTGACAGTGTTGGTGACTTTGATACCAGTGAAGGTACTATGCGGTTCCTTCGAGGTGCTATTGAAAGAGGAACCGGATGGCGAAAGAGCCTCAAGGTCGTTGTCGTAGCCATGGTCACGGCCACCAATAACCGATGCAAGCACTTGGGTATTTCCATTCCCGGTAAGTGCGCTGCGGCCAGTGCGTGTGGGCCGTGTAGTCCTGCTGCGGTAGCCGTTACTGTTGGTCGAGAAGATGTGTGGGAGAAGCTGGGAGAGGAAGGCTCGGGTTCCTGGTAGACAGGCGCAGATGATGGCCACGTTACATTCGACGGCGGACCAGGCTGCTGCTCCAACGTTGTCGTCTGCGCAGGTGGGGTTAGAGGTTAGGGTTTGATCGGTTTGCAGGGATGTGCGTTTGGGACTCACAGGTTGGATCTCTGGAGTTGGAGATGACTAGTAGAGATTGCAGGCGGAGCACACTTGTGATCAAAACACTAATGGGTGTCAGTATAGATCGGAGTCATCGTGCATTTTAAACTTACAATCCACCCAGTGCGAAGACAGCCATGAGGGCGAACTTCTGTTTCCTGGGAAGCTGCAGTGACTTGAGCACTGGCATGGGATACAGTAGGATGATGATATCGGTGATGATGTGGATGGCCGAGTTGGAAAACCACAGGGCCTTTTTATCCAGACAGTAGCCTGGGACAGATGAATCCCAGAATTTGGCCAAGGGTACGCAGTTGGCCCAGGCACTGACGATAGTCCATGTTCCGTACACTCCAAGGAATCCAATAAGAATCCAACATGCGAGACGCATTCGTGGCGTCGAGAAGACTCGTTTGTATTGAAGAAGGATTGACATCTTTGTGCTGATGAGGCTTGTTTGGTAAATAGGAACGGAAGCCCAGAAGTACTGCAAGTATGTTCGTGTCAGTGGATTAGGTCGGAAGGTTATTTGACCTGCATCGAGTGTAGATGGAACGTACGATCATTTGTGCCTTGTAGATCGCTCTAGGAATCACGGCGAAATGCTCTCCCATGCCATGGAACACCTCTGTAAGAATGTTAGGTACTTATGCTAACAAGATAAATTGATATTGAAACTGACCACCAACCAAAAGGCCAAAGAATACCCATGAAAAGGCTAGAGAAACCAGAATAACATAATCGTCTGCTCCCATCTTCTTGACCAAGAATGTGCGTGTGTAGATCCGAATTGCTGTAATGAGTGTTGCTAGAGTTGTGAAAACAATGCTGACGGCAAGGGCTTGACGCCCGCGGGGTGTTGAAAGTGTAGTCATTGTGTCATGGACGGCGTATAGAAGAGAGCGAAAGTGAGAGTGAAGACAACGAGAGTCGATGGGTTATGCAAAGCGTCTAGAGAGTGAAGCCGCAATGCCTCCCTGGGTCAAGTGCACAGTATAAGCCAGGGCCACTTGATCAATGCTTTGGTTTCAAAATACCGAAGAAACGGTGCTCGTGGGGGTGGGCCGCTTCTTAATGTAAACGAGAGACAAGAGGGTACCAAGAAAGAAATAGAGGGGCTAGGATGATACGAGGACTAGAAGCTCTACACTGACGGACACCATTCCTAATCGACTGTCCTTCAGCCACCAGAGGGGCTCTGGGTTAAGTTTGTAATGGGACTACTATTTCCAAAGTTGGGTAGGAGGAGATATTGGTCCCGCCAGAGTGGTTGATAAAGCCACGAAAAGGTAGCGGGCCCCATACCAAGCCCACCCACGTGAATATGGGCTCAACAGACCTGACAGCAGAGCCTGCTATGAATCGGATATTTGCGGACATAGTCCGCGATGATCTTACATCGCCACCGTGGGAGATTAACCTTTAGAGGATGCTCATGTTCCAGAACACCATGATGACAAGGGTAGTTTGCTAGTACGACGCAAGGGCTGCAGTACAGTATTGTATAGCTACGGAGTACCTACAATAGCTCTAGAAAAGGCATGCATGGTCGATTGACTGCGGGACATAGTATACAGAGAGCCCTGGAGTCAACATTGGAGTGCTCTCTGGATTGGGACTCGGGCTGAAAGGCTGAACTCTAATTCGTTTATGCTCTTCTCTTTCCCGTGGTACTCGCCAGGGAGCGTAGCCTCATTGGGAAGTCCTCCCCCCTTTAGTGCTTACAACAACCATCAAGCAGACATCCTTGGATCCCTGTAAACTGACTCGTGAAAGACACAAGTCCACATTTTTGTAGTCTCCAAGGTTGCTACTTTTAGTTTGTAACAGTCAGGACCCAAAGAAAAGACCTGCATGAACACCGGCTAAAGTGGAATAGCTAAGTGGACTAGCCTAGTGCCCAAATCCACTTTTTCCCTCTGTCAATTGTCATCCTTCCGTTATCCACGGATCGATCACGATGTGGCTGACACCTCAATCAATAGTCTCAACACCAACTGACAGCCTAGTTGGATATGCAACTGTCAAATAAAAGATAATCCTACTGTTCCTGCTGCAGTAATCCCCCGCTTGTCCTGCAGCTTAATTTTGCATAAGCTGCATGCGCGCGGGACTCGGGGTTCGGCATCGCTGCAGTTTACACTTTCCTCGTGGCAGAAACAGGGTATTGCCCCGAGGGCGTTGTGCCTGAAGACCCAAGCCTGGAGATTAGCCGCCGATCACATCAGTTTTGCTCGTTAACGGTTGCGCAACCCCCTAGCCGAGAAAATAGCGAACGCACGGGGCCTCTCCAGGTCCACTCTATCGAGCACCAGAAGAAATGCATTGACATCAATCGTAGGGACAGAAACTCTCGCGACGTGCTAGTGATTGACAGTGCGTGTCATGCATTCTTCATCGGTCATTAATATACTTTACTTGCCCCTTAAATTGCCCCATAACCTGTCCCACTGATTAGCACCGGAAACGTTTCCCCAAGGTTTTGCGCGAACGATTGCTGTGCCGGGATTAATTCGGGCGTCGATCTTCAGGGGACGGGTCTCTCAGGCAGTTCTCGTCATGCACCTTGGCTGCCCTTAGCGCGGATTTCATACTTGTACAATGGGCGGATATGGAAATGGACTGTCGATCTTTCTGCCGTCGCGGAGAAGTCACCCGCGAATTTATACTGGGATTTCCATTATGACTGGCTATTGATGGCAAGACCGTCTAAGCGAAAGCGAAATTGTGTTACCGCCTGCGCACGTCAATTGAATTATTCAGACCTCGAAGCACGAATATTGACCTCAATGATCGTCGAAATCTGTTTCAAGTGTTTTCCCGCGAGCCACACTAAACCTTCTTCGGCTGGAGTTGGCGCTGTCTTATCGTATGTTTCTTTCAATCTATGAACACTCCGTACGGTGCTTCCTACCTCATCGATTACGCGCTCATAAACTCACGTCCTGCCCGGTGAGGTTACGAACCGGATACGATTTTCTCTACGGAGTACGGCGCAGATGGACGTGCGCCTGATTTGCATCTACAGTACTATTCGTACATAATTTATAAATCTTTATGTACACATTTGCCATCTCTTGTCCACTCAGGAATACTACTAGGTAATACTACATAGTCCCGATGTGTCTATTAAATCCATAGAACTTTGATTTTTGATGCGATATTGCGAATGCGTATGCCATTGAACTGCTAGTAGAGCACGTCTCCAGCGTATCATTGTACTCCAGGGCTGTATATTTCCATGACAACAGTGAGGCGTTTGATGCGTTGCTGATTCGATTTCCAATTGCTCTTCCACACGAATACAGAAGGTATTCGATTGGTCTCATATTAAAACGTGTAGCAAGACTTCGGGAAGAGTCCGATTTGCTTCATGTCCGCAAACTTAATTGCTCTCCGAAGTGGTGCATACTAGTACAGCTAGAGACTCGAAAAGGGCTAGAGTTTGTGTGGTTTCAAGGGCCTGGGGTGCATGTCGATCAGGATCTGCCAAGTGACAAGTTTCGAGTCAACGTCCGCGGGTTTGCGCTCCCGAGATCGGAGCGAACATCGCCCGAGCCCGGGTCACATGATCGGATTGGTCATCACTATCCCGAAATGGCCACCAGTTGACGATCCTCACTCCTGCGAAGTATCCTGTGAGCAGTACTATGGTATGTACTGTATGACCTTGCAAGATTGCCAATATCCATGGCTTTCAGTGTGTCATATGTACCCTGCTCAGCTAGAAAAAGTCACAATGTATAGCCAGTCTTCACCGATGACTGATTCATGTATCATGCCCCAATGTTGATGCTGGAAGAACTTGGGGATACCCTACCTCAACTACTTTTTCCCAAGGTGGAACAGGAAAGGGGGAATCAGCATCAATCTTATAGTTTAGGGTGTGGTACACAAATAGTGACACTTGGAGAGCATGAGGTTAGAATACAGAATATTGACAAATCACGTTCTGCCCCGGGGCCCCTCAAGCATCACATGGGCAGCCTTGGAAGTACAGTCATACCCCCATCCCGGCCACCAAAATAGCAGCCAGAGAGCTGAACTTCTTGTTCGATGCATCTGAGCCAAGAATGATATCCCAATCCGGCCAACTTGATACTCAGGATGTCTTCCTGATTGGCTCAAATTGTTGTGGGTCAAAAGGGATAGCGGGGTCCAGAGCAGAACCTCGTCCCTTGTGTCTCTAAGTGTGCGCACATCATTGACCATACATCATAGTAGACTAGGTATGGCTGATATACCTGGCCAAGCCGGCCAAAACGCAGCCTCCCGGTCATCTGCACCACGAGTACGCCTCACCTGCGAAGCATGCCGCCAACGCAAGGTAAAATGCGATAAGCTCAGCCCATGTACCAGCTGCCAGCGACTTGGCCTTGTCTGTGTCCCTGTGGAACGTGCTCGTCTTCCTCGTGGCCGCACGCGCAAACCAACAGAGAGAATTGTGGGCTCGGACAAGGAGCTATCGGAGCGGGTCGCCAAGCTCGAGAAGCTCCTTAAAAAAGTCGCGAACGAACGGGGCTCTGAAGAGCAAAGATATCCAACCCCTACTCCGCCTGTGGCTAATATTGAGCCATCTCCTGTTCAAGGAAAGCAGGAAGTCGTGGCTGAGCCCGGCACTGTGGAGGCTGATGCCTGGCAAGATCAGAATGAGTTAGTCCCCACAAACGTTCCTCGCCCTGGAACTGCGTATATGGGGGTTTCATTTTGGGAGGATATCATGCAGCAGGTAAGACTTCAATTTGTCTGTTCGATTTCACTCGTGGTTTAACAGGTGCTTTGTCATTAGACCCAAGAGCTGCGCAGCGTTCTAGATGGCCGTCTAGAAAGCGAACAGCCTGAATCCAAAGATCCAGCCGTTGTGTTCGGAACATCCATTGTCAGTTCAGAAAGTCCAGAAAGCTCCGCGATCTCATTACAATCAAGGAGTGGAGTGAATCTACAGCCTCATATACGACACAAGCTATGTGATACTTTCTTCCATAATGTGGATCCATTATTCAAGATTCTCCACCGGCCATCAATGCAGGCATTCCTCAAAGAAGGCAAGCCTTACCTCAGTTATGACCGGGATCATCAGGCACCAGCCACCCTTGCATCTGCTGTATATCTTGCAGCTGTGTGCACACTGAATGACAGGGAATGTCAGGCATTTTTCAGTACAGACAAGAAGACTATTGTTGCGGAATTCCAAAAAGAGAGCGAGATTGCACTTGCTAAGGTTGATTTTGTCACTACTAATGATGTCACCGTTTTGCAGGCCTACATTATTTCTCTGGTGAGTTTACCTGGGCAATCCACCATTGTTCGGCATCTTGCCTCTCTTTAAATCAGAGCCGGGCATAGAAACTAACCGATCGATAGCTTGCTGCACGATCCCAGGATCAAAGTCGACGAGTGTGGACCATGTTGGCCATGGCCCTTCGAGTGGGTCAAGCGTTGTCGCTCCACATGCCCGAGCCCCCATTCAACGTGCGTCCTTTCGAGCACGAGATGCGAAGGCGCGCGTGGCTGGGTATTGGCCTTCTTGATGTAGCGGCTTCTCTGGACAGAGCATCTGAGCCAATGATGCAAGCAGCCTGGCTCGACTACAACCCACCCTCGAACATCAACGATGAGGATATCTGGTTTGATATGACAGGACCTATTCCCCAGCACCCAGAGGGGACATTCACAGATATGACACATACTTTAGTCATTGCTGCCTCCTCGTCCGTGACCCGCTCACTCGCATTTGCGGACTTCATCGAGCCTACAGTCAAGATCATGAGTCTGCGACAGCAGATCGTTCACGACTTCCAACAAAAGGCCTCCGATTTGCTGAGCGGATGCAGGCCTGACTTGTCAGACTTCCAGTGGTACGCGCAGAAGACCGCTGGTGTGATGGGCAGTTGGCTCCAACTCGCCTGTCTCCGACCACTGCAGCGAAGCAAGAACTTCACGCCCCCGAAAGTTCACGGCGATGCTTTACTTAAAATCGCAGCAGACAATTTGCAATGGTCACAAGAGGCATACGATTACCCCGGCGCCTCAGATTGGCGCTGGTATGCATCCATGTGGGTTCCTTGGCACGCACTGGCCGTTGCCATCGCCGAACTCTGCGTGTGCAAGAACTTGAGCGTCATGTCAAAATACTGGGGTGTCGTGGACAACGTCTACCAACGATCGCGACTTGTCATTGCAGACTCGCAGCAGGGAATGCTTTGGAAACCCATGGAGAGACTCATGGCACAAGCAATCAACCGGAGAAAGGAATTGACTGAGTTGGAAGCTGCTCAAGGCGTGCCTCAGCAACCTCAGTATGCCTATAACAACATGAACTCTGGCCTAGATCCGCATCAGTCATTACAGCCTTTTACGGGATTCTCGGTCGAGCTGGAAGATGCTATCAACCAGCCGCGCAATACCCACATTGCGGAGGTGCCGACGTCTTTTGCACCAGTGCCGTGGCCTAATGTGTGGGATGCCATGGATCTCAGTGACCCTACCCTGCAAGGAGGCTCTGACGACACGGCCTGGCTGAGCTATGAGAACTTCATTGAGAATGTCTACGATAGCGTAGACTCGATTTTCTTGCCCAGGTGAGCGAGTATGTTGAGGTGCTCCTGAGGTCGAAGCCTACTAGTAAGGTTCACTTCTAAGAAAGAAAAAAACAACAAAAAGAAGAAGAAGAAAATGTAATGCAAGACATAAAGATATGACGACAATACAGATCCCTACTCAGATAATCTTAGGAATATTCCGAGGTCCTTCAATCATTTCACGACGTAGATAACCTTTGGAAGATCGATACAGAACAGAAATATTTGATGTTGCTCATAACTTCACCGGGCGAATATACTCCAGACCAGTCCCGAAGCCTTCATCATTCAGACCATTGTATTAACCCCTTCGAGTAAGAGATATTCCTTCCTGGAAATGCTTCAAAAACCGCCCCGATATCACCCTTCCCTCAATCTCGCCTATCGCAATAGGCCACAAAACTCTAGCAGCACCATCCTCAAACCCAATGGGACATCCATCAACGCGCTGACATTCAGGCGCAGCACTCATGTAGCCCGGATCGACGGAGTTCATAGCAACACGTCGCTTTTTCCACGCAGACTGAGCCTCCGTTTCAGTGATCATATTAATAGCCGCCTTGGACATGTTCGTATGAACATGATGACCAGCTTTACTACGAGAGCCGGGCGTGTCCTCTAGAATACCTTCTCGGGATGAGACATTGACGATGTAGCCCAATGGCTGTAGGGTTGAGCGTGGTCCATTCGATCCCATGTGTTTGAGGAGTTCACGGCATAGGATCAGAGGTACGAATGCGTTGACTGAGTGTGCGCTGATCAGGTCTTCGTAGGGAATTTCGTGGATTGTTTGGACCCAGGAGGACTTGGAAGTTTCTGTATCGTTGTATGTCCGTAATCCTTTTTGTGTGACTGTGCTTTCGAGGGTTTGATCCGTTTGTCCATTTTTGATGTGAAGTTGTGGCTTGTTGCTGTCGATGCTGGGGACCCAGGAGGCCGGAAGGCCACCACGCACTCGAGGCTTGTAGTCCTCGACGGTAGTCGCAAGCAGTAATTTTGTCTCTGGGCTTTCTCGGAGTTGCTCCTCTCTCGCGATTGCTTTGACCTCTGCTTTAATAGGGTCTGTCAAGGTTTGCGCCGCGTTGTTGATGAGGATATCGAGGTAACGCGGAGACTCCGATGCTGTTTCACATTCCCAATCACGAAGTAACTGCTTTACTATGTGGACAAGACGAAAGGCGTCTTTTGCGGTTCGGAAATCCGCTCCAACCACCTTCAGCTTGGTGTTCCATTCGGCATAGTCTTCTTCATTTGAATATCGTGCAGCGGCATCGGCGGGATATCGAGACGACACGATAACGTTGGCACCGCAACGAAGTAATCTCAGCGCAGTTGAAAAACCAAGGTTGATTCTGCCACCGGTGATCAAGGCGAACTTTCCACTGAGATTCAACTTGTTCGGCAATGAAAGCTCTGAGCATCCGACGTTGAACATGCCACATTGGCGACACAATGAGGGGTATAATTCATGGGCTTCGGACGCCGAAAACATGTATCGGCATATATAGCATCGTATTTTCTCGCTTGGCTTTCGGACCTTTTCATGCCCCTGAAGACTCCTATGCTGCGCAGTTCGAATAATATTGTCCATAGAGAGCTGAGCCTTCACGGTCAGAATCACATCTGACAGTGGGTCTGTTGTAGCGCCCTGCTTCACCAAGTTATTCCTTTGGAGATAATCCAGTACCTTGAGCGTCGATTCCAGCTCATTGTCTGTGGGAATGTGGAAAGTATCTCGGTCTGTGCTTGGTTCATGTGTCCTGCTCTCCAGTTGACTCAGGTACGCTTTGATGCCTTGGATGATGCCATTGCATCGGGCTGACCGGAGGGCCTTGGAAACCCCAGCATGTGGTGTGATGTGCCACGCTACACTCTCGAGCAGCGTATTTGGAGCAGAACAGAGCGTGATAGCCAACGTGCTGGGCAGCCTGTTCTCTCGGCAAAGTTGTTGGTCCGTTCGCAAGCGTTGTGCAATCGCAACAGCATCTTGGCGCTCAACCAGTTCCTGGTCCTCTCGCATATTCAGGGCTTAGCAGAGAGAGAGAAAAAAAAAAACGAAAATGGAACTGAGTCCTAAAACACTTAGTCACAGTATCGTCATCTGCGAACTGACTCACTGCCCCTTCGGGCACGTAGCAGGGGGCCAAATGGAACCTTCTGGTGAGAAGCGGGGAGTCTTGCAATATGACTCAATCTGACATGGATATAACTGATCTTTGTGCGATCTCATCTCCCCAAGACAATGGCAGAAAAATCCCTACCGATCGGCTCGATCGTGAAAAGCCTCTCAACCCTGCCGACCGAACTTGCCTATCAAATCATCGATGATCTACGAGTCAAGGACATCCTGAAACTACTTTGCTATAACAATGAGCGAGTCAATGCCTGTATCGGGTCACACCCGGTCTGTCGAGCCTTGTTCGACTTGACATCCGATGAAAACTTCGCAAAGATACGCTTTGCCGCCCAATTCTACCGCGACTTGTTCATAGAAGTATACCCTCCACTGAGCGCGGACGGATGGCTGAAACATAAATGGCTTCCACTCAATATCCACTGTGTGGATCTGAAAGACCGCGAATTGATCTTGATCGAGATGCGAGACCATATTCACTGCGAGCTTTACCTGCATTGGGTACAGCTAGACTGGACTCGATTTGGTGCGCCTGACTATCCTGATCTGAAACACAGCCAGGCTCCTCCCCCTTGGAATAGGCTCTCTTTTGAGAACATGAAAGAGCAATGGGAGGAGATCAAACAGGCAAAGGCAGTTCTTTTCAAGCTGAGATCTTCTGAACTGGACTGGGCATCGAAGATGTTAGAGGCCAATCCGGATATCTTGAAGCGCACACTCGATCCACGCCAGGAAAGACGGTCCAACACGACACATATCGTATCCAGAATGAAGAATGGCGCCGAGAAAATAATCCGAGCCTCGGGACAGAGACTAGTCCAAGTGGAGCATTTCAAGTACAAGTTTTTTGAAGTGATCCCCTTTGACTCTGCACTGGTCGAGTTGCTAGAGATGATGGAAAAGCGCGGGATTTTGAGTGGCGATCAATTGACGGTGAATGCTTCCGACAACTCAGATGTTGCTGCATCGCATCCATCTTCCATCCGCGAAGCAGCAAATATCATAGTTGAAGGAATGAATCATTTCGACCACTCGACTCTGTCCGCGGATGAGAGAGAGAAGATTCGAAAATGGCCTCGATCACCATACGACGAGGGCCCCGACGATGTTGACGTTGCCCGAACGGGGAACACCCCTTGGTCTGGGAAGCCGGAATTGGTGAACGATGTGAATGTAGAAGGGCCTTATTTCACACCACACAAAATCGGGAAGCATAGCACTTTCATGCGACTTAGAGACTACCGGTGGTCACCCCATGGAGACGGAGAGCGAAAGTGGTTGCAAGCCTTTGTGGACTTGTATCGGTACTTGAAAGGCTTGAAGTAATATTTCAAATGGAGGCTTGGTCTTCGGACTGGCGAAATCAATAGCTCTGTATGACATTTACCAGAAAGAAGGACGGTACCATGCCCCTTCCAATATGCATCTTCGTAGCCCTAGATCTCAACGCAACATCCATGGAAACGGTCCCGCTCACTGGTCCTGATGTTTATCAGGTTGACTGAGCGTGTTAATTTGGCGCGATACGATCAATCATCTTCAAGAAGAGATAGAGGGTTGAGATTCGAGGCTCCCAAGCAAGCTGGGCAGGCGCAGTCGTATCCTCATCGCCATTCTTATGAGGGGCATTTGTTGATAGCGATGACGGATAATATCCAGCGAGATATTGGTAGGAGCACTCGTTCTCTTGCTGAGTGCATGCAGAGCATGGAAGATCCCCGCTACAGGCCTTCAGAAGGGGGCAACTGTCACAAGCGCGTTTGTGTTTCCCTCCGCGCTCTCGGTCGGGGATCTGGTGACCATCGTATATACGAGGCTTGCACAATCGCCAATGCCTTCGCAACACATCGCTAGATGGCATCGTCAGATACGCTGACACATTATTCCTGCGGCAATGTAGTACATACCGTCGGCCAAACGCCGAATCACACAACGAACAGACGTGATCGTTCGTCGTGCCTAAATCAGGTGAGTATGCATATAACCACAGCGCAAACGCAGCGTACGCGTAGCTGGCGCTGAAGATGATCTAATCTTTGGAAAGTGGACGCGCATCGGTCACATTTCCAACCTGCCGCTTGGCGTATCTCCGGTGGCCCATGATAAGTTCCAAGTGCGGGCAGGGTGAATGGCGCCAAGATGGGCTGCAATACAGCCGAGATGTCTCGCTTCGTGAAAGTCAATTGCAGCACTTGGCGGCGATGGATCAGATATCTCGGTAATTCCGGGGAGGCGATTGGTGCGGTGGCCCGGTGGGTAAGGGCATCCACTTGAGTATATGGGATTTGCATTGGCATTTACTTCGGATTTCAGATTTAAATCAGTAGAACGCCCGTGTGAAGTTGATCTCCAAAATATCTCCTACTTGTGAACTTCCCGTCGTCACCAATACAATGGAGCCACCAAGCCACTACAACAACTGGCCCACCGATAAAGGCGTGAGTCAAGCTTCATACTAAAACTACCTTGCAGGCATTGTCTAACCCAGTGCAGTTCGATCCCGAATACGAACAACGCGAGCCAATCGACCTTGTCGTGACCGGGACGATACCCGCCTATGCCGCAGGGGTCTTGTATCGCACCGGTCCGGGGAAAAGTCATGTCAAGGCAGAGAATGGAGAGACTCTCAGAATCACCCATTGGTTTGATGGCTTCACTCAGAATCATCGATTCCAGATCCTCGCTCCGGATGATCGCCACACATCAACACGAGTCCTCTACAACTCTCGCTTCTCAACGGACGACCTGATCCAAAATGTCATCAAAATGGGGTCTCTAAAAGGTCTCGGCTTTGCAGAAGGTCGTGATCCCTGCAAAAGCGTCTTGGGCAAGGCTCAAAGTGAATTCATTCCTCAACCCACCCCCTCAAGCAAGAACATCGGCGTTACTCTTTCGATCAACTTCCCTGGCTTGGACTACAAAGACGAGAGAGAATCGAGCCTCCGCAGGAGAGATGTGCAAGAACAAACTCTTTATGCCAAGACCGACTACAATGCCTTCCAGAAGGTTGATCCGGAAACACTGGAGCCTCTTGGCCTGGCCTCGCAAGAGGATCTACACCCCGAACTATCAGGCCAAGTGTCTGCGTCGCATGCTCGGTCCGATCCTGAAACGGGAGACGTGTTCAACTTCAACCTCACAATAGGACGAACGTGTACATATCGCGTTTTCAAGGTCTCGGCAGCAACTGGAGAGACGACAATCCTAGCCACGTTTGCTGCAACCCCTGCCTATCTCCATTCGTTGCTTATCACCAAAGATCATGTCATTCTCTGTATTTGGAATGCGCATCTCGATCCACGGAGCATGGCTGAGTCTTTTATGAAGGCGATTTTGCCCACAGATCCCAGCCAGCCAGCAGTCTGGTATGTCATTGATCGCAAAGGGGACAATGGATTGATCGCAACATACGAAAGCCCTGCATTTTTCTGTTTCCATACTATCAACGCATGGCTGGAGCCTTCGGAAGACGACGCTTCCCAGATGGACATCGTTGCAGATCTTGTGAGAGCTGACAATACGAGGCTGATACATACCCTCTACTATGAGAACCTGATATCATCTCTCGACACAGCCAAAAAATTCCAGGAGAATAAAGATGACTCTCTCCGGACATCGATCGCTCGCTTTCGCCTGCCCTCTGTGCCGCAGACTCCATCTACGGATGTAAAGAAGGCAAGCCTCGAATGGTCTATCTGCAAACCATTATCTCCCGAGCTACCGATAATCAATCCGACCAAGGTCACTCAGAAGCATCGATACGTTTATGCCGTGACATTCCGTGGCGAGGCAACTCTGACAGATGGTATCATGAAACTTGATTGCGAGACCCAGCAAGTCTCTTTGTGGGCCTGCCATGGCCAATCGCCCGGTGAGCCCATATTTGTCGCCGACCCTGATGGCATTGACGAAGACGACGGCGTTCTGCTCAGCGTTGTGCTTGATGGAATGCATGATAAGAGTTACCTGCTCTGTCTCGATGCTCGCAACTTGTCAGAACTCGGCCGGGCGAACGTTGACGGCGCTGTTGGGTTCGGTTTCCATGGCCAGCATGTCTCAGCCGTTGGCGGAATGCCGACTGGTGACTACTAATGGCCTTTGGTAAGTTCACTTGGGGAGTGTCTATCTCTTTGTGGGCTTTTTTAAGGGCCAGGCGTTCAAGGAGTACCGATGTGTGTTTGACCGTCGATGAGGATCCCAAGTGGATGCGGTTTAAGTGTAATGATACGAGATAATCACCATAGGATCAGAGCTTCATTGCACTAAACCTGAGTTTCCTAGTTCTATCGTGCCTCTCAGCGACGCCAAAGAAAAACATCTACCATTCAGATATAAAGCCGCTTAACTCCACTCACTCGGCTTTTTTGCGCACCGGTGTATCTCCAGTGCAAAAGAGACTGGCAATCAAACAGAACATAAAACATAAAACACCGCCGATAAAGGCCCGGCTCTTCCTTATTGTACATTGGGACAAAATACGAGAACTGGGAGCCAAGGGCAGAACATGAATAATCAGGGTATTAGTCGTACAGAGATATTGATTCATGGCAAAAGAAAAGACGAGATATTCGAGGGTCAGAACTCAGTAGTCGACTTCCTTCTCAATGACCATGATCAACTCGGTCAGCTCCTTGCGAAGGGCACGGTTCCGATCCCAAACCTCGACGACCTTGGGACGTTGGCTTGTGAAACAGGCCTTCTTCCAGGGAAGTCCACCGTACTTTGAGGTCGTCCGGTTGGGAAGACCTCGAGCGATGTTGCGCAGGACCAATGCGGCTTTGTAGGCCACGCCGAAAGGTTCGCCCTTCTCGTTAGTCGGAGTGTCCATGTAGTACCATTTGCGGACGATTCGTTCCTGGAGAACTGCCCGCTTGGCGGTTGTGGGCCGTGCGTCCGCGGCACGATCTTCGGGCAGATGTGCAGAGACGTGCCCGGCAACCATGGAGGTGTTGGCGCTGGGGCCAGAGGCTCGGAACCGTGCGCAATGGTCCCATTGACAAGTGTGGATAGGCGTCTCTGCAGCGTCTAGTTTATATTGACCAGGTGTGTCAGGCGAGTCTGTGGGCTCCAGGCTCATGTGTTCGCTGAAGACGTGATTGCGAAGGTCGGTTGGTGATGTGAAAGCACGTTGGCAAATCTTTGAGGGCTTGGAGTGGTCTGCCCAGCGGCAGTAGGAATATGGGAAGCCCTCGAAGGTGTGGGCAGTATCTAGAGGTCGGATGCCCTTGATGATGAACTTTGTGGTAGCACCCGGCCCGTTGATGACTTGGGCTTGGGCATTTGTGAACGTGTTGCTGACATTCTTGATAAACTCCGCAGCCGGGAGAACACCTCCTCCTGCAACACGAGGATCCGCAAATCGGCTTTGGTAGGCTTGCCACAAGGCAATTTGCGTGATTTCACATTCCGCATCTTCAATGAAGCAGCATCGCAGCCATTGCGAGCTTCGCTCCGGCTCTGACAGTTCCATGAGTTTTTCCAAGAGCTCAGCTGGAACACGTGGGATTTCGGTCGGTGGGGGTGCAACCTTTTCCTCCTGAAGAACGGTTTCATGCTTGGTAGGCCGTGCTTCATAGGTCAAGAGGGCAACCATGCGCGGGACAAAGACGATTGGGAAGTTGACGACATCCATTAATGTCTCAATATTTTCATGGCTAAGAGTGTATTGATACCAGAAGTCAAGGGCACCGCTCAGAATATCCTTGTCAAGGTCGAGCAGCGTGTGATAGTACATCTGTTCCAGTGTTGGTTTTGTCATGGTGTCCAAGGCACGGTTGGCATCTGCATCATCCAGTTCAGTCCCGAAATGGGTCAGAGCCCACAGAGCTCGCACAACATGGGCACGGTCCGTGGAATCTAAGCATTTGACCAGAGAGATCCACAGTGGGTCGTTCGGATCAGTGCGCAGGAACTTGGTGACTTCTTCAGCAATATCGAGAGCATCGTTCTTTATTTCGTTCAAGCGAGGCTGGTTCGGAGCATTGATGAGGATGACCAAAAAGTCCCGTAACAGACCGTTGGCATAACGAGACACATAGAAGGCATTCTCTCTGAGAAGAACCATGTTCCTCAGAACTAGTGTAGCCTCCTTGATGTTTCGTAGTTGGTGGTTGAATTCGTAGGTTTCAAGGGAATCATCAGGGAGGTTGACTGGGATTTTGCTGATTTTATCGAGAATGTCCCTTGTACCATGAAGCGAATTTAAAACATTGGCACGGTCAATAGGCTGGCGCGGATCGTACTGGAACTCCCATTTGACCCCTGTGCAAAGTTGTGTGATATCGAGTGCTTTCTGCATCAGGGTTTCGGCGAGTAGTGGGAATCCCTCGAACTTGAATTTGTCCCAGCGTTGGTTGGAAATTTGAACGAGGTGATATAGTGCAAAGTCAACTTCATCTGGAATTCCTGACTGCAGACCATAGTGGGCGCGTTTGTATATGTGATCCGCTGGGAAGTTGCCCGATGTTAGTGATATTCTACCAATCATGGGACTAGATGGGTGGTACTGACTCCTTGGGACCTCGAGATATCGGAGAGGAAAGTAGGGATCAAAGTAATCCAATTGCCGGGGCGCTTTTGAGGGGTCGCGCAACTGGGCGAAGATTAACGGACGATTCCCGGGTGTTGGGACCTCTCTTGTTGACATGGGAAGCTGCCTGTGATCCTTTCCTTGCCAGCTTTCGACGGCGAACTGCGAGCTGGTGGGGTTTGCGGCAGGGTCAAGTTGCATAGGGTGCGAGCTTTGGGGCTGCGGTGAAGTCGAGCTCAGGCCGGGGTGAATGTGGGAGCGACGCGCGGGAGTTGTGTCAGGGATAAAGGGTTGATTGACTTTCGGGGCGTGGCGCAGGCCCTCTGTAACTTATGTCAGTATTTCCATCAGTGCTGCTGACTAGGATCATGGGGTCTTACGTCGCAGCGAGGTGCGAGGGGTGGATGCAGACATGGTGCTGGCGGGAAAAGACAACACCTATGCGCCGTTCTCGAAATCGAACACAATTCCGGACGTCCGAATCGCCGCAATAGATGATGCTGACGAAGACAGCCTTGAAAGCTCTTGCAGGCAAGATCGGGTTGTTCTAGCGCAAGCTCGAGGGGTTGTCGAGCACAGCAGATAGGATATCCTATCGCTTGAACCAGTAACGTAGGTATGGGGGAAGATATGCGGATTTCACGAATTCGTCGAGCCTCTGGCAGCTATAGTTGAATGGACAATAGACGTCCTTGACGGATTGGGATGATGATTGGCAGAGCGAAACTGTGACTGGGTCTGGGTCGAAAGATTCGCGCGTTTGATGATGCGATGAATAGAGGTATTCAATCGTGAATAGAAGGCTATAGTGATTTCGCGCAGATACAATCGTATTGTGCGACAGGTGTCAAAGGTAAAATAATAATCAATGCCTTGCGGCCCTGGAGGGCTAGAGCTGGGCTTGCGATCAAGGGCGCTGCAGCCAAAAGTTCGCGCCGTGGAGATGCCCGGGCGCGCATTCGGATGAAAGGTTTTCCCGATGCTGACTAATGTTTCCTGGAATGGTAGCTACTGACACCTCAGGTGTCTATGTTTTAAGCCTCAGTGTCTAGACTCTCCCCGTTGTCTCTGCGGTTTGTCCGTGTCGTCGACTTGTCGGAATCATCGAGCTTGTCGGAATCATGAACGACTTTACTAATGTACTACAAACATAGAGCCCATGCTTGCCGCCTTGTTTTGTTTTAGACTTCTAGTTCTATATCTATTCTTTAGCCCAAGACTCTCACATGTGCACCAAACTATCTCCATATCACTGCCTGGTATCCAAACGATTTATGTGTGAAGATAAAAATACGATAGCTGTACGGCTAAAAGGGACCAATTTACCCGGAGGGCGAGGTCTGATGAAGTCCACGAGTGGCCTCAGTTCGCCTCTATCCAGATGTCAATTCACCTCCTTATGTCAACCCTCAGCAAAATCCACTCAGCAATTTCGATCACCTGGGCACCTGGGCACCTAGACATCTGACACCCCCAATTCCTTCCTTCGACCCGTTAATCAGAGATGATGCAGCACATGCAGCCTGCAGGTCCTCCCCATGTCATTCACTTCACCATCGCCAAGTTCTCCCAGACCACCACTTCAGTTGATCATGTCGGTCCGCTGAACTGGAATCATGTCAATGGAAGAGGTGACCTGCATTGTATCTTCGAGAAGGTCGCAGATGTCGGTTCTGCGCCATCGCGGCTCATCCAGAAAGTCCTTCGAGGCGATATCCTTCTGGTGCGCCCACTACTCCCGGAGCGCAAGACAATGCTGACTAGCGTTCTCTGATCCAGGAGCAACTTGATATAGTACAACTGGTCCGGCATATGGCAGTCCCGGCCCCATTGAGGCCTCCGCCCAAATCACACTTTGCTGTCGTCGTGAAGCTGCCATGCATTGCAGTGAAGTATCTCTACCATGACACACAGGTTAGTACTACTCTGAGCAATGCAATCGTGTTCGCTCTTCTAATATGGCTCTGCCGCCTCGTAGGTTCGCCGATTCCAAATCAAATTTGCTACGGAGCAAGACTATTTCATGGTCTTGGCCCTCCTGGGTGAGATCAATTGCCCAATGACCGAAAGCAATGCATCTATCCCAGCAAGCCGACAACCTCCATCGATTTCATCATGGACATCAGGTGATATATCCACATGTGCACCAGGAGCTTCGAACGCAACTTCAAATGCTCATGGCATGAACGGGTTTCACTTCGGCGCGGGAGCGATCGCATCCGGGGTAACAAGTGAGTAACACGCTCCCAAACTGCAGTCTAACATGCTTACTGATATGTTCCCATCTAGCCCCGATGCGAGCATCCTCTCCGGCAAGCACCGTATCTTATGCCCTCCCAAGATCTATTCCCCCATTGCCAGCGGCCTTTCGACCCAAGCCGAACATGGGACCAACAGTCGCAGCTAAGCCATTGTATGACCCTTTCGCAATGCAAGATATGCCGCATAGCAGTCAAGATCCTCCAAACTCCCAACTCTCCACGGCCTCGGCGATACACGATGTCGATCAGTTGAATCAGATGCTTCCTCCCAAGAGGGACCTACCCTTCTCAAAGCCAACGGCCAAAAGGACCATGCCTGCTGATCTGAGTCTTGGGAAGCAGCCCCATCCAAAGGAGGCCCTTCCAGCTACCTCACGTCTACCAGGACCAACTAATGAGCTTACGTCTGGTCTTGGTGTTCTCGGGTCACAATCTCAAGATCTATCTCAGCAAGACTTTTCTCAAATGGCAATGTTCCATGAAGAGCCCCCTGCCTCATCTCAAGTTCCGCTAGCCAACCAACCATCCGAACCTATGGCCCAATTACCCAGTGCTCAGTCAGCTCCACTTCCGCATCAACTGCCTGATGTTCCTAATGCAGCCATTCAGCCAAATGAAGAGCAAAAGAATGAACCAAAGCCATGTGCAGTTCAACATGTGACAGATGACAAGCTGGCAGAGTATTTGACATACCCAACAACGGAAAGAATTGCATTTCTCGAGAACTGGATGTGCGAGTTGATTGAAGACGACAGTTTTATGACTCTGTGTCACGATGTGGAAGGAACGTGGAGGCGGTTTGCTCTCGGACAGAAAAGATAGCTCGGTCAAAGAGCAACGGCGCGTAGGGGTAAAACGAACTAACTATCATTTAGATATTATCACTTAGATATCATTACGATATCATTACCTAGACATGTTATTCAAAGACAGCGATTAGTCGATATATTTGTTATGATACAATATTTCACTGAATGAATTGCAAACTCCCTAACAAAAGTGGCCTTTTCATCGACAGCAAGATGGCCAATAGCTAAAATACATGATGTAGAAATCGAAACTCGAAATTGCCTCATCAAGACACAGTTACCCGATAAGCGGGGGGAAGCAGATAGCACTTGAGAAGAAGCGACAGTGCACCTGAGCAACAAAGTCGACTTAAAGACGAAATCGACAGAATTCAGACTCAACGAGTTCGGCGATAGATCAAGCCAGAGAAGACGTTCAAGTAGCCCTCCTTGGTGAGCATGGTGAAGTCCACAACTACACGGCCAGACCCGTTTTGCGAATGCGCCAGCTGTGGGTTAAGGTTCGGCGATGCTTCACCCTGGTCGTGTGAAAGTCCCGGTGGAGGCGTAGACGGCACGTTCTGACCGACAGAGCCTTCAGCGCCAACAGCAAGATCGGCAAGATGCTGGAGAGAGCGCTGCTCATTGGGCCCCATGACGGGTTGTTGGGACTTGGCAAGAGTGCCGAGGTCGGCTTCCTGGAGTTGGCTTTCCTGGGACTTGATGCGGCGCCACTCGATGAAGATGCGGATTTTGGAGTCCCACTCTGGAGTACAGAAGATGTTGTCGAATTCCGCGCCTTCGGACGTACGCTTGGAACGAGCGTCGAGGACTTTTTCGACCTTCTCTAGGGCGGCCCAGCATTCGTTGGCGTGTTCTGGAAGGACGGTAGCCTCGAGGAGGGTCATCGAAGCGAGAGCTAGACTGTGAAGATCAAAGGGTGATGGGAGTCGGTTCTGCATTGCTGACTTGTACATCTCGTTCACGACTTCTGATGCGCAGAAGATAATCTCGTACGGGCTGTAAACGAAGACATGGCGTTTGATGAGAAGTCGCACCGTCCAGTAAAGTTGACCCTGGAGGCTCTCGTAGAGTGGACGGGTTGACGTGTTTTCCGGTAGCTCGTGAATCTGGAAAATGTCTTCCATCTCAGCGAGACGTTCCAGCGAGGATACCAGGTTCGCTCCGATGATGCGTCCGAGGCCCGTATTGGTCTGGCAAACATTGTGATCGACATTGGCCAGTGTGACCATCTCTGAGAGGAATGTTGAGTATGCTATTGAAACGGTCAGCAAGATCGGCGAGGTGTGTTTCAAGGGGCTCGGCTTACAGGCAATTCCGGTTGTAATTTGACCGACAACTCTTTCGTCTTCTCGGCCGCCGATCTCGTGGCCTCCCAGAACGGTGGCATCTGCGACACTGATGGCGTACCACCGAGCCAGGATAACCAAGGAAACCCAATTGCGTCTAGTGAGATTCGCGTGTGAGTCCACGTCATGGTCTGCGGCACGTTTGTTCTTAAGCTGGCCTTGACTTTTGGCCAAGTCGTATCCCAGCTTGTTGGCTGATTGGACCAGAGTTCCTTTGGGGACACCATCCTTGAGCACAAAGTTATCGGGGCCACGAGTGTCGCAGTCAACGATCATGAGCAGAAGAGACTGGAGCCAGATCAGGTTGACGGGAGTCGAATAGACCATCAAGGGCTGGCGAGTGTGGAACAAAAGCAAGTCTTGTGCATTGTCGAAGCTACTGATTTTCTCGAAGTTGGATGCAACACGGGTAAGATCAGTCCGAGTGACACTGTACAAGGCGTAACAGAAAATCTCTTGTGCTTCGCGATTACATTGGTGCAAAAGCTCCAAGGTTCGCTCTTTGGTATGAGGCAGAATCGGGAGCAGAGTGTGAATCTTGTGGTAGTAACTGAAAAGAAAAGGTTAGATATGTTTCTCGTATCATCGGGGTTCGCATCAAACGTACGCATCGAGAGCTCCCTCGTCCAAGGTCATTGGAGTCATGTCGTCGTCGCCCTCATGCTTCGGCAAATCATTCATCTCAAGACCGCTTGGCAAATCATTTTCACTGCCGGAAAGATTCCAAAACAGGTTGCCAGGCTTTGCTGCACCACCGTTCACGACATTGGGGTTGTACGGATCCGCTGCTGTCTCGTTCGTGTCGAATGCATTTTGCGATACTCGAGCATTGAAGGATGGCTGGGCGAAGGAAGAGCTGGGAAGACCCTCGAAGGCTGAGAAGGTTCTCTTGCGATTGCCAGGGTTTGATTCGACCGGCGATGCGAAATCCTGGTATCCTCTTGGTAGCGACACTTCGCTCATCGATTGGTACGGCACGTCAGGCTGGACGATTCCGGGCTGCATCTGGTTCTCAAGGGTATGAAGCCTCTCGGCAAGTTCCTTGATGTAGCTTTCGGCCTGTTAGCTGGTGCAATTCAAGTGATTGCGCATTGGTTTTGGCTTACCCTTTGCTGGGGCCGCGTTTCATCGGAACACGACTGAATTGACAAACGGCGCCGAGGCGCTGACAGTTGGAACAGGTTTCAAGGCCGGTTTCGGAGCTGGCATCGCAGCGAACCTGTGAAAATAAGACGCGTATTAGACCTTGCTTCAATTATCGCATTTGCGGGCGTCCTACCTTCTTTCGCCGACATTCGTCGCAAGCCCTTGAGATCTTCGATCGCTTGCGCGCGCTTTGTTCGCCATAGCTCAGGTCATGGTTGGGATCAACTCCTACTTGTTGACTCGGGGGGAACTGCAGCATGTGCTGGTGTTGGTGTTGATCCTCCGAGGACGTACGGCCCATGTCGCCAGCATTGTTGGAGCCCAAGACCATAGACTGGCCATGATGAACGCCATTGTTTGCTTCTCCTAGGCCGGGGTTCGAAGCCTCGCGTGACAGTTCAGCAGACAGCAATTCGTCGGTGGTCATCTGGCGGTTGTTGTAATACGGCATGGCGCCCTGGGCCATCTGCGCACCGTTTGGGGACGGATAAGAAGGCGCCGGAGGCATGTCAGACTGCTCGCGAGAGTTCATCACGCGGTTTAGAGGCGAAAATCACGCAGGAATGGATGGGTTGTGGGGAAAGCGAGCTTCCGGGAGATGGGGGAGGAAAGTGTAGGACGCGAGGTGACAGAAGTGAAGATTTACGAAAACTTCGCGGGGGGAATTTTCAAGGGGCCTAGCGCGGAGAGCGCCGCATTGAGCAACAACATATGGACCAGAAGTTCATTCATTTTGCATCTTATTTCTTGAAGCTATACTCTGTTGTTTACTATCTTTTTTGGATGATCCCACGGAGGACGGCCTTTCGTTTCTGCGCGTCGAACGGATTAACACTATTTCCTCCTCGGAGCGGATGAACTACAATTTCGAGGTCTCAGTGCCCAATGTCGACCTCTCGATGCAACGGCTTTGCTCGTACTCACTTGGTGGGCTATTCTGGTGCATGCTTCCCAGGTACAAGTTGGAGGCTAGACTGCCAGGTGGTCTTTCGAGGGAGACAAAGAACCCAAGTACCGCGACCATCCATCTAGATGGGATTAGACGATCCGGCCCGTCATCATTTCCCATCCTTTGGGATTAATAGAGCCAAATAATGATCGGGCTAACATAAAGACTTGAATTTTCGACATACTCAGCTCAGGTCTTCTAACCGCCGATGCTCTTCTAACAGGCTGGACATCGTGAGTCAGCTCTTGGGGGACCTTTCGTCCCTATATTCAGCTCGGAGTGACAAAGGAATTCAAAAGCTGCTTTGATCTTGCTGTGTCTCAAAAGACTCGCCCCTATCCACTTGAATGAACATCCGGTGTCCCAAGAACCATACCCACGAGAGAATTTGGGGTTGCTTTGAGGTCTACTCTCGTGGAACTTGCAGCACAAATCACTAAACCCTGAAAAAGGCATATTGAGATATCTCAAAGAACCCCCATGGACAATCGCTCCTCGAATTTGACTGCGAACAAGGACGCTGGGCACTTTACACATTCTATGCAAAGCACATTCATATATGCGAGGATTGCTATTTTCTTAAGCGGCGATTAACATCTAACTCTAGCGATACAGAAACATCACTTAACCCAGAAGCTCTGGTAAGATCCTCATACTCTGTTCCAAGAGGGACCAGCAGCAAGCACCTACACAAGGGCGGGGTTGGGCTCAATATGTACAGTCTTGGCAGCTTCAAGATTCAAGACGTTTACCAATTTAATCCTCGGATTAGTTTGACATTAAACCGCCAGTAGCAACCCGCTTTCTGGCGGAAACTCGTCCTAATCCGTTCTCCGTGGGCATTATAAATCCTCTTCTGTCTTACCCTATGATAACTACGATACCACTGTACTAGCGGCTTAGCAAGAGTCCGCAAAACGGAAATACCAAAAGCAATGTCTCAAAATTTCATCATAATCCCCAAGGTGGTAGGAGGAAATAGCAAAGCTCGAGCCTCATGTCAGAACGGCACCGCCGTCAGACATTCGGGGGAAGGGAGGGCCAGCATAGTAATGGCTAGGTATGATTGGCTGGTCGCTAGTAGAATCAAACTTGTCTTATCCTACAAGACCCGAAGAGATATCAGGTGAATCCTACGCTTATGCCTCTTGTATGTAGCTAAAAGCGATCGACGACTGGCAGCATTGGGGCGAATTCTATCTGAACCGCAGATGAGTTATCCAGGTAGAGCTGAAGGCATGTCAGTGGCCGAAGCAATGGTAAACCAAAGCTGGATATGTAGGGCATTCGAGTTGGTTGTCTATTTCGGCTCCGTGCGGTTCGGAACTATGGTGCTCTGTACAGGAGGTTGATCTTCTTGAGTATCTACGTATTCTAACTTGGAAGGTTGCCGGTCAACAAATGATGCTGACCTTGGTCCAAACACTATGAACTATAGTGAGATATTCATACCTAGTGGGATCGGAGCGCATGACACGGAGGCCCAATAGTATCTCGTACTACGCAGGCCATAAATATCCACCTGAATTCACTGCGGTGTGGCCTCCGTGCTGATCCATTCGTTACCACCATTCAGCTTGCATGGTTTGCCCTGCCCTCGGATACAAGGATACCATCGGGTCTTCTCAGCCATCTCGATAAGGGCCGAGCTGTCAAGACACCGGGAAGGTCTCCGAAGGTGCGGAGGCATGAAACTGCAGAATGACCAGTAACTATGCAAATATTAATTATACTGACTATATAGGTGACTTCTATTGCATAAGATAGTGCCATGGTGTTGACCTTGGAAAGACCAAGAGGCTGGGGCTGTGGATGAAACAGAAAGCAGCCCGCTTGACGTAAGATCGGATGGTGCGCTAAGTGCGGGAACATGCCACCGATCGCAACAAACCCATTTCCTCCCGACGTGATAGGAAGCGCGCTTACGACCCATTGGGATAAGATTTCCGGACAATCATCAATATAAAGGAGCCAAGGCAATGGGGTTGCTGAGTCGCAAACCGGATTTATGATATCTGATCACATATCTAGGGGTATGTCCTACATAGTAGCACGGTATGCAGCGAGTCGAGTACATTCTCTATGCTACATATGTAAATATAGTCCTCAGAGTAATATTATGGAGTATTGGATTCTATAAATTACAGTGTTTACAGTATTGTAGCACAGGGCTGTAGCAGTCGGGATCACATACCCAAATCTCCCATACATTACCTGTAATAGAACAAACACGGCAACTATTGGCGGAAATTGGGTCGATCAGGGCCCGCCCGCCGGCCCCAAAAAGCCTCTGCAGCCCGCCTGAAGCAGGAACACTGACGACATCGCTTTGGCCGCTCGGGCCATGACTTGCATGTATTGTACTGCATTGTATCCGCTACTTACGTGGGTTCTTTTGACTGGTTTCGCTGCGTGCTGAATTTTGAGGCCCATTCTGCGACTACGTGTAATAGTCCTCGTTCAAGGGGAAAACTCGTAAAACCTTCGACAGGGATTATGGAAAGTTCTACTAATGTTCCTGGATCGAGTCTAAACCCCTGGAGATAGTCATCCATGGATAAGAGATTCAGCCCCAGTGGCAAGGATGTTGCATACTGGTACACACGTAAAGAACTTTTCTCCCATCAGTTGCAAATTAGAATGTCAAGGTCGGGGTGTGCGGCCCCAGATTTCGCTAGCGAGATCCATCACTAGTGGGGTGAGTTCGTGTAGTTAGGCGCTAACAGTCATGGCCAAGACTCATGTAGACGTAGCACCCCACGAGTATTCTGGGTCTGTATTTGTCTGGGACAAAGAATTGTCGGGACTTTTCGTTGCCACCACCATTACAATATATGTATTGGTATGGTTGGGGTTGTCGGGCATATATAAAGAAAGAAAGAAAAAAAAAAAAAAAAAAAAAAAAAAAAAAACAAAAAACAAAAAAAAAAAAACAAAAAAAAAAAAAAAAGAACACAGCACACCCCCGACAACCACGCCCCCCCCCCCCCACCCCAC